TTTTGCGTGGATGGTCAGCACGAACTTCAAGAAGCTGGAGACATATGGCATCATTGCTCTCAGCTTTACCGCTCTCCTCGACTCTGGAGCCAACAACCACTACTGCCCTTCTCGTGACCGGTTTGTGGAGTTCGAAACGCTCAAGAACCCTAAACCCATCCGTTCCGCCGATAACCGCACCTTCTACGCAACTGGTGTCGGTAATGTCCCCATCTCCGTCATGCATAAGGGGCGAAAGATCGACATCCTCCTCACCAACGTCCTCTATTGTCCGGAGATGCCCGTCATGCTCATCTCTGTCGCTGTACTCGTTAAGGCCAAGTTTTCCGTCCACTTCGAACTTGACGGTGCACATGTTCTTGCACCTGATCGCACCACCATCCTCGTTGTACCCGAACGCAACGGTCTTTATCCTATCACGGAAGTCCATGGGTCAACTACTACCCCTTTGAAACCCTCTCCCGACACCGCTCTCGCAACCATGTCCCTTCACGAATTCCACTGTCGCATAGGCCACGCTGACGTTCGAGGACTCAAGACCATGGTCGACCGTCAAATCGTAGACGGCATCGTTCTCACCAAAGACGAGGCTGGCTTCTGCAAGGGATGCGCCCAGGGTCAGCTCAAACACGACCCATTCCCAAAGCAGCGCGCCAGTCCACCAGCTAAACACTTTGGAGAACGAGTTCATAGCGATATTTGGGGACCCTCACGAATCGAGTCGCTCGGGCACAATCGGTACTTTATTGTCTTCGTCGATGACAACTCCGATGAAGTTACCGTTACAGGCCTACGGGAGAAATCGAAAGCCTTTGAGGCATATCGTCATTACGAGGCATGGGCAAAGCAACATCGGGGGGCAACGGCGATCGGGGAATTGCAGACGGACGGAGGAGGGGAATACACGAGCGAAAAGATGGAGACACATTTGAAGGATCAGGGGACGCATCACCGTACCACTGTACACCATTCGTCGGCACAAAATGGCACTGCTGAACGTGTTCTCCAAACCCTCATGGCCCATGCACGCAAGATGCTACATCACGCAAGCTTGCCTCTTTCGCTCTGGCTCGAGGCCGTCGTCCACGCCGCTTGGTTACGTAACCGAACCGAAACGAGAAAGACTCCAGGCTCAACACCACACGAGCGGGCGACCAAAAAGAAGCCCAACTTGTCACAAATCCGACGTTTTGGCGCAAACGTCTGGGTCAAGTTGGAGGGCGCATCGAAAATCGACAAACAGTCGAAACCATGTCGGTGGATAGGAATTGACACCCACGCCAAGGGTCACCGAATCTATTGGCCGGATGTCCGTCGGCGTTTCCATAGAGCGCAACGTATGGTTTGAGGGGGAGCCTGATGAGACGTATTTTCCCGAAAGCGTCACAATCGAGGGGGAGATGGAGACAAGTTCTGGCGATCGCGACGCTTCGAGCTCAACATCTACTCCGGACCCTTCCCCACCCCCAAAACCGGAACAACCTAAGGTGTCAATACCACCACCGCCTGTCGCTCCAAAACGCCCAATGACACCTCCAAGTCCTATGTCCGACCTCACTGTGTCAGAGACTGGGGACCAACCTCCGCAACCTCCAGAGGAATCTCGCCGTACTCGAAAACCTAGCCGATGGATTCGAGACTTGCAGGAGGGAAGAGGGATCACGGCGTCAAAGGTGCCACCGAGCGTCATGCCGGACAAACTCCCGGAAAAGCTACCCGACGAACCGCAGGCAAAGGCCTCACTCGCTGTCGACGACAACCGCAACTGGCTGGATGGAGCCATTGCTCAACTTGCGATGCGCGAGATGTTTGCGGGAAATGAACAACCGTTGATCGCCCTTGCCACAATGGATGGGGACTCACCAACGGATCGAGAGGCCATGGAGAGCGAAGAGAGTTCACACTGGAAAGCCGCCAAGTCAGCAGAGGTTGGGAAATTGAAGGACAGGAAGACATGGGTAGTGGTTAAACGCCCCCATAACGCCAACGTCCTCCCCAGCTCATTTGTTCTTCGACGCAAGCGAGACGAGAACAACAATGTACGCGAATATAAAGCGCGACTTGTGGCTGGTGGCGACCGTCAGGTCTACCAGGTCGACTACACAGAGACTTCCGCTCCCACTATCACCCTAGCGACATTTCGCTTCCTCCTTGCGCTAGCTGCTCGACATGATCTCGAGGTCGAAAACATTGATTTCTCGAGTGCGTATATCAACGCAGAGCTCAAAGAGACGGTTTATATGCGCCAACCCCGCGGCTTCGAGGAGCCTGGGAAGGAGGACTGGGTGTGCTTATTGCTACGGGCGATCTACGGGTTGAGACAGGCAGGGAGAGAGTGGTACAAGGTGGTATGTGCGCTGATGGAGAGCTTGGGGTTCAAGAAGTGCGACGCTGATCCCGCTGTCTTCTACATCTTTGAGAATGGCATCGGGGTGATAGTCACCCTCTATGGCTAGATCTATGCATAAAATGCTGGTGAGGTCCACAGAAAGCTATCCATAAGATATGGGTGTTTCACCAGAGACCTATAACTGAGACTTGTGACAGGAATTGTGACAGGAGATCAAAACTGATATTACACAACAGGATTAACAGATATCACTTATGTAATATCATATATAATATCCTTAAGTCCTATTTCTTCAGGCCGATGACCCGGTATGTAGTTAGGGGGACTGTGTGATAGGGAAAAGAGATTATCATCCTAATTGGGATGAAATTGATGGATCTCTATATAGCCATCAGAATCACTGATGCCAATCAAAAATGGTTCCACATCAAGGTATATATCTAGATGCCATCACTCCATCACTGATAACCCTCTCAGGTAGTCTAATAATAATAAATTCAAGGGCTGTTATATATTACAAATAGCTGGACCCATATCTTATGCATAATATTCCCTGGATACCACCCATATCTTATGCATAGATCTGACTATAGGAGCTGTGATAGTTGGCATTCATGTCGACGACTCACTTATCCTCTCTAACTCAGCCAACGCCTGTTCAGCACTCAAACGCGAAATCGCTGGTCGCTACGCCATTACCGATCTCGGTCCCGTTCGGTGGATACTCGGGTTCGAGATTCGACGTCAACGAGATGTTGGGACGATCACCATGTCCCAAGGCGCTTACATCGACACATTGGTCAAGCGATTTCGACTCGAGAAGGCCAACCCACTTTCCATCCCCCTTGACCCACATACCGACCTTCATGACGCCAACGCAATAACCAACAAAATCGAGTCGTCAACACCATTTGCGCGACTCATTGGCTCGCTTATGTATGCAGCCGTCGGCACTCGACCGGACATCTCGTTTGCGGTCTCCAAACTGGCTCGATTCATGTCTAATCCAGCACACGTCCACTGGGAGGCAGCAAAGAAGGTCCTGCTCTATCTTATGGGAACTCGTGACTATGTCCTCACATTTGGGCTAAATGACTCGGGTTTCAATGCCTACTCAGATGCTGATCACGCCATGGATAAGACCGACTATCACTCAATATCCGGAAACGTCTTCATGTTCGACGGTACTGCATTCTCCTGGTCCTCTCGAAAGCAATCGCTCGTAGCGCAATCGACAGTTGAAGCCGAATTTATCTCGGCAGCCACAGCAGCAATGGAGGTCGTTTGGCTGCGTGGAGTTATCTCAGCGCTTGGAGATCTGCCCATGGAGCCTGTTATCGTTCATTGCGACAACCAGGGCACCATCTCACTGGCGAATAGCGGCCTCATGAACCCTCGAACTCGTCATATCGCTATGCGCTACCGCTACATCCATGAGGCTATCGAACAAGGCATCATCTCCCTCAAATATGTTCCCACTAACGACCAAATCGCCGACATCCTCACCAAGGCTCTTCCGCTCGACAAAGTCAAGCACTTCCGACATCTGCTTGGAGTCCGTAGAGCTTGAGGGGGAGTGTTAGCGCGTGATCGGCCTGGGCGAGATGGCGAGATGAGGAGATGAGGACGACAGATCCCACATTTGGAATGTCGACATTCGCACTGCCAGCGCACGGCTTCGTTCTTCCCTCGACGGACGAACGAAGCGTGCGTATACTTACCTACCTATGCCACTTACTATGCTTATATTGTTATGCCAGTGATACATCTATTAGGTACTAAATATATTGGTTCTTCCCTCGACGGACGAACGAAGCTGATACATCTATTAGCTCTGCGCTGCCCATCCGCGCGCAACTGTCCGCCAAATCGCATCTGCTTTAACATTTCCAGCTGTTGGCAAAATCCTAGGCCACTCCAAAATTTCTACTCGTCTGACGTCACCCAAACCCTGAGGCACCAGCCGTGCGCGGAGGGTCGCTTAACTGGAGCAACAGTGGAGCATTGGCACTGCAAACTGCTTTATTTGGGTTGAAGTCTGTCCGACGCTCCAAGAGAGGAAATTTTAATGTGGCCTAGGATTTTGCCCACAGCCGTCAGCTAAACCAGTATGTCCGCACAACATGAGCCTGCAATCCACCACAGACTTCAGAGAAATCCCCGTGAGAGTTGCCCTGACAAGCACCGTTAAGCACAATACTAGTATTTACTTGATCCACAGTCCAGTTTATTCGAACGCGCATGATTCAGACTCATTCGGTCCGAGTCAGGACAACTCTATGAAGATTTTAAGTACATATTCTTGATATACTACTAGTACATAATCACCGCTTTGCTATTTTTCTCACAAAAAGGACTCGGAATCGCCATACTAAGCGTAAGTGGCTTAGACCGGGTTCAGCCCGGCGACTGTCACCGTGACAACGACTTGCTTTCAACTTTCATCTGACCTGATTCGAGCCTCCCGCCCGCGCGCACCGACTCGGAGCCGTGTTGTTTGCCTAAACTCCTGGACGTGGGAGACCATAGCCAGCATGCTTGCAGCGTGGTCAGACAATCGGTCAGACAGCCGACTGACTGCAAAGCCTTGATTGCCATTGTCGTTATGTGACTCGGACTTGATGAAACCAGCAGTTTTTTTTCCTCGACCATGTCGTTCGACTCTTCCCGCTCGTATGGTGTGGCACATTGAAATCCTCTTCAAACTGACACATCTATCAGCTTTCTTATGTCCCAGAGAGCTGCTGACCAAGGCCGAAATATGCATGTCTTCTCGCTCTCCTGTTTTCCACAAGCCAGAATGGCCGGTGGTGAGGACGCTGCTAGTCCTTAGTGATGCTCCGTTCTCAAAATTTATTTAGGCTTCAATCTCAACCGAATACATCTCACCGCAAAGACTTTCTATCGATGGCTTTATCTCTGCGATGAGATTATAAATTTCCAAAGAGGTCTCAAAGACGCCGTCGTCCTACGGAAAATAAGGCTACGGACCGTCCAGGCGTTGCTCTACGCCTTCGAAGAGATCGAAGGCCCCCCAATTCCTCGGGACTCTCTTCAACTGATTGAACCTGGCATATATGGAATTTTTTCCGCTGGTAGGTACCAAGCCACACACTCAGACGAAAGGCTGACTCGGATATCTATTGCTAAGACGGAACACCATTCACCCGGTATTTCTGTAGCCCAGTACGTTTTCACCCATCGTTCAAAGATCAAGAAGTGCAGCTCGTTTGGGGTGACCCGTCTTTTAAGGGGGAGGTTTGGAAATACTATCTTTTGATTCTCCCAGATGATTGAAATACCATTTCAGAATGACATTCCAATAAACTTGAAAGTTCTCGCGGGCGCCAGGGACAAGGGACGATGCTTTATTACCGGTCGAACCGATCTCCCAACACAATGCGTTTGGATTCTCCCCCCTCTCGCAACGTTCGGTCGTGATCATGTAAGTATATCTTGCCGCTCTATTCACGCACCACCGTATTGATGTTTCTACTCAGTCGGATCCAATGGCCTTCGACAAGTACAAGGTTGTCGACAATCTCATCACGATTTGCTCGGCTTTGGCTGACCCCTTCATGCGCAACTTGTTTGCTGTCGACGTTGAGGTACCTGTCATCGACACGCTATGCGGTTCTCTCGCTGACGCGATCTCTGCAGGATAACACCCGCATCATTACCTTCGATGACCTCCCGAGCGGCTCGCCCACGTTGCCCTCGCATTTACCCACTCCGCCGTCCCCCTCGACCATGGACTACTGGAAGTATGCTTTCATATACACCTTGGCTATATTCTTCCCCGCAGGCGAAGTCAAAGAAGATTATAGCAATCCAGAGTACGATTCCAACGACCTGATAGAGGAGCTCCAGGACGGCTACGCCGAGCTGGCCCATCCGAAATGGCAAAGCGACATCGGCCGCGAAGCATTGGCTGTTTACTGGCAGCTTGCCTGTCCCACGGAATCAGAGCTGAGAGATGAACGCGAGCGGAGATATGCAACGGAGTTGGATGAGGATGCCAGTGATGAACCTGGATACGCTGTGTAGGCGCTTGCGGCGATAGTGCAGCAACAATTGTATTTGCTATGCTGCTCAACCTGACTTCACTCCGACACATTGAGCGACAATTATTACAGTCCTTTCTACCCTTTTTAATCCAGGTACATATATAGATAGACAGATTTAAAACGCCCTTTAACCTCCTTGAACTTGAAGGACCCTTCTCGTACCGACGAAGAACTCAACACCACCTGGGTTGCGACGGGCTTTTTCCAGCTCCGAACAGGTCCATCAAGAATCGCGTTTTTAAGTCCAGGAGTACTGGATCGTCTTCACAATATTACTAGTAATCCAAGCAAGATTCTCCACGGGCATCTCTACGCAGTCCATTTATTCACATAACTATAATCGAACGAAAGGACAAGTCAGGAGGGGTAACATCCACAACCTACACCTATCTACCATGGTATCATCATCAATCATCATCATCACCCTAGGAGCCCCCGTCGCTGCCATAGGCCGTATGATACGACATGCCCGTCGGCTCGACGGAGTGGCCCTTCGGATGCAGCCCGCTCTTCGGCGGCGGGTCGTCGAACGGCGATCTCGGCGGTTCCGGGTCCGCAAACGGCGACGTCGGCTCCTGCACGTGCGTCTGTTGGTTAAAAGGCGGGGTCGGCAACACCGACGTCGGCCGATTATTCCCGGCCGGGTACGAGGCATACTGCGCCTGCGTCGGCGTCCCCGGGTCGAGCGATCGTCTCGTCTGCGGCGGCTTCTGCTGCTGCGGGGGCGACTTGGTATACCGCCGCTCCCGCATCTGCACTCCGTCATCAGCCGCTGACATGCCGCCATACGCAGCGGCATACGCGCCGGGCTCGATCGGCGTGCGGCCCGGCGGGTGCTGTGGCTGTGGGGCATACAGCACAGGGGCCGGGGCCGGGCCGGGAGCATACCCGACCGCCCGGCCCTGCGCGTCCCACTGCTGGTGCTGCTGCTGCTTCTGGGCGACATACGCGTCGTACTGCTTCTGCCTTTGCTCCCGCTCCCAGTCATACCGCGGGTGCTGCCCCTGCCCCTGCCCGGAGGCAGTAAGCGGTATATCCGACAGACTCGCCCTTCGGCCCACCTGGGCGTCGCTCCCGCCAAACGCAGCCGCGCTCTCGCCGTAGACGTCGGTGCGCTCGAGCTTGGCCTGGCGGGCCTTGCGGCGCTCGTAGATGACGGCGGGCTTGGCGAGCGCCATGTGGTGGAAGATGTACCACATCGCGAGGAGCGTGACGAGGAAGGTCGCGCCGAGCACGCTGTCGCTGATAATCTTGCTCTGCGTGGACGTCGTCCCCTTGTCCGCCTGCTCGAGTATGACGCCCAGGTACACCGTGATGAATTGTTTCGGGAGGGAGAGGATGGCGGCGATGGAGAACACCCAGATGTTCATGCCGCAGGTGGCGAAGACGGCCGTTGTGACTGTTTGGGAATGTTGAGTAAAAACGGTAAGAAAGAGTAGTTGGCACGCACAATGCCCCGGGATAGCGCTAAACCGCGCAATAAGCGCAATCCTGAACCCGCCCGTGCGGACACAGCGCGCAAGACAGGCATACGGGATCTGGGTCCGCTCCATCTTCTCGCCACGGGCGTTGCAGCAGTACTTGAACGCATAAAAGTTGCCGACCTCCCCGAGGAACGTCCCCGCGCACACAATCGCGAACCCAATCCACAGCCCCCACACCAGCCCACACAGAATAGCGACAATTTCGTGGCCAAAGAGCTGCGCAAGTCAGTCTTCGTCTTTGATAAAGCAAAGCAAAGACAGGGCACGCACCGGCGGGAACGATATGACAAACAATATCGCAATGGGCACGACCCACCCGAACTTGAAGCTATGCAGCCACTTGGTGACCGGCGTGAGCCAGTCGACGATCTGGTGGTGGTATATCGACACGAGCGCGGTGATGGTCATGATGAGCACAATCGCGACGTAGTACCACAGCCACTCGCGGCGGATCCAGAAGCGCCAGCTGAGCAGCGTCTTCCAGTCGAACAGCCCACTGCGCAGCGCCTTGGCCTCGCTCGGCGTCGGGCTCGGGGTACGCCCGCCCCCGGAAGCGTAGGCCCCGAAAGCGGGGGGCGGGTGTTGTTTGAGGACGGAATCGTGGCCGTAGGAGGGCGCGGGGGAGGAGACAAAAGAGGGCGGGGCGGCCCCGGGGGGCGGGCGGGCGTTCCCGGGTGCACCGCCGGGAGGAGACGGGTTGAAGACGCCCGAGGGCGGGGGGTAGGCGTTGGCGGTCGCGAACGAGGAAGTGCTGCTGCTGGCGGTGTTGTGCTGCCCGTCCGCGCGGTACAGCGGGTATGGCATCGCCATGCTGGGCGTGTAGGGCTAGGGATAAGAGAAGGGTATGCGCAAAGGGTGGTGTCGCGAAAAAAAACAGCGGTGGAGTGGATGAAGCAGGTGGAGAAGATGGCAACGGGCAGGCAACCCGGGTGGCGCCAAGCACTGCTCGCGTAAGCAACGTCAGCATGTCGGCGGCCTGCACTGCCGCACTCTCGTCTTCGTCAATGACTGCCAGGGAAGGAAAGCGCTGCAGCCGCGGGTGCTGCGCTCCCATTCCTGACTCCCGGCGCGCTGTTGCCAGCGCTACTCCTTGCTTTTCCCTCGCGTCGGTCCAACTTCCATTCCGCAACTTGAAAGAACAATAAAAACGGTCAATGCCGGCGCCGTCACTTCAGCCTCCAATAACAAAAGCGGCTGTCTCAGATCCCCCCAATCCGCCTCCCGGTGTTCTCGGTCAAGCACTGCGGTCGCTCTCGGATTCTAAGTATAGCCTGTTCGGATGCCAACCTGCAGTCGACGACGCCCTAAACCAGACACATTGGGCAACCTTCCTCAATTCAGCGAACACACAGCACGACTTGTGGCCCTCCGCTGTCTACTGCCGCCAAACTGGACGATCTGGCTTGATTCAACTCACCGTGCCGAGGAGGCCCACGGTGGTTCCATCGCGATCAAGAGACTACCGACCAGAAGTCGACCCAAAAGAGATGTGGGGGGGTCAAATCTCATTTTTTTTTACTTCGTTATTTCCAAAGTGACTTCAAGTATAGCAAAAAACGCATTTATCTTCAACATCCTCAAGAAAGACCGGAACGGGAACCAGCTGTTCTCCTATTCACTGGAAGTGCGCCGGCGAGCATACCTTATTCCGACTCATTGTCGGAGCCCATCTCGCGCCGCGCGGCCTGGGCAAGGCGATACACCTGGAGCACCTCATTCTTCAACGTCCCGGGCCTGTTCCACTCTTGGTCATCAAAGTTCCTCTTGCGGCCCAGCTCCCGGCACAGCCTGATGCGCTCCGCGACCGGGTGGTCCCAGCCGATGTCGCCGCCCTCCGCGTTCGCGCGGAGGCTCCACTCGAAATGTTCGTGCCAGAACTTGGCTGAATATGCGGGAATGGACACGACTGTGCCTGTATGGAGGTTGAAGCGTGCTTCATCTATGTCGGCGAAGAAAATCAAGCGGTAGCCGTCCTGCACAGCAATCAGCGGATCCAAGCTGCGATCAAAAACGCCGAATACCTGGAAATCTGGGCTGAAAGCGTTGTCGTTGAACGGCGTAAATAACGCTGCGTCGAGGGTGACGACGTTCGCCACAACCTCGTACTCCGCCTGGTCGTGGTCTTCAAATCTCTGGGGTATGCCATATTGAGCTTAAGGCGACTGCATAGCGATTCTCGGACACACCTCATCCACAAACAGGCTCTGTGCCAACCGCGGGCATCAGGAATCCCAATCGCGTATATGGAGCACTATGCGGCCTCTCATAGCGCCTGAGCAGCCATAACAACTTCCCTCTATGGGAGCCTCTCATAGCCGTAAAGACGCTGTAGAATATGTGTAGTCAGTCAGTAGTAAACTATGAATCATCTATGGACTGACTATGGATTGACTATGCACCGGCTATGCGCTGGCTATGCACCGGCTATGCAATGACAGATGGCATGTGTCATCCGACTATTCCCCAAATCACACATCATTCAAAAACGGTGAAGTGGGCCATTTTGGGCCAATTGATGTGTAAACTACGCATGTCCGTCTACTGCTCGTACTACGTCTAGTCAATGTCCATCCTTCATCTGCCACCTCTGCGCGCAGACTCAGGTCAAATTGCAGCTGACGGGTTTTACTTCCCCTGGTGCTAGTGGAGTTGCCGCTGACCTATTGCCCAAGTTTTCGTCACTGAGAGATGGAAAAACTAGGAAAAGCTCACTGTAACCCCTCCTGTAGCCATCTTGTCAAGGCTGTGTCGACGAGTTTATGCGCAACCGGTCGCTCGAGGCTTCTGCTGATATGGTCCTCGATTCGGTTATAAAACCTTTCGTACATTGTGCCCTTGAGCGATAGCTGGGAAAATGTACCGGTGCTCCACTCATCCAGGCAATGTCGCATCTGGAAAATGTGTTAGTTAAGGGAGGATAGATTCAAATATCATACCAGTGTAACGACAAATGCTATGACCGGATAGAGTATTCCGTCGTCCAAAAGTCCAGGAATCTTCTCAGCGTACCCATGTTGGGGATGGAACAGGATAAGCTTGATTGCTTGTTCAAGCTCCTCGCTTTGGTATATTTCCCACGAAGTCTGAACGATAGTTAGTCAGAGACTGGTTAGAATCCACGAAATACCGGTTTTTTGCTGTAATTGACATTGCAGAAGCACTCCTCGTCCTTGAGCTTGCTGACGCGTTCCTTCGTATATTGGACTTGCTCCGCATCGGTCCAGGCCGCATTTGTGGCAGGGTTGGGCTTTTTGGTGTCAGGCAATAACTGGAGGATTCTTGGAAAGTTGTCGTGCGTTATGTCGGTGAGGACTGCTCCTCTGAGTGAGCTACCGACAGCCGTTATCTGGTGGCAAAATGAAGATCAATTCGCCAGAAAATGGGAGCAACATACCAATTTTAGCATTCCATCTGTCGGGCTTGCGTCCACGCCGCCGTAGCCTATATTGTATGTTAGTGAGCGCAAAGTCGAAATGAAAACCCTACAGTCCTCGATGGTCTCTCCCATCTCCTCCTCCACGAAGTCCTTCGCCTCACTAAACGACTGTCCCGCTGCCAACAGATTCCTACTATGAGGTGGAAACATCTTGACGTTGAGATAGTAGCGGCTTTAGACAAGCTTTGCGTGCGTGAGCGTTCTATAGGTGATTGGCAGGGTTTTAGTGGGTCCCGTGAGCACCACACGCCCCCGAGGGCGAAATAGATGACCTGCCGCGGATCCCCACACTGTTGCCGGAAGCTTCGTGTATTTGTACATTCCCCTGGGTGGCGATTTTCTTTCCCCACTCTGGTCCCCTGTAGGGACCAACCTTTACTTAGGCTTTGCAAGATAACCAATTGTTTTCTGTGTATTTGCTACTATGTACCGCCAAAAAAAAAAAAAAAAAAAAAAAAAAATATAGGTGATTGGCGTCTGGGAATAGAAGCCAAGGTTGTTGGGGTTGGTCGGATCAGGGCCCTTGACAGAGTTTCGGGTCGCTCGACGACGAGCTTTTCCGTCGGAGGCAACACTGTCCCCGGCATTTGAGCTTGAAGAGCGTGTAGAGGTACCGGCTTGCTTATTCGGAGAGCGAAACGCGTGGAGATACTCAGGACGGGGGGGTCGGGGGGTACCATTCTTCCGCCAATGTTGCTGTACAACGTCATTTTCCAATCCATCCTGAAAGTTGTCAGTTACTTGAAGCGGACTTGAGATATTTTACCTCGAATCCGGACGCTGGACGGTAGGAAGTCTAATGAAATGATGAGTAAGGCGAGACAACTTGAAGCGCAAACATCACTCACAGTGGAGTTGCTGCTGCCTTGAGACCCATCGCTTCCTTGTGAATGTGGCGGCCGTAATCCGGTATTCGAACCCGGTGGCCGTCCCTGTCCATACAACTAATTGATTGTTAATTGTACAGTTGGTCACAAATACGAAGTTTTACCGTCGCGCGCGGTTGATGGTCGACACCGTGGCCTGCGCTCGTTTCATCGACTTGAGTGACATATACTTGTGGGGCTTGTGGGAAGGTCGTTCGCCCTCGCGACGAAGCTGTAAACAATAAGCCAATTTGATATACAGCGCATGCGCAACTCACTCGTTGAAGTTGGAGGCAAGTCTGAGATTTTGTTTATATCGGAGGGTTGTTGTTGTTGTTGTTGTGATGGAGCTAGAAATGTATCTGAAGCAAAGTAGGGTGTGGTCGAAGCCGGGAAGTTAGCGCTTTGGAATGAATTTGCCAAGTTCGAATGCGTCAGCGTAGTCCTCGCAGATGCAAAAACTGGTGGCGAAGCCTGGGATTGAGGAAATTCTGTGAATTGTGGCGAGGGCGCTCGCCACTTAGACAGCACGGTCATATCAGCAGGTGTGGACTCGAGCAATAGTAGTCACAAACCGATTGAAAGTCTGGGGTTGACCCAGTTTCTGCTGGCAAGCGCACGTTCGAAGTACTAGAAGGCCGATTGTTTTGCGAGTCGTGGTCGAACAAATCGGAATACGTGATCCCACGTAGCTGCGATGCGTCAGTAGCAAGTCGTGGACATGAAGCCAATGTATACCGGGTTATAATCCTCATAATTCTGCATCGTATTGTCGTAGTTGCCTGGATTATCGGATTCAAATCCTACACGGAATCAGACTCGTGTCGAAAAATGAAGAAATTGTTACCTAGGCCCATCGGGCCAGTCGCATGAAGTCGAGGGTATTCGGTGTCGCTTTCATCGGAGCCAGAAGAATCACGATGGTCGTTCGTCTCCAGTTGAGCATCGTCGACGTCCTGCTCGTCGTCGGTACCAGTTGCCGGTGCCGGACCTCCGAATTGCGGGGCTATGATACGACGCTGCTGGCCTCTGGGCTGGAGGAAGATCGACGAAAGTGGAGAGCGATAACTTTGGAGCTGATGCTCCAGGTTGGGCCTGTACATGTGGTTGCGCAACTTGAAATTCGGCGTCCAACTCTGCTTGCCGCTTCCGCTAAGATGGATAAGTTTCAAGCGTGAAGAGGCGAGTGAGCTTACACCAGCCAGACCCGTAAGCGGAGGGGCCATGGGATTACGCTCTGCATCTTCCGGTCCAGCAAAGCGAGTGGTCGGACGCCGAAATGATGGGTTGCTAAGAGTTTGAGAGTCGCGCTCGAGTCGATCGAGAGTTGAAAATCGCTGCCGTTTTGTCACTGGATCCAACTGGGAGGTTGGTGGGCAAGTAGTATTCATGTTTAGGTTGTCGTCAGGTGAGCTCCCGGGCCTCGTACGCTTTTGGGGCACTGACGAACAAAGCGATATGAGTATACTCGTATGAGAAAGGGAGAATACGATGGCTCACCGGCACTTAAGCCACGCTGGCTGACACTGCCAACTGTCGGTGCCACGTTTGCAGTTGGCGTAGCATTTTGGGGGGTCAATTTCTGAGTTGGACGACCTTGTGGTTTGGGAGCTGGAGGCGGCGGCTGTTGTCCGCCGCGTGACGCCGACACTCCTTTCGGGGCGTTTTTGACGCGAGGCTTTTTCCCCAACACCAGTGCCGCCACTGCTAGCCATGAGCAAAGGCAGGGCTGCACAGGGTCGTGCAGGTCAGGTCAGGGTCTTGGAATTGCTGTCACATTTAGATTGATGTATGATCGCCATGGATCGGCCCGGGACTCAGCAAATTGGACATCATGACTTTATACTCAGTACCAGTATTCACACTGTACTACTGCCAGTGGTAGGTTGGTGAGATTTATATGACTACAACTCCATCTTATCCTCTTTCCCCCCTGGATTCTTTTGGAGGATCACAATACCTTCGAGCACCGGCGCAAATGGAATGTACTCCTCCGTTGCCAGTTCCGCACGATCTTTGGTCGCCAACCTCACTGGCGTCTGGTGTGTTTGGAAACCAGATATCGTTCGAGGCTTGCCCGCGTAGCCAACAACATCCAGAGCCTATGAAACAAAGAATCAATGTCTCTTTCCGGACACCAAAAAGAGCCACCAACCTGTCCAACCCGAACAGTTACCGGCTTGGGGTTGAGCTCCTCGTCGACGGTAATCAGGAACCTTGGATACATCGCAGGCACAAGGAAGTATAGCATCCAATGATACTTATCGAGGATGACTGCAAATGAGTTCAGCCTTGAATCATACCCAATCAATGACCTTACAGTGCTTTGCATCCGTGAAGGCCGTGAGAACCGCCAACAAGCCAGCAACGGCAGGACGGCTCATGATACTCTGGTCAGAGTAAAACGGGTTCAGACCAATGGTCCCCTTGCCCATATGCACCAGGCCCTGAGCGACACGGACCATGAAGAGACAATCTGGCTCTTTGTAGTAGTAGCCCGCCAATTGACGAAGCATTTGCGCTAAACGCGCGTTGTTTGTCCCTGCCCCGACGAGTCCCATAGCGAAAATGGCGTTAAGTGCAACGGCGAGATCGTTGTTGTGGCTGTACTTCGAGAGCGTATCGAGAATGGGCAGTTGAGGATTTGAAACACTGTTCAGTCCAATTGCCAGAGGGACTACTTTTCGGATAACAGGCTCGCCATAGTGCATCTACAAGACAATGAAGAAGAGCGAACACGAGTATTTCAGACATACCAAGTGGTGGAACTGCCTTAGCGCCATCTCCGCACCAATCTCCTCACCCATCGAGATCAGCGAAACGGCGAGGATGGCGAAGCTCTGGAAGGTATCATCTTGCTTTCCGGACTTCGTATCCTCTTTGTTCTCTTCTTTCGGCGTCGCCTCCGATGTTGCCGCTGTTCCGGCAGCCGGTGCTGTTGTGGCAGCAGCGTCCTCTTTCTTGTCATCCTTCTTCTCCTCTTTCTTCTCCACAATATGCTCGTCGCAGTGCTGCAGCATGGCTTGGATTTTCAGCACATTCCCCGTGCCAGCGAAGGCGCATCCCTCCACAGTAACTTGCGCGGTCTTGGCGATTGGGTGTTCTATCGCCTTTAATGTTTCGATGGTCGTGTCCAATGCGTCTTGAAGGCCTATTCAATTGAGATTGGTGCACTGATAACCGAAGAGATTAAGGCATACCAAGGTATAAGAGGCCCAAACCCAATGCCCATTTCTCATCCAGAGACACGTCGTTCTGCTCGGCCTTCTCCATCAACTTGAACACTTGAAGGATCGTTCCGGTAATTTCGCCGTTTTGGCTGGAGACAAAGATAAATCCGAGGGCGAGCGCGGCGAGACCAGCAATCTCCATGCTAACATCGTCTGATATCTGTGGAGGCAATAGCTCCAACAGGTCTTGACGATGAGCCCCTGCATATGCAAGACCGAGACCAACGGTGGCGCTAGTTTGGAGAGGAACAGACTTGTTGTCGACATACTCCCCTATTAAACCCTTCGCAACGTCAGCTTCAGTTCGAACACCGCTGCTGAGGATCCCAGTAGCCAAAAGTGCACCAGCTTTGATGTACTCCTCAGAGGAGTAGGTGTATTTATCGATATGTGAGAAACCGACTTCAGTGTCCCACAAGACTCGGAGGCTGACGCCAACTTGAAGAGATGCGGCAGCACTTAACATACCTGGAACGAGTTGAAAGAGCGATGCTTGGAGATTGCATAATGCACCGTGCTCCTTGTTCTTGTACACCCATGAATTGCCCTCTTCCGCCTCTACCATCAGCTTATCATTCCCATACCCGGCGTTGACGAATGCGTTGACGAACGAGCCAGCCAAATTACCACGCGCGGAATCGACGTTGGCAAGCGCGTTTGGCTCTGGGTTCACATCAGCAAAAACTACAGTGAAGCGAGTGAAGCATACTTGTGTTTTCCAGATGCGTCTTGTAAACTTCTTCGAGGTTCTTCGCGTTTGTAAGACCGAGTTCTTTGCCGAATTCACGCAGATGAGTAGAAAGGCGCGTGTTGCTGAGATGTTCTCGAATGTCTTTGGGAAACCCGTCCTCTATGTCGATGTTGTCGTCCGGGTTGGCGGGCAACCGCTCGATGAGTATTTGCGCTCTTGCAAGAATGAAAGCAAGTTGTCTCTCTGAGAATTTGTTCTGTCGCGCATAGATCGTGTGAGCGGTTCGAAGGAAATCATCCGGAGGTGGAAGTAAATTGACGAAACTAGACCGAGGTCAGCGCTATAAGTGAGTCGAATAGAACAGACAACAAACCTAATGAGGTATTGGCAAACGCGTGTGTATGTATTCTTGTCGACAAGAAGGATTGATTCCTCCACTATTTCCAACTCTTGAAGAAGATCGATAGTGTCCGGTCCGGCGTTATGGTCGAGAAGGAATGCGGCACACTCTTCCGCGAGAGCACGAAGGTCGTCAAGTGTGCCAGGAACTTTGGGCACTGGCAATGAGCCCTTGACTGGTTCGACTTTGTTATCTTCTTGTTCACGAATGTTGTAACCGTCACCCAGTTCAGCAGCAAGATGTCGAATGTATTCGTGCCCCCATGATCCAGGGTCGGAAAGCGGTGAGCCTGCTGGCCGCATTTCTGCTGCCAGTAAACGATAGCGAAGAGTGCCTCGCGGTTGGGTGTCTGAACAAGTCATAGCTAAGACCGATAAGATGTCTGCGAATAAAGACTGGGTAACAGCTCAGAGTCAGAACATGAAAGAAAGCACGAAATCTACCTTGTTTTCGGATGGCTCCCACATTTCGTAGAGCGTTTGAAGGCCGGGGTACAACGGGTGCAGAAACTTGAGTGGTTTCGGAACAGAAGTCATCGAGGAGGTGGATGTGCGGATGAGAGTCCTAAGAGTTTCCAGCGCCGGTTTATAGAGGTCAGCATTAGATTCCTGACTACGTTAGCCGGCGGTAGATTGGATGGAAAGACTGCACGCACCTTCAGCCGCCGCTCTGCTAGCATTTCAAGCTCATCCTTGAGCTGCTGGTCTTCAAGTTCTTCAGACTGAGTAGGAGTTAGTTTCGCGGGTCTGCAAATAATCACGACACGCACTAATTCCTCCCCTTCGGTCTCCTCATCTTTCTTCTTGTCTTTGCTAAGCTTAGACGAGCCCTCCTGCTTCAAGTTGTCCTTCTTCTCACTAGTAGTATCCTCGGATGTCACAGGAATAGCGAACTCAGTAGGATTGCTGGGCATTGCAAGGTCATCGAAAATTGTCGTGGTAAGGAGCGCCTGTTGGCGTAAAGGGGGGTGTCGACCACCGCGACTTTCGGTAACGAGTTGGTTGGAATGAGAAGAGAGTTAGGTGATGAGTCATCACAGAATCTCAGCGCAGGAACGCGAATTAACGGACTCAAGCACGGATCTTTCATTTGTATTCAGCAACTTATTGCAAGGGAGGGGTACAACTCTTTGTGGATACCGTTTTTGTAACTACATGCGCCAGATAGACTTCATAATGGGAAATTTCACTCAGCCCGAGAACATCACACAACACAATACCACCCAAATATTCTCCATAGCCGTCAGCAAAATCGATGGTGGTGCCCATGCTTCCTCGATTGCGTTGAAAGAGACTGCGGGATCCGATACAAGGCCTTCGGAAATTTGAGATACTTCGTGGTTCCCATCGTCCACCAATTCAAGTTCCTGGGGTCGACATGAGTGAGGAATCGGAATGCTGATGCTGGTGCTAACCACATGAGCCAAAGCCAACGGGCCCTGCGGCGTGTTTTTCTCGCGTCGCTGGTAGCAATGGAGCCGAGGCCCTGGGGGAAGCGAATGCAGTCTCTTCGAGCTCAATATGTGGCTCTTCTTCTTCTTCCTTCTTGAAAGACCGTTGCTCAGCCTGAGAATTGATTGCGGATACTAGTGGAATAAACGTCTCTTCGAGCTTAATGCGTGGTCCCTGAATGCTTCGTCAGTGTGGAAGTAAGATGAGTAGAATAGTACCTGTTTTCCCTCGTCTTCGTTTTCCGACTCGGTCTGGTTAGCGTCGGAGTCTTCCATTGGTTGGTCTTCTTCAAGTTGTTCGTTCTCGTCTTCGTTGTCCGGCTCGGTCTGGTTAGCGTCAGAGTCTTCAAGTTGTTCGTTCTCGTCTTCGTTGTCCGGCTCGGTCTGGTTAGCGTCAGAGTCTTCCATTGATTGGTCTTCTTCTTCGTTCTCGTCTTCGGAATCTGGGCTCATTGACGAGTGACGTGCAATCGGGACTGGGTCCCTGACAGGAATTATACTATTGGGGGGGGCTGCGTTGTTCTGGGGGCCATAAAGCTGCTCGAGTTGATGCTAGATTTGCTGTTACCCGGGAATTTGTCAGAGAGCTGTAAAATAACACGTACCGAGATTTCGAGTAAGCGCCGCCAGTCACTTTCCAGAACTTGGAGGTCGTCAGCCACTCTGTCGAGCGGTTTTTTGTTCTTCGCGTTGGGACTCAAGTTATTGCAATTTGTCAGCGCTCTGCGGACTGCACTGGGATGGCGATTCCACGGAGTCGCGAGCTGTATCTCGTCATAATGTGGTCGGAGTCTGCGATATACAGCTCGTTCGAAATGAGTTATGGGAGGTTTTCCGCGCTTGTTGATTGGCGCGACGCTTCCGGCAGTTTTTTTTTTGTTTGACTGAGCTACTGGGGAGTATCTGCGGGCAGCAGCCTGGTCGAAGACGTGAGAGGGAGTGACGACCGGGGAGTTTTCGTTGTACCTTGGAGGGGGTGTTTTTTTCAGCGCGGGGCATGCTCAAGTGTTGGTGCAGATGAAAGTTGAGTCGAAGGCGATTGATAAGCCAGCTGCAAGCAGAATCCGCAGCAGCTGGTGGCTATGATTTGAATGTGAGCATAATGGACATTTTCCAAACCAAGAAAACCTTGCGAAAATCATCGTCGGCCACTTTATCCTACTCGTAGTGCGCGAGGCCAACAGTCGAGGTGGGCAATATCAAGAGCCTGGATTGTCGCAGTGGTCGTGGTGGAAGACAAGGCGAAATGATCCATGTTACTCTTCGTCACTTCGTACTCGTCCCAATCACAAAATCACAACAGCAGAGATTTTATCTACTAGTACTTGAATATACAGCTTTCTATTTGTCTAGTATGATTATATGGCAAGATTATGGAGGAAGGGAGACGGAGTTCAGCACCCAAAACAGTTCTTTGCTCGAATGATCATTGAGCCGCAATTCTGGACTATACTCCAAGCTGGTGTAAGGCGTCAAACGACCATCTGCCTTGGCTCCATGACGCGGAATCAGCTCGATAGGCGCGCGAATGTGTCTCATATCGATGACTCCCCCGATTCTACTTTTGTCGGCTCTCAATCCTCGTCGAAGTACGAACTGACCAGTCGTCGCATCTCTCTTGTCCAATGAGAGCTGTGGAATGACATCGAATCGTTGAACATAGAGCAAGAACGGGTTAGCTTCAACGCGGTCCATATTCGGCCAGCATGGCCGCATGATTAACCGTATCTGGGCAACAGTATGGTCTAGATCTCTTCAGTAACATATTCGAGCTCAATGTCAAATGTGATGAGTAGTAGTACCTTGAAGCCTGTTGCGGAAACCGTTCCCTGGCCAAGAAGCGCCCATGGAGTTTGAAAAGAGCGCTGGGTCATACCGTCCAATTTCCCATGTTGAATCGACGGGAGGTGGCTGAGCAAATAGCAGCTGCGATGGGAGTGGTCGGTTGGTATGAGGGGTCTTCCCTTGAAAGCGAAGTGAATACCACACTTCAAGATGGGTGAACGGAAGCTCGCAATCAGCCCGGGACCGGCGTCGACCGCCAAGAAATGCGTTTTGCGTTGTGGTCCGTGTAAAGAAGTCTCCCAGAGCTGCGCGAAGGTCGTTCAATTTATACATGTTGGCCACATCTTCAATCAAGATTTTCGGCAATGTTGGTCTTCGATTGAGCAAAAAGGCGGCTGAAGGGGTAATGGTGAACCGACTTTCGGTTTGGGAATACATGAGCGGGTAGAGTTCTGCTGCCTTGAACAGGTTTCGCACTGGACGCGAGTTTTCGCCAATCAAGGATGGTCCTGCGATATTTTCAAGCTCCGATTGTGTTTCGCCTTCAGGCTGCTGTTCTTCATCATCGTCAATATCCTCCATTTCGAGCTTGAGTTGCTCGGACTTGATTCCAGTATATAACATGAAAAGTCGAAGCTTCTCCGCTCGATCGAGATGGCGCACAATCTGAGGGTCATAGTCACGATGATTCGTCTCCGTTCGAGCCGGTACCTTTATTTGGGTACTGTGAGCCTTCTCCGTGATATCAGCCGTGTACTGCATTGGAACTCCCGCCCATCGAATGCTCGGCACGATGCTTTGTAGGAATTCAAGTTTCGGTATGGCGAAATGGTCTTGTTCACGGCCACCACAATCGATAATGTGCTGTTTGTGTTTGTGGAACGTTGCTAAGCATTGCTCCATGCGGACGAGAGTTGATTCAGTGATCTGAGGTGACTGCGCTATGAACCTGAAGTCCATCAGCGCGCAAAGGGCAATCACAACCTCTCGAGGGACAGCATCTGCAATATTACAGATGAACGAGGCGTTCGAGCTCTCGATGCTCGCGTCCTCCTAGTTGTTTCAGACAGGTAACACCCTCCTTGAAATGTCGCACACCCGAACGAGGATGAATGATTGAGAGGCGGAAGTCGAATTCAGCATCACCCATGATATTGCGCCCCCACTGGAAGTCGTGATCGAAAAACGCTTTATGGACATGGTGGAGTACTTCTGGTGTCAAAAATTTCGAGGGATTCGTGGACAGAGGCCAGTTTCGCCAAAAAGGAAGGTGAACACCATTTAGTCGGTGCGGATGAGCTTTGGAGGCCTTTTGATAGTCGGATACATTGGTGGGAGCGACTCTCGCAGAGATCGAAGAGATTGCCGCCCAGGTGCTCTCTCCTGTCCTTTCTGGATGACGAAAGTTGTCGCCGAACGAGTGGTGCGAAGCCGTCGTCAAATGGGAAGTTTTTGCTTTGATGCAGGCAATATCGGCAGCTTCAGGGGTGTCGACGATATAAGAAACCAACGGCGTATGCGCATGAATCAGGGACCCATTGGATGTGGATAATATGGCCCCATCTCGAGCTGCCATCTTCAGAGGCTCGCAAACGATATCAATACAGTGGTGTAGCAATCGGCTTTCCATCACGCTCCTCAGGCTCTTCGCACAGAGAAATTTCGGAACTGGGAGGAGTGCCGTCATGAGAAAAGGCATGGCTTGATGCTTTCATTGCCACCTCGCTGCGCAAATTTGCCAGAGACAGCAAGAAGGGGTGAGCGACACGATCGCCATTCATGACAGAGATATTTGTCTTGTCGGAACTGGCAACAACTCCGAGAACACTGTGGCCAGTGGGAATAGCTTCCTGTTATATTGTCAGACTCGGACTCGGAGGAAGACCTAATCGAAGGCAACAAACCTGCATCTGCCACGCACTGTCGCTGTTTATCCACTCCTTGTGGAGCCGTTCGTTGTTTTGGAACAATTTCGTGGGGGTCAAGTCGAGACTGTCTTTGAACAGCGGGTTTCGAAGCAAGAATTGGATGCATTCGAGTGAGTTGCGGTAGAAGAGAACGATAGGTTTCTTAGTCGGAAACCCGGGGTAAGCAATGATACGAGAGTGCCATTTTGGGCCAGTAGGCAAAAGCTCGATACGTCGGCGAAGCTCCTTAGCGGTCTTGTACGAAAGGTGTGGCGCAAGATACTGGCGAATCTAAATCGGATAATGAGATAACGTTGAAGTGGATCGCGAAAGATATACGATTTTGAGTCCAAAAAACTGGTTAATCTCCTTCATGGTTAGGCTTGAGTGAGCAAGAAAGTCCGAGAGCTCCCACTCCTGTTCTCCAACAAACGGATAGAAGAGATTATCCGTTCGTAGACCACTGAATTGGTCTTCCTCGACCCAGTCCAAAAAACTCTTTCCACCCTCAGCCGTTTGTGCTGCTCCAGTATATGAGTGCTGATAATGGTGTATCGACTGTTGTGCCATTGGTTGAACAGATTCGCTGGTGCTTGCTAGCGAGATATCTTCAAGTTGAACCTGGGCCGACTCGGAAATCGATGCTTTGACTGGACGGGGCATAACCGTCTCATCTGAGGTTGCGGCTTTGCCGAAGGATTCTTCGAACTGAGCAATATAGATGTCTGCGTCAGGCCCACCGGCAGAAATTGCGGCTGTAGCTTCGCGAGACCACGAAACGCATGAGGATCGCGGATTGTTGAGGTGTTGGAGAACTTTGGTTTTCGTGTTGAATTTGCGACGGCAGCGTGGACCAGGGCATTTGTACGTCGTTAGGTGTCGGTATTCCCGATTATAAGAGAAGCATGATGGCATGAATACCACCAGTTGCAGTGAGGAACAAGTCGTAGTAAGCACGTGCTTCATCGTGACTTACTCTTGGACTTGACGACCATGTCGATCCAATTTCTTCCACCCTCTCTGCATTCTCTTCATACTACTCATTCTCAATCCCATCTTACTGTGTTCTCGGCACCAAGCATGAAAGATAGTGAGCTGGAAGACCAGGCTACACCTTCGGACCATGTCGTGCGTGTCTTCAAGTTGCCTGACTCCTCAAGGTCTCACTTGAACATCACAGATTCTTCCTAGTCTGTTTCGCAAGACAGTATTTGCCGTACCCGAAACACCGGCCACCGCGGAGCTCTTCCTGCACACTCTCCGCACCCACAAGAATGTTTGCTCTCTCGAGCTTAACGCTGTGTCGATGAAACATCACGAAGCGACCTTATATCGACAAGTGCTCCAACAAATTGCTCAGCAATCAGAGAACATCAGGAAAAAAAAGAACCACAATATATTGCTATATCTACAATATAGCTGTTGTAGCAAAATTGCATAGTCCCCCCAAATGTAGCTAGGTGGCGGTACTTTATAGTACAATATTGCACCTGTAGCTAAGTGGGCAACAATATAGCTAGGTGGTAGCTACAGAATAAAGGGAATTTATGAATGAAAAGATGACAGCCTCCAATGCTTCCTATCCCAGGTTTACAGTTATTTCTGAAGGATAGGAAGTACTAGGAAGGCTTTAGAATAATCCAGATAATTGTTTGTAAAAAATGCCACTTATGGGAGTTGAACCATCAACCACATCAAAGTGAGACAAGAATTCATAGTCAAACCATTAGACTAAGCAAGAGTAACCAAGTGCAAAGTTCATAGGCCTATATCATACTACTAGCTGATATATTATAAATAGTCCTAGTGTTCTTAAAATATTCTACTGTACTGTTTACTTCTTGTAGATCAAGTGAATGATATTAGAGTATCTGGTCCACATATTTTGTATTGTCTTTCATCCTATCAGTGAAGAGTATACTTGGAATACTCACTTATGAGGCATTTAACCTTGAGTAACAAAGTCCAGAATATTATAACAGCTGTTTACTGAGGTTCATAGCTTTATTCTCAAGGAAATTTAAATATATGCATTGTACAATATATGACTATAAAGCTTGGGGGTGGACTATAAAGACTACGGAGATAACCCATCTGCTACACACACTACAAACCTTGGTATTTAGCATCATGGTAATTCCCTGGTACTACTAGTACCAGTAACATAGCTACAACATATGGTGAATATTTTGATAGTTTTCTGCACAAATATAGATGCTACATAGTGCTACAGTATGTGTCAAGCTGTATACAAAGTGCTATATTTGCGCTACAAATTTAACTGAGATGCTACATTGACTATATTGTGCTACAGAACTCCCCCCCTTAGCTACAGTGGGTTTTGCTTTTTCCTGATGAAGAAGCTGCAGGAGGTGCAAGAGAGACTCGGACTATCCCAGGATTCGAATCCTTCAGACTCTGAGTCCGAGTCGGATGAAATGGTGTGTCGCATTTGGCTGATGAATGCGAAAATCATCTCTTCTCTAGCTGCCGTCGAGCGAAATGTCCGTAGAGCAATTGAAGGTCCTTGCATTGCATAAAGATAAGGAAGCCTGTGCATTGGAGCTCTGCGCGACGCTTGCAAAACTCCACGAAACGAATCTATACTGTGAATTACTGTCGAGGTCGATCGAAGAGGCCACCATCGAGCTCGAAGTGGCGACAGAGAACATTAGCATGGCACGAGGTATTGTTCGCAGCAGAGGAATGAGCGCTTTAATTTGGGAACGATGTGAGACGTGCAAGGAGATGTTTCATTTCGGTGGTTAGTATAGACTTTCTTTTTCTCCCCTTAAGCCTGTATGTAAACCAGTGTAGCAAGCCCTAATGGCTTGTCAATTTATGTCTGCTATTCGCACAACCAAGTTGGAAATCAGTGAAAACTTAGATCTATTGTGACTTCTTGTCCAAGGAAGTGAGGCAGAATGAATCAAATTTGGTGGTAGTTAGATGTGGTAAAGATTCAAGTTGTATGCATTATCACCCGTTCGAGTTGGCGTACCCGCGACTCCTCCCTCGTCAGCTCTTTCCGAAACTTCCTCGCCGCCTTCAAGTGGGCTCTGGCCTGCCGCCCCGCCAATTGTAGATCCTCCGCCAAAAACTTCCTTTTCCTTCTCAAGCACGCGGATACACGCCTTGAGGTACTCGTTCTCGGCATTGAGCTGTTTATTGTTGTCGGTGAATTGCTTGTTCACACCCAAGAGTCGTTTGATAGAGCGAGCATACTGGCTGTTTTCGTAGATGAAGCTGGCACTGTTCATGTGTGAGTAAGAATGAATAGAATGGAGTACCTTACGACTCACCGGGTGAATGAAAAGAGACTAGGGAGAGGCTTATCGTTGTTCGGCGCTCCGACAGGCTCCGAATCGTCGGAGACAGCTTGGGAGCCGTATATGGGGGCTGTCGAGCGAATGAATGGGTGTGGGAAAGTTGACGCACACGCTGGCAGAGACCAGGCTTTCAGCTGGGGGGAGGTCGTTGTCTGAGTCTGAGCCGACATCGAACACGCCGAGCGGAGTGCTGGCTTGATTGATCGAGGTATAATGCTCGTTCTCGGAGTCGCGCGCATTCTCCTTGGCGTTCTCGTCGCGGGCCGCCGCATGGTTTTCAGGTTGCTTGTTTGTTACAGTGGCAAGTTTGCAAAGGTGACGGCGGATGAAAATACGCTCAGCAAGTCCCCGCTGCGATTGAGCATAGTCGGCATCGGAGGATGGAGCATCGGGTGAGCCAATTAAGAGGTTGATGCCTCCGTCGCTGGCATAGGCCATTTCGAAAAGCACGGCGCGTCTGGGCGTCCATAAGCGTGGTTGAGGCAGTGGGCAGCGGGGTGGTCGTGGTGGGGACTTGAAAGAGGACGACCAGTGTGACGTCGAGACCACGTCTCGCAACGAGCGTGATAATACCCTGGCATGGGTGGAGCGACGCATAGTGGGCCAGAGGTGGGGAGAAAGCCATAGTCGATTTAGTTTTCGCTTAGATGGCCTTAGGCCAACCATAGAAGTGATGTGATCGGTCACGGGAAACGTCCACTTACTCTGGAACTACCTGCTACTACATCCGACTACAATTCTACAGCCGCATGCAGGTTTCCTGATGGGGGCACAATGAAGTCTACAGCTCTCCCGCCTTCATGACGCCCCACGTGATGAGGTCGCGGGTTCGAACCTCACCTATTTTATTTATTTATTTCATTTTCATTGGCTCTCGGCGCAGCATGGGGGGCTACCCTGTCCAACCAACGTCGTATTACTTTGTGTAGTGGTACACATGTAGACACGTGAGCTTGGTTCTCGTGAGGCTCTGCGTTCGAGTCCTTGCCTTTTATCTTTTTCCATGCTCCGACACCATCACGTGCACATCATAGCGCGACCTGTCACACTCCCGTTACACTTGTTTATTCTACGCGACATGGACTCCTCAGACACCGAGAACATTCCCCCAGCCCTGTCACGCTGTACAGGGACAAACTGCTCATATACTCCAGAGCCAGGCAGGCAGAAATGTGCCCGGTGTCTAGAGCAAAACCGACAGGCAGCAAAGAAGCGCCGGGAACTTGCGAAGAAGCAGAAGAAGGGCGATGGCCCGTCACCGCGGAAGAAGCTGAAGGCCGACGGCCCGCAAGCTGGCACTGCCCACATCCACGTGCATGAGTCTGACTCCGAGTCAGAGCCCGAGGACATGGACTCAGCAACGGAAGGAGACCTGACGAGCTACGAGGTACTATACTGACATTCTAGCCTTAAAGAAGACTGATGTAAAGATACAGGAGTTTGGAACTCTACAAGCCTTGTTCTCAGGCCTTCGACAACGCGTCAAAGAAGTTCCCGCGACCTTCATTTCAAGGCAAAGGTGTCACTCACTGAAGATGCCGAATCAGACCCCCGTGAACGTGTCAAGGCAGCGGCAATGGATGCTTGGAAAGCATCAGGCTTCCGTTTTACGTGCGTCCCCACGTCTTGTTAAGATCTTCACTCACAGTCGGACAGTGTCCATCGACATAAGCAATTGAAAACTGGCCACTCAACAATCTACTGGTGTTCACAAGATCGAGGACGGAAGAAACAGTCGAAGCCAACAACCAAACCAGATGCCAAGCATCGCGAAACCCCTGTGATGAACAGATACCCTTGCAAAAGTCGGCTCGCAATTGCATGCCATCGCGGCGGGAACGCAGACGGCCGGCTCAATCTATACATCAACTTCAAGCATGCCATCCGACACATGGCTTACCGTGATACTTCAATGCCAGCTGACGCCATCGAGTTCATTCACAACACCCAGGATGGTGTATCACCATCTGATCTCGCCGACACGGTGACCGAGCTCTTCAAAAATGTGTCGCGCGCGCAAGCGCTGAACATCTGGCGCGAGAAGATGGAGAAGTACTACAAGAGAGACGACAATCAACTCAAATCGGCGGCCATATTACTGCGAGAATTCGGCGACGACGTCGATATTTTTGAGCTAGTAGGAGTTCCGGCGGATGTCGAGGTTCTGGCGTGGGGAATGAAGAAGATTGCCGGGCCTCTGCGCGGAATTGTCGAGGAGACGGCAATGGATGCAACATGTATGTGTATCAATTCAACTGCACCAACTATTGATAATTTGTAGATAACACAAATTCTCGAAATCTCGAGTTGTATGCCATTATGGGCGAGCTGGACAATGCACCCGTAGGTGTAAGATTTAGGCTAGGGTCTAGGAATAGCTAGAATAGCGGTAGCCTAAAACTCTAGGAAGACTTTTCCCAGCCAAGAAAGGCTTTAGAAATGGGTTAATAATACATCAAATTGATAGATTTGATGCTAAAAATACTATATATAGTAATGCTAACTCCTTTTCTTCAGGCCGATGACCCGGTATATAGTGGGGAAGGCCTGTGTTCAGGATTATCCTAATTGGGACCAAAATGATATAGCTTGACACAGTGATCAAAACTACTGATGGCCATCAAAAATCGTTCCACATCAATAATACATATGAAGGATCACAATCCCCATCAAAATTAAAGCAATATAAAGGCAGAAAATAAATAAATAAAGAATAATATCATAGTAATTACACTGCTAAAACATAGGGACTAGGAATACCTAGATTTCTAGGCTACCGCTATTCTAGCTATTCCTAGAGCTTTTTAGCCTAAATATTACCACTACGGCTCGACAATGCCGGCTTTCCGTTGGCTTACTGTCTGATGTCAACGGCGACGTCAATCAGTCCAGACAAGCGCAAGAAAACTGGGGGAACTGGTACAGGAAAGGGCGATGGGAGCTATGGGTCCGTTCCGCGCATCCCACCATTCCACGACTCCGAACGACTATGATCTGCGAGAGCCAGTCAGTGTATTTCTCGTTAAGTTCTGCATGATACTGACATTTTTATAGCTGGCGCAAATTGAAGCAGGATTACCTTCACGAATATCATTCTCCCCGACTTGATTTACTGGTGTGGATCATCTTGACGAAGCTGTGCAAGACATACACCACAAAACTCACCAAATTCCTCACCCCTAGCTGCCGGACACGCATGTCCGAGCTTTCGTCATGGCGCGACACCTTCCGCAAGACATGGCGAAGCCTCGAGAAACGCGACATCTCCGACCGAGTCCATGACACCTACCGGCCCGACGTCACCCGCTGGGTGTGCTCATGCCCAGCATTTCTCGTCAGCCGGTTCCTTCTCTGCAAACACCTTGTCCAACGCGTTCAAGTGGTACCGGCCACATTTTTCCGCGAGGTTAAGCGGCGCCATACGGTACCATTCTGGCAACACCCGGCCTTGATTCCCTTGCACGACGGCAACGATGGGCCTGCTCTCCAGGCTCCCGGCGCCAATCTTCCGCAAGATCTTGACGTTCCAGAAGACGAGGACGAGGATGATGATCAAGAGCCGTCGGTCTACATCGAGACGGCAGCCGATAGGGAGTTTGACGCGTCAGCGGCAACTTTCGAGGCCGAGTTTGACAGAGAAATTCAGCGGATGGAAGAGTTCTTGGCAGGCCTGAAGTACCAGAAGCAATTCCGGGACCGCCGTATGCTAGATACGCTGCAAAAGAAGGGCAGTGGCTTCTTTCGATTGGCACAGGCTTGTCTTGTCAAAGAGAGAAAGGCCCAGAGTACATCTGGACAAGCAGCGCAGACATGGGACCCTCAGCTAGCGGACGCGATGTATTATCGGCCTCGACCACGCGTCGCAGAGCGCGATACGTAGTTCATTCACAAAATACATGTATTTGTCGCACAATAATATCTACCGCCGGCCGGGCTCGAACGGGGCCCCGGGCCGGCGCATCACGTGGGGCGTCATGAAGGCGGGAGAGCTGACGGTGTCGGGCACGATCCACGTCAGCTTCGTCGGCCGGTCACTGGCAGTGCGGCCCGTGAAGAAGCAGCGCCCTCCATCCCTCGCCTCGACTTCGCGCCTGATTCCGTCCGTCAGCAGGGCATTGTTCTTGGGCTGATTAGCGGAATCGCCTACGACTCGTGGCCAAGGAGCCGCACCTTATAGCTGGGGAACGATTCCGGCGCGGAGGGCGGCTTGTCCCGCGTTGCATCACCTCTGAAGGGCTCATCCAACTCCTCGAAAAAATCGCTGAACGCGAGCATCCCCGGGGTGCTGTTCTCGCCCACGAAACCCGTGTACAGCCGCAGCCCCTCCGCCACCGTCGGGCCTAGCCCCAGTCAGCAACTGCAAATCAATTCTGTCAAGCTCACGCGGGAAAAACGGCGCATATGCGCCCGGGCGCAGCACGGCGTCGGAGTCCCGGAGGACCGGCGGGCCGGCGTTGCCCGTGTAGATGTAGCGCGCGATGTCGATCAGGACGACCTCGACTGGGCGGAGCTCGAACGTCTGCGAGCCACTGGGCACCGCCAGCGCGATGTCCAGCCAGCGGTAGAACGTCTGCGCCGTCATCCCGAGATGACGCTTGAGGTTCCAACCTGAAGAAAAATGATTTTAATGAGACGATGGGGAGGGCTGTGGCGCGTACCGCCGGCCATAAAGAGCGCAGGGAAGCTGTAGAAGTTGAAGTAGAAAAAGTCCCACCCGAGCTTGGCGGCGCGCTGAGAGATGAGGAACTTGTGTCCACTTGGGCTATGAAAATAGCATCCTGAGGCCAACGCAGATACTGGAGCTGTAGGTACTCACAAGGGTTGTTCAGCCTCAGGCTGTTCAGGTTCATCTTGTGCGGACATACTGGTTTCAGCTGAAAGTAGCTAGCCTCATGTCCCACGTCTGGCCTTTGAAGAAACAAGCCACGCTCCAACGGCGTTCGCTGCCATCAACGTTGCGGTTAGAGATACTTCTACCGACTTCAAGTTTCGCTAATAAGCCTACTGCCTCCTCTAGTAATTCTAAACCTGTTGCGCTCTCCTCGTATGCCGATATCGCTCTGGGCGGACCGGCTCCGGGTCTACAGGGAACACCACGCGGCTCGGCGCGGTCCAGCGAGGATAGATCCGCTTCCACAGCCGCACGACCTCGTCGCCAATGTCCCTCTCGATGCCCTCACCCGCCTTCCAGCGCTCGTCGCTGAAATCACCATCCTCCGCCAGCTCCACCATCAGCTCATCGATGATCGTCTCCGAGTAGTCGCCTCTGATGTCGCCGCCCTCGAAATGCACCCGCAGCGTCCACATAAAATGGTGACGCAGGAACTCGGCGGCGAGCGCGGGCGCGGTTGCCGGGGTGCATACCGTGTTGGACTGGACAAGCGAAATGAGCCGCGCGTTGACTTCGGGATCAGGAGACAAGACGGCAAACACCACGGTCCGATAAGCCTCGTTCTATTAGGACGTTTAGCGGTCTTCTTGTCGGCAGTCAACCAATGGCTGTATGCACTCACATCGTAATCGACGCTGAGCGCGTTCCTGCGGAACGCGTCGACCAGCTCGGACGAGATTGTGATAACATTGTCGACGGACTGGATTCATTATGAATAATGAGAGGCTCAAAGAATGAAAGCACATGCCTCTCCAGTGACCTGGTTCGCAGGGATGACGATAACCTGCACCGTAAGAACATCCGTTCGGCCAGTAAAGAAGCATCGGTTGTTGTCGCGTTGCTTAACCTGCTCTGCGATGGGAGCAGAAATATGCATCTTCAAGTGTGTTGAATAAGACTGCCCGAGAGACAAGAAAAATGTCGGGGGGACGCACATATTCTGTAGCGAGAGCCTCGATCTGTTCTCGGGAGAGTTTTCCATACTTATTCTCCAGAATATCTTGCAAAGACCTGACTGCTCGCATATCCGCCTTGGCCCCAAACCAGTACACCTTGTCCGAGCCTGAGAAGTGAAATGAGGCCTCGTATATGCGCCGTTAATGAAGATACATACCCGGATAGAACGCGGCATATACGCCTGGGGGCATCGCACCCTCGGCGTCGCGTGCGATGGCCGGCCCAAGGGCCGCGCGGTCGTTCAAGCCGTAATGGAGGGGGTAACGCTCCTGCACTTGGAATACTCGCAGCTCGAAATCGTACGGCCCCTCGGGGAAAGCCCTTCTAGCCAGGATTAAGTCTAGCCAGCGATAAAACGTCCGAATTGTCATTCTTGGGTGTCGGTCGAGGTTCCAGCCTGCGTAAAAAGATGCTGAGCACCAGCGCCGTGGCAGTGGGACGGCGCACCCCCAAACATGTAGACGCTGTAGTTATCTGGATCGACGGAAAAGAGGAACATATTTCGCCGGTCCGTCGTCGACTTCTTCGACAGCTTGAACACGTAGCTACCCACTTGTTTTAGTGGCATAGCTTATGAGCCTGAGCACTATTGAAAAACCTACTTCTCACTCTGAGACATCGTCACTTGGAGATGAGGGGGACGACAAGCTTGCTTCCAAGTTGGCGCGTGTAGCCTGACTGTGGGAGTTGTCAATCATGCCGGTCATGCAGTCGCGTCACGGAGTCACATACATTGAATTTGACCTGGATGTTACCCCTCCTTTCTTATTATTTCGTTCGATTATAGTTATGTGAATAAATGAACTGCAGTGGACGTGCCCTAGCTCGATTTGCTAGCTGCCCAAATCAAACGGCGCAAAGGTTCGTTATTGCATGCATGCGCAAACATAATACATTGCGCATTCCACGGTCTACACAGTGAACACACTGTGGCACCGACTTTCAGACAGGCTCACGAACGCGGCTCAAACCAGGTCAGACCGTGACGCACAGATCGAGTTGTCGCCCACTGCCCGCCTCGGCTGTACCGTCCGGCGTCCGAGCAACACCAAGCCCGCGTGCGGGAAACGAGAGCGGGGGTGACAATAGCGAGCGATTATCTCCCTCCAGCCTTGTGTGGATTGCAGCATGGCAAACATGATTAATATTGTTGGCAGTTGCTACACTAGCGCCGCAAGCGCTTACTTACACAGTATAGACTGGCGTATCCAGGTTCATCATCCTCATCCTACTCCGTTGCATATCTCCGCTCTCGTTCATCTCTCAGCTCTGGTTCCGTTGGACAGGTAAGCTTCCAGTAGACATCCAATACTTCGTGACCAATGTCACTGTGCCATTTCGGATGGGTCAGCTCGGCGTAACCGTCCTGAAGCTCCTCTATCAAGTCGTTGGAATCGTACTCTGGATTGCTATAATCTTCTTTGACTTCGCCTGCGGGGAAGAATATAGCCAATGTATATGTGAAACCGTACTTCCAGTAGTCCGTTGTCGAGGGGGAAGGCAGAGTGGGTAGATGCGAGGGCAACGTGGGCAAACCGCTCGGGGAGGTCCTCGAAGGTGATGATGCGGGCGTTATCCTGTGGAGATCGCGTCAGCGAGAGAACTGCATAGTATGTCAATGACAGGTACCTCGACGTCGACAGCAAACAGGTTGCGCATGAAGGGATCAGCCAAAGCTGAGCAAATCGTGATGAGATTGTCGATAACCTTGTACTTGTCGAAGGCCGTTGGATCCGACTGAGTAAAAACATCAGTATGGTGGTGCGTGAATAGAGCGGTAACATATACATGGTCGCGATTGAATGTTGCGAGCGGGGGGAGAATCCAAACGCATTGTGTTGGGAGATCGGTCCGACCTGTAATAAAGCATCGTCCCTTGTCCCTGGCGCCCGCGAGAACTCTCAAGTCCATTGGGATGTCATTCTGGAATAGTATCTCAGTCGTCTGGGAGAATCAAAAGATAGTATTTCCAAACCTCCCCCTTATAATGACCGTGACTCCTTTGGACGAGCAGCACTTCTTGATCTTTGAACGAGGGGTGAAAACGTACTGGGCTACAGAAATACCGGGTGAATGGTGTTCCGTCTTAGCAATAGATATCCGAGTCAGCCTTTCTTCTGAGCGTGTGGGTTGGTACCCACCAGCGGAAAAAATTCCATATATGCCAGGTTCAATCAGTTGAAGAGAGTCCCGAGGAATTGGGGGACCTTCGATCTCTTCGACAGCGTAGAACAATACATCGACGGTCCGTAGCCTTATTTTCCGTAGGACGACTGCGTCATTGATCCCTTGTTGGTAATTTATGATCTCATCGCAGAGATAAAGCCATCGATAGAAAGTCTTTGCGGTGAGATGTATTCGGTTTAGATTGAAGCCTAAATAAATTTTGAGAACGGAGCATCACTAAGGACTGGCAGCGTCCTCACCACCGGCCATTCTGGCTTGTGGAAAACAGGAGAGCGAGAAGACATGCATATTTCGGCCTTGGTCAGCAGCTCTCTGGGACATAAGAAAGCTGATAGATGTGTCAGTTTGAAGAGGATTTCAATGTGCCACACCATACGAGCGGGAAGAGTCGAACGACATGGCTGAAGAGAAAAAGGTTTGCTCGGCCGAGTCACACTTCCTTCACGCATCTTCTATGATTTCTCAGCGATCAACATCACCCTGACTCATAGTCTCACGTATGTTTGTGGGTCTTGATTTCATTCGATGAACGGTGACTCGGCGAAGCGATCCTTTCTTGCAGGACGGCCTGAGGCTCTAGATTAAGTAGAGGCTTTTCTGCCGCATGATTCGTCGTATTATTATACATAATTACAATGACTCAGATTATCATTTACGCGTGAGGCCCAGGTATTGTTGAAACCACACACACGCGCACACACACACAAACCTGCGACCGTGTGAGCCCAAGGGATGGACGTGAGAAGCAGCCCGGCAGCGTATAAAAGCGAGGAGTCAGGCTCTGAATCATGAGTTGAGGGTTCCACTGCATGGCCTCCTACCCGCCGCCCCACCCAGCCCAATACCACAATGTTGACCAAAGAAACATTCATATATGGGGCAGTGAGCTAACTGTCTACGGATTCATTCCTCTCGTGGGAGGTAAAAACAAGTCTTCAAGTTCAGGCCCCGCTAACGAAACTGACACGGTCTCCAGGATGCCACACTTGGGAGCGCAGTCAAGCAGTGAACCAGCAGCCTCTCTCTAACTCAGATCTCTACGTGTTTATTGATATCGCGGCTTCCCGGGACCGTAGGCCGACTTTCTTACCATTGCTGACTCTACCGCTCACAACTTGGAGGTTTTCATGTCGATGAGACACCGATGCTGATTTTTGTGCCGCCCCATGGTGTTCTGGGCCCGAATACTCTTTTGGGGGGATCTTCCCATCGACCAATTCCGCAACATTGTGCGATTCATAGAGCAGAACCAAAGGAACGTCGCTCCTCAGGTCCTTAAACGTGACGACGTTAGTGCCGCCCTACCAGGGCAGTACCTATTTTTCCTGCAGACCCGGAACGGACTGTCTAGGGCATTTTCTCCTTCTCTGCGACACAGCCAGATTATCTCCCGATCAATGACCCGATCCGCAAGTCCGAGTCCGTCTGCAACATTGACAGTGCCCGGGACACCAGCGGCCGGGGATAGACGAGTAAGCACCGTTAGTCTTTTACTTAGTTCCTGGTGTCTTACGGCGGCGTTTCATCTTTAGGACACTGGGCTTCGCAAAATAGTCCGACAACGTGACTTTTGCTGTCGGGCGTCTGGCACTATCGTTCCTACCCGAGGAAGGGGTCCCAACTATCAAGGGTTCAATATGTGCCATGTATTCCCTTTTGGTCTTCGAAATCAGGTAGGTCGAGTTTTTACTTCTCCGAGCCGCTATCGCATTTCTCAAGACGAGCCCCTCAGGTTTTGGATATCATCGATAATAACGATCCTGCGATTCCCCTGTTGTCGGGGCCGCATGGCACCGAGGTAGCCCAGAATGCACTACTATTCAGAACCGACCTGCACGATTTCTTTGACAACTATCAGTTCAGCTTCAATGGCGCAACTCTCAAGATATACACATTCGAACGTGATGGAGCACCTACATTGGGAACCGTTGGGCTTCCGATGTTCCCGCCGTTACCTGAAGCTCCCGGTGGCGTTGTTAACGGTCTTCGAAACCAGCAGCGACGGCCCAATGGTGGCGCTACCGATGTTCACCGTCATCTTCTGCGTCAGCACTTCGAGACAGCTGTCCTTTGGCATTTTACTGGATATGGGCGAGCTCGGGGCCAATGAATATATGCAATACTTATGCCGATTAGTTACAATGAATGATGAAAACCAGCTGCATCTGATAACTTTCTGGGGATATGACACAAAATATAGTGATTGATTTTGAAAGGTAGAGTACCTATTGTAGTCGAGGGATTATGTATGGTGCAAGGTGTGTCGACAACGAATTTCAAGAATATGTACGTATTATGTAGCCTTGACTTTCTCCCCACTCGCCTGCCTGACGACCTCCGCCTCTGCCTTGATGCCTTCTGCCTCGACTTCTGCAAGAAGTTGCTGCTCAACCCTGTCGCGCTCTGCCTTGCCCTTGCCCTTCATGTCGCGCATCTTCTTCCTGTACGCGCGGTAGCTCGAGTCCGTGCCAAACATCCTGTCCCACCACCGGAACGACGTGCTGAAGTTGTTGGTAAAGGCCATATGGTGGAAGTCGTGGTGGTCAGCGCCGCTCCAGAAGGGGATAATGTGTTGCAGGGACCACGGGAAGTCGTAGCCGCTGTGCGCGTCAATAGCTTGAAAGAGGCGCAGCGTGATCCAGACGTAGACCGTGGCGATGTGGAGGACATGCGGTCGGTAGGCAGCGAAGAGAATTGGTCCGAGAATGGTGCCGGTTCCGAGGATAGCTACTTCGGCGGGGTGGGCATATTCTGCGGCGAGGCCAAATGGTGCAGAGTATTTGTGGTGGAGTTTGTGGATGTGTTTGTAGAGAGGGCCGTAGTGGAGAGCCTTATGGGCGAAGTAATGGAACATATCTTCGAAGAAGAAGAACCAGGCAAGTTGTGGGAGCATGTCGCGCAAGGTCGGTAGAGGGACTTCGTAGGTACGCATACCGAACAACTCGGCCATCGGGTGGAAAAACCATATCTATTGAAACGCGTCAGTATAAGGGAAAAAGTCGAAGAGACGACGCACAACTGGTAATTCGACCATGAAATGTGAGAAGAGCACTTGCTTAGTGCATTCCCATTGTTCCTTCGGCGTGTGTATTTTGTTGGGTTGCAGCTTCCACCGCCGGAAGTAGGGAATAGCGTCGACAATGATCCAGGGAATGCATCGTCCAAAGTACACAATCTCCACCAGGGTATCAGCAATGATGAGGTAGAGTTGAACTATTGAAGCACACCTCATGAAGCAAAAAGCTCGCAAGCCCAGTGGCGAGGACGGGGTTGCCAATGTAAATGTACCACGCCGCCCACCTTTGCTCCATCCATGAGAGCGAGGTGAGGTCCGTCGAGTCGTAGATGGAGGTCGTCGCGTTCCCAACGAACGACGCAGTCATCTTGGTAGTGTGAGGGGTGAGTGTGAGGGGGAGGGAGTGAAAAGACGACACCCGTGGACGCGCCGAATATAAGGTCACCACACATCGTGCGATGCTTAGGTAATAAAATTGTTTTCTGACCTGACCGGCGTTGCCGTGTTGAATCTCGACTCCGGGTCGTCGGCCGAGTTTCCATCGAGGCCGACCGATTCTAATAAAGGACTCTGGGCCAGCTACTACCCAGTGTTCAACATCGTACCATCCGATTTCAGGCCGTCAACCCACTGACATAATTTTCTTGCACTGTTCAAGTTAGCGTCTCTGCACAACTATCGACTCGCGCTGTGGCACAATGATACGCGTAGTCTCTCCGCCGTTGAATGCAGACTTGCCATGGTCGAACTAAACAACCAACTAGAATGATGCAAACTCAATCGGAACAGAACTGAATCACCTCACAATTGTTTTCTCCTGGGCTACACCTTCTACACCTTCTCGTCATGACATAGAATTTTCTCAGATATCCCACCAGCCGTTCGCCGCACACAGGCTTGGGGATCTTGCTAAGCACTTTATGCTCAACAGCCAACTTGGAGAACGACTTTCTTCATCGGTCAACGTTAACCTCAAACCCGCCGCACCCAGTGACCCAAGGCAACTTGAACATCTTGAAAATGGCAATGGATCAAATTTCTCTTTCATTGACATTGACAGGAAAGCCTGAAATAGCTTTGAATTGCCGAATTCATAAGCTCTGTGCTGGTCGATTAGCATTTCCTGCCTCGGGGAAACCACGCGCCGTTCGGAAGAATCGGAACGACTCGCTGATGCACGCCTCTAACACGACTTGAACACTACAGTCATTCAAGCTTCCTATGTCGATTCCCCCAAGTTCATGCCAGTGTCCTAACGACGACATGCCTCAGTTCTTGATTTCAAAGAGAGCGATCGAACAGGGCAGAAATATGCATATCTTCTCAAGCCGCCCTATGGTCGAGAGCTTCAAACAAGCTCGGTTGGTTGGTGGTGAGATTTCTCATTTGTTACCCTTGGGTGAAAGAACATTTAGCGAGTGAATAGGTCTCAACCTATCGCGTGTTCGACATCTTACCGCCGCCATGTTTTACCGCTGGCTCGACCTGTGCCACGCGAGACTGGAGGATCGAGAACTGCACGCCAGGGTCGTCTTGCGTCCAGTACAAATAGGCACAAGTAGCTTCAATGTTATGTCCTGTTATCTCCGGAAAGTGGAAGGCGCTCCAATTCCTCGAGACTCTCTGGCTTTGCTTCAGCCAGGTGTCTATGGCGTTTTTCTACTCGGTACGCCAAACTTCACAGACTCAGTGCGATCTCACATGTTACATTTAAACTTGAATTCAGATGAAACTCCTTACGAGGGCGACGTTCTCAGCCCAAGAAGGTTTTATGAGCCATTTGCAGAACAGGCGAAATCACTACAGACAATTTTTCCAGAATACGGAACGGCGAGTTATCCCTTGACTGTCTCTTGCTCACTCACTTGATATCGCATATAGAATAATACCCCAACGCGCCTCTCAGACCTTGTCAAAGCCCGCGACCAAGGGCGATGTAGCATCACTGGTCAGACTGGTCACCCAACGCAAATCGTTTGGATTTACCCGCCACTCGCTTCATTTGTAGTCGATAGGGTAGGGTTCAAATTGTGGCCTCACCGCTTCATAGTATCAATTTGACTTTACTACTTAGCTTGACGATGCTATCTTTGACAAGTTCAGACTCGTGGACAATCTTATCACTATTTGCTCGTCCCTTGCTGAGCCGTTCCAGCGTAACGCGTTCAGTGTAGACATGGAGGTCAGATTGAATGATTACCTGCACCAAGTTAACTAACCCGAGTCAAGGACGGTGGACGAATCATTAAATTTGTTGACCTGCCTGATGAGTCCCCCGTGTTACCACTTTATCTTCCAGCCCCGCGACCATCTGCGGTACGGTTCTGGGACCTAAATTTCAAATATACGCTGGCGGTCTTCCTCCCTGCTGGCGACCCAGCTACGACCGGAGATTATGACGATTACGTGGCATGGATGGAAGAGCTCTCACAAAGCCAAGCTAACTTGAGAAATCCGAAATGGCAGACTGCGCTTGGGCGACAAGTGCTAGAGGCTTACATGATGAGAGAGTTAGCAGGTGTATACCAATGACACAGATGAGAGTGACGTCGAAGAAGAAGAGGACGACAGAGGCCAAGATTGAGGCTCTCATTCGGACTCTAGCATCATTTACATTTGAAGCCTCAATGCTGTTGTTAACTTGTTCTTTGCAATTGTGTTTCGATTGAAATGTCCCTGCTGAACCGGGTTTCAAAAGACACAACTTTGATATTCGAATACAGTACTAGCTCTCGGTCAGAAAGTTGCAGTCAGTGCGAAGATTCCGACATGAGCCAGTCTAGTAACTAATTGTGATGGATGCTGAAGTAGATCCCTGTGTCCCAACATTAACACTAATACCATCTGTATTATCGTTCAAGGTCCCCCAGACGATATCAGGGAATTGCCCGGTCGAAAGCTCGAGATTGATGCCAGAGAAAGTCGTTGATCCTGAAGGGTAATTTCCGCTTTGTGTTATACCATACGCCTCAAGAGCGACAGTGGCGAGACGCAGCTGGTCGACGTCATCGATGCGTAGCTCGGTCGCGGGTTGGTTGGTGAAAGAGGAGAGGTACGAGAATCGCGTGTTGTCGGAGTTTGCGCCGACAAGCTGGACTTGCCCTTGGATCGACTGGCCCGGGGAGACGCCGATGAGGGTTGTAAAAAAGGTTCCCCCAGGAGATACGAACCATGACGCGATATTCCAAGAATTTCCACCTCCTGCAGCGCTTTGGCCCCACTAACGACAGGGAAAAAAATAAATCTCGCCGAAGATACTAGTAGTAAATGGGAAAACGCACTTGCAAGACTGGCTGCATGATAACTCCATCGCTGACAGGTTGAATCGCATTGAATAGGAAAATAGACTGGCTGTTGACAACAGATGGGGGCGGCGGGACGGTCCATGTCGTCTTGAAAGAGCCAATTGCGGCACCAGCGTTGAAGAAGTATGCATATGCAATCCACCCGCTTGCTGCCGGGACGACGGCGTCTGAGGTTGGCGTGACGGTTGGGTCGATGTTAACCACTTTGACAATGGTGTGGGTTGCGTCCAAGATGTGGATTGTGGAGTTGGATATGTGCCTAATACTGCCTCCCAAAGGCACCTCGTGCACCGTAGAGACATGGCGCAAGCCAGCGGGTGTCAGCACCATATTCGACGCCTCGACATCCTTGGGAGTTGGTACTGCGAGGGTCCTGGTCGATGCAGCCATGATAATGGGGGCCAAATGTAGTAGGAGGAGCATCTTCATGGTGTTGGTAGTACTTCACGAAGGTTTGTTTCGAACTCCAGGTAAAGCACTGAACACCAGGTTGGTCCACATGATGTCGGGTTGTTACTCAAACGTCCGAAGCGGACTCGTGTTCTTTGATTTCAACCTCGGTCCAGAGGCTTCCCAGATGGTTTGCTTCGCGGCCTGCACTGCTGGTGAACGGCGAGTCGGTAGGCAGAAGCTTAGAGTTAGAGAGTGTAGGCGGATGTTGGGCTGATGTCGTTTAAGGTAAGTTCGAGCCTGATCGTGATTGATTGAGATGTGAAAGTTGCCCATATATGGATATGTTACCGATTAAAACGTACTTTATGCACAATCTCTGTCTTCGACCAACGACGATGTCCTCCTAGTTGTCGGCGCCGGTTTGAAGGTTTTTCATCAGCTTACAGCGCTCCTTAAAGATGCTACTTCTGCCTCAAATTGCTCATCCTACTCAATTGCATGCTCTTCTTCAACTTCGCTCTCCAGTCAGCAAGCTCTTCCGCCGCTATAGTACCGGAGGACCTCCAAAGAAATCAAACCTCCGTATAAACGAAGATTTCGACGATCCAGAGGTCGGGCAATACCACCTCCCCAGCGGACTTGTCACGACGCGCCATTTTGCACGTTGGCACGCGGACTCTAAGAAAGCCAGGCCCGAATCCACGACAGCGACATTTTTATGGAAGGAAACTCACGAGGAGCTTTCCAGCTCTAAATTCCGGCTGCCTGCGTTACCGAAACCATCCCTCCCCAACATGTACACCTTTGGGCCAAGTTCTGTTGCTGCGAAAGGCATGTTTGCGGCAACGGATATTGCTCGAGGGGATACATTCCTCGTTGAGCGGCCGTTCTTTTTGTATGCTATGGTGGACGACCCTGTTGGTGCTATCAAGGACGAGCGGGGGAGTGTGCGATATATGACCAACGTCCTCACCGAGCTGGTCGTGAATAAACTTTATGGGTCGTAGCGATGTTCGTCAGGTCGTCAGGTCCGCCATCTTCGTCAGGTTGATGGGGATCTTCGTCAGGTGTCTTACTTTCGTCAGGTTGTTTGATAATCGATCAGATTTTGAGGAATCATATTACCATGCCGTGTTGATGGTTGCGGCGCCGGCCTTCCACCCCGGACCCCGACCAGGGCCTTGCCCTGGACCCACCCTGCCGGGGGCTTCGCTCGCCGCGGGGCCCGCTGCGCGGTGCATGTTTCCCTTCTCTTTTCTTTTTCCTTCCATTTTTTCTGCCTTTTCACGTCCTCTGTGCTCTCAGTTGCGGCGCCGGCCGCGACGGCCGGGGTTTTCCACCCCGGACCCCGACCGAGGCTTTGCCCCGGACCCCACCCTGCCGGGAGCTGCCGCTCGCCGCGGAGGCCCGCTGCGCGGAGCCCGGTAAATTCAACATCTTTACCATTTGCTTGGCAACTAACAAAAATCAGCCTAAATCAATCAAAGATCTGCATAAAAATGCAGATAGCTAGTCTTGCTATCAACTCTCCATGGAGAGCTCTCCATGGAGTCTGCTGCTTTCTGAGTATGACCACAGATGCTTTCTAAAGCATCACTAGCTGTTTGAGAACATATCTACAGGCATGTACAGAGGTAAATCTAGTGTTGCATCCTGAAGATAGCCTGGGCTGCTTTGGTAAAACATCTGTTGCTGACTTGATAACTTAACTTGGGCTGCCTTCTGTGACTGAGAGCAGCTGTAGCTGCTTTGAAGAGTTCTCTGATCTGTGAGGGAAAAAAATCCCTTTATGAAAATTTTTCTAGGCAAGAAATGAATTCAGATAGGAATCTATGGATAACAGAAGGCCGGTGTGTGGAAGGAATCTTTTTCTTAAAAAAAGACCCCCGAAAAAGTAAGAAAACAAATCTCCACAGTACAGCGGTTCCCAAAATTGTTGCCCATCATCAAAAGTGACGAAAAATAATTCAAAAAATCAGAAAAATAAGAAAAATCTACAACGATGTCGTATCCCACCAGAAATGAGTTCCGACACCTAAGAGGCTCTTTAGTGATGATTTTTGAGTAGAAGAGGTCCCCAAATGGAGGGTGTGGCACCATGGATCCATGGCCTCAATGAACATACACAACACAACACCCGGAAATTCCATATCTATGTCTATGTGTGTGTGCCCAAAGTACATTTTGGTGACTGGCAAGCCTTTCCATAGCTTTCTCTACCATCTATGTTATAGTTCTTGACCTGAATGCAGCTTGCTTGACAGTGCTTGTTTTGAACATTTCCGAGGGTATCACGGTGTCAGAATTTTTCCTATAGTGCTCATATGCAATGAAAAAAGCCTCAGGGACCCCCATTGCCAAGAATATAAGAGGCAGAACTGGTTGTACCACCTCGAGCGTGAGTGACGCAAATGTGGTTGTCTTTGATCAAAAGCCGTCAGCATCTGGGAGGAAAAAACTGGTGAAACTTGAGCGTAAAAATGCATGGAATTACGATACAAAAGGCTTATGGGCTATTTTTGTGGTTCTCTGAGTACTCCCTGGTGTGCTACGCAATTTTCTTATTTTTCCGATTTTTTGAATTATTTTTCGTCACTTTTGATGATGGGCAACAATTTTGGGAACCGCTGTACTTACATAAGATAAGAGCCTGTACAAAAGAAGAGACACAAGATTGAGAACGTACCAATGACAGGATACCACTACACCAAGAAGCAGTGGGATAGGTGGCTGGCAGTATAGATATAGCATGTATTCGAGTGCCAGCCCCCTCCAGCTCCATAAAGCATCTATAGCAACATTTCAAAACAACTATAGCTGCCCTTCAAGACCACCTATAGCTAGAAAACACAAGCAACCTGTGCTGCCTTGACAATGCAGCTACAGTTGTTCTTACCAGTACAGCCTTAGACAGTCTGACAAGCTAGCTATAGCTAGCCTTCAAGCTAGCAGTCTCCATGGAGTATGTGGAGAGTTGATAGCAAGACTGTCGATCTCTAAAAATGACACCTGACGAAAACCGGCGACGATCTGACGAACATGAATTCCGCCCGTGAATAAACGGTTTTCCGAACGGGAAAAGGAAGCGTTTTACAGCTTACCCGGAACAGAAATCGGCACCATCATGTCCCGCAATCGCCTCAGTATTCGCATACCACTGCCAGGAGCATACAAAGGCCGCCATGGAGCACTTTGTCGGGAGGCTTCAGTAATCAACAACAGGTAAATACCTGTGAATTATTCCAACCGAGTCATCTCATTGTCTTTCAGCTGTCAACCAAACGCAATAGTCGAGTGGATTCCAGACTCTTTCTCCTTCTCCTGTCGCGCAGTTCTCCCAATCTCCAAAGGCGACGAGATATTTCGCGCCTATATTCACCCGCTCACCCCACGCGACCGCCGTCGTCAGGCCCTCAAAGCTTCGTGGGATTTTGAATGTCAATGCCCCAGCTGTGCCCTGCCAGATGCAGAATCCGCCAAGAGCGACGAAGCGCGACAGTTAATCCAGGACGACTTCGACCATATCTTCAATAGCCCCTATAGCCAGATGGAACTCCAGGCCTGGCTTACCGATTCAAGATCCCCAGAACGGCGCATGCCGGATGACTATTTTGTCGAGACCAGCGAGCGAATGCTGCAGCTGATGGACCAGGAACAGTGCGAGGAACCAGAACACCGTGCCTGCCACTACTTTCGGCTGATATTGTCTGCTGCGGCGGTGGGTGATTTGAAACGGATGCGCAAGTGGGCTCAACCGTTGCTTGACATACGGCATATGGATGAGAAGTATGTCAAGTTCGGGCAAACAGCACTCAGTGATCCAGAGGCGCTGGATGTTTGGGGCATTAGGACTTGGAACTAAGAAAACAAGCACTTTTGTACTATGCTGCATTTGAAAATTCTAGTCCTTGTTGAAAGGCATCGTGCGTAGATAAGTAAGTTATTATCCGTGAGCTATTGCTCCTTAACTGTGGTCAATAGTCCATTCATATCATTGGAGTCGCTCGCAAAATCAACTCCACCGTAGACCAATCCCCACCAGCCTCACTTGGCTCAGCAATACCATGTCTACAAACGGTATAAGCGGTGCTCGACACGAAGAAAAGCGCTCACTTATCAATGACATGACGCGCTATTGCGCGCAACGAGAAGAGTCTGCACAAGCCATGTGTGGGGCAGTACTCACAACGCAGATTCGCATGCAGAACATTGACGGACCCATCCTCTTGTGGAGGTGCCTGAGAAACGAGCTCGTATGGCCGCGAAGTCCGCTCGAGACCGGCATAGTACAAGTAATGCGTCTGTTCAACTGGTCGGCGGATAGAATGGCTGAACACGGTCAGATTATATTATCCTGAGAAGAAAGAAACTGACGTTTTCTTTAGGTGATCCAACACCCATTTGCGCGTTGTGCGATATTTGTAGTGTTCCGGACAGAGTGCGCATATCCAGGCCGAGTCATTCACGAATGGGTCTGGCGACTCCCGTCGGTAAACATCTTGCATCGCTTTGTCGGTCAATAACATCCAGGCAGGGGGTGTTGCTTGGTGAGCGGGGTCCTGCTGGAGACGGATTCGTTCGATGGTGTGCAGAACACATTCGCGCCAACGCATAGCTCGCCTGCCCGTGATGCCTTTCGATGTTTCGAGAGGACAAATCGCACAGACGAATCGCTTCTCTGACTCATTGAGCATCCGCGCTGAGACGGGACTCCCGGTTCCACATATTGTGTCCATCTCCCTGGCAGTTGTTGTCTCGGGGTCGAGGCCAACAAGCGTCACGAGTTCACGGACCGCTGCTGCTCCGTCTTCGGCATAGTGGACCCGATGATCCCAAAAACGTTGGAGACTCTGGCATCGCAGATGTGCCCCAGCCCCGTCCCAGCCAATTAAAGCCCTTCCCGCGGCAACTGAAGTGTTGCTGATCCAAGAGCCCTTGCATGTGAACACGCTTGTTGCGAGTTCAAGCCGCTCGACACCGGTGGGACATTGTGATGAGCTGGGGGGAGGAAGGACAGAAGCAAGGAGCTCGCGCTTTTCCTGGCGCCATGCTGCAACGAATGCAGGGAGCTCCAAAAGGCTGTCGACAAGGCGGGGATCATCAGGTGTCAATGGATTGGTGGAGGGATTGTGGAGAAGTTCTTGGAGGGGAGTAAAGGTTTCGAGGGTATAATTCGGAGGGAAATATGCCCAGCATTGCGCTGGTGCAGTACGGAAAACCTTGGAAACCGCGGTGAGAGCAACGGAGGTGCGGGCCGTGATCAAGTCCTTCCGCTCTCTCTCCAAGCGCAGAACCCGGAGATTCTCTACGTGTGGAATGATTATGGGTCGTATTCGGCGCCATCGTTTGGGAGTGAGGACTTGAATCATCTCTAGCTCTGCATACTCGTCAAGTTCGGCTATGTCTGCTTGTTTGTACCCTTCTCTGAGAAGATGCTTTCCAACTCTGAAGAATTTGTGAGGAGAAGAATAACTGATTATCCAAGGCGCACCTTGCTACAACCCTCCGATGTTGTTTGGCGGCAATAGTCCTGTGTAGGCCAGTTATTTCTTGGGTCCACTCTACTGCTGTGTTTGCGGCCTCTTCTCTGTCTCGAAGGAATTTCTTTCTTCTCTCAACAAACGGCTCGAGCAATGAATCATAACCATCTGGTTTCCTTTGGTCGGCCTCCCGCAGTCGCTCGTAGTCCATTGCCACCGCCTCGGCTTCAGATGGCCAGAACCGCCCAACGTTAGTCTTGAGAAGCAAATCATTGATTAGGTGAGTAGACATTTCGTTGGACAAGCTACGCTGGTGAGAAGTTAAATTGAGCGAAATGGGAGACATACCACTTGTTCATACATTCTGTGCATAAACGTCGGCATAGGATGAAGTCAGGGAGGGTATTGGGAGTCATGCATTCCTACGTCGCAGAAGTCAGGGTAAATTGGGTGAGGATTGAGAACAAACATCACACAGTTGCCGACCAAAGAGTAGTTTGGCCCAGCGTCTTCCGGAGACTTGAGGTGGACAAGGAGGTAGAACTCCAACTCGGAATACATTCCGCCAAACGACATCACTCGTTGGACACAAGAGTAGCTGGCGGAAAGTTTTATTGACGCGCGAAAGATGAACGAGGTCGAAGGGATGGAGATGGCCGAAAACCTGCGGAGTTGAGCAGGAAAAAACAACAGGAATCGACTGGGTCTTGCCTCAAACATGACATCAAGGTTTGTTTGGGGGAGCAGAGATAGCGATGCACTCTGTTGCTTGGACCTATGTTCCTTCCAGCAATGGATGGCCACATAGTTGACTTGAAAACGATGAGGAGAAGTCTTGGTCGCCGGAAACAACGCACCAGCCGAACTGTCCCATTGACGTTGAGGAGGAAGCTCCAAGGAAAGTTCAACGTCCGAGAATGGTAGTACGTTTAGGTCGTCGAGGTCATAAACGGTGAACATGAGAGAAGTTAGATGGTACAAGCGAGCCTTTGTAGCCTGTTATGCTGTGCGACATTATTGTCAGAGTTGGTTGGGTTGACTCGCACGAGTGGCTGTGAACCTGTTTTTTGCTTCCGCCCACGGCAATGCCACTCAACCGACGCAAATCCCACTCGCCGTTGCCTCCCAGCCCTCGCCCAGCAACATTCTTTCCTCCCTCTCATTATGCCGAAGCTGGTGGCCTGACGCCCCGTCGACAAACCTCCCATCCGCGAGATGAACCTCCTCCGTCGCGTCCCAATACTTCCTACATGCCGATAGCATCCAATTCAGAATCCTCTTTTGAGTTCGCACCTAAATCACCGGAGCCCAGTCGAATATCTACGGTCAACTCGAAGACCAGCCTTGACAAGAAAGGCGAGAGCCACATGAAGAACCTTCCTTTTGTCGAAGCCCAACTTTTACCAAGCCTACGAGACACCATAAATCGGATGACGCGTCCACCAGTGAAAACCACTGCTTTGTCTCCATCCCATATCGGATCTAATAATATCGGTTTCGCTCTCTCCCCTGATCATGAGCCTCAATTATCACCACAACCACCGAAACAACTCAAGTCCGCATTACGCTCTCCAACACCCAAACTGCAGCTTCAAACGGCTCGAATGCCTCTTTCCGCCTCAAATTCACCGCGAGAAATGACTTCAACTGTTCAGGTATAACTCGACGTCGGGTGTCATTCTTTTACTTAACTTCACAGGTTGATATTCCGCCTACGCCAAAGCGCACCCGCCCTCGATCCAGAACCGATCCCGGGACGCCGATGAAAACTGAGAACAATCCGAACTCCCCTCGAGCGAAAGTTGCCTCTGGCATTCCACGACTTCGAGGGAAGAATGGTTTGATGTCTGCCTCCTCTACTCCCCGGCCAAGACAGTATCCCTTGCTTGAAAATGATTCCTCCTCCGATTTTGAACTACGTTCCGAACAACGATCGCTGAGGGTCGTCAATGGCGTTCTTTCCAGCGAAAGTGAAAGTGAAAGCGATGGGGAGTTCGGTCAAATGGGACTTGGTTTGGGCCTTGGCATCAACCCTCCTTATCAACCACGCTCATCCTTTGCCTCCAAACTGCGAGCTCGTATCACCAACGATGTTGATTCGGTCGACGAAGCTGCCGAAAGGCGTCGCAAGGAACTTCTTGGGCTCGTTCAAGGCATCAGTCACCTCGAACAACAAGTTGGGCATTCCGCTGATCCAGAGTACCCTAGCGAAGGAAAAAGAACACATTCGACGCCTCGCCTCCTGGTCTCCTCATCGAGTGGTATAGACGGAGAGCTTGATCGTGGAGTGCGTCCTTTATCATTTTGGAATCGTAGCAAGACGCATTCTGAGTCAACTACAAAATCACCTTCACGATCTCCCGTTATTCGTCAATCTCCCAATGCGACACCCAGGACTGTAGAACAATCGAAAATCCCGTCTTCGGCCATACCTGCCGCCATTCGTCGTCATTCCATATATTACGCGAAACCACCATCTCCATCGGTCCCATCACCACCATTACCGCAGACCCCTGCGACTGACGAAGAAGAATATAGCCTTGTTACTCAGTCCCCGGAGAGCATATATGACGACGAAGAAACATGGTCTCCGAATCCCCCGATGTTGTCCCATTTACGTCCTCCGAAAGACAACTCACAGCACCATCGACAATCGGACGACCTTGCAAAATCTGATGCCGTTCTCCTCGCATTAAATTCACGTCTTGATGCGGCTCGGGAACGAGAAGCATTTGGCTTACCACCGTCTGTTTCTGATGTGGGTGCCCGCGAACGGCTTTCTTACTTGGATAGTGAATCCGAACTTGCTCGAGCGAGATGGGATGAAGAGGATGGTACAACCACCAACAGACGCGGAATGGCCGGTTTGAGCATTGGCGCGGACAATCTATTCCGAGCTCTCGGTGCGCGAACTGTTGATGCTCAAATTGTTAGTGAGCACAATTGGCGAGATCGAGATCGTCGACGCGACCGCTCAAGCTCATTGCTGGATCAAGAAGATGTCAGAGTGGCCCAGGGTACTCGGCAACAATCAGTCGTGCAGACGGTGAACCTATACGATGACGAAGAACGTCTGCCCCAAGAAAACCGAAGTCTGGATCAGCTTTCTTCACAATCTCAGCGCTTTGATGAGGTTCAGCAGCATCAGCCAATTCCTTCCCCACCAAGCAAAGATGCATGGCAGGCCTCTTTACCAGCTTCGGTGTACGCTTCAGTGGTCGATCGTTACGGCACACTCGAGATCCGCCGACAGGAGACAATACACGACCTTGTTGTTTCTGAAGAAGCTTTTGTTTCCCGTCTCAATCACACTGTTCGACTCTTTGTTCTTCCTCTCCGCATGCAAGACTCGAAGGACTACGTTGCTGGAGTGCCTACTGAGATTGGGATGCTCTTTGATTGGCTAGAAGACCTTCTGAATCTCCACACCCAACTCTTGGCCGCGCTCAGAAAAGCTCAGCAAACACAGCAACCTGTCGTTGAACGGTTGGCTGGGATTGTCCTCGAGAGCTTTGTGAAGCAATTAGAGGTATATCAACCGTATCTGGCGCGGCTAGTTGGTATTGCAGGAACGATCGCCCGTCTTGTCGCCGATGCCTTAAGTGACTTCGGCGAGTTTGTGAGGATACAAGAGAGCGTTCAAGAATGGAGTTTAGAGGCCTTGCTGGTTGCCCCAGTAACGAGGCTGGGAGGTTATCCCACTATATTTCGGGTAGGATTCCGCTTACTGGGCGACTTTTTTTTATTAATGCATTGGTGTCAGATACTTCTAGAAGAAACCCCCCAGACTCATATCGACTATATCCCGACTTTCATGCTATTACATGCAACCGAGTCCATGATTCAAATTATGACTGAGGTCAAGGTGCGCGAAGACGAATACGATGCTGTCAAGAGTGTATCTCAATCCGTTCACGGTCTACCTTGTGTTGCGAAACGCGGCCGCAAACTTCTTCATCAAGGACAGCTTGAATTGGTCGACACTATCAGCTCGGTCTCTCATGCTCAAAGAACGCCCTCGTTGCATCAATTTCCTGACCGACTCTCGTCCACCAGTTTTCCCAAATCAAGGTCGACTCGTCCACCAATAGCGCAAGAACAATTAGATTCGCCTGCCGCGCCAATACAAGTATTTGTGTTTACAGATTTGATTGTCTTTGCTAGCAACAGCAAACGAAGATCTAGGCATGACCTTGCAACAGAGGAATGGACGATAATGGAACGTAACGGGGTCGTTGGAATTTTGAATGTCTCAGAAGACGGTAAGATCATCTTGTCATTATCAAATCTTATTGAAAGGCATATCTAGATTCTGTTATAGTACTGGATGTCGCTCCTCTCAGCTTCAAAGAACTAGAAGAACCTTCGATTATGCCTCATGCGCCACTACAAGTCGTCAAACTCCGGATTCCAGCGTCCACCTTGCCTAAAGATTCAGAATTGGAACTTTTCAAGACCTGGCTTGCTGCATTTCAACTATCTTCAAAGCTAACTATTCGCGCGCTGTCGTTGCCTAAAATCTCGATAGATTATCGTTGGCCAGAGCAAGACTTCCAAGTGCCTCCTCCGCCTTTACCGAAGAGCCCGTCGATGATCGCGCAGGGAACAGTGCCACATAAGCAGGAAAGAGAAGAGAGAACTTGGTGGTCGAGACGCTTCCATGATGTATTGAGTCAGGTCCATCTACGCGAATGAGATAGAGTATTAGTAGTTGAACGTTGAACGTTGAACGCGCAACCCTGAATCATTCGCGTGATGCGATCAATATTCGCTCTTCGATCCTACCAAGTAGTGTGCAGGTCCTTCAAGCTTGCCACTCAACTGCACCTGTCCCTCCGGCATGGAAACCGTCGTCCAAGTGTTTCTCATCTTCGCTTTCGGATATGTCCTCGTCGTTCTTCAACAGCCACCGTCTGAATCGTCCGCAACCCTGCTCGCCGAAATCGCCTTTCAAGACGCCGAAATCAAACGGCTCGAGCGCCTTGTCCATCCCATTCTCAAAAGCACTGTTATTCAGGTAGAAACCGAAACTCGCTGGGCACACCTGGTCGGATCGCGCTGCCAGGAAGACGCCAATGCTGCTGTGGCTCAAGTCGCTGACCTCAAATCCCGTATCAGAGAGTCAATAACGCTCCTCGAAAACAAGACAAATCATATCAAGGAAATCGCCGGGCTGTACTGGGAAGTTAAGGACGAGAGTGTTGCGCTAGAGAAGACGGTGAAGAAGATGACTGAGGTTCAAGAGCAGATGAAGAAAGAGCATAGTGCCGAACTGGACTCGTTGGAGGAGCAAATGGTTATTCGTATCAAAGAGCAAGACGAGAAACGGATGCTGTGCCATGCTCAAGAGAAGAAGCGCCTGAAGGAAAAGTGCAAGTCGCTCTGGGAGAAGCTCGCTGTGGCGGAAGAGGCAGTTGCACAGTCAAAAGCTGCGCAAAAACGGCTGAGAGATCAACATGGGGCGGAGGTGCGCGAACTTGTCGATCAGATCCAGGTCGCTGAACGCATTCGGGAACGATTGGCGGGCGAGTGTGTGCTTCGAGAGGCGGAGAAGAAGGCTGCAGACCAACTTCGGGTGGATCACCAAGCGGAAATTAGGGATCTCAAGCGTCGTCTACTCGCTTCGCTTCGAGAACGTGAAGACCTCCTGGAAAAGACCCAACTACTGGAGAAAGTTAGCACAGCTGTAGCGAACAAGGTCGAACAAGCGTTACTCAAAGCGCAACAGCAAGGAAAATTCAAGACTGAAACAATCACTACCGACTCGGAATGGCTGTGCTCGACAGGGCGGAAGAAACGCGAATGGGAGTCAAGTAATCGTGTCGACTTTGACCTGGACTTGGAAATAGACCTGGCCAATGACAGCTCTCCCGAACCAACGGAATACCTAGATGCAGCTGCATCTTCAAGTTTCGAGACCTCAGCTTCGTTGGACGACCCTTTCTCGATCATCTCCTCCTACAACAAGCAACCCCCACCTTGTGCTGTTAATGTACCGGTTTCCCCTGGTCCCGTCACATTCCAAACGCAGTCACCGACCCTCCCCTTCGCTTCCAATGCTGCCCAAGTTGAATCGATGGCTGAAACCGAGCTTATGCCCGGAAATTGGTTGTCGTAGATTGCAGCATCAATTCTCCCGTCGCACAGTACCACAAGCCTCGCACCTGGCATTTCATGAGTGAAAGAATTATGAATCGTTGATCTAGTACGCACATATAAACTTTACGATAGTAAATTAGAATAGAGTCGTCAATACAAGATGTGGATACGCACAAATGGTCATAGGCTCGTCTGCGGAGCGGATTTGCAGCTGATTAAAGTATGCGAAGCCATGCCCGCACTTTTGACATTCCACTAACGCCCAAGGGAAGTTTTTACTCGTAAGTAGAAGTTTTCGAGTCGTTGCCATTATAAGACTCACCCGCTGTCCGTGAGGCCCCGTCTCTAAGCTCTTGTATAACATCCCTGATTGCCCCGACTTTCTTCGTTTTCAAATGAATGCGTGAGGTATGCTGGAATGGGGGATAAAAGAATCCAGATAGGTTTGGATGAGGGCCAGTACTATACTTATACTCACCTGTTTGGTAATGGCAAACTGGTAGGGACAGGTTTGACAAGTCCAGCTGTTACAGCCCCCGCTCGAGTGGTCGGAAATGATGAGAAGATTCGAGCAGATGGGACAAAAAAGCATGGTGGAAGTCAAGCGGTGGCAGTGAGGAGTGGTGAGGTCAGAGTATCCAACTAGAATTGTTGTACTTGGGAGAGCGGTAGACATACCGATGTGGTAATTTTGACGCTTGGGACGTTCGAATCCTTGTGCTCTCTATTTTTTCCTTCCTGTAAACCGTTCGTCCAGTAGAGAACCATGTACGTAGGACAATTGAACACACATTTACTTGCTCATAAGCCTCCAACTACTTTCACATTCGAAAGTCCCTCTCCAGTGCACAGTTTCCAACAGTATGTCCGTATCCACAGGACGTGAAGTACATACTAGTATCTTCAACTTGAAGTTGGACAACGAGGATCCTTTGTAAAAGATGTACATACTCTATTAATATTTAATAACAGTCTCGATAGTAGCCTACCACCCTCATAACTATCCCTCTAGAGTTAAACCTTGCAAGTGGTCACGCGTTCCTGATGGTGTTTCTGTCCAAAAGTTGTGGACAAAAATTTTGAAGGCAAATGCGCCTCATATAGATGCAAATTCGTGACACACCCTTCCCTTTCCCTTCTCGTTCCACGACCAGGACTCAGATTCAGCGAAATGAAGGTTATACCGGGTCTCGTCTATCTCCGTCTCCACGAAAAGACCAAACTGGTCCTTGCTAAAAGCATGCGAGAATCATACGACGTTCGAGAATTTGTTCTGCGAAGCCGGCAGCGACTAACCAGCTTGAATCCATTTGTAGGCCGTCCTTCGTGTTGTCAACAGACACTTCCCCGAAAACGCGTGGCAAGGTCATTGAGATCAAAGTCGACCTCGACAACACCAGTGTGGTGATCACCCCTGAAGCTTGGTGTTACTTTTCCGAATCGCGCGATGGCATGACGGTTCAGTCATACACTATTGAAATCGGCGCCAAACATGAAGAATTCCCTCCGACTCCGTCTGTCGCTTCCGCATCAGCGACCCCGCCAACGGCAGTCAACAAACTACTAATCCACATTTTTTACAATGATGTTCAAATGCAATTGAAAGTGTCTCCAACCGCAACACCCAACCGAAGTTCTTACGGCTGCCGCATCCGCATTCAATATTGACGATCCGCGAACGATTTACCTTCTGCATGAAGGCATGAACTTGAAGCTAAGGGGAAACTCGCTATCCCAATGCGGCGTTGAGGACGGTGACGAGCTCATACTGTTGCGGCAACAGCTTGGGGGAAAGCCGGTCATCTATCTACGTGCCCCACGCCAGCTCGATGTGACTGTCCAGCTCTCGCTCGTTCCCGATTGGTCCTTTTCCGCACTTTATCCTGTCGCCCCAGTATCAAAACCCAAGAGTCCTCAACTACATCAAGTTGTCCAATGGGATGTACAAACGGCGATGGATGGAACCATGCAGGACAAGTGCTCGGGTGCTCAAGTCAGCTATCTTTTCTGGGAGGCAACGTAAGCGGTTTTTTTTCTGAACGCGTCGCAAGTACTGACTACTGGCGTTGACAGGACCAATCCACCCTCTGGTCAGATATCGCCCCCCTCTTCTCCCACTCTCCGCGCTTGCGAAGACTTCAGACCTGCAAGTGCGAAAGATGCATTCAAAACTTCGGATTCGGTGGTGTTATCTGTGAAAGATGTCCCGCTCTATCTTGACGCCACACTTATCGAACTGGGACTTGACACTGAAGCACGCACGTCCTTCATCACGTATGTCTTCTCCCTGAAACGCTACTCTTATTCAATTTGGTTTAGATATTGGCTTCCAGCCATCCTTGAGCACCAACATATCCTTCTCTCGTTTGTTCCACAAGCGTCATATGACTCTGCTGCCCCTTTGTCGCTCACTCCTTCGCCCGATGTATTAACGCGGGTCTTTATGATCTTTTGTGGTCTTGAGCTGGATGAAACGGCTGCTTGGGTGGGGAAAGCTGAACGACCCGCGGAAATGTGGCGGGGTGTTTCTGGTGTGCCTGAAAAGCATCTCCAGTCGGACCCATCCTTATTTAGAGTGTTGGAGTGGGGTGGGATGGAGGTTAAATCGTAGATGGATCCGCAACCTGACGAGGCTTTCTGATGCATCAAAAGGTTTGCGAGCAAAGTATTTTCGTATATATTGCACTACTGCCACCTAGCTACCATATTGTTCATACGATCGTTCAATTCTGAATTCTTCAAAGACTAATGCTGATGGAATATTTTAGCGTGACAACAGTAACAGCAACAACGTCCCCATCAACTTTGTTTCATTATGCAGACTTCGAGAGAAAAAATGGGGTCAAAGAGTCAACTGTTCTCCAATAATCTCTTCTGTTAAGGTCCATAACTTGGCTGCAATGACCTATGTCATAGTGAGCACAGCAGATGTCACCAGTACTCCTCGTCGAAAAATGGCTGCACTCACAGGGTCGGTAGCGTACGCAGCTGCCTTTTCAGTTGCAACAACTCCGTCCATGAGGTACGATCCCGGCTTATCCCCAGTGAAAAGACCCCGGATTCGGGAAGGATGTAGTGAGATAGAAACAAAATGAATGTGATGGTGTACGATAAGACGGGATAATCAGTGATAATTTGGCTGAGTGACTCGACCAATCTCTTTCCATCACTGTGCTAACTAGCCTACCGCCTGACACGACTCAGAGATCTACTCAGACTTGTGTGTACACATGGTATACAAGCCTTTGTGGATGTATAACCTATACTAATAACAATGCTTCCAGCCTCTATGGGCAGACTACGACGACGGATATGTGTTTGCAGACGAGAACCCAACAAAATATCTCTGCAAGTGTCCTCGCAGTTGCCGGGATGGTGCGAAGGTCTCAAAAAGCACTTGGTTTCGCCATCATAGAACCGCGACTGGCGCTGTGGGCGATTCCGAAGAGCAATCGCGGCCGTCTCGTCGAGCAATTCCAGCTCCCGTGTCAACAACTGCTGGGAGTGCCGCAGCAAGCAAGCAAGCACGTCCACGGAGTGATTCCGAAGAAGGTTACCCAGGCCACATTGAGGTCAGTATAAATCACTAGCCTTTCGAAGTATTTGACTTACAAATGGTTCAGTTTCAAAGCCTCTCGATGGAGCTTGATTTCGAGTCTGGCGAGAACACAGTCCCCGAAAGTGTTCAGCTATTTGATGACTCTTCGGTAGGATACTTCTCTTACTCTCTTGCTCAACCTTACTTATCAATGCCAAAGATTTCGGACAACTCTTTGAATCTGGACGACATTGATCAGCTTCCCGATCTGCACTCCGACAACGAGGATTTGCAAATGGAACCACTTGCAAGTCTTGCAAATCCCGACTCGGAGAGTGAATCAGACTCCGACTCTGAGTCTGTCTCTTCCTCAACCCCAGCTGCAACGAGCGAACCCCAGGCCAACGCTTCCATAGGAGTAGAATCTCCCACAGTCCCGCCCGTTGCTGCCGCCACCGCGACCACCACTGCCGCCAGCCGGTAGCGCTGCCTCCCCGGTTTTTTCAGACCCCCCCTCGTGGCGTTCCATCCCAAAAGAGAGTGTGAAAGTCGAAAAACTGCGTATTTCGCTCGCTTTTATTGAAGCTCTCGAAGGCGCTTCTCGCAACAACAGTCAATTAACGCCTGATGATAATATACGGCTGTGGAACCCACCTCGCGAACTGCCTGATATCAGCAACCCCGCAACTGGTCAAGCACTGAAGACATTCATGGGTGCAGATGCTCCGATTACGGTGGAAACCTACAAAGCCATACGAGATGCAGCAATCGAACGCCACCCAGAGGACACCTTCCCATCATACTACGAAACCAAGAAGACGCTGGCCGAGCTTACTGGTATCAGCCCTATTGAATGCGACATGTGCCCAGACAGCTGTGTCGCGTACACAGGTCCTTTTGCCCACCTCGACAAATGCCCATATCCCGAGTGTGGAAAGCCTCGGTATGACGAGTTGAAGCTTGCGAAGGGGGTGCGGGAAGCGTCTGCAAAGTTCTGGACAATTCCGATTGGACCATATCTTCAGGGTCTGTGGCGCCACCCAGCGACAGCGGCAGAGATGAAATACCGCCGAAATCGCCAAAAAGCGTCGCCTGCCGAATGGAACGATATATTCGATGGGTCGGACTACGATACACTTGTGCGCGAAGGTGTTATTCAACCAACAGACATGGTGCTACTCTTTTCGATTGATGGCGCTCAGCTATATGAGCATAAGACGTCCGATTGTTGGATCTATATATGGGTAATTTTAGATCTTCGACCAGGTCTTCGGTACAAAAAGAAGTTCGTTGTTCCTGGTGGTTTTATACCAGGACCACATGCACCAAAAAACGTCGACTCATTTACTTTTGTCGGCTTTCACCACCTTGCTGTAATTCAGCGCGAAGGTCTTCCAATCTGGGACTCTTCGGCCGAGCCTGGCTCAGCTGAAGAGTTTTTTATCTCTTATGTCTATCTTCTGCTTTCGACAGCAGATGGACCCGGTCAACAACACATGAGCGGCTCCAACGGACATACGGCGCGCATTGCCTGCCGGTTTTTTTGTGGCCTCCTCGGGCGTCATCGGTTTCAGGCACCACAATATTATCCTGTCCTGCTTAAGCCTTTTGATTCGGCATATGGAGACGACGAACATGCTGATGTAAATATTTTACAAGACTTGCGGTCGTCGCTCTCATCAGCAGAGTCGATTGCAGCATACCATTCCGCAATTGCATATCTATTAACTTCTCGCACTCAACGCGAGTATAAAGCACGCCAAACACAGTGCGGATTTGGGAAGCCAAGCCTTCTCTCTGGTTTACCCCGTTGTCTTGGCCCAGTCCGTGTCTTCCCGGCTGATTTAATGCATTATATTTTGAATATTGGCGACTTGCTTTCTGGCCTCTGGACCGGCAAATTAGATAAGGTATATCTGCCCGACAAAATCGAAAGCTGGCCATGGCGTGTTCTGATTGGACAAATCTGGATTCTGCATGGTGCTGCTGTCGCTGCCACCCACCATTTCTTCCCCGACAGCTTTGATCGTCTGCCCCGGAATCCACAGGAGAAGATTAACTCGGGATATAAAGCCAAGGAATGGCAACACTGGCTATTTGGTTTGGGTCCTGCACTGCTCTATGGGCTTTTACCGACACCATACTGGTTGAATTTCTGCAAGCTCGTCCATGTGATTCGCCTATTGCATCAACGCTCGATCTCAAAATCTGCTCTTGTTACTGCCTATACTCTTGTTCTTGAATTCACGTACGAATTCGAAACACTATACTATCAACGCCGCAGTGATCGTCTCCATTTCATACGACATAGTATCCATACCCCAATGCATATGGTCCAAGAGGTCCAGCGCGTTGGGAATCCTATTTTATATGCCCAGTGGACGCTCGAGCGCACTATTGGTAATCTTGGTGCGGAAATACGACAGCCAAATCACATGTTTGCAAACCTGTCCCAACGTGGGCTTTATCGTGCACAGACTAATGTGCTGAAGGCAATGGATCCCAGCTTTGATCGAAGTGGAATCAAAGCTGCTGACCTTCCCGTGGGCGCAATTGACATTGGTGACGGCTACCAGCTTCGGCCCAAGATTGATACTGTTCTTCGTCCTATCACTGTTGCCGCCGAGCTTAGTGCACTCAAGCAATACTTGGGTCATGCTTGGAATGTGTCCTTTGATGACAGCAAGCACAACTCTCGCATCGCCCGATGTGCTCGCCTTTCCCTTCCCAATGGTAACCAAATTGCCCGGTCTCGCTGGGGTGAGAGCGATGACAACCGCGTCACGCGAATGGTCAAGGTAAGAATGAATAATATGCAGTACTACCAACACAAGGCTTACAAATCTAGATTCGCTCTAACTTGCCAGAGGGATTTGAAATTGCTGAGGTGCTCTATTACTTCCGGTACGAAGTCCACGAAAATAATGCGACCCCGTTGGCTATGGTTTCTGTGTTTGGAATTCCCAATCGAGATTTGCTCCGTGACTCGTACAACACACTCTGGGCTGCAAGACCAGGAGAGGCAGGAATTAGAGTCATTCTTGCCAAGTCAATTATCTCTGTGGTTGCGATGATTCCATTCCCGTCCAACCGTGGTGTGTCAGCAGACACTGAACAGAAACTAGAAGGCTTGCATTTCTTGTATGAAAAGATGGGTCTAGGTAGTGAATAAATAGATTGAGCGGTAGAGCAAGCGTATCGAATACAGTGTGTGTGACTGAGTGACTGCGTGACCGCGATACCTTTTCTTCCAACGTATTCATCTCTTCCTGCCCACCATGTACGCTAGCCATGGTGGGCCTGGCAGTCACCCTTTCTTCCAATATCCACCTATTAGTCCCTCGTCTATGTCTTCCCCCTCCAGTTCATCACCAGTTCCCTTTCCCGCATCGAATATAACACGCTCATGGCCAACAAACTCAACTGCATCTAACCAGTCCAGCCCATCTCTCGACACACAGTCACTTGCAGGGGGTGACGATATGTCCTCTCTCTCAAGCCCTCTAGGCCAAAGCTTACGCAATTTCTCTGCTTCAAGTCACAGTGGATTCGCAAATGGCTCTCAGCTGGTATGTAGCTGTCTTTTATGTATTTCATACTTACCGCTGACATTCCCTATCCAGTCTGGTCATTTGCGGCGCACCAGCAGCCTCTCGCTTGAGGTTGTTGCAAATCAGGTTGACACGCTCTCGCAAACAGTGATAGTGCTGAAAGAAGATATTCTGTAAGTTTTCAGTAATTCACCGGACAATTTGTGACTTTTTGAGAGGTCTAAACTCGATGTTATCTTGACTGCCCATGGCAACAGTACTCGCAACCCCAAAGAAGCCATTTGGATACATGATGGCTATGTCGCATATGACCTCCTCCCACGTATTGCTCCGAAATCAGCTCAGCTCAACAGCCTCAAGGTACAACACCCACAAATCAAGTACTGGGAGCCGAAGGATTTTAAACCCGACACAAATCTTGCACCAAAGAAGAAGTCAGGACGGTCCGCTGGTAGCACCGACAAGAAGAATGACATCAACAACGATGGGAGATATATTGAGTTTGCGGATGGAGAGGTTATTGGGGGTTTGGAGTTTGGAGAGATACGGGCTTTATTGAACTGTCTTTTTGCGGACATTCTTTCCGCTGGAAAGGCAAAGGCTCGGATGAACTTGTTGGGAGAACAAGTGATTGGAGCAATGGTTTACATGCTCGAGCGCCGTTTCCCTTACCTTGGGCTTTGCACCGACCATTGGAAGGCACTTCGTGTCATTCGCGGTCGCTATCGCTTCTGGGCTGGGCCACGTGTCAAAGCAGGCGCCATCGCAGATGACGATGATGCAGGAGATGATGAAGACGATGAAGATAGTGTTGCAACAGGGACGAAGAGAAAACGTGGAAGCAATTCAACGACATCCAAGCGTGCACGCATGACAGGTATCGTGTTCTCTCTCTATTTTGCTAGATGTTTTACTTCTGTTGCTAACCTGGCCACAGATCCAACGACAGATTCTTCTCTCCTTCAAATCTCCGCGCCACCTGACGACCACCTTATTTCGATGTCACCGCCATTGCCATCACCACCGCCTGCAGATCCTATTTCTCGTCCACCATCTCCGAGCGCTCTGAGCAACAGCCGTCGCTCACCGTCTCCTCTTGATGTTCTGTAAGCAGCTCAGAAATGAATAGAAACTGGGCATGTCTAACATATACTTTCAGCGCGACTGTTAATGTACAGCCGCCTTTGCCTCAACCTACGACCTTACCTCTGCCGCCACCTCTACCTCCAATTTCCTCTCCACTGCTTCCAAATCCATCTCAGCCTCCGCAAAATCTGGTGCTACCTGTCAATGTGTCGAACGCTTCCGTGCGGGGAGGTGCATCAAAGAAAGTCTGCAAGCCGAATCCCGCTCACTTGACTGCAAGGTATGTTGCTATCATCTCCATTTCGCATTCCAAAACTTATGTAACTCAGAAATCTCTGTCTCGCTGTGTATGCGGAGGATGTCGGCGGCACTACACCAGAATTCGGTGCATACTGGAAAGCCGCCGAGACCAGCAATGCTGTTATGACTCAAGTAAGTGTTAGTTTTGCTGCTTTGCCTCTCTGACGACCGTTTAGGCCTATGAAACTTACGCGAAGGAACTTGTATGCTCCATATATCTGCTATATCGACAGCTTCTCATCCAACCACAGAAATCTCAGAATCCAAAACCGACACAAATTCCGGCGACAGACGCCATACGCACTCGTATCGCAGCAATCCTTGCACCACCACCAACTTGATAGCAATACGTAGCACGTTGAATATATACCATTTGCTTCCAAAGCATTCCTCAATGTCATGTCTGCGCAAGGAATAAAATGCAATAGATTGAAGTATTTGTACAAAGCATCTCGAAACATTCCAAAACATGCTTGTTGTATAGTCAGGTGCTCACCATGTACAGATGGAATAGATTGAGATGCATTGGGGAAGAGCTCATTACATTCCGGTATATATCCTGCAATATCATAAACGAGTGTCAGACTGACAATGAGATGAAATCAAACGGTTTCATTTGTGAAATGTCAGCAAAATCTCTTTTCATCTCACTACATCCTTCCCGAATCCGGGGTCTTTTCACTGGGGCTTATCTACGATAATCAGGTTCATGGCAGCAAAGCACTAGCAAAGTGGGAGCTTACCGTCGAGTCGAGGGTCAAATGCAGCGACAATAGTGCTACCAAAGGCCCTCAAAAACAATGCCTTTTCGCTCGCATAAGAGTGTACCCACGTCGCTGCTCCTTGTGGAAGGCTTTTCCAATTGATATAGGGGTTTTCTTTGGGTTTGCCGTCGTCGGTGAGAATCCCCATTTGTTTGTAAACGGGAGTAATGGCGATAACTGCTCGAACAACATCAACAAGTAAAAATAGCTTCAAGTCAAGCAGTACTGACCCCCGGGATGCAAACTATAAGCCTTAAGCTGGCCATTTGCTCGTCGGGATAGCTCTATGGCCATCAGCACATTCGCGGTTTTGACCTCCGCATAACGCTTAAACAGGATCATCGTGTTACCAGCGACCGAGGGCTCGTCCCCAGTGCGAAATTTTGTGAAATCGATACCGGAGTCGCCGAGCCCTTGTGCGTGTGACTGACTGGAGACAAAGATAACACGAGGCGCCGGGGATAGTAGAAGCATGGGCATAAGAAGCTTGGTCAAAAGGAATGGGCCGAAATGTGCTGTGGCTATTTGGATCTCGATGTCGTCTTCAGTGAGGTAGTATGACCCCATGGTAGCCGCGTTGTGGATAAGTACCTGTCTTCGATGGGTCATTTGAAACTTGAATAAAACCACAAATTACATCAAGAGGCCCGTGAATCTCAGCCGCAGCTTTGCGAACGGAGGCAAGTGATGACAGGTCAAGCGAGAGTGGCATGATATCTGCCGAAGGGAACTCTTTCTTGAGAGCTTCTTCGGAGAGCTTCAAACTAAGCATGTTGTGTAAAAAGCACTGGGATGGACTGATATTGAGCAGCATACCGTTTTGCATTGTATCCAGTGATAATAAGCAATTTAGCATATGGTGCAAGAGCGCGGGCAGCCTCGAAGCCTATACCATTGATAGACGTTCCAGTGATCAAAACTAATGCACCGAGTGAAATTGCGTCGCTTTACTGAATAAGAAGATACCATTCTTTCCGCTGATTTGTTCTCTCAATGCGCTAGAGACGTCTTGTGCAGTACTAGCTTCGTTGAAAACCGGGAGAGGAGCAGTCATGTTTGACTTTGTGAGGGACGCAGATGCCTTTTGACCAGTTTATATACCCTGAGCTTGGTAAGTGAGTGGGTGCCATTTCGAGTAGTCCAGCGCGCGTCGGAGTCCTTAGTGAGATAGAGACAGGGTCCAATAGTCAGCAAAGGATCTCTGCATTGGTGTCGAGGGATTGACGGGTCAACGGATTGTGGGACCAAATCAGGAAGAACTTGAATGCTTAGTTATCAGCGGTTTGTTTCGGGGTGCAAAGGTTGTCCCGTCATGTATCTTGAAATATTACACGTACAAATACAAAGTGACCAAGACCTAGTAGCAGCCCTCTGTTCGCAACCACAGTGCTAATTGGCGAACCAGGCGTGTAGCGGAGGCCTCCAGCAATTCGTCGCGACTGCGCTCCGTTTCGACAATTGTGCGTTTGTTTCTTCCATGGGGACCCATGAGAAGGCCAACCCTTCGAGGGGAAAATGAAATAGCCAGTGAGGAAAACGGGATCGGCCTGGCTCTGACTGGTTGTTTGCCTTTGGATCGGGTCGGAGAGGGTGGAGTACGGAATACACCGGATGTTGGTGACGGCGCAGCATTGCTTGGTGGAGCCGCTAATGCAGCAGACTCACTAACAGCGACAACGCCCTCTTCAACGCCATATATGCGGACAAGGTCTTCAAGACGACTGCGCGGTTGCGCATGGTCAAACAAGTCTTTGAAGGACTCGTCTCGCTCGAGATGGAGTTCAGATTCGTCTGCCCAGACGTCCTCCCGCACCTTGACGGCGATGAAGAGGTCCAGGGTCGCAGTTTCGCGTTGAAGAGTGCCCAGTCGAAGATCGGCTGGATTACTGGTCGACGCGAATGGAGACTGGGGAGAAGTGGGGAGAGGGAAGGGATCAGAGCTGTAGGGCGAACGAATCAGGGAGTCGTAGGCGGGAAGGTAGGTGGAGCGCAATACATGCATGGAAGCTTTCATCGTATTCAGCACTCGGTTTAACATGTTCAAAAGCACGCACGCACCAACGTAGAGGGCTCGATTTACCAGCCGAAGGCTAACGGATAACCAGTACAGAGTCTTGCGCTGCCGCTCCTTGCTACTCTCATTTAGATCGGGCGTTTGCGGGAACGTCATATGAACGATCTGAAGAAGAAGATGGGCTGGGAGCGTGGACAACGTTGTTGGCTGTCTACTGTGAGGAAATGGCGGAGGTCCATTGTTGTTCGCCTGGTCCGGAAAGTACGGGGGTGGGGGGAGGCTGCATCGTCTTTTCGTCGATAATCATGGTGTCTTAAGGAACGACGTAAGAGCGCTATATTTGGAAAACTTCGAGCTGCGGAGCGAGTGAACCGCAGTGAGGAAAGCCGCAAAAGACACGAAGGGTCAAGCACAAGCTAATTCTGTCAGGTCCGAGATCACCCTTGTTGACACGAATCGCGGAGGCACGTGCACAAATACGACAGCTTCTTGTGCAGTGCATTGTTGTGCCTTGCAGCCAAAGAAAAATTAGATCGGAGGAAGGAGAGATCCGACATCGAGTTTAGGAATAGCAGCCCCAGCCAAAAAAAAACAGATGAGCCATCGGCCAATCCGAAGATGAGGGCGAACTGGTGGTCAAAAAATCTGAATTGCGGTGTCCAGAAAGGCGCGAGAAAACTCTCAATGAGAAATACGATCCGAAAACAGGTTTCGCCTTTGTTCGGAATCTGCCAACACAGATTTGTAACTCCCATCTAATCCTCGTTTCTCGTTCTTTGTCGTCCACCCAAATTCGTTGTTGGCTTCGCTCACAATGAGCGTCGCTCCAGGTGCCCCCTTGCCGACTGCCTCGTCGTCGTCGGCGCTGCCTCCAAAAGCCCCCACCCCCACCGAGACCACGACAGCGACTCCTGGGAGAGCAGTGGCATCGACTAAAAAGCAGGCCACTGGACACATCCCCCGTCCAAAGAATGCATTTATTCTCTTCCGCAGCGAGTACGCTCGCAAACAGCAGCTTACTTCAGCCACGTCCAACGTGGAGAGGGAGAACCAAAACGACCTCTCTCGCTCTGTTGGCAAGGTGTGGCGGGCGATGACGGACGCGGAGAGGGCACCATGGCATGTTTTGGCTGACGAGGAGAAGAAGAGACACGCGGCCCAATACCCAGGGTACAAATACGCCCCTCGACCAAGAAAATTACCACCATCGAGCTCAGGTCCCCACACCATCTTGCAAAATCCGATAGCGCGGGCCATTCCAACAGCCCCTCGGACGGCTGGAGCCGTTTCCTACCAGCAATTCGCTCCCTCGCAGTCAACATTCTACTCTGCTAGCCGCCCGCGTGCGACATCTTCCTCTGCGCATCAGCCTGTCCGTGTCAAGCCGTACCCACAATCTCAAGTTCGCTCTTCGCTGGCCCTGGAGGGGCGGAGGATCGACATGGATTACAGTCCTTCACGGTCCAGCGATGATGACGAAGACACTGACGAATTCCTCGATGACGATGACCCGCGGCCTACTCTGAGTAAAGCATGCTGGAATGTCGAGCCAGAGTCCCACAGTGCGCATTATTCTTCCCGCAATCTCTTCACGTCTGACATGTTGACAGCATTCGGCTCCAATCTCACTTCACCCTCAAGCACCAGTCGAAGACAAGTGCGCCGTCCTTTCTTTTGAATTCATCTTTTTAACTTGGACACGTAGTTATCTTCTGAAGGGTCACTCTCCAGCATAAGCTCGGGCCCCTCACCATCATCTGCCTCTTCCTCTCCTTCCCCTCCAACTCCGACTCCGCGAACGCCGCCCGATCGTGGTCTCCCACTCAGCTATGACCCTACAGACAAACGCGCAGTGTTCAGTCACATTAGCGCACGCGAGTCGTCAGAGCGGTCGACTGCATGATACTTTCTCTCCTGGGATCTATTGTAACACTCCTCAATGTACACGAAAGCATCATAGGTAAAGCAGGTAAAAGCATTGCGTTATTATGTATTCTGTGAAAGTGAATGGAAACGGCAATCACGCATTCAAATGAAACCCTTCGTGAACAAACGTGGGGCTTGGGAAGCACAGATAGCTACAAAAGTTATTTACAGGTTACACGATTAGAGTCTAATGGTTTACTCCCCCAGCGAAACAAGCACCATACTACCCACACCAGCTAACAGGCTCCCTAACGCCAATGCCCGTCTCCCAGCCGAAGCGGGCTTGCCAGAAGCGTCTGGTTTGTCGTCCTCCTGCTCGACATCATGTGAGTGGCCACCATGTCCATGTGAGTGGCCCATTCCGTCCTCGAGGTTCCCGTACACAAAGTCTGCCGCAAGCATCTCGACAGTCGTCGCGTATATCAGCATCCCTGCGGAGACAGCAGACATTATCCCTTTGATGAGAAGTGTTGTAGCCAGGGGTTTTGCTGGTGAAAAGATCAGTTGGAGAGAAGGCGATAAGGAACAAACAAACATTTGGCACTCTGCCCATTGAATGCGGCAACACCAACCGCAAGCCCAAGAGGTGTCGTAAGTGCGAAAAGAAGGGAGAGCGTGATGGAGAACCAATCGCGGCGGGGGTGGTGCTTTGCAGGCGGTAAAGAGGCTATCCGGATACCAAGCGACAGTCCCTCGAAGAGCTGATGAAATATGATGGCAGTGAGTAGCGAAGCTGGTGAAATTGAGTATGCAACAACGAGAGAAAGACAACACACTAAAGTCGCCACCAGTCGTCAAGGCCAACGTCAAACCAATGACTAGTGAATGCAGCATAATTCCCAGTTCAAGAACCTAAACCCGTTAGTGCGTTCAGCGATCTCGACGGGTAAACTCACAATGATTCCAACCATCTGCCTCCCTCTCCCAATCGTAGGAGTTGGCTCATCTGCCTCTGACTCGGCCACATCTTGCGGGAGATGGACGGGAGCTCGGTCATGGTTCGCTGTTGTTACACATATAGACAACAACCGACCATCGTGTCGGCTAAGCGGGCAGTGTCTTGGTGGAGCGAGGATGGCGGCGACATAATCGGGGTTGGCTTTGGAATGCACAGGAACCAATAGCGGGGTCGTTTCCATTACTATGGGTTGGGGAGAGTGCGGGCGCGAGGGTGGAGCGGAGATGGCGGGAGATGAAGGTGCTGAAGACTCTGCATGGAGGAAATCGACGTAGGAGGTCGATATATCTGTTGCCATGTGGGTCAGGGAGGGCTGGTAGTGACAACTGCATTACGCACATTCGACGAAGAAGATGAAGAGCAAAGAGCTTAGTCTACGCAAGTTGGTGAGCATCCCAGGACAAAAAAGTTGGACGTACATTATTAATCCGGTTTGCTCGCCCACTTTGGGATACTTTTTCTTCAATATCGGGTTCTGAAGGTGCTCAAACGAGTCTTGTAGCAGATGGCAGAAGGCAGTGGATAGGATGACGCCTTGGAAGTCAACAACGATAAGTGGTCTGGCACGAAATATGGTGTCGCTCACCAGTCCCAAAGTGCTTTCCAATGAAAAACGCGACATGCGGTATGCGTAGTAGCCGAGTCCGTTTGGATATGCTGGGGAACGATACAGCTAATGGCCAACGTCAGCTTTCTGAACGTTAGCGGACGCAAACCGCCAACCAAAGAGCGACAGCAAGAAGATTCCAAAGATGGCGTATATTTTGGGCGTGTTGTTCATGGGTTTCCCAGCGAGGACAGAGATGGAGGAGGACATGTCCCACAATGAGGTCAGAGAAGATAGCCAAGTCGGCTGTGACGCCGTCAAGGGAGGAGTAAGAGGACCGCACCAGTCCTTCTGTGATCGCCAGCTGGCCAATCACCCGCTGTGGATTTCTCGCAATCATGAGTTATCTGATTTCCAAAGCACCAAGTCTTTCTGAGCTTTGGACTTGATAGTCGCAAGTTTCACAACTACAAAGAGTACATGTATGGTACTTGATGATGACCATCTCAGAAGTTTATCGCCTTGCTCGCTTTCTAGAGCGTGTCTCGATCGGCGCAAGCTTTGTGTCAGTATCAGTGCTCTGCGCTTTGCGCTTCCGTTTCCCTGCTTTTGAGATGGACGGCTCGGCTGGTTTGGAGTCTGGAGCAATGGCGCGCTCTTGAGGAACAGCGGAAGTGCGATGCCGTGTCGTGTTGCTCCCCGACTGCTCTTCAACGGCCTTCGCTTTTCCTTTTCCTTTGCCCTTCCTTTTTTTGCGTCCGGATTCGTTCTTCTGCAATGACGGTATTTGCACCTCTGTGTCCGGTTCTAGCTCTATACCGTTCCACTCCTCAGCGTTGACGTCTTCTGGAACCTCATCCGGGACAAACTCGACGATGTATTCGACCTCCCTCGAAAAGGCCATAGCGTTGTGTTGGAGCTCGAAAGGCTTGTCGCCAATGTAGCTGTTTCCGTCGACGACAGCCTCGATTGGAATCTCCAATGCGTGGATATTGCCTTCCTCGTCTTTGCCTTCCAGGCTGAGCGGTGGAGGTAGGTCGGCTCCAGGATTGACGTGTTCCGTCAGCGATATCGGTCGCTCGCTATTGGGAAAGCTCAACACGAATGAACACAAAGTCTTGTTGCGGCGCACCGTTCTGTCAGGGATAATACCCGGTAGAGTGCGAGTCTGTCTGAATTGGAGAGCGTTCCCATCTGCAATAGCAACCCCATACCTCGAGTCAATAATATCATTCTCCTTCAAGCTTTTCGGCAAGCACTCCAACACTTCGTCCAAAAACTTCCACACTTCCGAGTCTTCGTCGATTCCTTCGGGTGGCATATCTAACAGTTTAGAGACATTGTAGGACAGGGCGAACAGCTGCATGGAGATGTCCTGCAGGGTGGGTGCTTTCTTGCTGAGACGGGCCATATAGGAATGTCCTTTCGGCATTTCGGCTACAACGCTGGAGGCGGACGCGTTCAGCGACTCTGGAGTGCTTCTGCTCATGGTGGTAGGTTTATGAAGACGCGCAGCGATGCAGGCATGGCTTTTATTGTTGTTGTGCTTTGACCCAAGTTCCAAGCGCAACTGTGACAAATGTTGTGACATGATGATATCAGAGGATATCAGTTGCAACAAAACCTTCACCTCCCTTTAGCAAACTTCGAGGCGTCATCACTCTGCGTAAGAGGATACAGCCTGCTTGAATTCCCCGCGCCTTCGCGTGTCGTCAAGTTGTTTCTGACACCGACGACTCACAGCTGGCCATGGATGTAGGAATATCTTGACCTGACGCGAGATATGGTTGCGGCTCACCCGCACCAGCACCAGTCTGCAAACTCAGTTTGAATCTAACCATTTCCAAAAGGCTGACTCTTTTCCTCTTTTCCGGACTGGTCACTTCACGGGCACGCGTCGGATATGCGAAATACGAGAGGCCAACCTCGACTCCGACGTTGACCATTATAGTAATGCAACAGGTTCTCTGCTAGGCCTTTTATCTGCACCTTCACATAGCACTTCTAATATGCGCTCACATCGACTAGTACATCTCTTCCACATACTAATGCCAGGTGAAGAACCCTTATTTCCCTTTTCTTTGAAAAATATCTCAATCTATGTAGACCTTGCGCCTTGAAACGTGGCACGGTTGCAGTCAGAGATAACCATTGCGAGGTTTGAGTCGCTTCCAATCGTTATATGTAGCTTCCTCATAACCGGGCTCTCCGACGGACGGTAACCGGGCTTTCCGACGGACGGCTTACAAAGGACGTTAGTAAGTCTTCCCTGGCTGAGAATAATTACTTGACCTGACTTCAGATAACATGCTGTACTTGGAAGCCACTACGCCGAGTCTTTCATTCTGAGATCACTAGTCAGAATGACGGTGACACCTTCACTCGTTGACCTTTTAGTTCAAGCAGTGGCAGGTATTCATAATGTATTCCGGCGAACTCGGTATACCCTCTCTTAATCGTGCGGCAAATAGGCGCGCGTCTTCCGGCAGACAAGATGAGAGCGTGGAGCTGATGATGTGCTGAATAATCCTCTCCGTCTGGTTGCGGTATAAAAATGACTGTGTGGATCGAAGAAGCCCACGCAAACCGACTGAAAGATGTCGCTTCCCACCTTCACCCAGAGTAGCACTGCGCAAGAAGTCGCTAGTGCACTGAAGAATGAAATATCCCGAAAGAATGGTGAGCGGATTCGCCTACTAGTACCCGTCCAGGCCATTCAGCTCACCTTGACTTGACCAGTTCTGATTACTGGAACGTCCATCAAGGGGATCGGATTCGAAACTGCGCGGGCCCTTGCGCCGTACGCCAACCTGGTTGTCATTACCGGATACAACGCAGAACGGTTCGGGCACTCAGCACTCGAAATGGGACGAGAAACTGACCGAGCTACGCAGATTGAAGTTATCCGAGGATGCGCTCAAAAAAGAATTCCCCTCCGCAAACATTAGAACATTGACGCTCGACTTGTCTTCCCAAGCTTCCGTCCGTAATGCGGCGGCAGAAGTAAACGCATATTCGGAGCCAATTCATGCGAGTCATCGTTTTTTGGGCCTGTTGTAAACCTGATCTATTCAGCAGGTACTGATCAATAATGCCGCGAATACTGGGGTTTATTACCTTACTAAAGACAACTTCGAGGCACAGATGGCTACCGCTCAGTTCGGTGCATTCCTCTTCACTAAGCTACTCACGCCAAAATTACTTTCCACTAAAACAGCGACATATCTTCCTCGTGTCGTATTCGTGGCCAGCGCAGCACACTCCCAGGCGCCGTCGGGACTCGATTTTTCTACTCTTCGTCAAGGCGACGAGCCCGCCATTGCATCCACACCAGCCGGCATAGTGAAGCGTTACGCGGAGACCAAGATAGCCAACATATTGACAGCGAAAGAGCTGGCGAAGAGAGCCCAGGGGCAATTAAGGGCCTATAGCTTGCATCCTGGGAGTACGCTTGAACCTTGTGATACACTCCAAGCCATTCTAATCATCTGCCCCAGTGATACCGACCAACGGATTTGACAAGGAAGCGATTATTCCAATGATGAAGCAGTTCGGCGTTCTGGACAGCGATGGAAAGCCCCAGGAGAATAATTTCGATAAGTGGAAAACTCTGGAACAGGGTGCTGCAACGTGAGTGAACCGCAGACGAGCAAAACAATACTCATTTTGTTTGCAGAACCGTGGCTGCAGCCTTTGATCCTAGACTCGACGGTAAGTCACTGCTGTGATACAGTCCTGCTTCGTCAAAAATCGAACTTCTCCACAGACAATTCTGGGTCATATCTGGTGGACAGCGTGGTCGCTGACGAGCAAGCCGCTGAGTATGCCAAAGATCCTGTAAGCTCTTCAGTCGGTTGCCTCAGACGAACTCTTTTCTGACCCATACATGCTCGCATGTGTTATAGGCGACCGCTGAGAAGCTGTGGAAGTTGACGGAAGAGATTCTCGGGGAGAAGTTTGAATTTTCCTAGATTGTGGGGGAAAATGAGCCGCTCAATAGACAAGTAGCACAGTTTGAAGATTGACCTCTCAAAGTTGCGATTCGTTCATATGGTTCGATGTGACGCTAGATGTGACAAGTATGTCACATCATCCCAATCATGGTCACGCCGCCGCATTTGTGCGGCAACGTTTCTCTTCTGGAAAGCTTTCGAGTCGCTGTTTTATACGCCAAAACAGCATGTGCAGGCGTTTTATGCTCCGCGTTCCTGCCTAACCCCAACTGATTGCACGGCGTCGACTCGTTCTTCTATTTTTCGTATCGCTCTATCTTCGCTGCGCATTCATTCAGTTCGAACATGCTATGACTGTTTGTTTCGCTTTGTTTGGGTCTTGTTCAACTCTTTCCTTTCATCTCCCATGCCCCCCGTCAGACGAGGCCGTGCCAGCGGTCCTGCCTGTGGCCAGAATGCAGACAGGTAAGCGATCCTCTTTCCTCTTCGCCTATTTTCAACTCGCATTCAGAAAACTCGTGGTCGCTATCGATATTGGCACGACATTCACGGCGGTATCGTACTGCGAGGTGTATCCCGGGAACCAGCATCAGCGAAACTTTGAGGAGGTACTAGTATATAGTTTACAACTGCATGAATATCGGCATTCATCCATCCATTAGATTGTCAGATGGCCCAAGCAGGTAAGGAATGAACTGGTCACTTATTCGAGGTGTTAAAAAAACGCAAATCAAGACAACCGGAGATGCGAAGATACCTTCTGTTGTCTTTTATGACAAGCACGGCCAGGCGCAAGCGTTTGCGGCAGAAACCGAAGATGACGTTGGTCTTGTTTGCCATCTCAACCTTGTTATGTGACTTTCGCCTAGGATGTTCGAGACAGTGCCGCAGAAAACTCCTGGAGTCGGGTTGAATGGTAGGCGGCTTCAGATAATCCCACATAATGATACTTTGTCCACTTACTGTGCACCGTGGACCACAGGTGGAAGCTACTATTGCGCCCCAAGCACCTGGCAGCAGTCAGCCTACCAAGTAGCATCGCGCCATTGCCGCACAATGTGGAACTCCAACAAGTGTTGGCCGACTTTTTGCGCTATGTTAAAAACAATTTCAGGGAGTATTTCATCAGCAACCGTGTGAATGGAGCATATATCTGGGACACCCTCTTCCCTACCTTGGATGTAATTTTGACGACCCCGAACGGCTGGGAGTTCAATGAACAACACATGATGAGATGTGCTGCTATCGATGCAGGTCTGGTGCAGGAAACCGAAGGGCTGCGTGTGCGATTTGTGACTGAAGCTGAAGTGAGTTAAACCTGCTAGACCGTATGGTTCCTACTCAGGAGTCCACTTTAGGCAGCCATTCATTATGCTTGCAAAGAAGATAAAATTCACGATTGGCTGACCGTAAGCCTTCGTTGTGGTCAAGATATCGATCGTTGCATTAATTTCTTCGAAGGTCGGTAATCAAATTATCCTTTGCGACGCTGGAGGTACGCGGATTAAGTCAGGTCGCAGGTTGAAAGTCAACTCACAATTCGCTCAGGTGGCACGATAGATATCAAGTATGGTCTAAAACCTTAAAAAACTGTTCGGGTTTAATCGCGTCGAAAAGTGCCTACAAAGTTGTTGCTGTCCAACCTAAATTGCAATTGGAGGAGTCATCTGCACCTCAATGTTCGTTTTGTTTCCTCGAAATGTCCCTGGGGTGATCATCAAGTTAGGTTTCATGGCTGGTGCTGTCTACGTTAACAAGGCCGCCTGGAATTTCCTTCGTCGTAGGCTTTGTTTTCGTGATTTGTCATGTAACTGATTTACTCCGCCAAAGAACATCTTCGCAACAGTGTCTGGGATAGCAATGACAAACTCAAGCTCATTGTCGACACATTTGAGAGAACATTGAAAAAGAAGGTCCGTGTTTTCACCGAACAACTACTGAATACTAAGCGGAATTGGATAGTTTTCCGGAGATGGTCAGGACTGCTATCTTCCAATAAGCGAAGATCCAACGATCACGGACGAACAACGAGGAATCAAGCGTGGCAGGCTTCGAGTTCCAAGGCATGAATAAGCATTGCCCTGCATCGTTACAGCGGATTGAAATTTCTCTCAGTGCGACCGTTGCGTCTTGGTTCGCCGATCCTCTCAGTCAGACCAAGCAAGGGATTTTGGATGCATTCAGAAATAGTGGTCGACAGGCTGACGTGCGTATCGTTTCTGGCCGGTTGGCCCGTTGCAGTGAGAGTCCAACTTTGTCCGCTAGAAAATCATACTTGTGGGAGGACTCTCGCAGTCGCCATATTTCTACAATCAGATCTCTTTGTGGAGCGAGACAAAGGGCTTCTCTCTCAGTCGTCCTCAAGGCTCCTTGGCGAAGGTCGTGCCAAACGGAGCACTCAATTGGTATCTTGACTGTCTAGTGCAGTCACGGGTTACGACTGCTCATTATGGGACGGACGTCCTTGTTCGATACAGGGAGACCGACAAAGCACATAAGAAGTACACGCTAAATACATTCCATGAACTTGACGGCACAACCTACATACCTCAAACCTGGTTGGAGCTTGATCGCGGGAAAGGTGAGCCGTTTGTGCTGATCACGGGAACAGCAAACAATATTGTTATTCAGAACTGCAAAATCCATGCCAAGCAAGAATTCGAGGAAGCGTTTTTCATCACCTTAGGAGACGACACCGTAGACTTTGAACGAGAAGAAATAATCTATGCATTCCGGCGAAGCCACCCACCCGAGTTCATCTGTCAACCTGGTTCGTGACGATTGCGTCTGCATTATAACTTGGATGACCTAAGATACTCAAGGTACGACTGCTCTAAAGCTAGGATTTGATAAAATATGCTCTGTGAAAGTCAATCTTCGTGATTGCTTTCGATCAACGCCTCGCACGCTAGCGCTCAACACTAAAGTATGGATCCGAAAACTCGAGGTCCGTGAATTGCGTATTTTGCGGAGATGGGTTTGACATCATTTTCAGTTCTACATTTGCCTTCGTTTGACTGGCACCGAAATCTCGGCGCGCATGAAATGGTTGGATAACGTAAGTGCTTTGAGATAATCTCCGAAAAAAAATTGAGTTCGAACAGGGAAAAGCTGTGTACGGTCCAGCAACAATCTCACCTATCTGAGCTTTTGTAATAATTCTGTCAAAGTATGTACCATAATGTCTGTCAAGCCTCTTTGTTCTGGCGCGTTAACATTGAGCCTTGAGAACGTCTTCGAAAATGCTTTTGGTCATGACGACAGGTTTGATGATAAATTTAACTTCTTGGTGGCGACTTTCCTTCGTCAATCCGAGCTGGTACGGCCCGATAACCTCCTCTCGCGGACGTCCTTTACGCTCCCAGGGCGTTGACATGGTTTGCGGATCGAACGACGGATATCGACCAGTTTGCGGGTGAATGCCCGTACCCACAACATTCACTTGTGTTGATATCATGTCTCGACGAAGTTTCAACACTGTTTCGTTTGCATCGTCATAGATCTGGACAAGCTTTGCTTTAATTTCCGCGGCAAGCGGGCGTAAGGCATCCTCCCCAATCGCGTAGGTCGAGTTTAACAATTTCACGATGAAGGTGTAGTCAGCTTCCACCCTCGAGTTCCTCTCGTGTGTATCTTGGTTTTCAGGTGGAATGTATGCTGCGGTCAACGACCTCCATCGCTGGGAGATAGACCAAGTCTCTGTTATGATCAGTTGGAGCCGACCACTTCATAGGTGAATGGACTGACCATCGGTCTTGATGTTCTCGTATGTTGCGTTGATTTGCCCGCAATTGTCCAACCGGCGGGGTACAACATTTCCGTCGAAGGAATAGTAGATCAAGTGAGAAATGAGATACCGGTGCAATGAGACGTCGAGAAAATGCGATTGCTTTCCCGGAAATTTGTGCATATTGTGAGTAGCAAATCGTAGAATTGCATCGTCTCCCTCTCCATGGAATGAATCTGAGAGGCGTCCACGTGGTCGCAGAGATGAAAGCCTGGACCCTTCCCGTCTTGGTGCCAGATCATCAGCGCTGTCGATAATGACTGAGATAAAATCGTCAATTGACGAGTTAAGATCTTGAACAAGACCCTGGCATTCCGCCTCGGATATTTGATCTGCCGTGTTGTGAAAGAGACCAGCATCCTCGCCGAGAGGAAACCCAAGAGAGGTTTGGGATGGAGCGCCAGCTGCCATGGCTCCAAGTTGCTGCATCGGCAGTTGCGTGCGTTTGTTGTGTTTTTGGCCTACCAATGGCTGTGTGTTCGCTGCGTCTTGCGCTTGGTCTGAATGGCAACGGGATGTTTGACGGATTTCAGCCTGGATCTCAGGTTCCGGCGTGCGTAGTCTTAATGGATCGGGTGACTGAGAATCGAGTTCACGCTGGTTTGTATTAACCTGCTCCTCGACGTCGCCCATTCTAGCCTCCCCCCTGACATTTCTATCGGGAAAAGGGAGCAAATCACCACTTAAATGGTTTAAAAACGTGGTCAGTGTTCGCACCTTTCAAGGCCCCAGGAAGATTCTAATTCGCTGAAGTCCGACTCGTAGCCAACATCTATGACGGTAGACCCACGGGGCTTTACTTTGGGCTTCTTGGCTTGTCCCTTCGTGAGTGGTGAGATGGAGTTTGCGACTTGTTACCTTTGGCTTGCTTCAATGCATCGTCGTCGGCTGAAAAACTTGCAAGTTCTGATTCGCTGTTGTTGGCGTTCGAAGGAGTCACATTCGCAAACTCCTGAGGTTTTTTGATAGAATTTCCCGTTGAGTTTGTGTTGCATTCGCTCTCTCTTAAAGTTCTCTTTGGTGGCATAAGATGGAGAAAAGAGTGAGAAAAGTGACGCATCATTTTTCGATTTCAGATCAATTCGAAACGCAGCAAGTGGCTACTGCAAATCGACACTTTTTATGTTAGGCAGGTCAGCTCCGTAGCCGCCCTCTTACAGGCAAGTAGTACGGGTAAGTACAGTCCTCGATCTGCTTCAATGGCAAGTAACCGAGTTCAACCAACTTTCGGACCTCTTCGGACTCGAAGTCAACTCGAAGTGATCGGAGTCGATTTTTCTTGTCACAGTGAGTGAGTGACGGCGGTTAACACTCGTCAATCGCCTCCAAATACTAATAGCCTCACTTCGTCTTGAATCTGCCGCTATTGACTAGATTTTCCGGGCTTTACTTTGTGCGCTCTGACTCTGCACTACCCACAGGAATCTAAAAAATTTCTCCAGACGTCAAGCAAGCTCGAGCTTGGTGGGGTCATTAGTCAAACGACGTGGAAGAGGTGCGAATGTTCCACCTGTACTCTTGCGGCCTCCCTTGATGTTTGCGCTATGTAGATGGCCAGAGTACAACCCAACTTTCGTCCCGGGGCGACGGTGACTCGGGCGTTGGTGACCGTCTACCAGGCACTGCTCGCTGCCATTGCCCGACTGGACAAGTCTTTCAATCCTAAGGACACAATTACTCGTCTTCGAAGACACCAATTCACGTGGTCCGACTCGATATACCTCTTCCATCTTGCCTCCGTTGCGTTCTGGCTGCCGCTGATGCAGGTTCCGGGATACCCCACAAAACTCCTTATACCCGTCCTTTTCACGATTGCCCTGCTCGTGCCGTTCACCTCCCAATTCTTCCTCCCCGCCATCCCGGTATTCGCCTGGTTGTTGATGTACTATACGTCTCAGTTCATCCCCGTTTCCTGGCGACCCACCATTTCCGTCTCCCTGCTTCCCACTCTTGAATCCGTGCTGTTTGGGGCCAATATCTCCGACATCCTCACCCGTTTCACACATCCTGTACTCGATATTGTCGCATGGCTCCCATACGGCATCAATCATTTCGCCTTCCCATTCGTGGTCGCTGCGTTTACCTGGCTATTCCGGACCAAAGAGGTTCTGCAGCTCTGGGCCCGAGTGTTCGGCTACTTTAACTATGTCGGGGTCCTGATTCAAATTCTTCTTCCCTGCGCCGCTCCGTGGTACGAGATTATCCATGGCTTGACCCCAGCCAACTATGGCATGCATGGTTCGCCAGGCGGGCTCCTTCGGATTGACCGACTTTTTGGCGGACATGGCTATACTGTTACGTTCTCCAACGCCCCCGTCGTATTCGGTGCCTTCCCATCACTTCACGCAGGCTGCGCAACTCTGGAGGCACTCTTTGTCTCCCATTTCTTCCCTCAAGCAACGCGTTACGTCTGGGCCTATGCCGGGCTGATGTATTGGGCCACCATGTATCTCTCTCATCACTATCTCATTGACGTTGTCGGGGGAGGGTGTCTCGCGGTCTTTTTCTTCTACCTCTACCTCCCTGACGAGTTCCGGAATCCATCCAACGCAACTGCCCAACCGAGCAACTTGTCAACAAGGGGGACGTCGCCGAGGTCCAAGTACGATGCTTATGATTTGGAGGCGCCGTTACGAGGGAGCAATCTGAGGCGCCAGATGATGGTTGACGCCGCCGAGTTCGACCTTTCTGACGGGTCTCAGGCCTCGGACGAGGAGGACGTGGACATCGCATATCGGTCACCGTTACCGCAGGGCATGAACAGTAAGCAGTCGTCCCAAACGGGGAGAGGCGGGAAGCGGACCGGCGGAGGGGGAAAGAGTCATAGACATACTGCGAGTATCGCCCGTCTGATTCGAGAGGGTGAGCGTGGGCCAGAGGAAGCATGGAATAATAGTCCTATCGGCGCAACGTTTTTCGACGCTGGTGGAGATGTGGAGAGTGGCCATGGGAAGCGGTAAACTTATTATACTCTAGTCCTTAGTACAAACAAACACTGGAACGCATTGTTTTTCATGACCAATAGTATCTGCAGTCTGAATTCGTGTTTTTTTTTTTGAATTTACAGATGGTATGTGACGTGTCACATGTGACCTACGGTGACTGCTCCCTTGAACCAAACCAACGACAACAAAATGGCCGGCGGATTCCCCTGGGACATCCTGAGCGCCAATACGTTACGTCCCATAATTGCGGACATCTATCGTTCGCGTGGAGTCACTGTCCCACACCTGGCGAAGGCAGAGTCGCTTGATCTCATTGCTAGAATAGAGAAACTCGGCAGTACGCGCTTTTCTCCTGACTTTTGTGCCAAAAAACTTATTGGCACATATCTAGTCGACAAAGTGTTTAAAGACGAAGAAAAGAAGAAGAAGAACGCTGCTGAGGTGGAAACAGTTTCTGGTCGACGATCGAAGCGGAAACACGTCGAAGAGGAGGAGCAAGAGCAAGAGCAGGAAGTCGACGAGCCAAGGGCAAAACGCGGCAGGCCAGCTGTCAGTACAGCTAACAACAACATATCTGCACGCACTCGTTCCACAAGAGGCAGGCCTGAAGAAGAAGCAGAACCGATTTCGCAACAAAAGCGAGGGAGAGGGCGTCCTCGCAAACAACAACAGTCTGAAGATGAAGAGGATGCTGACGAAGCAGAGCCAGAAGAGGAATCAATCTCAACTGCTCCCAAACGCGGAAGAGGCCGACCTCCAAAAACAATCTCTGCCCCTTCTGCGTCACGCAGTCGAGCCAGACAAAGCCTTTCCCGTGTTTCTACTAGCCGCAAAGCTCCAGCTCAGCCACGCGTTTCTGCTCGTATTCGTGCAGCATCTGCATCCCCTAAGAAAAGGTCGGCCTCGCTTTCCCCCCGCAAGGGTCGCAGGCCCGCCCAGCCTCGCGTCGTCGGTCGGCCCCGCGCGGTTAAACCAAGGCCTCGCCAACGGAACAAGTCGGCGGCGGCTAAGACGCGGCGCAAGCTCGTCTTCGACGGTGTTGAATTACCCAAGTTTCTGCCGGCTGGAAGCCTCAACGCGCTAGTCAATGGTAACGACGACGACGAAGATATGCCTTCGGTTCTTCAAACCGAAGATGAAGATGCTATCGGAGAGGATGCAGACTTGTCGAGTTTGCAGAACTCGAATAAAGGTGTGTGTTGGGTGACATTTTTTTCATCTCGTAGTTATACTTATAAATCCTCTAGAAAACGAGGCCTCCCTTTTGGAAATCGCGACTGCCCGCACTGACGAGGGAGAGGAAGTCCCAAATCGTACGTGACTTTCTCTCTCATTAAGTCATATTTGATCATGACTCTCGGTTAGCTATGGACATCGACATGGGTTCAGAGCCTGACCATGGCGATGCTCAAGACCGAGCTCTTGAGCCAACTGATATAGACTCTCCAATGCCTCAAGAACACACAGTAGCGACAGATGATCAAATTGAAGAGGCTCGACTGCATGGTTCCGCTATAGGTTTGTGGCTGCGAAGATTTCCTCTTTTCTTTACAATACTTAGAATTTCTTAGGCATCGACCTTGACGCGCCAGAAATCACGATCGAGCCCATTGCGGGCAGCGGGGTCACCAGCATGCCCGTAGAGAACGGTCAAGTACCCGCTCCTGCTAATGGTGAAGCAAGCGGGAATGGCCTGCTTCGGCCCACCATAAGTTCGTTGCTCTCTAATATCTTTGTACGAAGTCCTTAATAACGCAATCCCACCCCTTTTTTTCCTCCTCCTTCCCTGTCTTTTTATCGTCTTCGCAGTCACCGCACGGGAAGGGAGCGTCGAGCTCAACCCCGAATATCGTATCGAGGTTTTTTCGCCCACCAGTGCAATTGACGATGAGGCACCAGGGGCGAACTGGGTCAACGGGACTGCAAGCGACGAAAACGCTGCTGCCGAGGCAATCCCTGTGGGAGGCGAACCTGTCCCCCTCGAACTTGAAGTCGCCATCGGTGGTCTTGATGGTATTAAAAATATCGTGCCCCCGGGAGACACACCGGCGAGTTTAGCTGAGTCGGACACGCTGGAGCTGGAAATCGACGACCAACGAACTGGGTTTGACGCGTACGAGTTTGACGACCCTATGGCTACCATCGATGGTGAGTAGCAAGAGATGCTTTCTTTTCGTATCGTCGTCTGAGAGACTGTATGTAGCCCTCCCTTGATGGGAGACCCAAACACGGGAAGGCTAAATTATGGAACCCCAGCGCATGGGACAAACTTTCTATAGTCTCCCTCACCACTTATTTCATTCCTATTTCCTCTGTCCCTGTACTTACTCGCCCTGCTTGTCTCGATACTCAATCTTGTCCTTTTTGCTTTGCACGTGATCGCTTTGCCACTTGACTTGCGCCTACCCTTGCATGTCGGATTTGCGCGAACGAATTAACCCTCGCGTCAAGATTGACCGAAATCGGACCATGGCTTCCACGACGACTGACCACGAACGCGACCGTGAACGCGACTCCAACTCGTTTCACGAGGGCTTCTCTCCCAAGCCGCTAGGAGTAAAAACAATATTCGATGCCGACGACGACGTTGTGGTGGTAGGCTCGAGCTCAGAGAGAAGCCGTCATTGGGAGCCAGAAAAGGAGCGTTACGCAGAACGAGGAAACGACCGCTACAACGAATACACACGAGACCGAGACAGAGACCGAGACCGTGACCGCTCGCACCAACGGACCTATGGAGGCCGACAGCGTAGCCATCACAAACGCGAGAGGTCTCAAGAACGCAGACGACATCGGAGCGAAGAGCGCGATTATAACGAACCCCGTTCGAAAAACTATCAAGAGGCGAACGCTAAGCGCAGGCGCGTGGATGAGGAGGCCGACGAAATGTATGTCTGCGTGTCCCTCAGATGTCGGGTCGTTCTCAGCATGCGTCTTTTACAATAGCAATTTTCTTCCAAAGCGGGAGAGGTCTCCAGCGCCCCGGCCAAATCTCAAGTGCGCTGTTTTTCCTCGCTTCAGTCATTCCAAGGTTGCTCATGCTTATTTTACAGAAGGAAATCGCCCTCACCGGAATTGGGTGATGTGCCGCCTCGAACACAAGTGCCGGAACGCCGACAAAGTGGCCTGTTCGATTTTACAAAGCGCGTCTTGAAAACCATCGTGGGCAGCCCGACTTCAATACCAACCCCAGCACAGACACCGTCCAATACATCTCAAGACATTCTCGAAAAACTTTGTCATACGGAAGTAGAGCTCAAGTTTACTCTGGACCTGCTGGATGAATCGACGCAAAAATGCAAAGAGCAAGAAGGGGAGATCAATCACATTGAGGCAGATAGGAAGTCGCTGCAGAGAGAGGTGGACAGTCTCCAAGAACGGGTCATCGCTCTGAGCGAAGAGAACGAAAGGCTGAAGAAAGAAAACTCGGAGTTCCAATTGGGCTTGCAGAAGTCACGCTCCCGGGCTGCCGAGTTTGAAGAATCATTAGAAGAGCACGAACGACTCCTCGACCAGGCCCGTCAGCATATTGCTGACCAGCACCAGCAGTTTACGCATCAAAGTTCCAATTACGAACGAAGAGTCAACGAACTGATCAGCGAGAAAGGCACTCTGCGTGCCCAGCTCAAGCAACAAGCCCGGGTCCCGCCCGCCGAGAAAACTATGGACATCTTCGACAACACTGCTGATCAAGTCTCGGAAGCGTCCATTAGGGGCGCAGTCGAGAGTTTGAACGACTCAATCGACAATTTGATTCTCGGCCTCTTTGAGGTTGCTGAACAGCTCGTGAAAGAGCGGGACCCGGCGTATGGCGTGCCCGCGACGAAACAGGACGTCGAGCTTCTTGCCGCTCTGGCGAGGTACTGCGAAAACGAAGACAAACGCGGGTTCATCCTGGAAGCGCTCTGCCACGACTATATCGTCCAGCACATGCAAGCGGCGCTCTTTGACGGGGACCCGGTTCCGCGCATGACCGGGAGGGAAAATATGGAACGAATCCTTGTCCAGGTAACACGCTCTGGTGAGCCATTTTTACTACCCTCGCTGGCGTGTTGAATTTGATGCCTGGCAGTTCCTTGGTCCGTTGCTCAGCGGTGGCGGGCGATAACGGCAGAATCCTTCTTCAAGGCATTCAATGCCAAGCAGCAGCACCAATCCGTGTCGAAGATAAAGGATTCCATGATCGAGGTCTTCAGCTGGGCGTACCAGCAGCCCCCCGAGACTTTCCGCTGCGATGCTTTCACGGCCCCTTTGGCTGCGTTGGACAAGCTTTTCCAGGAGGCGGAAAAACTCGCACTCTCTATCCGCACTGACGTCCTTTCCGTGCGCATGTCGGTTTTCTTACCGCGGCTTAACAGCAAGGAAGAATATGGGCCATACAATCCTGGGGCGATGGAGGCTGTGTGGTCAGACATGGGTAGTGTCGAGGGCGACAAAGTCCTCACCGTGTACCATCTCGGTTTGCGCAAACAAACCCAGTCAGACCAGGGCGGCGCCTTCACCACCATGATCCGGCCCCAAGTAGCAACCATGGCGTTATTGCGCGAAATGGAAAAGGACACATAACTACTCTACATGCAACATATCGTATTCGTTCATTATCAGAAAATTTACTTATAGTTAACATAGTACTCAAGAAGTTACAAGTAGATTAGTCATAGGCAACGGTGGCGGCCCCATAAACATGCTGATTCTGAGGGCAATTGAGCAGGATCTCGTCACAGAAAACCACTCACATTCTCCAACCATCGCATCCTAGCGCTGATTTCGGTGTCGCCCAGAGTGAGGCAGACTTCGAACTAGGTAAAACACAAAGTTGAATGCATGGAACTGCGAGAACATGATCACACCCACCGAAACCCGCTTAATTTTTTGTCCCGTTTTTCCTACTTGCACGCGTGTGGCTTGGAATATTTTTGACAAATCAGCTTCGACGTTGCAGATACTGTCGAAACCAGGCTGAAAGGTGTTTTTCCCGGGGAACTTGACGAAAGCGGGAGCAGTCAAGCGTCGATATGCATATATTCGCAACGAATAGGCAAAGTCTGTGGCGTCCGCTTTGTACGTGGTCGTGAAAGGTTTCCGGAACTCCTTCGTTGCTTCGATTTTCGCATTCTAAAAAAGACATTTAGCCGCAGAACAGTTAGCTTGCAAGACCGACTTTGTCGACAATACAAGCCCATACGCCGTCAACAACTTCCTCGCCATCTAGATCGACATACTTTTGGCTGGCCCTGGCGCGATGATCTGCCTTGGTATTGTCAAAGGCGGTACGGACAGCGATTCCATAGTGGTATTTGGCGATTCGGGAGCCAACACTGGCATCAAGGTGCCAGGCAAGGGCACCGTTCGCAACTGCTTTGACGGTGGGGCCATCAGGACGCGTGACCGAGATTCCATACTCGTCTCCCCATGCGACTAGTTTGGAAAAAACATATGGAGAGCTCGCAAGACCACCGACGAGGATGACTTTCTGTGGTTGTGTCAACATAAGACCGGGATAAAACTGACAGGAAGATACCAACATCAGCGAGCTTTCCACCATTCTCAAACGCGATATCAAGACCCCGTTTGATATCATCCAGGGGAGCCTTGAAAAACGACTCCATCTCTTCCCTGGAATTCCCGATGAAAGTCTAAATTTTCGCGATGTTTCTGCACTGACCTGGTGATTTTGAGTCGTCCGCGGGTAATGTTCTTCTCGGGGATTGTCTTATGCCCATCCAGTTGGACATAGCAAGCAGCATCAGTCTCGCTGAACTTGAAATTATGTTAAATCAAGGTACATGATATCGTGGAGAGCAAACACACCTTCTTTTTCGCATTGCGATCAAAATGGTAGACAACTCGCTGCAGACGTTCTTCGTCAGCCCATTCGGTACCGCTCAGCCGGGCTGTTAAAATGGGTTGAGCCGAGGGCGCCAGCTCTTGATAGATGCTTGCCTCTGAAGAATGCTTGAGCGGCCTGTGTTACAAACACAGCACCAGCAAGGTAGCCTGGAATCATGTCAAAGACTTGGAAGCGCAGATAGGAAATACAGACACCGCGACGCAGCCGATTCCTCCAACTTTAAAGCAGGTTTTACTGCGTTAATTTTGTAGCCACTGTGACGAATTTAGACCATGAGAGAATAGAAAAAGGATTGGAGTACGTGATATCAACTGTTCCTCCTGTAAAAAATGAGCAGCGTGTCCCCCATCAGATAGGAAACCTACCTCCACAATCGCAAAGGATCAAATGGCTACCCTCGACCAGCCAATCTTCAACGTTTCCGCTATCTGCTGCATATAGGACAGCAGCCTATCAAGCGGTGAGTTCCCAAAAATAGTGATGATGAGATGCTCACCTCAGCTTCCGTAACGAACCTCACTCTCCTTCCACCGTCATGGGAGACGAGTCCAGCGGCGATGGCAGCCTCCCGCATGCGACTCTGCTGAGATCCCTCCCAACCATTTGGGGTGGTCAGGATGACATACATCGTCGGGCTGAGGACATCCCACAGATTGCCGCCAGACCCGTATGTTTGCGTGATGTATGCTTTTATTTGGTCCTTGATGTAGCGAAGAAAGTCGGTAAAGATCTTCTGGAGAGTGACGCCGGCTGGTAGGGGAGGAAGTTGGAGATCTCGGATAATGGGAAGATGGCTAGGTCGCAGGTGCAATTTCCACCTGGCATCACAAGATCAAAAGCTTCAAAAACGGACAAAGACAACAACTGACCATTCGACTTTCCGCCATTCATTTTCCTCGGCCTCAATGACGGTATCCTGAAATGCTCATACATGAGAATCCACAGAAATGCGAGCTCTCTGGATGGCACCTCATCCTCCGTTTCCGCGCCGAAGGCTCTAGCCTTGCCTTGACGGTCGTAGTAGAGCACAGAAGGGACTTTGGCATCAGGTGTGGCCTGGAATGCATCAGATAGGTCCTCTTTGAACCTTGGCCACTTGCCTGTTTGGGCCACCGCAAAATCTGTGCAGGGTCTCGTTGAGTAAAGCGAACGAAGCAAATCAAGTCTCACCTCTTCGAACTTCGGCACGTTTCCAGGTTGGAGCAAGCAGAATGACGCTGCAGTAAAAGTTGTTCCAACGTCGATGCTGATAATGAGTTTCCTACAAACAAGGTCTTTGAAAAGAAAAAGATACTGTAAATGTCAACTATGTTACCTGCTTTCTCCCGCATACGGTGGGCGTGTGTTATCAGAGGGCATTCTCCGGGTGAGTCGACGCAGAACCAGGTCCTGGCTGCGAGTGGCTGAGAGGAGTCCTAGTTGTCACAAATCACGCGTTACTGTTGGCGTCAAGGGAGTTAGGAGACGCGTTTCATAGACTGGTTGCAACCGTTATACAAACAAACAAACAATGCTAGGGAGTAACATGACTGGGTCTACTGTCTCCGAGTTATGCGAATTAGTTTCAATCGTCTGCGGATCCGGATACACCCAAGAGTCCAAAGACCACTGACCATAATTATAAGTACTGTACCCGAGAGGAGCCGACTCAGCAGCCTAACTTAGAGTGATTTGTTGTGCAAGTGAGTCCCTCTATACCTGCTTGAAACATGATGCCAGACACGACCATCTGGTGCTTCTTCACCGAGTGGGCTGTTTGCGTCGACCCGGATAGGTCCTTGCCAAGCTAGCGTACGATACTCTCCGAGTTGGGAGAGACTAGTCGTAGAATGTTGAGCATTGGGATTCTGGGTATTGGATTCAGAACTAACGAAGTCGTAATGGAGACTCGACAACTTGAATGACCATTATTTTGCCTTGAGTAAGCCAGATTAAAATTATATGGCATTGCTTTCCCACCACTATGTAGTGTAACCACAGAAACTCGAATAACCTCAACGTTTTGAACAAGAGACGAAGCTGCTGCCAGCGATGCGTAGCTTTTAGTGGGACTACTCCCAGAGGTGCCCAAGTACTTCGATGTATGGTTTAGCAGAGTGGTCTGGTCGTTGTTAAAAAGGAAGCAAGTCAAGAGGTGCTGACATTCAGAGCTCAAGAAAAGGCTTCCTGGCAAGACAACATCGCTGTGAGATCATGAGTTTAACAGTTGTCGGACACGACGTTTTGAGTCTATAACTCAACCTTAGTTGATGGTTCAAGTTAAGAGCTTTACCATGACAAGACCACTTTGAACGGTCTCTCTGAGCTACTTGGATGTGGCTGGTTGGCGGCAGCAAGCGTCGCAATAAACAAGAGTGGAGGGGAAGGATTTGGGCGATCACTCAGACGATTTTTGGGAGCTGTGTGAGAGAAAATTGCTCGGCTAACTCGATCTCATCATTCGGCTACGCAAAAACAGTTTTTAGTTTTTTGTATCCCCCCAACCCGCAAGAATTGAGCACCCTTGTTGGGAGTCTGTAAAGAGAGTTAGCCAAGGCAAGCAAGGTCCCGACTGTCACCTGATCGTGACATCGACAACCCAGGCAGTGCACAGATTGCGCAACCCACCACGTTCGCCAACCACACTTTCTCTTTGGCTTTCCTCCTGATTCCGGGGCCATCATCTCTAATTCCGAGAGTCCCGCATGCTCACTGCGAAATCATACCGGAAACGCCTCCACGGCTGGCTGAGCTATGCATTTGCAAGGCACCCTCCTCGTTTGAGCGTTAACTCAGGAATACTGACACTAATTTCAGTGAGGTGTTCGTCATCGTGTCGCTGACGCTGTTCCTCCCCATTTGCCTCGAACAATTCGCTCGAGACAATGGGTACCTTCTGCCGGACAAGACAATACCTTGCACTGGCGTCCCAGGAGAGCCCCAAGATGGGCGTTGTGTGGTTAAGATTGGCTGGGTATGGATTGATACGGCCTCTTTCAGGTGAGTTTACTTTCTTACGGAGGATTTTTCATGACTGTCCAACAGCTTGTACACTTACTCTGCTTCTGTTGCTCTTCAAGCTTTGACCGTCATCTCCATGGGCGGAATTGCGGACCACCCCCCGCATCGCAAAGTCCTTCTACTCACATTTGCCTACTTGGGCGCCACTGCTGCCACTCTCTTCCTCCTTTTGACTTCCTCTTCACCTGTCTGGTGGCTGGCGTCGGGTCTTGCGTGCATTGCGAATGTGGGCTTCGGCGCCTCCATTGTTGCGATGAACTCTTATCTTCCCTCACTGGCCAAAGATGCGCCCGAGGTTGTCGCTGTGATGGACGAGCTTCAGGACGCACCCGGCGATTCGAGCTCCCACGAATCAGAAAATCCAGATGCACCACTTATTGCCCCAACTGCCGAACGAACTGCCCTTCAAGCACGCTACGAGAATGAACTCTCACGAGCAACCTCACGTATATCATCGCTGGGTGTGGCCATAGGCTATGGCGCGGGCATTTGTTTGCTCGCTCTAGCGCTTATTCCTGTCATCAAGCTCAAGGGCACGACTTTCTCCTTGCGGTTGGCCATCGGTAGCTCCGGTATTTGGTGGGCATTGTTCACAATTCCAGCGGCACTATGGCTTCCAGGTGCCTCATCAATCGATGAACCATCTCCCAAAGACTGGAGTTTTCGCCACGAAATTGTCGCCGCCTGGAAACGTCTCGGAGGGATGCTCCATCCTCGGGAGATTGCGAAACTACGAAACACCTTCAAATATCTCGCAGCGTGGTTCCTTCTTTCCGATGGATTTACGACGATCACTTCGACTGCCGTTCTTTTTGGAAAAACAACGCTCCATATGCAGCCAAGCGCGCTTATCGTCATTGGCGTGTTGACGCCTCTCGCAGGCATTGGGGGCTCTCTGATGTGGCCATTCCTTCAGCGGAGCTTTGGCTGGTCGAATCTCCGGGTCTTGACCACACTCGTGATGCTTGCATCGGTCGTCCCTGCCTATGGCTGTCTCGGCTTTCTTCCTCTCTTCCATGGAGAGGACAAAGTCCGCTTCGGTGGGCTTACATCGCCAGAGGAGATGTTCGTGCTCGCGCTCTACTTTGGCTCCATATACGGGGCATTCCAAAGCTTTGCTCGTGCTTTCTATGCAGAGCTGCTCCCTCCAGGCGAGGAAGCGCGGTGGTATGGTCTGTTTTCCATCACAGACAAGTCGAGTTCGTTCATCGGCCCTCTGATTGTTGGGTTGATCGCGGACACGACGGGCAACATTCGCTACTCGTTCTTCTTCCTGGTCTTCATGGTCTGGGCGGCTGTTCCCGTGTTGCTGAGCGTCAATGTCGAACGGGGCAGGAAAGACGCCAGAGACTATCGATATCGCGCCTGATATGGACCATATGTGGTTATGTACCTCGTTGTATTTTGTAATCGTAGTTTGCATCTGTACTCTCAACGCATTATATAACCCCGCCATTTTAGCCTCCAAGCTGTGGTTGAAGTGAGTTTTTCGTTTTTGAGTCTTGACGATCAACAGATCCGACAAACCTGCTGCAAATTCACTTGAACGACCGGACATTCTTCTTCGTCGAGCATGCCAAGCTACGTCGACATTAACACGATGAGATTGTCCGGGACTGATTTGGAAACGAACCGAGGCTGGCGTGTCGTCACTGTAAATTCTTTGGTCATCATAGTGAAACCTCAGCGAACCTAGATTTTTTTTGCTTGGGTCAGAGAGAGGGAAGAACGCTGACAAATCGGCACATACGGGCCTCGACATTCATGTATTTGGCAAAGATGCCCAGAGCTTTTCCAATCGGCATCCCCACTTTTTGATCGACACTGAACTCTGTGAATCGGTGCACGTCAATATTTTCGCGAGTAAGAAAAAGGGACGAAACCTACCTCGACCGTTGAATTCAAAACGAATGCGGACCTTCCGCTTGGGTTTCACGTCTTGTCCTGGGCCTGGTGCTGTCTCAGCATTGGATTTGGCTCCTTCTGCCGCCGCGGGTGCTTCAACGGTATCAGCGACGACAGGTTTTTCGATGGGACGAGTGTCCGCCGGTGAGGTTACGGTGTCGAGGCGTGAAGCGATTGGCAGAGTGTCGTTGGGCTCGGCAGAAGGAGGCAGTAGTTCGGGGCTGTCTCGAATATACGTAGGGGGCGACGGGGACATTGTTGCAGGCAGGAGAGGAAGAAAGAGCCAATGGAGGCGAGATAATATATAGCTGTTGCTTCTGGAATCGAGACGAAGAAACAGTCGAATGAATTGGACTCCGGAAGCTTGTTCGACGAGAGTTTACAGCGGAATTAATACATACATTGACTTTAGATAATATATGCAAACACGCGTCTGCGCAGTCTTGTCAGCTTGAATTGTAGCCAGAAAAACGTGATCGCACCAGAAAAGGGAACAACGACTACTGCAACGACTACTGCCAACCACCTAATTGTTCTAGGCTGCGAAAGAGTCAGTAAACAGTCGCTCTAGTCCATCCAAGAGACGTACAAGCAGTCGATTTGATCGCCATCTTCAATGTCGAGGCTGGTGTAGATTCAGAAATGTGAACTAAAAGAACGAGGACAGGGCACATACTCGCCAGGTGTATCCTCTTTTCCGATTCGCTTACCCTCATAAACAAACTTGAATGTCCCTACGACGCGTCAATCACCACATGCTTGTCGACGCGTCGCGCCTACCAGATTCCTTGCCAAATCGTTGCTCAAAGAGCCCTCAGCATGACTCACAAATTTGAACGCGTTGAACACACCTCAGCAGCAGCGAAGATCTTCGCAAACTTGGTATTTGGCTTGACTTTGATTTGCACCTCTGCAAGAAAGGAGGTGAGTGGCAGATTACCCTTTGAAAGCATGGAATGGCTAACCCTCGCCATCATAGACGACTTTGAGATTGATTTTAGGTTTCACGTCCTCGGGCTCTTGAGACATGGTGCAATGCTGGAGACGGTAAAAGGCAAGGGGAATAGATTGTCGATGTGACACTCACCGCTGAGTCACATCTTCCTCCTTGAACCGACCACCATGGCTAGGTACGATAGCGACGGGGATGTCATTATGCGAGACCCCCCAATGACTTTTGACTGGGAGCTGGCCTCTACCTTCTCCCGCATCTCCCTGGTAGACCCGCCTGTATACCGCCTGTCAAACGACCTCCTCTATCAACTGTTTGCGACGACTCTCGCTGGCGAGCCATATGAGCGTGTCATCCGTCTCTCTCATGTGTGTTCAACTTGGCGCTTTATCATGCTCCACGCTCCTCTCTTTTGGACCTCCGTCACCATATATATCCCCTCCAACATCGACCACGCGAACATCACTGAGCAACTTCTTCGTCGTTCGCAACACCAGCCTTTCGATTTGACTGTCCACTTGAGCAAAAGATCTCCCCCAGACTATCCCATTTTCGCCACTCTTGGTCCCCATGCACATCGTTTGAGAAAGCTACGGATTCTCGCACCGACCCTTCAAGCCCTTGGCTCGTTACCGTTGCTCAATTTCCCAGCACTTGAACAACGCGAAATCTTCGTTCAATGCCAGACAAGGGGCGGATCTCTCGCGGTCGTTGCTACCCCGCCAAACCAACAACCATCATCCCTACAAATCACTGCCTTTTCTTTCTCTTACTTCGACGGCCTCAAACTACCCGAACTTTTCATTCTCATCGAGTCAATGCGCCATTCTTTAGAACATTTCAAGCTTTACTATCAGACAGGTCCAGACGTGCTTTCTCTCCAACACTGGAACCTCATGTATGGCCCCGTTGTTCAACTTCCCCTTCTCAGCACCCTGCAAGTCGGGTTCAATGATGCCCTATCGCTGGTTCCATTCATGAAGCGACTTCGTCTTCCCGTTCTGCAGTCGCTCTCAATCCATGACTTTGGCATGTGTCCCGAGCAAGATACTCCTCAGCAAGGTGTCATATCTGCCGGTTTTGCGTCGCTCCACGATAATCCTCCGTTACACGAGCTTCTTTCAACCATACTCGAAGCCATTCCCTCTCCCACGCTACTCAAGGCGCTGCGACTGACTGGACTGTATGTTCCCCCTGAAGAACCCGAGGACATTATTGAGTATCTCTTCTCGATATGCGGTCCACATATACGAACCCTTCGTCTGGTCGAATGCGATGCTGTTTTCCTCGAGGCGCTTGCGGAGACGTTGTTCCAGAACCATTCGCCGTGGCGGTTGGAGAGACTGATCGTTAGAGGGATGGACAACGACGACTTGCTGGAATGCTTGTGGATCAGACATGCCCATGAGTACCCCAAACTGAAGGAGCTGAGTTTAGAGCCATATACACGACCACCCCCGAAGGAGGTTTTGGCCCAGTTTGCAGAGGTGGTGAACGGACCCATAGATTAGAAATATATATCACAGCGCTAGACGTACAATATTTTTTTCTGTTTGTGATCGTTGATGACAAAGCCTCGTCTTTCCTTCCTCCTTTAACGTGTCCACAACACAATGACGGTTTGCATGCGTTTCTAGCACTATTCGACCTAACACTTATGTAGGATCTCACCTATTCCTACATCCACATGACAGACTACGAGCTGCAAACACTGGACACGCTCGAGACCCCAGAATACCTGAAAGACGAGCTGATCACCGATGGCTAGTACCTATTGTGCGAGCAGAGCGTCAACCGATCTGGCTCTGTGCAGACCTCAACATTCCTGCACACATGGTGCCTCCAGATCCAGATGATTCAGACAGTGCGCGACTGGTTTTTTTTTTCCTGTTCCACACTTGACCTCACAAATCTGCTTAGTACTTCCTTCAAAAGCACACCCATCGTATCCGTACGGCAACCCGTTGAATCCAAAGCACCCAGCGTCAAGGCCGCGACCGCCTTACGACCCGTTCTCGAGGGCCTTGTTTGAGGACATGGGGTATGCTGGGGCAGGGGTTAACGGCGCGCATCGGTGGAAGGACTTGGCCATGGAGATGTTGTTGCCTGTGGACGAAGTGAGGGAGGAGAAAAATCGGGCAATTGAAGCGAGGAAAATGGCGAGTGGCTCTGGTGCAGCACCGACAGGCGCGCAGCCGGCTGGCATGGCAGCTAATCAAGAGGAGGACGAAGAGGATGAAGAACAAGAAGATGAACAAGAAGAAGAAGAGGACGATGATGATGATGACAACGACGACGAGGACTCGGAGGAAGAACCTTAAGGTCTAGCATAATACAAATTTCTCGCCCAGGATTTCCTCAGTCAAGTTCCACAATTTCTCAGCATTCGCCTAGTTTTGTCAGCAAAAGTCTCTCTCTTTATACGCGACTCACTGGATCTCTTGCGAATGAGGACATTTGTTCATCAGCAACCACACTGTCCACGATGTACGATCCAGAATGGCCTGACAAGCGTCATTCAGCGACAAAATAGAACATAATTTGCTTACTATCTAGTCTCGGGTCAAAGGCGGCAGCGACGGGCCTATTAACTCAAACGTTTACTCCAAATAAACCGTTGAGGTCCACTCACGTTGCCGCTCCTTGTTCGAGCGTCTTCCATTTACCAAACGCATTCCCTTGCGGCTTTCCATCACTGCCAATGACTCCTGATGCTTTCAAGAGCGGCACCAAAGCTTCCTTCTCGAACCCGGTGGTGGGCGTCACTGCGAACGGTTCGAAAACATCCGCGAAGATGAACAACTTACACCCGGGGTGAACACTGAATGCTCTCAGCTGTCCCTTGGCCCTTTTCGCGAGCTCTCTTGCCATGAGCACATTCGTGACCTTGGTCTCGGCATATCGCTTGATCATGCCCGCTGGGGTAGATGCGACCGCTGGGGCGTCGCCCTTGCGGAGTGCAGAAAAGTCAAGCTGGGCTTGGTGATGCGCCACGCTTCCGAGGAAGACCACCCGCGGGACATACGTCGCAGTCTTCGCAGCAAGCAGTTTGGGAGCAAGCAGCTTCGTGAAGAGAAAGGCACCAAACTGGGAGGTGGCCATTTGAACCTCGATGTCGTCTTCGGTGAGGTAGTAGACTCCCGTCGTCGCCGCATTATTGATGAGCACCTGCTGGAATTTTCAGAGCTGGTTTTGACTGGGATCGCGGACTGACGTGAATGGGCTCTGTTACTTCTGCTGCTGCCTTACGGACGGCCGCGAGCGATGATAGATCAACTTTCAGCGACTGGATATTGGCGGAGGGGAACTCTTGCTTGAGGGCCGCTTCAGATATGCTCATCCTACGTCTATGAGCCCGTGAACTCAAACAAGACGAATTGGCGGACCGTTCCGTGTCATGGCCAGCGATTACGACCAAACCGGCGTACGGGGCAAGAGCCCGGGCAATCTCGTACCCGATCCCCCTAACTGATGTTCCTGTGATCACAACTTCAAAGAATGAGAGTCGACGCTATTTCTTTGTCTGGGGCCATACCGTTCTTGCCTGATATGTTGTCCTTCAGAGCATTGGCAACTTCTTGCGCGGTAGTGGTGCCGGTGAACGTCGGGAGAACCATGCCTACTTGCGTTGACTCGTTGTGGGCAGAGGCGCGTATACAGTGTTTATATATGTCGCGAAATAACGATTGACCAATAGGCCATGACTTTTCGGATCCCTTTTCCCGTCTGCCGGTTCTTAGAGGCGGTAATGCTCCAGCGTTTCTGGACTGTGATTTCCCGAGTTTCGCGGGGAATGAGTGCCAAGTTCTAACAACAAACGCGTATGATTTGTAATGATTTATTTAAACTCGTGCTCCTTAGCATCTAATCATAACTGAGCAGATGTGAATGAGCCGCAAGATGTCGGGGTCCGTGACGCGACAACTTGGACAGGGACCTTGTGACCGCGTCGGGACGCAGGATTCTGTTGTTGGAAGTAACAGTAAGTTAAAGACCGGAACTGTCTCAGCGAAAAGCGCTCGATAGCAACAACTATGGCTTCAAGTTCCCATCCAGCTTGTACCCAGCGTGTGTGGATCCTGTGGGAAGAGGTGCGTCCACACAAACCTCCCGTGGAAATATGGCTGTTGTGATGTGGTGATAGAATGGACATTAAAAAAGCGTATATAGATGCTGACTGGAGCTTACAGCTTTCCCATACCCACTACACTTAACGATGGCTCAAACAAAGCATTTCGCAGTGCGTTGTCAATGTCTTGCCGAATAACCTATGGGCTCAAGTGTCTACACCGGCAGGCGGAATCAACTGTTCAAGTCTATTACCATGGTCAATGGGTCAACGCTGTGTACAAGTTCGCTGGCAGCAAGTCGACTGGGAAAAACAAACCCAGGGTATGTGCCCCCAACTCTAACGGTATATTCGGTGCTTAATATCGTTCAGGCCTTCACTGGCCACCATGTGCTGCTCTCTTCGGGTATAATGGTGGCTTTTCTCGACGATGACATTCGGGAGCTTGAGTAGTCCTTTAACATGCGAATCCCATAAAACTATGTCCTGGTGCAAGAAAATACTACCCCATTTTTAAGATGCACTGAGTAAGCACCGCCAGCGCTTGGTCGATAGTTGGCCGTTTGAGTGGATCGACTTGCGTCATTTGCGCCAGAATCGACTGGTATTCTTCCAGTGATACCAGATGGTTCTGTCCGTACATCTGCAATGACATGAATATATCAGTAATCGGTAACAGTCAGCTAGCATTGCATACTCTCAATGCCGCGTCGAGCTCAATCTGCAAAACCTTTCCTAGATTGAAAACGTCGGCAGCGAACAGGTCTATCTCTGTCTCAGCCTCCATGGCGGGGACTTGTTCTGGCGCTGGCTCCGTGGTCGGATGTGTTGTAGGAATACCCCAAGGGTTGGCCAGCGACAAGATGTGCGCACTGCCGAAGTCGATGTACGCATACTCGACCTTGCACGTGAGCCGGAAGTCGTCTGTGCATTTGTATGGTGGCTGCGTTCGCCAGTCAAAATAATTGATTACAATATTTTGACGTTGAATATCCTTCCAGTTTATTTAGCGCAACAGTATCGTGACGCTGACGAGGGAAAGTCTCACCCCATGTGCAATGCCTCTCTTGTGAAAAAACTGCAACCCTTCAACAAGTTTTACTGCCATTTCTATCCTTGTTCCCATAGATCCGCAAGGAGGATCGTTCCAGAACTGGCCCCATGCAGGCATGACGGCTATGACAAATCCATGCGGTGTCTCTACCCAGTCAAGCACTGGAATGGTGTGGTTACTAGTATCCTCCCGAGCGCTGGGGCTGGAGCAATCTTTCAGAGCAGCCAGTTCAGCACTGTCGTTGCCAATCGCTTTGAAGACCACTGTTCTCAAACTCGAGTCCAGGCCAAGGAGAACTTCAACGCACTATCAGTCGTGTTCATTAACTTGAAGTGGCAACATTCCAGGAGAAGGTAGTTACAGTTTGGAGCGGGGATGGATGCCGGCCCCGAACTACGTCGGCCTCAGGCATCATAACGTGAATAAAGTTCTCGTTGCGAGTGGGTTTGAAAGGATTGCGAGCGACATTCGGCAATGGCAGTCCCTCGCCAACCGTTTCATACTCTTCGCTACTAGCAAGGATATAGCCCCGTGAGTGTAGTAGGTCCTTACAGGAGCTCCAGATGTCTTGTAAGGCCAAGTTTTCCCAATTTTCCGGACGAAGGTCCAGGTGTTGATGTAGCGTGCTGGTCGTGGCAGACATTTGTTCACCAACGCATCGGCACGTGCAGACTTTTCTCATGCACGTGCATTTGTACACACACACACAATTACGGATTTAGTATTTGGTTGTACGAGTTTCCCTAATGTACTGTATACATCGTCTCCGTTTTATGCTTTCAGCAAAGTCAATTCGCGCGGATTACCGTATCAGAAAGTATACAATCTTATCTGCTATTGATCCGAACATTCCGAATCCTGGGCACAAGTCACGATGACGTCCAGCCCCATTCCTCCTGCCTGCATCCACTAACCACACTCGTCATTCATGGCCCCTCCCCCAACCAAACCGCCCGCGCCCATAAATTATAAACTCCTGCTCATCGGCAACTCTTCTGTTGGAAAGAGCAGCCTGTTGCTACGCTTCTCTGACGAGCAATGGTTGCCGGAAGACGAGAGTAGTGCGACGATTGGGGTGGACTTTCGGGTGTGCTGCTTGTTAGTTGCTCCATTGGCGCTTGCTGAAACTCTGGCATAGGTTCACAAGATGGAGGTCAAGGGGAAGAAAGTTAAGCTCAGTATATGGGTGTGTTCTGCCTGTCCTTCCAGTGGCATCTGACTCCTTCACAGGATACAGCTGGACAAGAGCGCTTCCGCACGATCACATCGTCATACTACCGCGGTGCCCAAGGTGTCATTCTTGGTCCGTCTGTTGCGTTCTGCTTAATTTGGGTTGTTGACCTGCTGCAGTCTACGATGTATCCAACAGGGAGTCATTCGACGCGCTACCCAGATGGTACAGCGAACTAGAGGCGTCTCTCAGCGACAAAGTCGTCAAGATCTTAGTCGGAAACAAGGTGGATAAGGTGTGTACAACGATAACATCCACATTCTTTGTGCTCAACCGCAAAAATCAGGAATTTTCGCGACAAGTCTCTACTGCCGAAGCGGAAGCTTACGCAGCTCGGATGAACTCCCTCTTCGTTGAAGCCTCTGCTAAGACGGCTGCTAATGTCAAGGAAGCCTTCACGCAATGTGTGGAACGTATCATGGACCAGCCAGAACTATGGGAGACGCCAGCCGGAACAGGCGCTGCGATTAGCTCGAATGTGAAGATGCCAGGTGGTAATATCAATCTCGCAGAGGACTCGCAGGAGGGTGGAGGTGGTTGTTCATGTTGAGCATGAGGCCAAGTCTCTTTCACGATGTTACGACGGGTATACCCTCCATTCACACGACGCACACTTATGTACACCTTCAGCATATAATATAGCACCATTATATTGAGAATCAACTCAGCTGCGGAAGTTCAACGTTAAACTTTGTGTGCTCTTGTTTGGCCTTCGTTCGACTGGCTCTCTTCTGTCCTCTCATTCGACACTGATTGTGGCAGAGCACCGGCAAGATGTCTGGTAAATATTCGGGAAAGTAGGGTATCGGATTTCAGGATCGGTGGACAAATGTGGCTCACTGACTCTCTAGGTCGGGCATCGTCATCGCTATCGATATTGGGACGACGTCGTCCGCTGCCGCTTACTGCATTAAAATGCCAGGAGAAAAGTTGAGGTTGGAAGTGGTGCGCTGTAAGCATTATCTCAAGGACCAGGAATCTTATCGCCCTTCTAGGTCAACCAGTGGCCAATGCAGGTAACTTCGACGCTACTGTTTAGAGACTCTGTCGATGTCGCGCAGCCTAATAGCGACGCCAAAGTCAAGACAGCAATTCTGTATAATCATGCAGGTGAAATGGTTGCATTCGGAGCAGAAACTGAGAATGATGTAAGAAATATTGGTGTTCGAACTTTTTTTATTGACGAATACTTACTGTTGTCAAGGGTGACCTTCAACAAGAGCGTCAAGGCAATCTACACCGCGCGGAATGGTAGTGCAGACATCAGGTCCTAAAGAAGTTGCGCGGCTAAATCCTTCAGGTTCAAACTTCACTTTGGGCCCAGCACCCTCCGCAACCACCCGGTAGTCAAGCCATTGCCCCATATCCCAGTCACAGTCGATGATATGTATAAAGATGCCCTGGGCTACTGTGTCAAGCAAATCGAAAATACTGTTCTCCAACGCTCTCCCAGAGGTCGCAAGCAGTGGGAAGAGTTGTCGCCGCAGATGACTGTGGTCCTCACTACGCCAAATGGATGGATGGGGGCCGAGCAGCATCGCCTGCGGAAGGCCGCCGTCAGGGCTGGTCTTGTGCCCAGTAGCGGGGAAGATCGTGTCTTGTTCCTATCTGAAGCCGAGGTCGTCCGTCCCTCGTGATCGTGATACCGAACCGACTAACAAAAGTTAGGCAGGAATACACTTTGCGATAGAGAATGGCTCTTTGGTGAAAACGGATTGGTTGAAGGTTGGTTTTCTCCAAGTTTTCTGAAGGATGATGCCATCATTGTCGGAATTGACCGGGGTTCCAGCCGGGAAGCCATCTCATCGTATGCGATATCGGTGGTAGGTCTACCTCCTAGTTGAAACAGAGCTATTGGTGACTCTCGTCAGGCGGAACGGTTGACACAACGTCAGTAACAAGCTTTCGAGAATCGATGATATTGTTGAACACTCGCTCATTAGACGGTACACGGTGATTAGCAGTCGTCCCAGTCTCAAGTTGAAGGAGTCCTCGATGCCATTGTGTGCGTCCCGCGCTCAGCTTGGTTCCTGGCTGATTGGATCAAGGCTCTATGGCGGGAGGCTCCACGGTCACCATGCGTGCACGGGACTGGCTTCAAGGTGGGCTCCTCTCCTGGCGTACTCGTCAATCCAATCTCCAAGCAGGACAGGCTTTGAAAGGCACCAATTGGGACAACGAGACTGAGATGAGCCAACTCGTTGAACGATTCGATACAAAAACAAAACAAATGGTAGTTGATTGACTTTTATTACGTAATTTACTAGGGACGCGGCTGATTGTGCAACGGTAGTTCACCGCTGGTGACATGTTTCTACCTCTTGGCGGGGCGGCGACGACGAAACGCATCCCTCGTCGGGGCTTCACTGTCGAGATTGATCAAGGCTACCTAAAAATTCCAAAGTGTGTATTCCTTTATTTGACAGGAGGGCTTGGGTCATATAGTTTTCTAGTGCTACTATGCGGTCATTTTTCGCTCCATCCCTGGAGCAAATCGAGCATGATATTGATTTTGCGACCAAAAATGTTGAAGGCCAGGTCATTGCTACGGTGAGACGCCTTCCTATACCATGTTTTGAGTTCAAGTTGACGTCTGGGTTATCAGAATGTCCTCATTGTTGGACGGTTCGGTGATTCGCGTTATCTGTATAACGAGCTGTGTGCTTGGGGCCAGCAACGTGGTCTGAACTTCACCAAGCCGGAAAACATGAGCTCCAAAGGCACTGTGAGTGGGGCATTAAGATGGGCCCTGTCGCCGCTCGTGCATGAACGGCTGGCCAAGTTCCACTATGGCACAGATATACGTATTCCGTTCGACCAGAATAATCAAGAGCACCGACGGCGCCCCGAATCGATACTCCAGACGCAGCAGGGGGAGGTTCAGATACTGCGCGCGTGGGGGAGCATCGTCGAGAAGGTCTGTTTCTGATGTTCGTTGTCGGATGAGACTTGAGAATGTTGTGATGTAGGGTGTCGACATACCTGCCTCCCAAGAGTTCATTTCGTCTTATGTCTACGAACTCGATGCTAGAGAGACTCAACTCGTTAGAGAAGAGATAATCTACATCTATACCGGCCACGGCCATTCGACAACGCCGCCGCTCTTCTTAGATCTTCCCTCAAACCAGTCAGGTAATGCAAGCTTTTAGAGACCGCTTGCTGACCTCGATGAAGCAGCTGATCGTCGTCCCGTCCTCCAGCGCGGGGTCGAGGTATTCTGCACAATCCAGGCCGACCTGACTCGCTGCTTCCGGGCCACCCCCTCCCATCGAACACCTTCCGGTGCTCTTTTCAAAGAAGTCAAGGTTGGTGCTACTTCCGGCGGCAAATTACAACATGCTGATCCACTTAGGTCGACGTTTGCCTGCGTCTAGGCTCCACAGAGTTTCAAGCATGGCTACAATGGCTAGAAGATGTAAGTCCATTCCGTTAAAGCATCTGCGACCAGCCTTCAATTCAATGCTTCAGGGCAATCTTCAGCGAGGTCGGGCAACAGTCGTATTCAACTAGCCAATTGTGCTACTTACATCTGCCGTTAAAATGTGATTCCTTCTGAAAAACGCTGGATCAGTGAAATAGTGAGAACGCGAGGCTTCATTATGAAGGTCATTTCTCCTGATGAGTTTCTTTTTGTAAGCCCGAAATGAATCACACTGATGAGCTCGTCACCCGGTCGCTCGCCCAAGTTAGGCCAGTGGATAGCCATATCTTCGGGATTGTACGCAGGGAAATTACCAAACGTTGGAGAGGGCTTAGGACACTCGACGTTGGCACGCACAGTAAGCAAATCGCCACGCAATGTGAGGCAAAGTTGCATTGCGAGCTTGTGAATATCCGCTAGCTGAGTGAGGATATGCGATCGCAAAGGTTCGAAGTCCATTACTGGCAGTCTGTGCTGAATGGCGAAGAGTTCCAGGATAAGTTGTGTCAAGTCGGCTTTTGCTTCATCAACGATCTGGTTGTGTTTGCGAACGAAGGGGGCTTCGGCGTTTGCGGCAGCTAATGCAACGAATGAAGACCATCGTTGAGCAATAGACCACGACTCTGTGGCCAGATGTTCAGTCCAAGTGACCATTTGTCAAGAAAAAAATGCACCTGTTTTGTCAAGAATCTTGAGTATGTCAGAGAGGAGGTTACCCGGGTCAAAGGCTTTAGCAAGGACATCTCCAGAGAAGTATAGAAAGTTGAGCTGGAGAATAAGCAGATGATGTAGAATTGCATCGACAATCATGCCACTATAATCCATCCGTTCACCATAGGCAAATAGTGCCTCGCATAGCCTCGACTGCCGATCTTGATATAGTTTGTAGTTCGAGGAAAGTGGAATATGAGTCTTGTTGGGAGCCGTACTCGAGGCCGCTGCGTCATGAGCAGTAGCACGAAGCGATGAAGAGAAATGGTCCAATAAGTAGTTAAGCATTTCGAGTTGAGCCCTGACTTCGGTGACAGACACTTCGTCAACGTTCTGGTCGAATACAGCTGGGTTGATTTCTCGGTGACGATTGAGCCGCTCTTGGAGCTGCCGAATCTGTTCATGTAGCTGTTTGTTCTCGCCCCTTATGATGCCAATGTTCGAGCGGAGCTGGCTGAGTTCAAGTTCTTTATTGGCGTTATCGGATTTCAAGCGCCTTGCCCAATGAATTCCGTCCTATCCTCGACCTCATGAGCATGATGTGTGGATTTTAAAAAAACCGCTAACCTCGGGTGACTCTTTTTTGCGACGAGTAAAGCTTTTGGTGTTGCGTGTTGGGATACTCCCCAATTCACATTCTTCTTCTTTTTTAATGTGCAGTGTCTTGCGTTTGGGCTGTCAGAGTCAAACACGATTGTGCTCGATCAAGCTGAGTAGGTAGGGTCTGAATTCGGCATACCTGCTTCTGAACTTTCCGGGAGCAGCTGTGAGAGGCGTCCTCAAATTCACTCGACGTTTCGCCAGTTACTGACGAGAGAACACTCCCAGACGGTGAGAGACTGATCAGGCGAGGTCGGGTCAGTACTGACGCGCCAGGACGACTGGTGATATTCCTTTGGTTCTCCGTTTCGTATAGGTTATGAGAGCCGTTCACTGCCTGGCCAAACAGTTGAGGCTTTTTGACCCTGTTCAAACCATCCACTATGTTATTACCCGAGCATGAGCCTTCATTCTGGGTCAATTTTCTAGCAGCCTGCCGCCGCGTTACTGGCATGGAAGTTGGAACGAGTCAGAACGAGTGGAGTGTGACACTCATGTGCACGTGCACCGTGACACATGCAGAAAAATTGAGGTCTCACACGGGTTGTCTAGTTACACCATGAGCCATTGGACTGACATACCACTCGAACTTAGTTGGAATGCTTCTCCAGCGCAGAGCTTGTCACCGAACCAGTACTTGATTGTGCAATATTTGTGGCCGAGCTGTCAATCAGTGGCAGTGAACTGGGCGATCATCTTCGTAGACGCCGCCACGACACAACTATGATGAATCTGTGCGCAGCCAGCCATGATCCTCAAGGAACCGCCATTAGGAGAAGTTCACCCCCCTCGCCAACGTAGCTCACTGGGCAGTCTCATTCGCTGGATACTTGTAACTCTTGTGCGTCTTGCAGTTGCATGGGTACTATTTGGTGTCTTGGGCCAAGTTGTATACCACTGGACCACATTCTCGCATTCCCAAGTCTACCAGAACCAGACGCTTTCGGAAGTTAAAACCCGAGGAGCGGTTCTTCAACCACTCATCGACCGCGATCAGGTGTTCGACATCGCGGTCAGCATCTGGACGCTGCCCTTGAGCGGGGAGAGGACCGGTCCATTCTCAAAGACACCGATATACTCCGACATTGTCTTTAGAGATCTTCATATTTCCGACAAACATGTCAAAACCACACTCAATTACAAACTCCCCATGCATATCTTCCGCAAACTTTTCCTCAAGAATTCAGACCTTCGCGCATCATTTGTCGCGATTCCGAAATCACCCTCACTAGCGGACTATATCTCCAATTTCTCATCGTGGTACCCAAACAAGATGGACGTACCTCCAGTTCGCTCTTGGCCGTAAAACATATTTTCTTCTCGAGTCACACAAATGTTGACATTTTACAGTTTCCCACTCGGCTCGCCGCATATGGAGGATCCTGGTGTAATTGACCTGGCCATCGACTCATTTGGAATCTCAATGCCATTGCTGGAGTTCCATGAATATCGCAGAAACCAATGTGGTGATGCTACAATTCACGAGAGCAAAGACTTGGAAACGGACATTGACCTGGATGATGATATCGACTCGGCTGAAGACGACCCCGAAGCCGCTCCGCGTTCCCGCCTACGTTTTCCGCCCGTCTCTGACATAAAAAAGTACCCAAGCCATTCTGTCGAAAGGCATCCATTCGTTATCACCAGGTAAATCGACCTCGTCTTTGCGAATGTTGACACTTCGGAGCTGAGTGATTACCACAGGACTCAGATCAGAATAGTTGACGAGACGCATATCTTCAACCGGAAAGCTTTCAACAAGGAGCATAACCGGCTTAAAGCTAGTGCAGTGGGTCTAGATTGCTGCTTGTTCTTCATCCTGTCATGCTACCTGTCTAGTGTGGACAAAATAAGGGGGCGAGCCCGGACTACTTCCTTTGTGACCGTGCTTATCTGTTCAACGGAAATTGGGAGACCCGACTTGAACTCAAGACACCCAGCAATCAGACGGAATGGGCGTATGGTCCATATCTGGGTTATGGGGCCTTCTCCTCGGGACCTAAAGTCTGGATTCTCAATTCGTTATCTTTCGATGTTGACAATTCATAGGATATTATACCCATCCCTGTGACCCGCACCAACTGCACGGACGGCTCAACAAACTCTGCAAATGACCCCAGTATGTTTAAGACTCTTTCATGAACTTAGTACTCGATATACCTTCTCAGCTTATTTCGAGGTCAATTGGCGGATATCTTTCAGTGGACGGAGCCCAGCTAAGTTTTCAGCTACCGAGCTGTTCCCTTCAGCAGAGCGGGTCGCCCATCACAAGAGCGCCTTCAAGATGACACAAGCACACGACAGTGCTGAACTATGGAGTACGACATTCCAACGTATGCCATTGCCATCATGTAACCCACCTTCAGATGGCTTATACGGCCACCAATTCAACGAGGACGCCCATCCTCGTCGACGTTTCGCTATTGGCATGATAAGGTGAGTTCATATCATCATCTCCCAACATCCACGTTCACAGACAAACCCAGTGGAGTGCTATCTTTCGTCGTCGGAGTTTTCGACGTGGGTTATTGGTACACGCGCACTACGACTGCACATATCAGCATTGCCGGCACCGTGTTTCTTGCTCTGGGAAAGCTCTTTTCCGCAGCCAGTGTTGTGGCTGGCAAGATCGAAGAGGACGAAATCCACCCATCTCTTTCGCGGCTCTCGGAGCTGTTGTGGCTGATTGCTTTCACTGCTGCTGTGCGTCTTTTCCTCCCAGGACTGATGCTCAAGACCATCTGGCGAGTCGAAGTCACTGTTCCCGAAGGGGCTAGTTGGATGACAATGCCGACTATTCGGCTTCTGCCCCCTACGCACCGGGAACGGAGGAGCCAAAGGATGGATCGCGGAATGTCCTGGGCTGTTCGCGTTCAGCTGTGCCTCGCGCTCATAGCTCTTTACTCCTTCTTTTCTCCTGAAGAGTACTATGTACTCCCAGGCCAACTACCACCACGGACCGCAGACGACCACCCGAAAAACATCGTATCGCGACTGGCGGCGTTTCTCATCTTCCCGCTCACCTTTACTGGAATCGTCTCCCAAATCTACCTCAACTACCGCAGCAAGACCTTCGCGGGCATGTACAAGCTGTCCGTCACCCTCCGCTTTGTCGCCGAGTTGCTCAGGCTAGCTACCTACTCGACTTCGCTGGTCGGTCGCTTCGATGCGAAACCAGGACTATCAATACCAGCAGTTGTGGACCTAGTCTTGCTAGGCGTCACTATGTGGCAGGCATCCACTCTTCCAAAAGTGCTGCAAAATGCCCAAGACGAGGATGCGGATTAGTGTGCATGATTGCCTGTCATTGGATGTATCTGTAGTAGCTGAGCCCAATGACTTCTGGGTGCCGAACGTGCGTTAATATCGAAGGGGACTTCTGGCTCATTTGGTACAATAACAATACAAGGGTGGAAGGACTGAGGTCACTGATATATGAAGTTGTAGCTGCGAAACAGTCAAAGATGCGGGGAATGTCGAGGATAATGCGACGAACCGAGACAGCAAGTGAGGAATAGCGGAAAGCTGAGGTCCATAGCGAGCAGCGTTGTCGTACAGCTCAAAAAGCGGGATGGCAAGAAGTTTCATGTTTTTAGGGACAGCAAGGACCTCTAAAACTGGATTATTCACGGTGCGAGTCATGTGGAAACACGTACTCTTCTCGGGCATTTGGACGAGAAAGAGTTTCTTGCATTCTTTGGGCTTGGTGATGTGGGCAGGAACGAAGGGGTACTGCGAATCGTTGTCAACGAACGTTCGCAGCGGCATGAAATCGAGACGGTTTCAAATCGCCACAATCACGTCTGGAAGCAATGAAGATGGTACGTACCATGAAAGTCTCGAAATTAGGACGCCACCACTGTGCTAGACAGTCACCGATTTCCCAGTCTGCACCTTCAACAGGCGGACCTGGTGGGGCAAGCCGGTCGTCGAGGCGTTTCTTAAGGCCGGAAATTTCGTCTTCTCCTGGCAAAAGGTACTCTCCTGGCAGCTTGAAGAAGGCGTTGGCGATCTGGAGCATAAGGATGTGGGGGTGACCATGATCGTGAACGACTAGAATTCCCTCGACAGTACGTCTCATGCCAAAGTCTTCGTAATTGTTCTGTAGCCGCTGTAGCCGCGCCGACACGGACGGGTCCTCCTCAGGCTGAGCTTCTTTCGTGCTTGGAATGAGTAGGTCAGCTGGCATCTGAATGGCGAGTAATCGACTCATTGGTACCTAAAAGTAAAGTTGGAGAGCGGATAACTGGTCTGTGTGAGTATGGCGAGTTACAGGCTTGGGAGATATGGCATACAGCGCGATTGTGTTGGACATAGTGGTCGACGCGTCTGAAAGCTCGCAAAATTGATGGAACGCGTGACCTTGCCCTGATTTCGAAATGACCGCTACAAGTGCTCCATTTTTCCGTCTCTTCTACTCACTAAGCCCGAGTTTCGCCTGTCCTTCTCGCTCGAACGCTAAGCCGAGGTAACGATGGAGGATGAGCAGCGAAGACCATCAGCTCAGGAAATCGCCGCCCCCTTGTTGTTCTCCCCTCGCACGATGGAGGAGTCCTCTTTACGTAGAGCAGGGTCAGTTGCAACTATGACTTCCCTTCACGCAATAACTAGCAATTCAGTCTATTTCAGCCCTCTTTTTCTTCCAGCATGAATGGCTTTGGAACACCGATGACCGTTCCGCAGGCCCACTCCCAAGACTCCATCCGTCTCAACACCATGCAACTCAGCGGCATGGATATGTTTTCACCACCCAAAGATCTATCGCCCATTTCTCGCAACGGATCTGTGACGCCCAGGAACCGTGGTCAGCCTTCCGGCCTATCCCTGCTTCGTCCACAGTCTTCCCACTATGCTCCTGCTCCTTCGCCAGTACCTACCCCTCCTTCACCGCCTCATTTGACACCACCAGAACAAGAGTCGCTTGCTCCGTCGCCTCCCACGAGCCCCGAAGTTCGCATAACCGAATCAACCCCTCTTCTTTCTGTTTCGGCTTCAAGGAAGCCGACCACCAAGGCATTCAGCTCTTTCTTGGCCACAACCATCACCCAGTCCATCAATGCCCTCCCAGCAGTTGTCCTCGGATGCTTGCTTAACATTCTCGATGGTCTTTCCTACGGCATGATCATATTCCCTGCGACTTCTCCCTTTGAAGGTCTAGGACCTGCAGGAGTGTCGATGTTTTTCGTGTCGTGTGTGGTGGCACAACTCACGTACACATTTGGCGGAAGCACTTTCGCTGGCGCCAATGGAAGCATGATGATTGAGGTTGTCGTAAGTCGTCTTTCTTTTGCTTCTCGCCGATGTCCACTGACTGCGAGCTCCGGACAGCCCTTTTTTCACATTATTGCATCCTCTATAGCGCAGGATATTGGACTTGATCGGCCCCAGGAGATCATCGCAACGACCATTGTCGCGTTTGCTCTGTCCTCTATCCTGACCGGACTTGCCTTCTTCGTTCTTGGTTACCTCCGGCTCGGCGCTCTCATTGGCTTTTTCCCGAGACATATCCTTGTCGGATGTATCGGTGGCGTGGGTGTGTTCCTCATTGAAACGGGGTTTGTTCAGGGCTCCTCATTCTGTGATCATGAATCTGATCTTCTCTCCAGTCTAGCCGTGTCCCTTCGTGTCCCCGATGACGCCTTAACACCATCATTGGAGACTATCAAATTCGTTTTTCTCAACGCACACAGTCTTTTGCTGTGGACGATACCACTCGCACTTGCCATCTTGTTGAGGGTAGGCACAGAACACTGGAGATGGCGTCATCAGCTTATATTCCCTGCGTGTAAGTTGGTCACGTCTGCACTGCTCTTGTTGATCTTCGACTCAGACTTCCTTTCGATACCACTCACCTTTTACTTTGTGGTCCTCTGCGCACGGCTTGATATTGGACGACTACGTTCTGAAGGATGGATCTTCGAAATGGTAAACACCGGCCAACCAGAACCTTGGTACAGTTTCTACAAATACTACAGTATGTCCTTGATTTTCCGCTTTGTGATCCCATCACTAGTACTAAAACTGGACAATTAAGACTTCAAGAATGTACAATGGGGTCCATTATGGGATACAATCCCCACCCAATTTGCACTGTGAGTAGCTAATCATTCAGAAACTCCATCTTAGGCGTCATTAAAGATTATTTTTCAACATCCTACATCCTCCTCTAAACGGTACTTCATCTTCACCTGTTGCATTATCGACCTGACTGATATGGTAGTACCTGCATTATGTGTGTTCGATCGAATTTGGCAAATCGCATGCTGATCACCGCTCATAGCCGTCTCACTCAACGAAGATGTCGACACCGATAAGGAGCTTGTTGCCCATGGCTATTCGAATCTCCTTGCCGGGGCATTAGGGACGGTGCCAAATTACCTTGTCTACGTCAACACGTATGCTCCCTGCGTCTTTCACAGTGTTTGATCCTGAACGATTGCAGACTACTTTTCTATCGCGTTGGTGGTGGTACCCGAGTTGCTGGATTTCTGCTTGCTCTCGCAACTGCGGGGATGTTACTCATTGGAACGGGCCCCATTGCGTATATTCGTCAGTCTTTCATGTTTCATGATCCATATCGTACAAAGCTGAAGGGGTGTAGCGGTCATGGTCGTAGCTGCATTGATTTTTGTGCTCGGTATCGACTTGTGTAAGGAAGCGTTGTGGGACACGAGACATCGGGTCAACAGGTAAAGCAATCGTTCTTTTCACTGGGAATTTGTTGACACTGGTTGTTAGGTCGGAATACATAACAATCGTCCTAATCATGGTCTGCATGACTGTGTGGGACTTTGTCATTGGTGTTTTGTTTGGAATCCTCGTCAGCTGTACAGTCTTTGCGAATCATTGGTGGTCATTTCTGATTTGAATTCCATAGGCTTCTTCTTTGTAGTGGAGAACTCACAACGCGCAAGCATCCGGGCGCTTCACTCAGGCGAGACAGCGATGTCGACCGTGCGAAGGCCAAGCTCCCAGCGGGACTATATTCGTGACGTCTCAAAGCAAACCACGATTCTTAGACTCCAAGGTCTGTTTTGTTTCATTTGCTTATTACTACTCTCCAACTTGACCCTCAGGCTTCCTCTTCTTTGGGACGATTACACAAGTGGAGGCAACCATAAGAGGCATCATGAGCGAGCCTTCATGGCTACGAAACCCAGTGCGATTTCTGGTCCTCGACTTCTCCCTGGTCGGCGGTGTGGATTTGTCAGCTGCTGAGGCGTTTGTTCGCATACATCGTTTGCTCGCAGCCAGATATGTTACACTGGTGTTCTGCGGTTTTGGTCCTGATGGAGCTGTTGGGCGAGCACTTGCAAGCGTAGATGTTCTGGGCTCAGACGGCGTCGAGTTGTTCGAAACTTTTGGAGATGCTATGGAGTGTGAGTGGACAAGAGTGGGATGATGGGTGACAATTAACGACACCATAGGGACAGAAAACGCATATTTGCGTGCTTGGTTCAGGTCTCAAAAATCGGAGACTTCTCCATATGGTTCGTTCATATCTTTTGCACGAGAACTACCCCCGACCTGCGTTATAGTGATTCCTGGCAGACAAGACTCCAACTTGGCTTATCAAGAGTCGTTGGCGGGTTCGTTTGTCGGCTCTCCTCGTCGATCCCATCTCAGGGACGCCGGCCATCGTACGATTGCCAACGGTGAGTGTTTCAAGTCTCTTACTCAGACTTTTTATGTCGTTCTATCTAGAAACGCGGCCAACTGAGTTGGGAGTCGCCGCTGAGCCATATAATACCCTTGTCAAAGCATTTTCATCCTACGGCGACCTTGATCTGGAGCAGTTCCGACCGATGCTGTCGTACCTCGAGCGGGTGACAGTTGCAGAAGGGCTCGTTCTCTGGCGACAGGGCGACGCGGCGGATGGTTTGTACATCATCGAGAGCGGCACTTTGCGGGCGCAATACTCATTCTCCGATCATGCGCCTGGAATCGAGGAGTCCATGGTACCTGGCACATTGGCTGGCGAGTTGTCCGCACTCTCGAATCTGCCGCGTAACGCATCGGTGGTCGCAGAGCGTCCTGCAGTGCTTTGGAGGCTCAGCCTCCGGAATTTGAGGAAACTGGAAGAGGAAGAGCCTGCCCTTGCGAGAAAATTCACGCAACTCGTATTGAAGGCTGCGAAAATCGACAATGACATCCTTTTGGCTGCGTTGGCCAGTCGAAGATGACTATTATGTATTATACTCACAAGGCAGATAGATTTTCTACATATATTCATTCATGGGTTTCCTCTGGTTTTGCCTAATGAAGGACTTGCTCCCTCTTGCTCCTCATGATGCCAGACCTCATCCCATCAGTATGCACGTGATCGTTGACGAACTTCAGCTTCAACTACAATGTCCAACCACTCTGGTGGACTTGATGTCACTTCCCAGATGGCGGATATTCTTGCTCAGCCAGGCTTCATCTCCGTGACACAAGGAGGTCAAACGCTGCGCGAGTTGTATCGTCGCGGTGAATCCACACTTCAACATTGACAACTTGAGAATACTTAATTGGCATCACACAGAGAGTCTTAACATGGACATAAGCAAGCTGTCTGCATTCACACAAGCTGTATTCATGGGCATGTTTGATGTTGTCAAACAAGTAATAATGCTCAGAAGTGAGAGCGCTTGCTTACCAGCCCCTAGCTCGTCGAACAAGGGACGGCACCAGATTTGTCCGGAACGGAGACTCCATTTTGTACTGGATATGCGTCCTGGGTAGTTCTGGGCGCTCAACGGTCCGCACAGGGTCCTCCGGGAAGTCTAAGGCATCTGGAGACTCTCGAGTTCTTGTTGACCCATGGCGCGCTGCCAGACATCCAAGACATTCTTGGTCATACTGCTTTGCACCATGCTACCACTTGTCCTCGCGAAACTCTTGATCTTACCCGCTGTCTATTGAAGCATGGAGCGAACGTAAACCACCTGAATCGCTTTGGCGAGGTAGGTTCTAGTTCTACGAGAGAGCACTAGTCATTCAGTCCGAACAAGATCAGCCTCTTCGGCACGATGCAGCTGAACCTTGTCGCCACTATCGATATCTTGCTGGAACATGGCGCGGATATCGATATAGTGCCAGCCGATGGCCTTACTTGTCGCCAGTTTTATCTAAAACTGGGTCCGCAGGTAGCTGCCGTGATGAACAAATGGATTGTGAAGCGATCTGGTGGAGACGCTCTTCCTCGTCTCGACAAGTCATGTGACTCTTGTGGGAAGAAGCCTGAAGGTTTCGACTTGAAGCAATGCGCCAAATGCAGGGTTGCAAGATACTGTTCGCGCGAATGCCAGGGCAAGTCTGTCTCTTTCTTCCATCCCTCCTTATCCGTACCACTGCTTACCACATCACAGAGAAAGAGTGGCCGACACATAAAAAGAAATGCAAAGCGTTTTCTTCCGACGCAACGGTGGTTCTCAAACCGATTTACGGAAAATACAGTCACACAATCCCGCTGGCAGAGACTGGACGTGGATTAAGTGGGTATCCTACTCAAGCGAAGGCCTTCTCCAAGAGTCAGACGCGCGGTTCACATGAACCGAAGAAAACTGGAAAGTCGCTTGTTGTCAAAGTACAAGTCCCGTTCACCGACGACCCGGTGCTGCGGGCTAGTGGGCTGCTCGTGTACAGCAAAACACGCGACTTGGCATGCACAATCAATCGTGAAGATGCGCCAGAAGAATATGACCGGATTTCGGAGGTAGTGAGGTCCAAGAGCATCACTGGAGCGAAGGGTTATTTTGTGGCGGAACTGGAAAGCAAGGATAGATTAGTCGTGAAAATTTCAGAGTTGTTGGCAGATCAGCCATGGTAGTAATGCTGAATCATCGATAGCCAGGTTGAGTAACATAGGGGCTCATATAACATAAGCAAAGGCTAACTTCTTCCTTCTTGACCTTCATGTCTGGATTGTACTCTGGCGGTTTGCGTGTTACACTTGAGATGGAGGCCATTATCGCGAAGCCCGGCTATTTAAGGGCTTTCAAGGATGGCGGTCAAGCACTACGAGGATATGTTGGTCAAGGTTTGCTTCCAGTCTGGCTCATTGCTTTTGTCTCATGAATCATCATTCTCGTAGAAAGTGCAAAGCTGGACGAAAGACAACTCTCCTCTCTTTCACTCGCAATGCTTTCTTTGGCTATCTTGAACCCGTGAGGAAGGTGTGCCACAGTCGCTAACACATCATATTGCTTAGATATTTCCTTCTTCTAAGGCGGTTGAAAATGGCACGGCCCCCGATTTAACTGGAACCGAAACACCATTCAAACATGGCTATGCGGCATGGGTTGTTCTCGGCGCACAAAGAGCTATAAGTGGTCCTCCCGGAGCTATGCAACATTTGGAGACCCTGGACTTTCTTCTCTCGAGCGGGGCACCACCCAATGTCGAAGGTATCGATGGCTACACGGCTTTACAGCACGCTACGACATACAATCAGGAGCAGTTCGAACTTGCGCGATGCCTGCTTAGGCATGGAGCGAACATAAACCACAGAAATCGCTACGGTGTGGTCTGTGTACTTTTTTTTCGTGAATCGTTGCTGATCTCAAACCCAGATTTCGCTCCTCAGTGCCCTGATGCATCAAGCGCTTCCGTCTGTAGACTTTCTCGTGGAGCACGGTGCGGACTTGGACATTCCAGATGCGGACGGTTTCACTGGTCGCTACATGTACGTCAAATGCGGACCGCAAGTCGTTTCTATCGTCAACAAGTGGATTTCTCAACGAAAGATGGGGTCGAGCATTTCGGACGAAAATGCCGAAACTCAGCTGCGTTGTGGTAACTGTGGGAAGACAGACCCTAAGCTGAAGAGATGCGGAAGATGTCGAGCGGTGAATTACTGCTCGTCGCAGTGTCAAAGTGCGTGAACTCGATTCATGATACCCGCTAATTACCACACATCCCAGAGACAGCTTGGCCAGCTCATAAGAAGGGTTGCAACGTACCGCCATAGGCCCAATGCTTCGGCGAAAATATAACGCCATCGTGTTTTTATTCATTGTGCTAAGTATACTCTTTGTAACTATGTACATTTCATTCGAACCATTACTCATCAAAAACTGGACGGATAGGATGGATTCACGTGTTACCCCAAATACCAACGCGTTCTTTCGTTAGACCATGACCTACACAGGGGGTTTGTCCGTCCCGCCTGCAATGCAGACAATTCTCGCTCGCCCAGGGTTCATCAGCTTGAAGCAAGGTAGCGAGTCCCTTCGAAAATTGTACCAGATAGGTCTGTCGCCCAACTCCTCAGCTTAACTTGGTCAACCGTGACGCGGCAGGAAGTCTCAACCTTGATCATCGCCTTCTTTCGCCTTTTGCCCAAACTGTGTTCATTGGTATCCGCGAGAATGTCATCAAAGTAACGCCATAGATCGTCTGTCCATATGCATAATGCTGACGGTCATTCAGGCGTTTGCAGAATTCCAGCCAGATTTATCAGAAACCGAGACTCCTTATAAGCTGGGCTATGCGTCTTTAGCTATCTTCGGCGTGCAAGCCGTGGTAGGACCTCCGGGGTCTCAAGACTATGTCGGTGTTCTACAATTTCTGTTTTCAAAGGGGCTTCCTGTGGATATTGCCGACATCACTGGCTTTACTGCTCTCGACCACGCCTGCATGGCTCAACAATCCTTGGAAGACTTGGCGAGGGTTTTATTGGTCAATGGAGCAGACCCAAATCATCAGGATCGTTACGGGGCCGTATGTTAACTTTGCTTTTTTTTATTGGGTCTTCGGTTAACATTAGTCGATTGAGACTGCCATTTTTGGGGCCATGCAGCACAACCATGTTGGGACTGTGGATGCACTCATGGAGTACGGGGCCGACATAGACCTCAAGGATGCGGACGACTGCAGTCCTAGAGACTGCTTTGGTAGTTGCGGACCGCAAATCACAGCCACGATCACCAAATGGATCCGGAAGCGGTCTGGGGAGGAAGCACCGAGGGAAGTCAAGGGTTGTGACTATTGCGGAAAGCCGTGGTCAGAGGAAAGCCCACTCAAAAACTGTGGACGGTGTCGAATTGCAAGATACTGCTCCCCACAGTGCCAAAGTATGCATCGTATCCCTTTGGGCAGGTTTTTTCTGACGTTCTGCAGAGAACTCATGGCCAAAGCACAAGAAAACCTGCGCACCTTTCTCCTCAGAGAATACTGTAACGCTCAAGCCGACGTACCTAGCTAACGCCGCCAGCTATTCCAACGCAGACCTCACTCGTAATTTGGCCGGGTATAGCAAAGGGCCTCTTCCAAAAGCCGCTTCAGTTGCGACTTATAAAAAGTTGCATGGCGAGGCAAAGAGCATTGTGATTAAGGTTCAAGTCCCTTTCACTGGCAGTTATCCCATAACCAGAAGTACCGGAGACCTGATGGTGTACACGAAAAAGCGGGACTTCGCATGCACGATAAGGAGGTCGGATGGGCCGGAGCCTTACGAGCAAATCTCGGAGGTGGTGAGAACGAAGGGAGTGGGTGGAGCGAAAGCATATTTCGCTGCGGAATTGGAGAGCAAGGACCGGTTGGTAGTCAAGATATCAGAGCCGCTGGCTGAACAGCCTTGGTGAGCTTGTTTTGGGGGGTGGAATATTGACACAAACAACGTATCATACTCAAAAATGGGGGAAACGAGGGAAACGCGAGGAAGACACGCTTTGGCGACGCGTAAGTGCTGACGCGGTGCTCGGCACGTGTCCCTTTTCCATCATAACGGTGTCACACGGCACCTGCCTTTTATGTCGGATACCCGATAGCAAGCGACAGAGCCTCCTGACTCCCACCACCATCTTGCTACACACACTCTTCGAACCCACATCCTACGCTTTCCTTCCCTACGCTTCTTCATGCGTCTCTTCACCGCGTCCCTCGCAGTTGCGGGGCTCGCTGGCCATGTCTTTGCTCATCGTGTGAGCGACGGGCCAATGCGACAACGCAAGTCTCTCGGCTTCGGGCCCGTTCACAACCACGCCGTATATCGCTCTAGCCCTTATCAGGTCACGACCAAGAACTTTAAGCGCATGGTTGAAGACACCGACCCCTTCGTCGTCGCCCAAGCCTTCGTCGAGGACATTCTTGGTGACCAGCTTAACGAGGCCAACTCGTATAAGATCCGGAAGGACTCATACACCGACCGCAACACTGGCGTCACCCATGTCTACGTCCGCCAAGTTGTCAATGGCATTGAGGTCGCGGACGGCGATATGAACATCAACATCAAAGACGGAATGGTCCTTTCCTACGGCAACTCGGTATGTTACCTATCTGCCGACGCATCCTAGCTCTGAATATTTCTCTCTCTTTTTTAGTTCTACCCTGGTCCGGTGCCCTCGCATCTCATGCAATTACCGTTGGACGATGACCTACGTCATCCCCACCAAGAGTTTTGCGACAGTCTCACCGACGAAATGGAACTTCGCTATACCTCGCTTCAAGATGGCCAAGTCGTCATGGGAGGTGCCGCTGAGATGCCTGCACCGGACTCTGGTCTGCACCATTTGACCCACGTCCATCATTCCAACTGCCGTCTCCAACATCTCCCTCTCAGAATGGCCGCACAGTACCCTAGCAATTTCGACGTTGATCTGCGCTCCGCACTTTTGCAATTTATGGTTGCCGCTACTCCCAACGACCAAGTTGTCAACGATATTCTCAGCGACTACGACTCGCATCTTTCAAAGATGGTGGAATATTCAGAGGGCAACCATTTTGCACCGTCCGACGAGTCATCTTACATTCTCGTTGACAACGTACCCGACACTGTCAATCCTGTCAAGGCTAAACTCGCTTACGTTCAAGTTACCGGTAAAGATAATTCGATCCACCTCAACCTTGTCTGGAAGGTGTGCTTTTTCACTCCTGGAATCAGTGCAACGCTCTAATGTGGTCTCTAGTTCGAAGTTGAGATGCAGGATAACTGGTACGAGGCTGCCGTTTCCGCTGTGGCCCCTCATCGCATTGTCTCCGTCGTCGATTGGGCTTCAGATGCTGCAGTCCCCACCCCCAAGCCCGGGAAAGCTGCAACTTACAACGTTTTTGCCTTTGGTATCAACGACCCTGAAGAGGGCAAACGCTCTATCGAGAAGGAGAGTTTTGACCCACTTGCTTCGCCCGCTGGCTGGCATTCGCTTCCATACGCCAATGACCCCTCTTTCCGTGGTGTCAAGGTCAAGGCTAAGGATTTCTTCCGCAATACAACCACTACTTGGGGCAATAATGTGTGTATCTGTGTCAGTGGTACTCCTTTCCATGTACTGACGTGATTCAGGTCTTCGCGCAGGAGAATTGGGAAGGCCAGAATGCTTACATTACCAACTATCGTCCCGATGGTGGTGTCGACAAGGACTTTGATTACTCCTACAAGCCCAAGGAAACTGAGAAACCCGACGCTTTAGAAGAGGCACAGAAGTTCATCAACGCTACGGTTGCGCAACTGTTCTACACTACGAACATGGTTCACGACTTGTACTACCGCTATGGCTTCGACGAGGTCTCCGGCAACTTCCAGCAATACAACTTTGGCCGTGGAGGCGAAGGGAACGACGCCGTTATTGCCAATGCCCAAGACGGTTCAGGCTACAACAATGCCAACTTCATGACACCTCCCGATGGTCAGAATGGTCGCATGCGCATGTATCTCTGGAACACCGCACTTCCCTATCGAGATGGTGACTTCGAGGCCGGGATTGTCATTCACGAGCTCAGTCACGGTTTGAGCACGCGTCTGACCGGTGGACCAATGAACTCTGGCTGCTTGCCTTTCGGTGAGAGCGGTGGAATGGGTGAAGGCTGGGGCGATTTCCTTGCAACTACGATTCGCTCAACGGAGAACTACTCTGACTACGCCATGGGTTCTTGGGCAGCAAACCGGCCCCAGGGCATCCGCAATTATCCCTATTCACTCAACGACACTATCAACCCCTCGACTTATAAGACACTTGACAAGCCTGGATATTTCGGTGTCCACGCCATTGGCGAGGTCTGGGCCGAAATTTTGTGGCACGTTTCCCAAGGTCTCATTGCCAAGCATGGCTTCAGCTCGACTCTCTTTCCTCCTCAGCCACTTGAAGACGGATCCATTCCCGAGGGTGATTTCTATCGTCCCAGGTCTGGTAAGAAGCCTTTGGTGCCAAAGCACGGTAATTCCTTGGCTGTTCAGTCCGTATTTTACCTTCTTTTTGTTGAACTGCGAACTGATTACGCTGAAAGGCTTGTCCTAAATGGAATGAAGCTCCAGCCTTGTCGTCCCGGCTTCTTCGAAGCTCGTAATGCGATCATTCTGGCAGACCAACAACTGACTGGCGGCGAGAACTTCTGTACACTGTGGAAGGGCTTCGCAGCCAAGGGTCTCGGACCTGATGCTGAGGTTGTCTTGAGAACGCCATGGGGCGGAGGAGTACGGACTGATGTGTGTTTGTCTCTCTATATTCTCGAGTCACAGTTGACACTTTTGTTAGGATTTCGAGGTCCCAACCGCCTGCGGTCCTGATGCAGATGAATAGATGATGATAGTTTACTAGACACCCCTACATAATCTCTTCATGAGGATTTACGACGATCTCGTGTCTGTCTCTGCTGTACGAATAGATGCTGAATATACTGGTGCATAATGAACTTGTCCAGACTTGTCCCCGCTAGCCATCATTTTTCATTAGTTTGCTCCTGTCAAGAGGGACAGATGTTTAATAACGTCCACGATCTCGCTATAAATTCAGGCGAACTGGGCACTTGATGCCCTTCGACAATCCCTATCCACGATGTCCAAGGGGCAAGGTTCGTTTCCCAATCGTTTTCCTCTCTCAGCGGTGTCTGACACCGCTATGCAGCGAAACCTGCGGGGAAAAGTTGGGAGGGCAGGGTGGTCGATGCAGACAAGAAGTTGAATTGGACTTTGCCTTCACCATTCAAGACTTACGGGTTTGGGCAATACGACATTGCGTGGGGGGCCCCCCCACTGTCGGTGCGTTTGTATCCCTCTGCCTTTTCCAGGCTTCATGATCACACCTGTTGTCAGCGTCCCGAATTCGTGCTTCTTGCGTTGTCTTGGACGCTTCGCAGCAAGCCAGAGTGGCAACGCAAAGCTGCCGACCCTGAGATTCGAGCCAAGTGGCGCGCCGAAATGCTGGAGCAGGCGGCGAAGGGCCAAACGTCTGATGAGATTGAAGACGCTGACTTCGTGGATGAAAAAATGGTATGTCTTTTTCTACTAGAGTACACCTTGGTGACCTGGATTGAAGGTCGACTACGTGCTAGCAGAGCTCGACGGCTATGCCAAAATTGCAGATGAGAAGACTGGCATTGAGCGTGGCTGCTTTGAAGGCATTTGGTACTCGGATCGGTTGTTCTCGGATGACCTTTTGGCGCGCCTGAAAAGCTGTGTTCGTTTGCTCGAAGACGTTCCGGACGATGAGAAGGACTGGCACCCAAACTCGAACAAACAAGTGTTGGATCTCGTGCATCCTTCGCTGTACTGCGTTGTCTACGGTCGTACCCATGCCTACCTCCCAGACGAGCCACGCACACCGGAGAACTTTCTCCCCGTCCGCCCGCCAACTATCAAGGCGTACGATTCCAATTGGATCTCGGAAGACTTCAGCTGGCTACCCTCCGACTTCGCGGTTGACGAGGCTGGGGCGGTCAAGCTGCTTTCGCCGTATATCAACAACTTGCAGCCAAAACAACATCAGGCGCTTTATCGCGTGATTGAGGATGCTATTGCTGGATTCGTGCCCATGTGGGAGCGCGTTATGGGAGACATCAACCGCGCGGAGGGCAAACGTGTCGCATGGGACGAGACGGGGCGACTGGAGCCAATTGGGTGTATCTGGGGAGGCGACGGGGAGCCCTACCCGGAAGATGACTGCCCAAGCGATGTTGAGGATGAAGACGCGTGGCTTCAGGAGTGGCGGGACAAACAACCGAAGACTCTACCGCAAGCATTGGAATATAATGGACAGCTGGAGGAACGCTTCAAGCCGGTTTCTTTGCGTGGACGCACGATCCAATGTATTATCAAGCTGGCCAATATTCATCTCACTCCGGAGAGCCCTGAGTATTCTGGCGGTAGTTGGCACGTTGAAGGTGTGTTGTTTCTTGATGCGTTGAACATGAACTCATCATTGGGCAGGGATGACCAACGAATCGATAGTGGCCTCTGGCATCTATGCACGTGTTTGTTTCTTCATTTGCATTATCGGCTGATATGCCTCCAGTACTACGACGAGCAAAACATCACCGAGTCGCACCTACAGTTCCGTGTTGCGACAGATGAGCCAGAATATCATGGTCAAGACGATGGCGACTGCATGAGAACGTTGTATGGCATGGACCGGTATGGTCACTCCCGAATTGACAAGTACAGCTATAACTTTTTTTCCGTTACAGAGAACAAGAATGTGTTCAAGATCTTGGTGCAATGGCCACCAAGGCTGGACGCGCCCTCGCCTGGCCAAATATCTTCCAACACTGCGTCTCGGCATTCAAGTTGGCAGACCCAACAAAACATGGCCATCGCAAAATCCTTGCCATCTTCCTCGTGGACCCCACCATCGACCCTATCGTTTCTGCAAGTGATGTTCCGCCCCAACAAGCAGAATGGGCAGCAGAAGCGCTGGAGGATGCCTACAACGATGCGAAACCGGGATCTCCAACGTCCACGACGTCGTCCAAGACAACACTCGCCCACATGCCCCGCGAACTTCGAGACCTTGTCAAGAAGCAGTTCCCGGAGAGCGTCATGACGATGAAAGAGGCGGAGGCATTCCGGTTGCTGCTCATGAAGGAACGGACTGCGTTCGTTTCAAATCATACTGAACAGGCCTTTGCGCATCAATTCAACATGTGCGAACACTAGTGTGCGTGACCTGTACCGTATTAATATTGTAGAAACTATGTCGGATTTTATAGAATTGCGTGGGTGGCTGTGGATCCAGTGACCTGCTGCGGCCAAACTTGAAGTTCGTTCGTAAGTGCATGGCTGGTGCAACGACGAAGGTGGTGCAGGTTCGGAAGCGAAATGGACGTTTTTCCAACGGGTCTGCGAGTAAAATCAAAGTGGCGGTAGAGGAAACTACTACCCGCAGGTCCAAAAAAACCAGCCCAATATGTTTATGACGACGACGATGACTCTGAATCCAACGAAGAATCGGGTTCTGGATCTGACTACGAAACAAGCGCGATGAAAAGAGCTCGCTCCTCCCTCCAGAATGAGAGAACACAAAAAGCTCGCTCCTCCCCCCAGAATGGGAGAACACAAAAGCGGTCGGACAATACGAAATCGGGTGGGAAGCGAAAGCAACCGTGAGTATCATTTATCTTCGGGCTGAAGTTCAGAGAGATGCTAAGTTTTATACCTGCAGAAAACAATCTATCGACACGTCCAAGCAAGAGTCGCCGATGAACGGAATCGCGACATCCGGGCCGGGCCGGTTGCAGTTGACTGAGCTTCCAGCTGACCCCCCACCTCGAATTTTCCTCAGATTCAAGATCCCGCCAACGTTGGCCGCAGAGCTGCACAAGAGTGATCGCAATAATCGAAATTCACACATTGGCACAGGAGGTTGCTCAGCTTCCCATTCACGCGAATCCAAACACCTGGAGCAGAACTTGAGCTTACCCACAACGGCTCAAGGCGTGGATATCTTTGACGATGCTGCCGAAGTCGTCTCCGTGGCGGAAGTCTTGCACAAACTCGATAGCTTGAACTACTCACTTGACAGCCACGTTCGGATGATCATGGAAGAGATAAACCGCCTCGGTGTTCCTTGCGAGTCTGATGGCCCCATCGCCGAATATTGGGGCCAAGATTCCCTCCTCGTATCCACTTTGGTCTGTTTCATCGAGGACCACGAGAAATCAGGTTTTCTCTTCGACGCTGTTCTGCACGACATAATCACTTCTCACTTGTACACGCACGTCCTGGCGGGAGACGTAGTTTCTCGTTCATTGGACGCGCATCAAGTTTTTCAGCAGGTTTTCGACGGCATCAGCAGTCAAGGTAACAAAAAAAAATGGCCCAGCCCAGTAGTCAACGCTGACTTGTCTGTCAGAGCACTGGAGGACAGCGCAGCGTTGGCGGTCGCTTGCCGCAAGCAGCGCATGCCAGGTGGACAACTCCACGTCTTGGCTGTCCGAAAACGTTACCAAGCAAATAAATATTATTCTAAGTCTTGTTGCCTCTGTTTTACGACAGGACCTCTCCTTCGCTCTGCCCTTGAGACCCACGATCGAGTCTGCGTTGCTCGCATTATACGGCGAGGCACGAGAGGTCACGACCATGATGCGCCGAGACATTCTTTCCGTCCGCCTGTCGGTGGACTGCCCATTGGCGCTTACGGTATATGACGATGAACATATGGACGTCATTTGGCCCGGAATGGGAGAGACCAGCGGCCAACGTATCATTGCATCATACCACTTTGGCTTGCTGCGCCGAACATCTAAAGGAGTTGTTTCTCACTTGAGAAAATCCAAGGTTATCACTCAGGCCTTGCTGATGCGGTGGAATGTGACCTGAGCGAAGGGTTTGGTTGGCAAGATTCTTTACATGTGAATCTGGCTATGTATTCATCACTAGTTGAACTCGGTAATTATGACGGTCGCGGGGCCTTCTTTATACTTGCCCTAGTAGATGGTGCTTAGCAGCTGACATAGGCACATAGGATCAAAGAGCACATACATTTTCTTTCCACTTCAAACGAGCACTTAGCTGGGTGCCACCCAGCCGCAGAGCAACTTCGAACTGTCAGATATCAGCATGCAACCCCGAGTTGTGGTTTCGAAGATCAACCTCAATTCTGCGGAAGCGGTGACCTAAGGAAGATGTTTGGGGAGGTGTTGCTTTGAAGCACTTGCGGAGGTTTCCTTTGATAGTACAAATGGCCTCAAAGTCGGGTTTGAAGTCGGATTCATCTGCAGCCTGATCGGTAATACGAATGGATGTGAGGGAGGAACACACCAGGTTCACACATAAAGCTGGGAGGTGTTTGTGCGCGGTAGATGTAGATTGTTTCCTCTCGGATAAAGTTTACAGTGTCGTCCGGAAGTTCGGCGACAAAGGCGACACAATGTTCCTTCCTTGTGCTCAGTCGAGCTCCCTACAGGAAGGTCAGGTTGGCGGACCTCATCAACATTTTCGCATCACCATGGGGGCAATGCACTGCCAAGCACGAGGAATGTACTGGATTCCACTCGGGACAGTGATTATTTGGTCTTTGTATGGCAGATGACCGGGAATATCAGAGTCATACTGACAAAATACGTCAGTTCCGTAGTGCCTGAGGCCGTCATGTTAATTGATCAAGAGAAGACAATGTCTATCATACCATTTGGCCAGACGTGCCCGCACAGTCGAGTCCAAAAACCACGATATAGACCCATTCACCACGGCCTTTGCAGTAGGACCATCTGGACGTGTTATTTCCACTCCGATTTCTTTCGCAAATTGGTTCAGCTGAGAAAACAGGTACGGAGACCCAGCAAATCCGCCAACAAGAATTACTTGCTGAGATTCGGTCAAAATTCACGAGTAAGCAACTAAATCAGATTAGACAAACCGCAGTCACCAACTTCCCATCAGAATCGAAACATGCAGATTTAATACCGTTTTGAATGTGTTCGATACACGGTTGAAAAAATAAGGCCATTTTATCTCTAAAAATCACAGTCAACAGGTGAAACCAGGCTGAAGCAAGTCATACCCAGATAGCTTCAGTTGTCCGCGCTCAATGTCCTTCTCAGCGCAAGTTTCGAACCCTCCAAGGCGCACATAAGAATTTTCATTCTCCTGTGAGAACTAAGCAGAGAGTGAGCAGACATAACATGCGTGGAAAACGCTACAACCTTGACTTTGGCCAATTTGTCAAAGTTTGAAACGACCATTTCGAATGCCTCAGTCTTCTCCTCCCAATCCGTTCCGCGAGAAAGGACTAACGAAGTCCTTTATTTGTTCGAGAGCACTGTCCTCTCACTGACCTGACAGATATTCCCGGGCGTAGTCTGTGACCACGAGGCTTCCTGCCATGTAGCCTGTATAGATCAATGAGTGTGGATGATGTCGGAAAGCACAAGGTTTACATCGTGGCAGCGCCGACTCCTCCAGCTGCAGGCAAGGGTAGTTAGATTTGACACAATATCGCCTAAAAACATTGTCAGGAATGTTCCAGAGGAATCTTGGACAGCTAACGTGATGTCGACTGTTCCTCCTTGTTTCAAAATGAGTTCAGGTTGACGAAGAAACGTAGAGATGAGAGGACTCACCACCACAATCGCAGATAACAATATGTGCACTAGGCTGTTGCAGTATGTTAGACATTGCGGGTGAATGAGGTACTGAACGGACGGTCAGCCAATCTGTGATCCTCCCTGTCTCGATTGCGTATAACACTGAGGCCTGAAACATTTTTATTGACGCAAACTTGTCATAATGGCAAGGAATTACCTCCGCTTCCGATACAAACTTGACTCTGTCTGCGCCATGTGCATCAACAAGGCCAGCGCCTATGGCAGCGCGGCGCATTTGTTCCTGCTGTGGGCCTTCCCAGCCGTTTGGTATGGAGAGAACCACATCCATCGATTCCAAGAGCTTGTTCCAAAAACTCTCCGACTTGCTATATGAGGCCAAAAAGTTGACTTTCACTTGATCACCGACAAAACGTAGGAAATCGGTGTAGAGTTGCTTGATAGAGACGTTGGCTGGCAAAGGTGGCAAAGTGTGGAAAGGATCGATAAATTTGAGGCTAGCGGGCCGCAAGTGTAACTTGAACCTGACCAGGGCTCAGCCGTGAGCGTGCAATTGTAAGGTAACTGACCATTCCACCCGCAGCCAGCCAGCTAACACTGCTTCTTTCATCACACCCTAAACAGTTCAGAAATGACGGAGATTGTACGGGCTGAGACATACCTCGTCCTCCACTGCTGCACCGAATGCCTGTGCAATGCCGTTTTTGTCATAGAAGATGAGTGTCGGGACCTTGGAGTCTGGAATAGACTGGTCACTGTAGTGAATATCCGTTGTCTTTATTGAAATATTGGGCCACCTGTTTAGGCCACTGTTGCACCTACCAATGGTCACCTCAACGAATCTGCAGAAAACACGAATGGCAAACGCACCCCACCCATTTTCGGCTCTTTCTTGGGCTCTAGAAGGCACCAAGAAGCTGCGCTGAACGTCGTCCCGATGTCGATGGCGAGAACGAGCTTCCTAGAAGCAGTTCCATGTAAGTAGTTATCGAGACTTGAACAACAGATGGGAAGAATGTACATTTCTGTGCCTTTATATGGCGGACGCCTCTTGTGCATGTTCATGGCCATTTGGGAAAGAGATGTGTTTGGACGGAATCCAAATACGCCCAAATAGCTGCGGGTTCTGCAATACAAAGCTTATGGTCGGTGCATGCAACACTACGACGGCTTCAATATCGTGCGTCCACCACAATGACTGCATATGATATGTAGCGAGGAAGAGTTGCATTGGAGCTCTTTGTCGAAGTGCAAGCTGTGATTTCTCGTATCTGAACGGTAAGAGGAAGAAGGGGCGTTGATGATGTAAGTCATCGCACGCGGTCACGAGAACATTTGCATTTCTATTTAAAGTACTTGACATTTATAAAGCGCGGAGGTTCAGGGTGTAATCTCAGTAGTGTGATCATGCAAACTCGTATTTTTCTCCCAATATTTCTTCGGTCAAGTTCCAGAGCGTTTCCGCGTTAGTCTACCGTGTTCAGTTAGCGAGCACCCCTTGAAGGCACAGAAAACATACGATATCGACAGCATGGGGCGCCACCTGGTCCTTCGCAGCGATGTTTCCATCGACTAAGTACGCGCCAGCCTTGTCTAAAACAAGAGTTGCAAGTTAGTATCATGGGCCGGTAGCCTGCCAGTGGGATTCAACGCACCGTCAAGCCGAGGATCAAAGGCTGCAACGACTGTGCTGTGAGCATAGGATCAGACAGAAATTTCAACAAAATACTGCATCACAAACGTTGTTGCGCCTTGTGGGAGGGTTTTCCACTTCGCGAGACCGTTGTCCGAGTCCTTAGGCTTCATGTCGGAGGTAACGACATCTGAGAACATGCTTGAGAACGCTAATGGTCACGTAATGGGAATGGAATACCCAGTCGACGAAACACAGGCCACAATGCTTCTTTGTCAACCGCATTGGTTGCAATCACTGGGTTTGATTTGTTAGTTCAAGTTGACAAACAGGCAAGTTGAGCACGGATACTCACTTCCTGGATGGAGACTATAGCCACGCAACTGGCCCTTCGAGCGACGGGATATCTCTATTCCCATCAATATATTCGCACTTTTCACTTCAGCATAACGGTGCATCAAGACGTCGGCAGTCCCCGCATCATCGCCAGGGTACCCATAGCGGAGGTTGCTGAAGTTCATTTCCTTGACTCCTTGGTGACCGCTACTAGAGACAAACACTACACGGGGGGTGTAACTCGGACTCCGAGCCAAGAGGAGCTTTTGCGTGACAAGTTTGGTGAATAGGAAAGGCCCAAATTGGGCCGTGGCGACCTGGATCTCGAAGTCATCTTCAGTGACGTAGTAGCTTCCGAGGGTTGCAGCGTTATGGATGAGAACCTGGGCAAAGGCTCTGATAGACAGACACTAACGAAAAGCTCACTTACATGCAAAGGTTCAGAGTAGGCGTTGACCTCTGCGGCAGCCCTGCGCACGGATGCGAGGGAAGAGAGATCGAGGGTCAGCGGCCTGATATTAGCAGACGGGAATTCTTTTTTGAGGGCCTGCTCTGAAGCTTTCAGGCTGTGTCGCCGTTAGGTTGAACATTTCCCAACTTGAATCATCGACGACTTACCGCTCAGCATTGTATCCTGTGATAATGATTAGATTGGCATAAGGGGCCATTGCCCGTGCAGCCTCTAGTCCCAGGCTTTTGGTAGATGTTCCAGTAATGAGGACTGGGATGCATGAGCTGGACTCCACGTTTAACTCGATCCACGACACGAACCATTTTTGCCTGAAATTTGTTCCCGCAATGCGCTGGCGGCCTCCTGTGCTGTGGTCTCGAAGGAAAAGGTAGGTAGACTCATGCTGGATTCACTTGGGTGGTGGTTTCAAGTTTGACTTTCATTTTGAGGCGCTAGAGTATTTATTCATACGGAGAGTGGTGATGCATTGGTAAGGTAAGAATTCACCGCGACGGCCGGGTTCGGTTTTCTGCCAAATAAAGCTGTTGAATAAAGCAAAAGAACGAACTTGCAAGCGAGTTGGTATGTAACCGCCAGCCACTGCCAAGTAGAGTCATTCGTATGTCGTCAGCTCAGAGCTAGGATTGGTCGGAACCCCACTCAGGAATGTGAGGTGAGTCAGTGGGAAGGCGGTACAGTGAGATGTTGCGTCATGCTGTAGAGTAAACCGCCCGCCGCAGAGTCGCCGCAGAGCAATTGAAAGCCTCGCAAGCGTGACGAGGTGTCACAATGTCACACGATTAAGTAAGTACGTTCTTTAAGTTGGATAACTTCAGGAAATGTTTGTGTGGCTTAAATATATGGAAGTCAGTTTGAATAAGCTAACGATCCAGCTCGCGATCCCACAGCCCATTACGCAAACTCAAATTTCTCTCCCAATAGCTCCTCAGTCATGTTCCAAAGCTTTTCCGCATTGGCCTGGAGTTGTTCGCCGTAAGCAGTCGCATTATTCCAGGAGGAGACAGCATACGGGATCCACAGCATGAGATGCTACCTGTTCCTTCATGGCAATGTTGCCGTCGACCAGATATGTACCAGCCTTGTCTGGAGGAAATTGTTAGATGTCGAGACCAAAGGGCCTGAGTAGATGTACTTACCATCCAGCCGAGGGTCAAATGCGGCAACCACGGTCCTGTGGAGCTCGTTATGAGAGAACTGTTCGAAGAGCATGTATCACAAACGTTGTTGCGCCTTGCGGAATGGTCTTCCACCTCTCGAATCCGTTTTCTTTCGGTTTCATGTCGGAGGTGACGATGTCTAATGACATTTAGACCACGGCTACACACAAAATGAGAATGGGATACTTACCCAGCTGACGGAATGCGGGCCACAAAGCTTCTTTGTCGACCGTGTTGGTTGCAACCACTGAATTTGAATCATTAGTTGATAAATTGGTTGCGTCGGGCTCAAACACTCGCTTCCTGGATGGAGACTATAGCTGCGCAACTGGCCCTTTGAGCGACGGGACAGTTCTACAGCCATCAACATGTTTGCGGTTTTCACTTCGGCATAACGACGCATCAAGACGTCTGCAGTTCCAGCATCATCGCCAGGATAGCCGTATCGTAGCTTGCTGAAGTCAAGCTCTTTGATTCCTTGGTGAGCCGCACTTGCGACGAAAACGACACGGGGAACGTAGGTTTGCGTCCGAGCTGAGAGAAGCTTTCCCGCGATAAGTTTAGTGAAGAGGAATGGCCCGAATTGAGCTGTAGCGATTTGGATCTCAAAATCATCTTCGGTTACATAGTAGCTTCCGAGGGTTGCAGCGTTATGCACGAGTACCTAAGAATATTTTCTCGTGAACTAGCTTGTGAACAAGGGTAGCTGGCTTACATGCAATGGCTCTGCATAGGCGTTGATGTCTGCAGCGGCCTTCCGAACAGATGCCAGAGACGAAAGATCAAGTGTCAGCCGCCTGATGTTAGCGGATGGAAATTCCTTCTTCAAGGTTTCTTCTGAAGCCTTCAAGCTTCACGGCTCTTTAAGTGGTGGATACTCGTCTAGTTTTTTTTTTTTTTTTTTTTTTTTCCCGTTATTTGGCCTCTACAAACAATGTACGGTAGCCATCACCATGCGCTCTCTAGACCCTTTCCTACTCCTGCTCTCTTGTGTTTTGCCTCGGTATCTTGCCCTTTCAGCCGGTTTGCTCGGGGCGGCGGCGTGAAGGTGGGTGTAATTAGTGTCCTGTAGTGATTATAGATTGTTAATGTGAGAGCGTGTTTGCTTCGCGTGTCGGTGGTCCTCCTTCTCCCTCGTCGTTCTCGTCTTCTTCATCCAAATGGCTTCGCTTCCTTCGCCAGTGTTGGCAGGTCGTCCTTTTCTTCCATCCCGTCCGTCCGTAGCTTCGATATTAGGTCGAGTAGGTCGTCCCCATACGTTCCATTCTGGTCTAGTGGCTTCCTGAGGTGTCGGTGCACCGCTCGAAATCTCCCCGTCCTATATATGAACCACATCAGCGGCTCTAACAACTTACCGGCTCCCAGCAGCTTTTTTATCACTCTCGTGTCCCTTCCTCCTTCTTCGTATAGCCTTCTTCTCGCCTCTTCGTGTGCGCTGCAATGCAATAGGTAGTGTGCGACTGTTTCGTCCCGCCTGTCTGCAGCATGGGCAAATTGGTGAATCCGCCTTGGTGATCCGGTGCATGTGTTTCGCGAGCGTGCAATGTCCCGTCCTCAGTTGCATAAGTAAGACTGCGTAAGATTTCGGGACGCTCGTGTATAGCTTGAGGTACGAGCCCTTCACTAGTTTCGCATCGTACTGCATCGTTTGCTGATATCGCTTCGACTTTCTCCACTTGTCCGCGACCCTGGCTTTCCGCTTCGCCTCCAGCATTTGTTTCGCAGCTGATTTGCTGATCGGAATCTCGGGGTGGTATTCTCTTGGTAGCTCTTCCGGCTTAGTTGTGTCGCCCGCTGCCGCTTTCTTCGCCTCCTCGTCTGCCCGCTCGTTGCCCGGTATTCCGACGTGTCCTGGAGTCCAACGGATGGTTAGTTCCATGTCAGTGTGAATGCTAGTAAGTTTTGAAAACTTCTCGTGCCAATCGTCCCACAACCAGCTCGACGGTGTGGATTTCGATGAGTTGACTGCTTTTATTGCCGCTTGGCTGTCAACCGCGATCGTCACTTTTCCCTCCACCCTTCTCTGGTTCCGTAACAGCTCCAGCGCCATGCCGCTCCCTACTGCCTCCCCCTCGTATACTGTGTGCTGTTGCATTGTCCCCAGTCTCGCCCTCATGGTCCCCACCAGTCTGTTGTCCCTGTACATCACCGCCGAGGCCCCGATTTCTCCGTCTATCCCTGACCCGTCGGTGTATATCTTCCATCTCGCTTCGTCCCTCAGCTCCTCCTCTATCGCCGCTTCTTTGCTCCCCGCTATGTTTGTACTCACTGTTACGTCCTTTGTCGCCACCCTCCTCACTGCCTGTATTGCTTCGAACTCCTTCGCGGGTCTTGGGAGGTACTCGATCATCTCCGATATCGTGCTCCGATCTTTCTTCCTGTCCGCCGGTCTGTTCCTTCGCATTTCCTTGTTCAAGGGATGTGTTTCTGGGAGTGTCGCTAGCCTGAGGGCGGCTGTTTCCCTGACTTTGTGCACGAGCTCTTCTATAGGTAGCAAGTTAGCATAGACATCTAGCACTTCTGTGGGCGTGGATGAGAGCGCTCCCGTAATCTTGAGCGCTGCCCTTCTCTGTATCGTCCTTAGCCTCTTTATTACTCCTCTTTCGCGTTCTTTTCCTGTTGCCGTCTTGTCGGTCGGGTTGAGGAAGATATCCGCTGCATAAAGCATTTGCGGCACACATATGCTCAGGTATAGTCTTCGCATGCTCACCGGTGGGAGTCCTCCTGTCACCTTCGCCAGTCTCTCGAACGTCGCTAGCCAGGCTTGACCCTTTCCTATCGCCGCCGCCTCTTGCTGCTTCCATCTCAGCTCGTTGTCGATGTGTACACCCACCAGCTTGACCGCCGTCGTCGATTTTATCACATGCCTGCCCAACCTCATATCGCTCCTCGGCATCTGTCTCGTCCCTCTTTGCCCCGGCGGGTTCTTGACTCTCTTTCTGGTCACGTCCACGAGCTGGTATTTTTCCGGTCCAAAGGTCGCGTTGTGTTCCGCTCCCCAGTGGACGATGCCCCCGTCTCTGTGCGTCACGTCGTCGATCTTCTTGTGCGTCGCCTCAAAGTTCCTGCCCGTAGTTATCAGAGTGTCGTCGTCTACAAAGAGCACCTTGTTTTCCCCCCTCCTCTGCTTGGGTATCTCCGCTAGCGTGGCGTTGTATATGAGGTATAGTATCCCCGATATCGGGTCTCCCTGGTCGAGCCTACTCGTCTAGTTGTTGCCGACGTACCGTTCGGTATTGTACCCTGTGATGACAATCAGGTTGGCATACGGGGCAAGGGCCCGCGCAACCTCAAGTCCAATACTTTTGATCGATGTTCCAGTAATCAGAACTAGAATGTGTGATTGAACTGAACCGCAAGATGTGATGTGTGCGACCCACCATTTTTGCCTGAAATATGTGCCCTGAGAGCGCCAGCAGCCTCTTGCGCAGTGCTTTCGAAGGAGAAACTGGGTAAACTCATGCGAGATCGACTCGTGTCAGTGGCGACATTGATACGAGTGCTGGGCTCAGTATTTATTCATGTTATCTGTAGATCTCGGAATGCAGCCGCTGGCCGCTGCAAGCGCAGCAGTCATCTGGGCATCGTCAGCCTAGATCTTAGACTGGTCAGCCTCTGGTGCGAAATGCGACTCGGAGGTTCAGAAGAGAAACTTGAAGTCGAGATATTGACAAGTCCTCCGAAGCACAAAACCCGCGAAGAGTACATGCTGCAGCAAGACGAAGGAGTGAGCGACACGTAGGACGCAACAGTGCAGGTCATGATGTTCTGTACATGTCATGTGTAGCCTCGAGTGGAGCGAAGATCAAAGAAACTTGAAGTGAGTCACACAGAGGTAGTCACTCATACGATCATTGTCACCTCCACCCACGACAGCCCACGACCAACTACTTAATTGTGCAACCATTCAGTATCCAACCAGGCATAGTCTCTCAGTGTACGTGTGCTGAGTGGTGCATTCTCAAATGCTACAGTGAAGATGTCACCGTGGTAGCTCTCTGCCCTCCTCATCCAGCGTGGGACGCGTCGCAGAGCTATCTCCGCATTTGTTCCCTCTGAGACAATCTGACTGCAGCTCAAGTTTCTGTCTACGAAGCTTTGCACACATGTTCTCGGTCCGTGTTTCGTGGCTTTCGCGACTGACCCGTTTTCACTAAACGTCGGCATTATGGTTCAATAGAAAGCGTGGGCTCAGCGCTCATCCTCAACATCACGTCGTTCGTTGCTTCAGCTACTCAAGCACCAATGCGTTCCTATCGAAATTCACCAGTGCACTCGCACCGCCTCTACCAACGCCAAATCATACGTTCGCTCCGTCTTGAACCAAATAGCGCTCGCATGTGGTGTCGTGGTCGCCCCGGAATAGCCGGGCCCCGAAACATACTGGCCTCACGCACTGCTCGAGTCATTAATCAACCGCAATTGGCATGCCTCGGTTATTTTCTCCTCGAAGACACACAACCTCCACAAGGATGTTCAAACTTCAATGAATTATGATCGTCATGTGCAGAAGTACGCTATTGACTACATAAAATAAGTAGCTCTACTTCCAATTCAGACCAATTCCAATGAATACATTTGATTGCTTGACAATCGACCAAATGAGTAAGTAAACGAACGAGCTAGGTATACAAATGATGTCTACTGAGATATATGGTAAATGACTACTCTGAGCCGTTGAACTAATGCAGTATATGCGGAATGAATGTAAGCGAGCGAGCAAGCTCTTTTTGTGTTGTGACCCCAGCAGCGCAGCGCAGAGATTCCCTCAAAGCATAATAGTACGAATCTGGAGATGGATAAGCTGGGAATGGTCCAGGTGGAAAGCCAAGCCCATACATTATTGCTGACGATTGTACTGAACATTCAACCGCAGATCAGGTACAGTTTGTTCCGTGGGGGGTTGGCATAGAAAGCATCCGAAATGTTCGCATGATGAAGAGGAAGCGGAGGTTGATTAAGTTCATGTCGCATGGAGGGAATCCACGAGGGTGTTTTGTTCGCACGAGAAGCCACAGGAGTAGTTGGGAAAGTTGCAGAACCGAAGTAGGTTGAGAGGGAGAAAAGACAGCGGAATCGTAAGTAAATACTCATGAGGCGGAGGTCATAGATAGAAAATAAGAAATAGGTGACTGCACACGACACGAGCAAAGCAAGACCGTTGGTGAGACGGTCGACAGCATGAGAACGCATCAAATCATGGCTGCGTTCTCTAGATTCGACACCACGATAATGCTAATCAAGCCAAATGTTGAGTATTGGCATCGCTTTGAGACGAGGAAGTGCAGGGGACAAGGGCATGCAGCGCCGGATGTCGCGAGAAAGTGAAGAGGGAGGGAGCGAGGGAGGGGAAACATTAAAAACAGAAAGGGAAACTCACTCTAAGATGTGCATTAGCGGTTCTGCGTCACTACGCGTGGCTCAGTTCACGTACCTTCAACAGCAGCCATCACCACTCTCAGATTCTCTGTGTCCGTCGCGGTAGTCACGCTACACACAACGGGTTAATAAAAATGTTGCACAATACCCAGATGGTGTTTGAAAACTCACTGAATATATATTTCCCTCTCCTTCGCCCGTCCGGCTTTATGAGCGAGCCGTGAGAATCGTTTCTTGAAGTACTCCCGGCCAACGACTGCATTGCCCAGCTCGCCATCAAAATCCTCCAATGGACATCAGACCTAACACCGTTGACACCCCAAGGATAAGAACGCACAGGAAAGAAGGTCTTGATATGAGAAGACTTGATCTTCTTCTGGAAGAGATCGTCTTTGTTCAAGAAAAGAATGATTGACGTCTGTTTGAACCATTGCGAATGGCAGATCGAGTCCCATATCGTCATCGCATCTTGCATTTGGTTCTGATCATGTCCTCAGAATTGAGTTAGATGGAAAGGAAAGAGTTGGTACCGCGTCCCGATCTTCCACTAAACATTGGTCGTATCCGCTCAGACTGACGAGGAAAAGAATCGATGTCACATCTTGGAAGCAGTGAATCCATTTCCGCCGTTCAGACTTTTGACCACCAACCTGACAAGACTATTAGTGAGGGAAAGTAAAAGGACTAGACACACACATCAACCATAAGCATTTCGTGGTCCTTGAGATGGAATGTGGTTTCAGTTATGCCGATGGTTCTTGCCCGCGTTTGGACTATATCTTGTTCTGTTGGTATGTAGTCGGGGTTGAATAATCGTGGAAGATCCGAGAAGAAGTATTGTAGACTAGCAGCAATAGTGGGTCAGCAGGCAGATGAGGGTAAGCGAGGGTTCACACTTTTCAGGCAAGGCTGCCTCATTACCTCTTGACCAAGCCTCACGAACAGATGGCTCCTCCCAAAGACGCTGAAGAGGGCCAAGAAAATTCAACGGAAATGGGACGCCATCTCGCGCATCCTCGGCCTCCTCAATCAATTTGACGTCTTCTGTAATCCGATCTGGTTTGACGCCGTCTTCACCACACCCTTTGGGTTCTCCTCGTCGGCGAAGAGTGCTAGCGAATGCATCTCCACCGCATTCCCCAGGTGCCCATCCACGAACGAACCCAGCTCGGCCCTAATGCGCTGTCGTCAAGGCAGAATCAGAGAAGAAGGCGGAACGGTACCTGAAAGTCATCCTCAGGATAAACATTGGTGTAAGCTTCCGGTAGTTCGAGATCTAAGTGCTCGAGAGCGTCGAACACTGACTTGAGGCCGCGTGTGAGATTGTCAAAAACAAGCTGACGAAAGGATTCCTTCTCCTGGTAAGCAGGTTGGTGAGGATTTGTGGGTGAACGGGTTCAGAGTGTGTGATACCTGCGCGGTAAAGGGGCGCGAGTGGATGAGGCGCATCTGTTTATTGATTGTGCTTTTGCCCGAATCCCCAGAGCCTAGCAGGAGGACCTATCGGTGAGGTAGGGGTTAGCACAACGACGGTCATGTCTTGTGGAGAAGAGGGCATGGGAATAATGCGTAGGCTCGAAAACAAGACCACGCGTTCGCCAATGCATTGAGAAAGATGACTCGCCTTGACTTGCGCCGCCATTTTTGCCTTTGCAATTTTCAGCTCTTTCTCCGCCTGACGATGCAGTTGCTTGTCGTGTTCAGAGACTTCGCCGCCGTGTGCCTGCGTTGACACACAACCACCCATTGCGACCGGCCGAAAAAAAGAGAGAAGATCGAGGAAAGGGAGAGGGGTCGCACGGAAGATGGGTAGGGAGGGAGGGTTGGTGGGCAAGAAGAAGGTAAGGTGGAATATAATTTACTTGTCATCGGGGCAAGTGCGCGTCTTCACACGCCACTACCGTGACCAAATGCCGTGATGAAACAGCGCACGGTCCGGCTCCGGTTGTCGGGAGACGACCTAGTTACCAAGTTCTTCGAATGCGCCACACATGCTGGTCCTCAACCAACACCCGCTGGCGGGCTCAGAACGCCTCAATATCTCATGTTTTTCTGAATCACTACCATTCGAGGGCGACCAAACGTCAAACTCGAAAAAAAAAGTTTGTTTTTAATTTACGCCCCTTGACAGATGGGTGGGTAAATCGGCCACCTGCCATTATTACGAGAACCTGCGGCATTGCCGAGAATATAAACCGACCTCTTTTATGTACGTACTTACACAATGACCCTTGACTGCAGTTGACTGCCCACATGCATGGCCAAACGTGCCGCAACCAAACAAATAGTCATTGCTTTGCACTTTTGGGAGTGTGTGTAAACCTGAGAAGCAAGCAGTAAGCATTACTTGCGCTAGAGGTGATCGGCAGAAGCTGACCGTCTGAAGATCCACATTTATACAGAGATACTCCTCAGTACAAGAGAACTTCAATATTCAATACAATGTAGCGCATTATTAACAGACTTGCCTAATACGAGCACCTCAAGTCGATAAGTCATCGTAAGCCTTACCCCGTATTAAATTTCCTTATATGGACCCTGGTGTTGAGTCGAAACTTATGCACGTGACTCAACCTTTTTTTCGAATCACATTAAAATCCCGCGGGAAAGTACGCTACAGGCTACAGATTAAGGCGCGGTGCTCGAGTGAGCGGTCATCATGGACTGTTGGCTCCTTTTGTTGCTTATGTCTCTGCATACTTGTTCCTTAGCCTTAATATGTCTCGCAGGCGCCCAACCTACTCACACAAGGTAATTACAACCCAGTTTATGGCAGCCTCACCTCATCATTATATAGACCCCCAGCGGACAGCACGCCATGGAGACACCTAAGCGACGTTAGGTAAGTAAGCTCCTCAAACAATTAACTCTGTAACTTTTGAGACGTTTACAGCCCACAAACTGTAGTATATTTCACCTTGATTTTCTCAGAGCTCTGGTTACCCGCGTTTCAACAGAAAATTGTCGCCGTCATTTATTGTAATTATACGATGAGCTCTCCGTCGAAATCGCCGTGCTTGAATCGAGTTACTCCCGCTACAAGTCAACCTACACAATACCGAAAATTCCCTGAAGTTGCCCCAGACCAGAAAACTATTGGCACTTCATTCATCGTCTTCATCTGAAGGTATTGTGACAGCCTTGACCAGTCCCCAGCCTCCCCAAGCGGTCCTCAATGCCTCCGTTGGAGCACAGAGTCCCCATGTAATTGCATAATGGTTCAAAACAAGCTCAAGTTCCTCCACCTCATCAACCAGTTCCAAATGAGCAATCCTGTAGTCATATCAGCATTATGATTCGCCCGTTTATATCATTCAACCTTTCCAGCTCAGTTGCCGAAATATAAGATTTGCGAATTTCTTTGAGGGTTAACGCATGAGCAGCAGTGAAGCCCACGTTAGTGAACCGAGTTGGCAACGAGTGGATGTCGGAATAGGGTGCAGCACCCGGGAGGGAGACGTTCCGCGCCTTGAGGTTCTCCACCATCACGCGTCCGAAGGCATCTTGCAAACCAAACATTTCATAGACGATGCTCCCGAGTGGAGCGGTTTCCCCACCAGAGAAAAACTCCACGAACCATTGTAGTATTGCTGAGGACGCCTCCGGCGACATATACACCAACACACATTCGAACAGCAGGAGAGTAGGGAGCGTCGAGGAAAGGATTGCGCTGCTTAGATGGTTGGCAAGTGTGGCTTCTGGAGGCAGGCGCAGGTCGACAGGAAGAAGATGATAGTTGGTAGAGGTCAGGCCAGTGCCGCCAAGCGCTAGTAGTAAGACTCATTCCATGATTCTAGAAGACTGAGAAGGAAACTTACAAACGTTGACCTCCCCCAATATCGCACTCAGATCCTTGCTTTTGCGAATGGCCATGGCCTTCTTGCTTGTGATGTCGGGAAAATCAAGCTCGATATAGGTCTCGAGGGCATCTTTATATGGACCAGTCTACCTGAAGAGCCATCTGAGCTTCTCGTTGACGGAAATGCCCACTACGTACCGCGATGCGCCAAAATCGAGTGTCGCTACCTGCTCCAAGACTGATAATCTGGGAGCGGATGCCTTGGTTCAATGATGTTTGTAGCCACTGGAAGACGAGGTCATCGATGGCGGTGGCGCGGACAAAAGTTCCAATGTTGATCAAGGGGGGTCGGGGGGTCTGGAACGCGGCTCTCGGCACAAGGAATGGAATGAAAGGATCTTCAAGATACTTCTTGCGCACAGCAGAGAGTCGTGCAAGGGCCGCATCCGAATCGGTCAGGCGGATAGCAGAATCCGCGTCTTGTGTTGGTGGTGGAAACATTTGAGAACTTCTTAGTCACGGATCAGACGTCACAGTTCTGTTTCTCGACCAATTCCGTGCAAACTATGGTCTCTCCCTCAACTGTCTAGGCCATACTTATCTGGGGCAGCGGTCTGCAGGGTCAAAATCAACGACTGGTTGCCACATGTATGTCAGGCCAGGCAGCCGTTGATGGTTATGATGAAATCTGCTAGCCGTTGGCAACTTGTCTTCAACCCCGACTTACCCCAGGCATGTCCAAATCGAGGGATGAGCCTTCGGGCCTGCTTTCTCTTCCAGATGAGCTCCTCATAGAGGTTCTCGAGAATCCCAAATTCCCCGCTGAGTATCTTTGCATTCTGTCGGTGTTGTGTCGCCGCCTCCACTTTCTGGCGCTCCCGATTTTCTTCAGGCGTCATGGCGTACCGGAGCCCTCCAAGTCCGCAGTCATCAAGTTAACGCAAAATGGTGCTGATATGCTGGCTGCTCTCAACATGGCCCTCTTCCTCACGACCGTGCAAGATCTCACTTGTATTCTCCCACATCCTAGTTGTTCATCTATACTCCCCCTGATACCGCACGTAAATCGCTTAAAGCACTTCGTGTCGCGCTTCCCGTCCGTCAGACGCGTTACCCTTCAACTCGACGCACAGAACAGTATGTGCAACTCAGTTGGCGACGATGCTGCGCTCCGAGGGTGGTCATCCGCTCTTGGTAGCCTCTTAACTACCCTGGTCGAGCGCAACTGCAGGGAGCTGACTGTGCTGTATGGCGGGTATCTAACTCGGACGTTCGCCTTACAGGCCACTCAGCCCCCCGAAACGCCTAGTACGGACTATCAGCAACCTGAAACGATTTCTCTTCAAGGGAAAACCGCGTCTCACCATCCACGGATTTGAGTTTCAGCGCGCGCCAAGTCAAGGCCACGAGCGGATATTCACTTCTGTCATTCCGCGTTCCTCCAAGCTCACGACGCTGCACATCCACTCAGCCGTTCTCGTCACGCCACCGTGTCTCTCCTGGACAATCTCAGTGCTGCGTAGCAGTCCTATTACCTCGATCAGTCTAGCGCATATAACACTCGAGAGAGGCTCCTGGGGCCCGACCCTCATGCTACTGGCAAAAGCCGCCGGCCACAGCCTCGCCTCCATATCACTATGTCAACTTGGCCATATTTCCGATGAGGACGTCTTGGGCTTCCTTGGGCGTCTGCCGCGTCTGAGGAGTCTGGAGATCGGCAACTTGATGGAAGCGAACGGTGTTTGGACAACCTGGAATGCTCATGTTCCCCGCTTGCGCTGCCTAACATCCCTCATTGCCCCTCCCGAGTTTGCCATCCATCTGCTACGTGCCCGAAAACCTGCTCGTGTCACGGAATTGTGCATGGCTCTCCAGGGTGGCCCCAATAAGACCCATATTCGCGCCCTTGCAACGCAAGTTGCCCAGATTCGCCATACCTTGGAGTCACGTGCCACTGTAACGAGGATATGCGTAGCGTTGACTTTGTTCTCGAGCGAGATAATTTTCGACCTGGACGCCCTCCCAACGCTGTCAAGCGACATCAAGGAGTCGTTGGCTTGTGTATCAAGTCTCAATCTGGAGGTTTTTCCGCACAGCGGCAGCGATGTTGCTCGATGGGTCAGCGAAATTTTCCCTTCTGGTTCGATTCAGGAAGTGTCACTCGCTGTCCGTTCCGCCTCATCGAATACGGAGTTTGTTAGGGCTTTTGCGAGATCTAATGTCAAAAAGCTCGTGGTCAATGGACAGGGCTATGATTTAACGAACATGAAATTATGACGGTCTTTGGAAAGGACATTGTACTCTTAGTGTATCTCAACATGACTAAACCTACGGAGCAAGGTCACCATTCACTCTATCCACGTTGTGAGAAACCTGTTTTTGAATCTTTAGAGAGGAACTTACCAACAGCGACATTGAAACTGCAAGACAAACACATGCAGCGAACGTCTTCAACCGGGTTAAGAAAGAAGCTACGAAATTCTGATGCCTCCTCAGGAGTCCCGCCCGCACAAAGCGGCACTTGCACTGAGCGCAGACGAGCGACAGGAGTCGGGAGCGCTTTCTCGCCATTGCCACGGGCACGGGCAATAGGGATAGCATCTATCAGTTGTAACGGGACATCAAGGCAAAGATGGATAAGTGCTGAGCACAACCAGTCGCCGTTCGTGTTGGGATGCGCCAATGCTCGTAAAACATTGCTTAGCGCCCGCTCGCCGTCATAGATACTTTCCGGTTCATAATAGGTTATTAAAAGCCGGAGCAGGGACGGGATGCGGGACAGGAAGCTGATGAGATAGGGAAGGTCGGAGTGAGTGAGGACGTTGCTAAGTTCGAGTGTTTGGAGTTGGCTGGGAAGGTGCTTGGGTTGGCTCCAATCAGAGAAAACGAGGGACATCTGGGCGGCCGAGCAATCTTTCATGCTCAAAACACGGATGTTTGGTGAGCAAATAGTGAGCAAGAGCGGAGCAGCATTGTAGACGTTGTTGATTTGGAGGTTATGCAAATGGGGAAGAGAGACAGACGAGCCTGCAGCGAGTACACCAGGAAACCCACTGTCCTCGAATTCGATCGTATATAGATTGGGTAGGCAAGAGAGGTAACGGTGCATTGGAACCATGGTGTCCAACCGGTAGTGATCGAAAGTTAAGTGGGTTATCGTTGGCGATAACAGGCCTGCGATCCAATCGTCCACGGTGAGGTTGGAAAGGGTGAGGGTATGGAGCAATGGAAGTTTGCCATCGAAAAAACGAGAGGCTAGAGAGGGCTGGCCACTCCCACGTAGATGGAGGACCTGTAAACGTCGCACGCTTGAGGCGGTGGTTTTTGTAAGAAGGTCTGTCGGAAGCTCTGCCAGCACCCAGTTGTGCGATAATGCGACGAGGCTGTCGAAGATGCGGAGAAAACGCTTGTCTCGCGAAAACGAGGCCTTCTTTGGGCAGCTAAGACGAATATCGGATTGTTTGGCTTTTGCAACTTGCTGTTCAAGGACCTTCCAAAGGTGCTTCTGGAGCGCAATGATGCCCCAAAGGCTAGGCGTAGACGACACAATGTTGTTGCAGGTGGAATTGACCAGGCGAATGGGAGGGAGGAATCCAATGCCCCATGTTTCGATCGCGATCTCTAGCACTCGCGCAAAAATTTCTGGAGGCAGTTGGTCGAGCATGATGAGTGGAATGGATAGTCAACGCAAGGGTTCGGTCCGTTTAGAAGGGCAGGAGGACGTCCATCGCTTTAATAAGTTATGTCGGCTGTCAGATGCGTCATTCGTTTAACATGCGGAACCGACGATACGGACGTTCTTGCGGCTTTCGTCTCCCACTTCATTTCAAAGACCAACATCGACTCGACGCGAAAAGCGGTTCCGGTGGAGAAATCTGGAGAAATCCACCACCTGTCACGACACTCTGATGCTCGACTCATATCAATTCACGCTGTCTGAACAAAACTGCAGCAAATATTCTAAAGGTTGCTTTGTCGTCTTCCCAACGTCTTCCTGTAACCCGGCTACACCAGATGTGGCATGCCACCGACGCCCGCCTCCAGCGATGACATACTCTACAATGACAAATTATCTCGGCAAACGTGATGCTTGCCAGTGTCTTGATTATTCATCCACACCTACACCTTGGCCTAACCTAAATTTCCTCAAGACTCCAATGCAGCCAGCGTGCTAGCTTGCATTGCAAGACAAAGTCATCGTACCTCATGCAGTCAAACATCTTCTCCCCTCTCTTAGCCGCGGTAGGTCTCAGCGATCTTGGCCCTACAACACAACAACTTGGATTCCGAGTGCTATCCGATTGTTGGGAAAACGCCGGGCTTCTATTTGAGACATGACACCCACGGGAGGCTGTGTCGTCGATCTCTTTCGCTCTACCCTCTGAGTAATGGCCGCGCATGCGCAGGAGCGAAAATTCAAGAAACCACCAGCTTGCGACACATGTAAGGTCAGTTGGGTGGTTTCTAGCGAACGTACCCTAACAAGACATTCAGGCTCGACGCGTTCTATGTCATCCCCAAGTAAAATTCTTTTTGGATGAACCTCCACAAAGAGCTCACTCCAATGTAGCCAAATGGTGAACCTTGTCCGCGCTGGTCGGTCCTCCTCATTGCTCAGTCTCATCGCTGTAATATTTACCTTGTTGCAGCGCTGAGAAGAACATCATGTCGGTCGATTTTGTTGTCAAGAGGTTCAAGCTAACAAACAGTTTAGCTGCACAACAACTCCAATCGCACGTGGCCGGCCACGCAAACACCCTCCTCCTCCCTCCAATGCGACAGCTAAAACCCAGTCTGAAAAGCATAATACGATCTCGCCAACTAATCTCTGTCTGCTCTCATCGAGATCTCTTCCGACTTCATCTAGAGGTTCTATTCCCGACATCAGCCCCGACTTCATACAGCACTGTTTCCAGGGTAATTGGCTTCTCCCAGTCCTCAGTATATGCTTACCCTCTGAAAAGCTATCGAATACGTTCCGCAATACGCACATCCCCTTCTAGGTCCCACCAAAACGAATATCAAATCGATACTGAGTGGAGTAAATTGGGACCTGTACCGAGTCACGCCACAGATGCGCGTACTGGCAATGTGTCTCGTCTGCGCCGCTACTCTCGTTTCGTTCCACCCCTTTGTTCTTGGCAACTCGTCCAACTGCAACCCCGAATCATTTGCGGATGAAGTCTTTTTCGGCGTCAACGACGAATCTGAGGACGTTTCTCTTCTAAACACACCCGAGGCCCACATCATTCAAAGTCGTATCAAGGAGTGTGGCAGACGAAGAGCTTCAACTTACCGGATCCTGCGTGATTTTACGCTTCATTCCGCCTGGGAAACCGGTATCCTGCTTCAATCGAGCGAAGAAAACGCTGCATCTTGTTATTTTCTGGATATGCTTGAATATAGTACGATTTCTATTGTGTCCTTTTCGTTGGTGGTGATCTGTCTCCAGTCGATTGTGTCGGGTCTTCTAGACCTTGGGGCGTTGCATACCTTTCGCATATACGCGTGTTGGCTCCCTTATGGCATTCAACAGGACATGCAGCAAGCGACGCTTCGGACTGGGCAAAGTTTCTCGTGCGTGACTGCGTGGTATTTAGGTCTATACCTTGGATCACACATCGCAGATGTTCGAAACATTAATCTCAACCCAAAGTCGGACTCCAATCCTCGCGTATGCTTCTCTTCCTCTTAGAACGTTGAACTCCCTTTGATATCATGACTCAAAGCACACCCATCGATCAACTTTTGTTGGCCGGCCCGGAGCCGCCGCCATTAGAAGGAATTCTTTCGTCCCTCCAGAAGTCGGCACAGGATCCGCACTATGCCATCATATGGACGACCATGCGACCATGTGCGTCTTCCTTGCCGTGACAATGCTTACAATCTCATTTGACGCTGCAGTCATGTACCATGTCACGACTTTGGCTCGTCAGCTCTCAGAAACAATATCGGGGGACTATCCTCGGCTCGAGCGCCTCTCCGAAGCGGCTGTTCTTAACCTCTCCAACTCCCTTTCACTGATGCAGTCCATCGTTCTGTGTCTCCTGGACCGGATTGACGCAGTTTTATTGAGCAGTTTGCCAGCCGCCGTACAGAGCCAGACCAAGGGTGCACCTATTCCTCAGCCCACAGTATGCATTATCGACAACACCAGCGTGACCGGCGCGGCTCGAGTAGCTGCTTACACGCTTGTAGTTGGCTTCACGAGCCTGGTGCTTTCTCTATACCGGGAACTGGAATATAGGGAGACGGCGGATGCCGATCTCGTTGGCGCTGGTCATAGCGCAACGACTAGGATCCACACAGCTGTTGGGTTCATTGCCACAGATGACCGGACACGAAAGCGGCTGCGCCTGATGCATGACCAAACGCGTGAAATGGCGGTCACGGCTGGGCGGCTGTTTGTCCGTGGTTTGAGGTATCTCCCACGTCTACATTACGCGCCGTCGCTGGGAGCTACGGTCTGTGCGTGGGCGGAGTTTTGTTTGGAGGGAGCGGAGGTGCGGGCAATCGAGGAAGAGGAGATGAGTAATCTGATTACGTGCGTCGAATAACTCGTGTCAACATTGCGATGCTGACGCGAATGACAGACTGCAGCGGGAGCTGTGGCTGCTAAGTTATTCGCTGGACATGCCCCAGAGCACGGCACTTTTACTAGATCGTGTTGCCGCACAGTTGAGACGTGCGAGTGACGAGCAAAGTTTGCTAGTAGAACCTGTTTCAGAGAACGGGTTGTTTGCCCAGACGGTACTGGCTGATATGTTTTTGCCTGTGGCAGGCTTGGGATGGATGTCCGAGTTTAGTTGACAGAATATGTGGTGTATCCTACAGAATATATACTTATATCTATTACGTATCCTGCAAGTTAAAATATGTAATATGTTATCAACGACGTGTACTTGAAGATACTTACTTATGTGTTATGTGCTTATATCCTATACAGGATACATATCACGATCCCTCTCACATCAGCGGCGATCACCATGCCGCGACGATCGTTGATCGTAGTACGGCGCCGTCCTGTGGCTGACTCAGGTCAGCACACCGCGTCGACCACTGACAGCTCAAATGCGAGTTGCATCTTCTTCTCTACCACCACCATGTTTCACGCTGCATTTGTCCCCAGTCCTCCCTTCACTCTCACCCATTTGCTCGTCTCACGATCGTTACAGTTGTCGTCGTTTTTAGCAGCATCGGCGTCTTCCTTGGCCGGAAAGCCCTCGTGGATCCACCGATGGGCCCGTTCGTACAAAACTACAGGGACACATGCACGGACTATTCACCAGGAAATCCACTCTGCGTTCTGGTGCCCTTCTTCAAAGAGCTGGTGACCAACGAGCTGGGCAAGTCAATTCTGACGGCCTTTGGCACGGTCGGCGGCGTAAGGATTTGCGTTTACCCACCTTCATACTAAGTAATCCACTTTTATTCAGGTTCTGTCTCTCCATTTATATTTACGTGCCGGCCAACATGGGCGATCGACATTCCTGTCGCCGCTCACGTTCACGCTCAACTCGCTGGCCGGACAACTATTCGGCGCGGGTTTTGTAGGGCCGATCATTATTCCAACTGTTTTCGTGCTCGCCAAAACATTCGAGCCGGCCCGGAACGGCCGGCGGGTGCTGCCCCCGCCAGCGTATAGCTACACGGTCACGACACTCGTACTCCAGTTCTTCGTGGTGCTCTTGTCAATGAGCCTCACCGCGATTCCCACGACCGATCCGCGCTGGTTGTACGCCAACTACGGCTTTCAAGGCTTCCCCCTGCTCTTCCTCCCGCTCTTGTTCTTCTCCCCCCAAACCCGCATCGAAAGCGGAACCCACACCAACCATCTCCACGTCTGCCTTCCGCGTGTTCAAATTCCTGCATTTCTTCTCGTGGTGGGCCAGTGTAGCGCAGTTCGGGCTGACGCTCAATGCGGGGAAAGTGCCGTTCACACTTCCCGTGTACTTCATAGCGTTGGACTATGTGGGCTTCATTCTGACCTTTGTTGGCGCATATTTGGTAGACTTGGCCGCAGGCGACGTCCCCCCCGGCTTCGACCTGCTCAAAATTTCCACAAGGGTGCTACTTACCGGCCCAGCGTCAACAATGGCGGCGTTCTACGAGGCGCGTGAGCGGGAGAACATCGCAGCTGCTGAGGCTGTCCGGCTGGCCAAAGCCCAATAAAGCAACAAAAATTATTCATGCCATCGAGTAGCGTATCTTATTGTACAACATTTGAGGTATCTTCATTCAACGCGACTTCTTTTACATGGCACTCTTGCCCTCTGTTTGACGAAGCACGCCCTTTTCTTGGAGCTCGGGCTTCTTGGCAACCTTGCCGGCGACTTCCTGTGCTTTCCCGATGAGCTTGTCTGCTGCAGTCGCCTTGCGAGTGGGATGCCTCTCGTCGGGGTGATCGCCTGTGCATTGAATGTCAGAAAATGATAATTTCACCAAGGTTGTATAACGTACCACTAGGGTGCTCGTCAAACTGGACATTGCCCGCTGTGTGCGAGTCATGATGGTGGGCTGCGGCGCGTTCATCCGAAGCGATGTCGCCCAGCTCACGTGACGGCTTCATATCGCCGCCCTGTTGCCATGTCGAGCTCGCAACCCGCTCCATGTTATCCGGCGAGTAGTCGGCTGCAGGGGCAGCGCCGCGGGCGCCGGGGAGCGGTTCGGAGTCGTGGTGGATGTGGTGTTCGGGACGGGCGGGGCCAGTGGTGCTGGTCGTGTTGGTGGGGATGGTGTTGTTGATGGAAGACATGGTTATTCGAGTTGTTGGAGTATTCAGGAGGGGAGAAAGGCTTTTATAGGTTGAGGTGGAGAGAGTTACATCATGGACGCGTCAAGCAGCGAGGTATTCAGAGCGGAGAGGCAGTTGGAGACAGTTGGAGCCAATGACGATGTGTGACGTTGGTGACTTCTGTTGGCTGCTAGAAATTCTAATCCAGAGCGTGCGTTGTATTAATATTTTTTAGTGAGAAGTCCCGATTTGAGCTATTGGTAGTTCGTGGACATTCCTGTAACAAGACTGGGTCTGGTGAGTCGGCAGGCTTTTCTAAGTAACACTTACTTTTGAACACTTTCTTGAGTTGGAGTCCAAAAGGCAAAGGTTCCTATTGAATCCATCCGGAGGGCTTTTGAGTCGGTTTCATTGACCACCACGGATACTTGACTTGCAATCGACAGGCGGGTCACAGACATGAGATTGCAGGGCTCCACAAAGCGAAGCTTAATAGAGAAGCAGCGGTTTCGGCGACATGTGTGCATGTCCTTGAATCTATATAGATTGTTTGAGGTCATGATAGAATCCGGAGAGGCTAGCCTCTTGCAAAGATAATGGAAGGTGTGAATCCCAAGTCCAACAATGGTTCCATAGATCGCAACTTCTAAGTAGCTCGAGCAGCATACTTATCGAATAGTAAGCGGACCAAGTAGTACATACTGGTGCCTTGTAGCTTCCAATAGTCATCATGACACCGAAATTCCGTTCTTGTGGTCAGATCTGGTGAGGGAATTTAGGGAGATACACACACGTCAAAGAGGTCGCCGATTCCTATTGCTGTCGATACCTGGCGGGTACCCTCTTCCAATGCCATGGAAGAGGCAGACGCAGCACATTCTTGGCAGTCCTCTGTGTTTGCAGGGAGTCTGAAACCGGAACGGCGATGGCAAGGGAAGTAACACAGCAAAGAAGATAGACAAGAGAGTAGACGGTAGGGTAGAAATCATGAAGCCACTGGCAAGGAGCCACGGCGGGTTGTTGTTGTTGTTGTATTGAACTTGTTATTAAGTAGACGATCCCAGGGCGAGATTACTTGGTGAAGAGCGACGATCATTCATATACTTGTTACTCGGCACTGAAATTTATGCAAAGAGAGTCTGATTGCATTCAGTAATGGCAGGCCCATCGGGAGGGCTGAAAGGAAGAGAACTTGAAGAGAACTTCTGTGCAACATAAAGTCACAATCAGTCACGTCACGCCCAAGCCTGTGTTTCCGGTTTTCGGCATTTGACGACGATGCGGCCAACATCCGCTCGTCTGCTGAACATTCTGGTGCCAGTCAAACGGTTGGAAGCACTCACACACACAAATAAAGACACTGAGCCTTCGTTTAGGGCCGTCGACTATGCCGTCAAAATCCGCGTAAACCCACAACAAACTGGGGTCGACCTCAATGTTAAGCACTCTATGGTATGCGCTGCCGTATAACCCAGAAACTTACATTTATCAGCGTGCAGAATCCATTTGATGAGATAGGTGCGTGTTAGTCGCGAATGAGGCGGATTACTATTGACCGCATCTCTCAGCGGTGGAGGAAGCGGTCCAGTTGCGCAAGCGACTGAAAGACGCGGTTCAGTCGATAAAGGTTGTTACTATAGGTCCTCCCAAGGCCTCCGAGACACTGAGGACTGCTCTCGCCATGGGCGCGGATTCTGCGATCCACATCGAAATTCCCGAAGCTGACCCAGCTCCGGAACCACTTGGCGTTGCGCGGGCGTTGGCAAAACTCATCGAGCGGGAAAAAGTGGATCTAGTGATCATGGGAAAGCAAGCAATCGACGACGATGCAGGCCAAACTGGACAAATGCTTGCTGGGCTGCTTGACTGGCCACAAGCAACCTTCGCAAGCAAGCTTGACGTCGACCCAGAAGCAAAATCGGCCACTGTTCTTCGTGAAGTCGATGGCGGTTCAGAGGAGATAAAATGTCGCCTTCCTTTGGTTGTAACGACGGATTTGCGGCTCAATGGTGAGCTTATACTCCTTCCTTGTACTGGCCTGGGCTCACGAAACTGGAGAACCGCACTACGCGACTCTTCCCAACATCATGAAGGCAAAGAAGAAGCCGCTTGAAAAGCTTACTCCGGCTGATCTTTCTGTGGACCTCACTCCACGACTGGAGACAATCAAAGTTACTGAGCCACCAGCACGGATAGGGGGAGGCAAGGTTGCGAATGTAGACGAGCTTGTTGCCAAGCTCAAGGAAGCTGGATTCACTGCCGCTTAATAAACTCGTACAGTGAGCTCTCTTCTTACATTGCCAGACTTTGGTGACTCACGCGTTATTAGTAGACCGAATTTGTATCCCATCATTCGCGCCAGAATAACGAGCTGCTTTCAGGTCAGCTGACCGGCCTCCATCCTTGTGGCATATGCGCTTTGACCGGCGTCCGGACAACACAATGGTAAAAGATCAATAAAAGGCTTTCGTTTCAGCACAACTCTTTTCCATAACCAACAAGGTGCTTCGGTCGACGCCATAGCACAATCAACACCACGCTTTCCAACCTTACCTTCAACCAAACTAAAACTAAGTGGCACTCATGTCCCTCTCGAACAAATCCCGGCCGAAGTCGCTGGGTCCGTCGAAAATCGCTCTGCCACCCATTCGACTGAAGCCGGACCCGTGGTTTACCGAGTTCACATAGTGCGTTTCTTCCGCTCCTTTTGGAGCAAAAGCTTAGCCAAAGTGTTTCTTAGCGATCCAACCCGCGTCAGTCGCTCAAGTTTGAGTCATTTATCTGGATGCAACGATTTCAATGGAACGCGACTTGACTGCTCCTTGTATTTGCTCTTGCCACTCTTGTAAGCCAACTAAACAGCAATGCCAGTGAATCAATTGACCGTGACTTCGGCATGGCCCACCATGGGGAGGTGTATCATTCGAGCCCAAGGCTTTACCCACAAGGGAAGGAAGATGATGAAAGAATCGAAGATTGGGAGCTGGGCCCGTTTGCGACGAAGCTTCCGTCCCTTCACCAACTCGGGTTAGACCGCCCATTTGCCGACCTCTTTTCTCTTGACGACTACGCACAACGAAACAGATCTGAGCCCGCCGACGATGATGGCTGGGACACTCCAGAGAGGAGTTACCACGAAGAAATGGACTTGGACATCGACGAGGACGACAGTGCGGCGACGATGGCGAAACTGATGGTCGCATCACGTTTTGCCTGGGAGGCTCTCGAAACCGTCCCAGAAGTTGACGAAGAGAATGACATGTACCCAACTGCAAAACAGAAGGGTGTCGATATCAGGGCGGAAAACGGACCTGCAGTTGGACAACGCATGATGTTCAAGGACGTGGTTAATCGGCGGTGGCACGGTTAGAAGTTATATTTTCGTATGACTACGTCTTTCCTCGCTTTCCTCGCAAAAGGGACACATCTTGCCTATATCGATAGCTATCCACCCGCGTTTGTGGAGGAATTCTAGCCTTTTCCAACGTACTTTTGCTTCTCGTATTCCGCCCACAGGTTCTTCAGTATTGCTTTGCCACCTGCGTCCAAGGCGGACGCCATGAGGGCATCACGGCTATGCTCGTTAATCATACCGCAAAGTGCATAAAGCCCTGGGCGAAGCTCCTTGCGGAGCGAGGAAGGCAACAAACACAGCGGGTCGTTCATGGCATCGATATAGGCCTTGAGGACGTAGGCGGCGTGCTTTGAAAATGCTTTTGCAAGCGACTCCGCTTTTTGTACCACTTCCGCATGCGTGCGAACGGTCGTTTTCGTTTCCAGCGCGCTAAGCAGCCGCGAAATAGATCTTGCCTCGTCGAGACTAACTGCGGTCTCAGGATTGATCCACTCAGGCAGCAAGTCTTTGATAAGACTTGCTTGCTTTGCGCCAAGGTGCGGACGCGGCCGACGGAGTGTAGACAGAATTTGCTGCAGTACAAAGCTCAGATTCGGGAGCGCCAGAACGACCAGGTCACGCCTCAATCGAATCAGTGCGCCGACCACGAAGGTGATGTCTTGCAGCATGTCTGCGGATGTGACCGTGTCGTGTTGCTTCGATCTCGAGAGAAACTTGGACAACAGTAGCCAAATGTTGCCCATGTCTGAAATACGCAGAGAAGCAGGCTAGTGTGCACTCGGTGAACTTGGTACATGAACGAACTGCACGATTCCTGACCTGTTCGGAGCAATAATGGCGAACCAGACGGATAACTTCCACTCGAGTAAATTCCGGCCGAGCTACAGATATATTGACGCATCCCGCGAAGAACTTTTGGGTCACTTTCAGAGTCCCTGGATCCAATTGAGCGACGGATCAATCAATAGTCACAAACAGCTCTACCTGGGGGGTGGCTGGATAGTAACAGTGATGCGAAACGAACCAAATGCGGCAAATCATCTTTTGAGGTAAGGACATCACCAAGGCAGGCGCTTGTTATAGTGAGAAGAGACGAAAAATCTGTCGCTTTCATGGAATGGCAAGTTCGAGAGACACGATGGTCAAGTTCCCTTTGACCTGAGGCAACAGTGGTTTCAGATAAAGAGGCTACTTGTTTCGACGGTGCATACCTTCGAGGTTAACAAATCGACCGAAATGTACGTAAGCTGCCAACACATATCCAAGATGAGGCTGTCGTTCAGCTGGCGCAAATGACACTAGTTCTTCTAGCAGAATAGAGAAAGCTACGCCGCATTTCTCTTGCTTTTGAATGGAAGCACAAAGACTCCGACCAATGAGAGGTAGATCATCAACTAGTAAAATCAGCATTTGAGTACATGGGTCAATCAGGGACCGGCTCACTTATACATAACCGTTGTCCAAGTAGACGTGTCGAGCGCCATAGGTGAAGCAAAGCGTCCTTCCTGCCGATAGCTTCAACTTGCGCGGAAAGGACTGTAGTCAAGTCCCGAATAATATTTCCCAGAGTCTGGGAGACATTGTTCGGAAGGCTAATCATATTCAGCGTTTTGCGAGGGCAGGGGGGGAGCATACTGGGGCGTGGAAGATAATATGGTGAGTAGATGTGATAGGACGGTTGTCTGGGAACTTGAGCCAGGTTTGGAAATCTGGTCCAGACGAATGGATGTCAGGAGCTCAACAACTGCGTCTGCGTCTGAGGATTCGGAAGACTTGATCAGCACTCTGTTCTATAGTGAACAAATGGAAATCTTAGAGTCGTTAACGCTTACAATAGATGCAACTCGATCAAGGATAACGTGACGGGAGTATCTTGCGCATTATGGACCAAGTGCGACAGGTATCGAGACGATATTGTTGACTGTGTGGTCTTGATTGGCGCATTTATTTTGTGGCGAAACTTACCGCTGTTTCGACCGCGCCAGTAGACGAGGCAACATTCTGGATAAACTCTCTGAGCTCCGGACAATGATCGGCCATAAGAGAGATGTCAATGTCGATTGCGCGGTTGACGAGATCGTTCCGAGTCGTTCGAGAAAAGGACTCGACCGGGAAGAGAAGGAGAAGGGCGTAGGTAGACGAAGCAGTGAGGCGCCGTTGGGATAACTCCTCACTCAGCAGATGTGTCGTTTTCTCATCTACATACTTGGATATCGCGGCTTTCTCGAATGTCAACTAAGCTATAACTGGGGAATAGTACACACCGCGAATATTGGTCAGTTCCCAGAATTCAGCAGAAGATAATCCACTGAGTAATACAGATGAGGGGCTGGCGTCCTGATAGGAGGCGCTGGTATTCAGTGGCGTATTGAAGAGGATTGTGACAAATGTCTCAAGTTGTGAGCTGGACATGAGGCCGCTACAGAGGGTATAATGTCAGTAGGAAAAGGCGAATGATGAGATGACACTAACTCAATTGTCGGCAGCCATCTTTCTAATAACATGGAGAGGATATCGAGATCGGGGCCATTTTTTAGATGCGCCAACAGGGCTTCATTCAACGCCAGAGCCGCAGAAGGTTCGGCGGTGCTGGACCATTTCAACAACGACCGGAACTAAGCACTGTGAGTCGTGACAACTGACAGGGCGGCAAACTTGCTAGTTCAGTCACCAACGGTCCCGGTTCGTGTCTTTGGTCATCAAGCAACGACTGCATTTTGCTCCGAAGCTTATCTGAGGCAGGTAGATCAAGCGAATAGGCGAGGCGTAGCAGAGCGGTTAACACAAATTGAGTCTCGGAGGAGCCAACATCTTTCCGCATACTCTTGAGAGACTTCGAGATGGCAGTGGCGAGGAAATCTTCCTTGAACATTTTTAGAGTTGCTTGAACTTGTCTGCGACTGGGATCTGCTAGCGCGCGGAGAGGTAGCGCCTTCACGATGACGGCAGTCAACTCGGCACTTGCAGAAAATGCTCTCGCAAGAGTAAAATCAACGTGCTTCAAGGCCGAGATTTGTTGCCACTTGCTTTGGAGATCGGCGGTGACAAGCTCTATTGTCGGAGCAATTTGAGATGGGGTAAGGAAGGTTTCGATTGCCACAGAAAGCCGTTCCAGATGAGCGATATGGAGAAAGGCACCCAAGGTCCGGCCTATGCTCGACGCCACTGACGACGGTGAATGCATCAGAGATGTAAAGAGAGTTTCGATATATGTCTGGAGGGATCGGGTCTGGATGTGGTATTGTAACAAGATCTGTAGGAAGTCGTGAATGGACGGGAGGGGTTCCGATATCTGAGGCTATGTTTGGTTTCTGTGAGAAGGTGTAGCTAAAGCCCCATACCGTAAGGAGCGCCGGAAGAATACGGGGCACGTCTTTGAGGATCAGATCATGGTCGATTCGCATTAAATTCGTCAAACATTTCACTGCCAGCGATACCTGCTGCTCTGTTGGTTCGTAAGTCTAACAGTGAAGGACATTGTAGAGTCGCACCATCATATTCCAACGAAAGCGTGGATAGAATCAATGGACCAATGCCTTGCAGGCTCATCTGAGCGTCAAGGTCATTCACATCGAACAACTTCTCGTCTATTATAACCTCCAAGAGAGCATTGCGTGCAAGCCAAGTGGAAGACGTGGGGCCCGAGAGGGACAGCAAGCTTGAGCACGAATCGAAAAAGGTAAATGCAGCTGTCCGGACGTGGTCGGAAGCCCCAACAGCATTGGGAGCTGAGCTCTGCCCGAATAGTGAGCTGCGATGCTTCTTGGTAAATGTCACGAATGATAGATATAGCCGCGGAAGGACGGAAAGCGTGCTCTCTGAAAGAGCATTCCGAAGGCCCACGAACAATGCATGGTCTTCATCGTGTGCTGGTCGTAAGGTTTCTTCATTGAAAAGAATCTCAGTCCCCACAAAGTACAAGCTCTCGGGCGCTGTCGGTTCCTTGACTGACGAGATCCAGTCATGGAGGTGGTTTTGGACGAAGAGAGCAAACAACTAGAAATTGTTGTTACTTAACAAGAGAGCGGTAAGGTTCAACCCACTTTCTTTTTGTTCGAGGTGTTCCCTATGGCATATCTTAGGGACGATATGATTTCCAGGCCCATTTTATTAAAGTCGCCATCAACACTGACTAGTCTCAAAACTGCGCCTAGGCAGTCGAGAAGTGCTTCGGGTTGTATCTTGGGGAGCGCCAGAGGCCAGAAACGCAAAAATGCACGGTATGCCACCAAAGCTATCTCTTTTCGTGGATTTTCTTGCAGTGTCTGAGATAACTCCAAGAAAGACGCGACAATTGGTGCGACAGGAACGCGATTTAGCAGAGGCAGCAACCAGTGCTTATGCGTGGTCGATTGCTCAGACAAAACCTGCGAAAGAAGCTTCCAGTATCTAGCATCCACTACGGGGTTAGACTCTCTATAACAAGGTTTCTTAGGCCAGGAGGATGAACAAGTTATAAGCACACACGATGAATTTTTCCGATCCTTAAGCAGACGAGTAAACAACCATTCCGCAATCAATTGTGGCTTGTTTGGGACAGAATATAGGGTGGTTGTGTGATATGCTTCGATTACTTGGTTGATTTGGAGCTTTTCGGACGATATTTTCAGGGCATGGAGGAAATTTGAATCCATCCGAAGTCACATGTGACAAACCAAATTACATAACCTCCATGTCCAAATTGCCCAGTCAACCAAACGAAATTCTACACATCATTCTCTCGCAACTGGGCCACTCTTCCCTCACCCAGGTATCTCTAGCTCATCGTGTTCTTCATGCCATCGCCCTTCCATTGCTGTTTTCGCGCTTCACCTTCTACACATACGTCTTGAACGACAACGAGGTCCAATTTGAATTGGATAGGTTGGAATTCTGGGCATCGCGGGCCATATCACAGCACGTTCGATCCTGCGAAGTCAGACCTTCTGTGTGGACGGCCCCGAAGCCCATGTTGTTGGAGTCTACTCTTATAGATGCCATCTCTGTGGTGCTCATTTCTTGGGCTTAAAAGAATGTTACTCAGCTCTTTTCACCTCAACGAGACCATGTTGACTCAACTACGCTGCCTCCCATCGCTCCAAACATTGAACATCGAATTTCCGCGTCCTATCAGGGACATTGATCTGAACGTTGACCTCCGCATCTCACATTTAGGAATACAAGACTCGGATCCCTTTCGTGGAATTGCATGGCTGTCTATTGCTCATCCAGACTCTCTACGATATTTGTCTCTCGGGTTCCCTGTTCCGCCCATGGTATTCCCCACCCTCATCAACCTGACAGAGTTGGTGGTCAGCTTCGAACTGGATGAGATTCGCAGTCAAGTCATCCCGCTTCTTTCGAAACTCCCTGTCCTTGAATGCTTAAGAATCCGGGCTTTGGGTTTTACCAGGGATCACTTTGAAGACACCTTATTGGCCATGAACCCAAACGTCGTGCCCTATCTAAGGGATTTGAGCGTATCGGGGAAGTGCTTCCGCTTTTCTTTCCTCGCAACTCGATAACCGAGTTGGCGATCTCCTTATCCAAATCGTCACCACTTGCCTCCTTCTTCAACACTAACGTCTTGCCTGAAAACAACACAGTGAGTTGTTTGTCTGTGACGTGGTCGGATTGTGAGGAGAGCGCGGTTGCAGCGCTGTTTAGGAGCTGAAGGTGTTGATCTACGAAGAGATGGATGAACATTATTTTCAGGTGAGCACACTTACAGGCAATCGAATCTCGGATTGAATTAAGGCAATGCAGCCAGTCAAACTCCTTCGACTCCTCCCATCGCTCGTCCGCCGTGGCATTTCGCGCGTATTGGAGTCTTTTGTATTGAGGATCGTCACGACAAGAAACCGCCTGAATGGGTCCATCGACTAGTGAGGGAAACGTTGGACGTCTTGATATCGCGTTGCCCTGCTCTCTCTTCAGTTGTCATTCAAGGGTAGGTTTTTGTGTTCACATCGCGTAGAACCTCAAGCGGTTATATCGAGGAAAGTTTTGTCGAGGGCTTGCCTAGTCGGACTGGCGATTACTAGTATCTGGACATCTACTGATATTCAAATATTCAAGTGGTTGTTTGGATTGGTTAGTAAACTTGGATGGTGCAAGTATTCGATCAGCATACATCTTGTACGTCTAGCCATTCAAGTCCACGATAAGGCTCAAAGAATCTTGCGCAGATCGGCTCCGATACATTCCACTTCTCCATAGAAAAAGGCGCCCCCGGCAAATAGCACGATTCCTGCCTCAGTCAGATTTGGTCAGACTGGACAAGTAAGCTCACGTACATCAGGCTCGCAAGCAGGTTCGCAGGTCACCCAGTCATCCCAATCTAGCCACGCAACAAGACGATCTACTTCATATCGCCATTTCGATATGTTTGAGGAAGCTAGTGAAGCAGTTTCTTCCGCCCATATTCCAACAAGAGTACGACAAATTTCACGTGTAGTCTCTTGTGCTGCCTTTAACATGAGTCTTTCGGACGGTGTAAGGGAAGTCTGTGAAGCAGCAAAGGCGGTATGAGTCGTAGAACAAAGCTCATAAACGTGGCTAGCCCAATTCCTGTCTTTGCGGGGAGTTGCTGAATCGAGAATGTATGGCGTTATCATGTTGAGTATGATACGGAAGGCTCGTTCAGCGGAGTCTTCTCTTTCTTGATGAAGTGTTCGTTGCAACACTTGCAAGCGTTTAGTATGCCGATCTCGGATGACTTTGAACAAAGCTCGCCAATCGATCCCACTTCCACTTGTCGATTTCTCTGACAGCCTCGCACGGACGTTGGCAATGTCTTCTTGGGAAATTCCCAACACACGATGGTCTCGTCTCTTCTGACCCGATCGCTGGCTAACAAGACTTGGGACGAGTTCGGTGTCATACATCGACACAACACGCGTGAGATCGAGTTGAACACGGATCTCGCCTGGGAAGTGGTCGTGCCATTCACTCGAGTGCATGAATGAGTACGCGGGATGAGGGAACATCTCTTCGTATTGGATGGCCGAGAGAGAGACAGTTTGGACGCGATTCGAAAAATCACAAAGCATGATTTCACTGCAACGACGTTCAGAGGATAGAAGGCGATAGACGGAATGTCACACAAGTTCAATTGCATTCTGGTTTTAGCGACTTTAGATACTCCGGAAAAGATGAGTAGTACCACGTACCTGATAAACGCGTCAAACCCAGCCTCCCGACCCCAGTCACACATGCGGTCGAGACGCTCGTACTCATAATCATTGTTGTGCCGCTCGGGTAAGACAGCTGCCCACGCAACAATATCTTGCGTATCCATAGGCCCATCGGCGTTTTTCGTTGCACTACTTCCGTCGAAGTAAAGGACAGACAATGGCTGCGATGCAACCAAAGTCAGGAACCAGCATTCAACTGGGCCGGGCAGCGGTTCTGGTGGTGGCGGCCCAGTCAAGGGATCACAATAAAACCTTGCGAATTCGGGGTCTAAAGACACCCACTCTGCACTCGTGGGGACATTTGGGTTCTTCCTTCCATGGTATAGCAATGTCCCAGGGGGAATCACGCCCGGAACGATTGTATGTCCTTAGGTTCACGAGTAAGTGTTGTTTCAGTGAATATTGGGACCACTAACCGGAGTGGTATCTCGTATTGGGCCAGTGCTGCAAAAGAGAGCTGATCGTGTTGAAAACAAGATGACCTGTTGCGTTGGGGCTGGGAAGAGTCTTCAGATCCCAGTCATCTCTTGGGCTGAAAATGGAGAATGCTGCTTGGTGATTTTTGGCCAAAGCAGATGAGATGAGGAGAAGTAAGGCGAGAGGTAACATCGTTGAATGCATTGGACCACTGGGCGCCGCCACGGCCGCAGTCATTGACGATAACCAAAATCATGATGTTCTAAATTTGCCAGTACTTTTTCCCAAGCACAAGGGGAGGGGGGGTATCAGAAGCGAAACCTAAGTCGGTCGGTCGGAATGAACGCAAGACGAAGCAGCAGGACACGTGATCGAGTTCGGTGAAAGCTTCTTCTATTCTCGATACAAGGGTCATGGCTGGCTGGTTGAATACAATATACATGAGGTTGTGTATGTACGGTGATCGTCAGTTAAAATTGAAAGTGGGAGAGGAAAACACAAAACAGAGAGCGAAACCTTAAACCTGCGTTGGTGCAGTGACATTGCCAGAGCCAAAACCGGTGTTCTCCGTGGGCACACCCTTCGTCCGGCACGCAGGGCAGTTATTCCGCCCTGTTTCAAGCCATTTATCAACACAACCCTGATGGAAAGCATGTCGGCAATTCAGAACCCTTATCGGGTCCTCCTCCGTGTAGTCGTCCAGGCATATAAGACACTGTGCGCAGTAGTTAGCGGAGAATTCAGCCTCCAAAAACGCAGTAAATACCTTCTCAGCGCAACTCGCAGTGACACTTAGACCCTCCAACTCGTCTCGTTTGACTATCGCCAGACCCGCACGCGCTATGTCCGCCTTGGACGCTGTCGGTGGCCGAATATGGCCTAGTAACTCCCCCAGCTCCAAGAGCGCTTCAAACGACTCCGGTGTCCCCCCACTCGTTAAGATGCCATGTTCAGGAGGGTAATACCCCCCGATGACATAGATCAAGAAAGTGCGCGAAGAGTCTGTCGTTGCTGCGTTGCTAGGTGGAGACGATTGAGAGGGGCTTTGGTGTGAAGAGGAAGAATTTGTGTCGACTTCTGGCTCATCATCGACTTCAAGTTCTGCAACGATGTCCTCGGTATCCGCTTCTTCCTCTGTTGCTGTTGTTTGCGCTGGAGGTGGAGTTGCGGTTGAGGAAGGTCGCAAACGAGGTTGCCACCAACTCCTCCGCCTGGTAGATACGGTTTCTGACGGCGAAGTTATTTCAGGGGAACGCATGGGTATGACACCATGGATGCCATCGTTCGGTACATCAGAATGCACAGGAGCCGGGAAACTAGGGCCTACGCCAGCTGCCACTTGGACACTCTGAAGGCCCACAATTATGACGGGGACAACAGTTCGCTGTGAAGACGAAGTCTCTGGTGACGGTGGGGAGTCTGGCACAGACGATGGTTGCTCCTCCAATGGAGTTGGTACTAAAGAATTTGACGTCGGCGGTGGCGTAGGAGACCGCGCTAAAACAGGAATAGCCGCGAATCGATGCAGTCGCCACCAGTTGACGGCGCCGGGACTAGTGCCAGAAGGATGTGGTATTGGTGTCGATTCCGTTTGCTCTGGGCTAATCGAGTCTTGTGGTTGTGGCTCAACAATCGACCGATCGTCTCTCGGTTCTGGGGCGGTCGATTCTTCGGAATTCACGTTTTCAATAGACATGAGGTCCGGAATTTCTTCGTTTGATTCCAAAAGGGGTTCGAGTGTGGGTGAGTCGGGCAGCGGGGTCGTGTATGGTCTCGAGTCCTCGTCCTGCATAGCCGAGTTGTTTCTTTCTGGAGCCAATGCCACTCGCAATTCTGATTGTAAATCGACAAGAAAACGATCAAATGTGCCCTCTTCTGGGGCGGCCATTGGGGGATCAGCTTCCTCTCTCGACTCTGTATTGTTATCCTCTGCATTGTTGTTGGGTGGGCTTGAATTTGGTGCGGGTGGACTCAACCCAAGACCGACGTTGAACGCTCTTGCCATCTCTGCTAACATCCTGGCCCGTTCATCTTGTGGGGAAGCGTTTGGAGCTGCTGGTGTTGGTGTTGGAGGTGCGGGGGTTGGGAGAGCGGGAAGCGATGTTGGACCGAGTCTTTCACGGAGAGCACTCCATGGCCTACGCCTGGCGCTGGGAGGCTGATATTGCGGAGAAGGATGAGTGGGAGAGGCGGTGTTGTTTGTCGAACCACTAAGCAGAGAGGCGGCAGTGGCCTGTGCAGCGACACTACAAATGACTGAGTGTTACGACTGCGGATTAATAGCGAGTAACGCACGTAAGAAGAGTCCCGAGTACATCAATGCTGCTGTTTGAGATAGCAGGCGGGGCTGTTTGAGATGGAGATGGTGGCCGGAGAATATCGGTTGTATGCACAACGCCTTGAACAATGACAAGGGTGCCTGCTGGCGGGAATCCACGTATCGGAGGGACGTCTGGGGTTAGCGGGGTGACTGTTGCCGGTGGCAAAGGCGTCCTTGGCCTTTCGTTGTTGTCGTCAATATCTGGTTCTGGAGGATCAACCACAAGCTCGACACTCTCTTCCTCTTGCTCCTCCTCATCTTCGTCATCAGCTGGCTGCACAACAACAGCAGCCTCCGGTTTGGGAGCTGCTGGTTGTTGAGGAGCTCTTGACCACCGTCGAGATGCGCGTCTATTAGCACCGCTTCCGTCATTGCTACTCATCAAACTGAGTAGACTATTTCGAATATTCCGAGGGCGTCGTTGTGGTCGTGGTTCATCTTGTTGAGTGGTTTGTGGTTGTTGAGAGCGGATGCGACGTGAGGCGCTTTGCCCCATGGCCGCTGACGCTGAGTGTGTCGAGATCACGAGAGTCAGAGCACGGCAATCAAAGTCGTGTGCCTTAAGAGACTTATTGTGGACAGCTTCGCTGTTTGAGCGCTCGTTCCTTCTCAGTACTGCTTGCGTGTATATGTGCAACTCATTGCCCAAGCTTTCCATTGCCTCATTTTTTTCTTCTGTCGATTCTGAGTCAGCAACTTCCGAATCTTTTGGTCTTCTAGTCACCCATTCAAGTCTTCATTGTCTCGCCCTGCCCGGTATATCCGCAACAAATAAGCCTTGTTACCCACTAGTCCACACCTATGTTTCCGCAATAAATCAAGTACCGTTACACCTTTACTCTTATATATGCGCTCACGACAGTCGAGTCGTTTTCTGTGGTATCGTCTGCCCATAGAAATGGCCCATAATCGCCTCCGTGTGTGTTACCGTCAAATTGAATATCGGGTGAGTGGCGTTCTGAAAAAACCATTGAGCCCATGTACCAACGATGAACCCCGGAACCTACGACACGATTGGCTGCCCCGCCGACAACCGTATCAGTCCCCTCTTCTTCGGAGTAGCAAAGTGAGTCCAGGAAAATACGTTGCCGTAGCTCCATGTTGTCACCAACTTGAACCCAGGCATCAGCCAACTGCTTTCGCCTTGACGATGACGGGCTCAATTTGTGCTGCGCCGCCGAGAGTCCTGAAAGACAATACAACGTATGATACGCGTCTGCGTGCCTAAAAGATAGGTCAGCTTATGCGATCTGAACAAGACAAGATCACACTCACTTTGGTGGTTTGTCCCGCAACCCACCAGCAGGATGTTGGCCCGCACACAAGATGTACTCTTGCAGTGCCTTCCGATTGAACAAAGAATCTGCTTCTTCGTTAACAGAACACTTTTGTGATCCAAAAACACAAATACCGTCAACATCGACCCAATCAGCACCATCCGCCTCAGGCGTCGCGACAGAAGTAGGATTGATCCCAATACTGTCAAGCAGCCCAAATGCACCGCCGACCCACCAGGAATAACACCCATCCACAAGCTTGTTCGTGCGGCCTTTGAAGCCACCCATTTCAGCTTGAACTCCCTGCATTTGCACCAGCCATCGCACGAGTTTATTTTTGTCGATGCTGGGCTTTGTGGTGGAGGTAGATGGCAGGAATGGTTGGAGCATAACCCATGATGCAAGCCCGCAAAACGTATAGCCGCCATGGGCTTCGCCGAGTGCGGGTCTAGGGAAGGGCAACAGATTCGCAGGGGACGGATCGGCTGAATAGTAAGGTTGAGATGTAGATGAGAAGCCACCCTCGTATGTTTGGCACGATGCGATGAAGTGTGCGGTACCCTCCACAAGTTCGGGGGTAATGATGTCCAGCAAGGTCGCAACGACCAAAAGACAGTAAATGCCGCTTTTAGGAGGGTCAGCAACGCAGGGTTATCAACATGACGATCCCACCGAGTATCTACTTCAGAGTGTTGCGAAACAAGGAATGATCCATCAGGTTGCTTCAGCGACATGAAGAAGTTGTACATCTTCTTCCTATGTTAAACTTAACAAAAATAAGCCTATGGCGCGGATAGAAACACACCGGTCGATGCTATCCCACCCCCCGTTTTGGCCAGGACGGCCAACAATCGCAAGGGCACAGACCGCAGCGTAGGTCGGTAACAGATGCGGGGCTTGCTTTGGCCCACCCCCAAAACCACCATCGGGGTGCTGACACTCCAACAACATGTCTATTGCGCTGCAACTACCGGTGAGTGCCATCCACTTGGAAATCAGTGGAATTTACCGCTGCTTGGTATCTGGGTCCATTCCGATCTGTTCAAGGAGCTTTACATCGGGTTATCCGTGAACGAATCACAAACATACTTGAAGGACACTGAAGGCCTGCAACGTCCAGAATAACAGCCATGGCTGGCTGGCGTCATAGCTCATGTATCGAGAAGGCATCCCTTGGGTGAAGTTGCGGATAAGGAACTGCAAATGGGGGTTTTTCTGGAGCGTTGGCGGTTTGTCGGCCGTTGGCATATGTTCGCGTAACACTTTCTCTGTTTCCGCCTGCGTTGTGGAGGTCAATGTAGGGAAAGCGTCAACTGGGACTGGGTGCATAGTTGTTGTGATGGTGGTGGCAGCCATTGAAAGAAGAGAAGTGAGACAAATCGAACCGGAGGACAATAGCAAACATGTCAATGATGATGGCCGTATTACCAAGCAGGACAATTGCCCTTTTTGGAATTTTGTCTGCAGCCATGCAATTTCGGTTTCAGTGCAGTGTGATATTAGTGAATGATTAGGATACGGATTAGAGGGTGGTGGTTGTAGAGTATGATACAGTCCAAAATTATTGGTTGTGGTAGTACGGTAAATCCGAGAGAATGCTAGTGAGTGACAATTGGTTGACGTAAAAAAAAGAGTGTCCCAAAAATTCCGATTCAAAATGATGAACAACGCGTCCAAGGAAATCAATCACCACACACCAGCAGAGCTCTGCTGCTGCTGGGTGTCGAGAGCTTCCTGAGCGTGCATCATCTGCTGCGTATAAACCCACTTCTCGTCGGCCTCTTGTTGTTGTTGCTGTTGGATCATGAGCTGCTGCATTTGCAACTGGTGGTCGTAATTGTCGTAGGAAGTGGGTGACGCGATCACTGGCGAGTGCGAGGCTGCCCTTCTGGGCATCGTGTAAACGTAGCCTTGGGGGGGAAGAGGGGCAGAATGGGGTGGTGTTGGAACGTTATGAGCGAACGGTGAAGTCGATTGCTGTTGGAGCATTTGCAACCGCATCATTTCGTCTTGATACCCCGCCATCGCATATTCTTCAGCTTCCTCGTCCTCATAGACTCCTTGAAGGTCCCCAACCTCATAATGCAACTCCTCGCCCAAAACCATGGAAAACGATTCCCCACGAGATGGCGTATCCAGTCTCATGACCCCAGCACGTGCGCGCCACTCATTGGCCTCCCGACGGAGAGCCTCGCATTCTGAGGCAATCTGACGGAGCTGTTGCGCAGCAGTGATACGGTGCCGGCGAGAGGCATGGATATAAGCAATGGAGGAATTGACGATACTCGACTTTGATGGGCGTCGAACGGTGGCTAAGTTGGGGAGAACACCTGCAAGATCCTGGGAGAGTTTTAGCTGACTTGATGAATTCTTGAAGATCTACTCACGAGGAATCGCGAGTTGAGAGCCTCCCGTCGCTGTCTTTCGACTGCGTTGTGGGAGGCGCGACGCTCGGCTGTGCTAATCCGTTGTTTCATCTTCAAAGTACGCTTTACGCCGCCAGCATTGCCATCGTCAGACAAGTCCGGATTGGCACGCGCTTCAAAGTCCGGAAGGACAGGCAAAGCAAGGCGAGGCGGGTAAGCTACAGATGGAGAAGAGTCCGGGGTGCGAGGACCGGAGGACGCAGACGAAGCAGATGATGTCGGAGAGGGGGGAGCAGCGTGTGCGAAAGACATTGGTTTGAAAGTTTGAAGGTTCAAAAATGGGTTGGTGTAAGGTACAAGAAGAAGAAGGGCGGGTTTAGTGAAGCCAGGAAGAGTCGCGAGGTCTAAGTTAACACAAACGTCAGGGTTCACAAATAGTAATACGACGCGTGAGCACGCACACCAGGCGGAATTCTTCTCCGACGGAGGGAGGGCGGGAGGAGGGGGATAAGGGAAGAAAGAAAAGGAAACAGTGTCACAAGTGCTCACCGCGTCCTTTTAGCAAGGACCGATAAGCAGTAGATGTCATTTGGTTTGATGTGATCTTGATGTGTACGACCAAGATGATCGTGACAGCCGTAAAGATTTCACTAACGACGATCAGGTAGGCTGTTGTCTCCCCGGAAACGATGTAAGTATCACTCAAATTAGCACAGCAAAACAAAATGAAAGGACGGGGAACTTTCATTCAACGGAGGAATTCAGAGTTGCGACCGTTCAAGTTGAGAAGGAAACGAGAATCGACAAGAGTCAGAGGAGAAACCCGTCCAGAGGTCAAGTGGTCGATGATGCAGATCGCCAAATTGAATTTCGTTGGCGCAAGCGAATGGCAGCCGCTAAGCCGAGTCGACAGTAAGTTACACGATTGTCCGTATCAAGGAAAAACACGGGGAAACAGGAGTGCTCTTGAACGCTTGGACAGCGTTGGTTGGACGCCTAAACCCGAGTCCCACAGACCACAAAGGCCTTGAGAATCATCGGCACCGAACGGTCGTCAACCCCTAAGATCGTGCAAAGGGAACGCGCCAACAGCATCATGGATAGTATTGAACTTCTGGTTGCAGACCGGAACGGCACGGATAATAACTCCCGATCTATTGAACGGCAAGTCAGATAATTGACAGGAACTTGAGGTGGACCTGCAATGGTCATTTACTATTCAGGAAAATCTAGCCGCCGCGCGCCCGAGTTTGATAGTGGCGTCTCTTTACCGAATAGGTGATCAATTAGACATGAAAAAAAAACCATACAGCGGAAAGGAGATTTACAGCGAGGACACGTACGCCACAAATGAAGAACGAGCACAAGATACTCAAAAACTAGGTGGTTTGCCAAGAGTCCACCACTGTCGTATCGACAAAAGTCATGCCATTTCCGTTGTCGAATACGCTGACAGTTTCCGTCTCCTGCACCAAGACCTGATTCTGGTCATTGCTAGTCCCGCCGCTGTTGGCGATGAGATTATAGATGGCGCTGGCGTCAAATCCTTGGTTTGACTGGTCACCGCCGAAGCTGTTCGATTGGGAGTTGTTTGCGATCAGATTATATAACGCGTTCATATCCAAGTTTTGCGGATTTTGCATTTGTTGAGCCTGGGTACCACCTGGCTGAGTTCCACCCGCCTGAGTCCCGCCCGCTTGCAGTTGCGTCTGGTTATTATTTCCACCAACTGCATTCACCCCCACCTGCGCAAGGTTCAATAATGTTCCTGTTGTATCCGGCTGGTTTGCGGGCTGGCCCTCAAATACGTTCACAAGTTTGTTGAGACCCTGAGCAGCTTTCAGACCGAGCGAAACACCCTGCTTCCAGTTGATCTTGGGCTTAGGGATGCTTAACTGCGACAGTGGTCCTGGCGAGCTTGGTGTTTGAGGAGTTTGAGGTGCGACCGGTGGGCGAGGCGTAGATGCAGACGGGTGTTGTGGAGGGGGCATCGTGTAAGAATGCTGGGGCGTTGGAGGAACATACTGTTGAGGCTGCTCGTATTGAAGCACAGGAGCCGAGTTGGCGTGCTGAATCGGAGGCCTCTGATTAGTCACGTCGCTGGTCAACGGAGTCGGACTTGTGTATGGGTTATATGACTGATTGTTGGAGAAAGACGGTGAATGAGTATGAGATGAAGTCGGTGGGGAAGACGCATAATCCGAGGCAGGAGGCGTATAAGTCGCAGGAGCAGGAGCAGGAGGCGAATAAGCCGAAGCAGGAGGAGGAGGCGTGTACGTCTCAGGTATCGACCCATTTACAGCCGGTAAGATTGGTGACTCAGAAACAGGCGGCAGTTTTGGTTTGCCAAAGGCGAACGCTGAGATATTCCCGATTATATTCGGATTTGAAGGCCGAGAACCACCATTGACCACCGCAGGAGGTGGTGATGTGCTTGGAGGCGGAGCTGTAGGCACGATATTAGGCACTTGATTTTCGGGTCCATTGGGCACTACAGGGTTGATAGGTTCAGCAACCTGTTGTAGAACGGGTGCCACCGTCATTGGCGGAGAGCCGATGGGATTTCCAATCAAGTTATGCAGCGTGGGAGGAGATGGGGAGGTGTTGCTTGTATGGGGGGGGCATTGGGTTTGGATAGTGTGCACTCTCAGGCAGCGGTTGATTAGACGACGCTGATGGAATTCCTTGCACATCTGCTGCAGGTGGGGAATATGATTGCGGAATACCATCTATAGGGACATACGCGGGCGGGGCAGGTTCCTGTGTTTGTACTGACTGGGGTGATGGGAACTCCTCGAGTCCTAGGGAAGGAGGAGTGATTGAGGCCGCCGGTGGATGTCCAACGACAGGACTTGGTGTCACGATGGACGTGTTAGCTCCCGAAGTTGTGGCTGCCGTTGTTTGTGGTGCCGCCGGGGTCCCCCCCAGACGACAAGCCGGAGATGGATGGTGTATGTGAGTGACTGTATTGGTGTTGATGCTGAATTGGCGCCGAGATGGCCGAGTTGGTTGAAGGGGCCGGTGAAGCAGTCGGGAGAGGGGGCTGGGCAGCATGCATAGGCGTGGGCGAAGCGACAATCGGTGAAGCACCATGGCTTCCAAAGCTCGAATTCGTTGCAACAGAAGCTGGGCGTGGAGGACGATACGGGGATTGGTGAACGGGAGGTTGTGCGACGGTAGGTTGCGGGACTGAATGTGGAACCGGAGACTGGTGAGCTGAAAGTGGCGACATCGTGGGTTGGGGATTGAAAGTTGAAGAAGCAGGTCCAGTCCCGCCAAATTGTGTAGGCACCGATGTCCCTCCTGCGGTGACTTGAGTATTGTTGGGTCGTGGAGGGGGCGGTGGAGCTACAGCTCCAATAGGCTTGATTTCGCGACTAACAGTTGTCACGTCTGTAGTCCAAGTGGTCGGGAAATTCCAAGACGCAGACGCGTCTCCGAATACAGCATAAAATTCGCCTTGCATGAATGGATTGAGAGCGACATACTGTTGAGTATTTCAGCTGGACACAAAGGTTTATCACAAAACCCACCATAATCCCTTTCTTCCTTGCGGCCTCAGCAGTGTTTCTGATCAATTGCTCAACAAGAGGATACGCCCCCCGCAGATCAAACGTGACCGTTCCATCACTGTAAAGCACTACATAAGCACCGTGCATGCCTAGTGCAAGGCTGGTTGGACGACGAAGTCGCATGCAGCTCTGCAAATCTTCCTCTAATGCGGGAGGCAGGTTCTGCCAACAATAACCCCGCTCGGACATCGAGAAGAAAGATGCGTTCGGCCCAAAGACAGTGCGACTTGAATGGCCGCCATTTGCAGCGGCACTTCTGATAAATCGGGACAGACGAGCATAGTGGGGTGGCAAACGAGTGCCTGTTGACGATAAGATGAGCGAAGAGTTCAAACACGGGAGATAGCACACGCACTTTCACAACAATCCTCTCCCCGCACTGTTCTCCAGCTCATCGCATAACTACCAGCTTCGTAAGGGAATGCAACATCGTACGGAGTAGCCATCTTCTGTGGATGACGGACATCCTGCAAAATGCGGACAACTGGTGGAGGGACACTGGTAGAACTCCTGTTTGAGGACGTCAGTAAGATGGATTGTCCTATGAAAGGCAACACACCATGCAAAGTGGCTTTCAGCACTGCAAAAGTAAGAGCGATTTGGCCCAAATGAGAACTGCACGTTCATCGCAGAAGTGAGTCAGGAAGAGGAGGCGTTGTTCCTTGCTTGATCTTATAATCCTGGCGTAAGCGCTTCCACGTTGTTACATACTTGCTAGGGGGTGATTGAGTGCTGTCGAACGCAAATAAGTTTGCCGGCAAGATTTAAGCCCGCGGTATCTTCGAGCGTGTCGAAGGAAATTACCGGCGTGGTTTAGCGACGATTGAGAATCGGTGGTGGTCCAAAACCACCGATCTTTGCTTCGTCTGCATTTGAATAAATAGTGGATAAATTCTTGAACGGAGAGGACAAAACCTGATGCTGATAATGATCTGCCAGCCACAGCTTTCGCTGCCAAAGTTAATTACAACTGTCGTCGTCGGACCATGAAGGCTGTGAGGACCCTTGAAAGGATGCAGACTTTTTAAAGCCACAACGCCCAATTATTGCGATACACACACATCTTGTTGTGTACCAAGGAGTGGCTGCTCGGTAATTGGGATATAGATGGTCATCTACCAAGTGAGCCTCATTAGGCGCTAAACAGCATTCTGACCATTGCAAGTAAGTGATGATTCGAGGCTAGTTCATCGGTTGGTCTTGTTCCGACGTCCGGAGTCTGGACAAGAATCGTGATCAACGCATTCTTGCCCGCTGCGGCAGTGTCTGCAAGTATATGGCGACGTGTTGGAGTATGGGTATGGTGGAAGATAGTCAACAACGAAATTGATGGCGGCGTCACGCGTCGGGATGTTGCCTCTTCCTTTGCTTCTCCTCTCGTTGCCCCGCGTGTTCGCCACCCAAACGCCTCTGTTTAACGACAGAAAGGACCACTGGGATCTGAATATCCCACCTAACCCCAACGCAACTGGGCATCTGGTTCTCAACTCGATCAGTTCTCTCCTGCAACACTGGCCCAACACAAGATACCACTCAGGTCGGTGGTTCAGAGTCTCGGAAGTCAACACCCACGCGTAACTATAAGGACATACAATCACTCCGGGCGTGATTCCTCCTGGGACATTACTGTATCATGGACGAAACGACCCAAATATTCCCACCAAGGCAGAATGGGTAGCAATGGACCCAGAATTTGCAAGAATATTTTGCAGTCCTGAACCACCTCGACCCGAGCCAGTAGACTGCTGGTTTCTGACCATTGTTACATCTCAACCATTGCGTATTCTCTATTTTGACGGCAGTAGCGCAACTAAACAACCCGATGGGCCCATGGACACACAAGATATCATTGCTTGGGGTGTTGTCTTACCTGAACGACAAAACTGGGAATCAGAGTATGTGCGTCTCGACCGCATGTGCGAATGGGCCCGAGAGGCTGGGTTCGATGCATTCGTCAGGTATTCGTAAAATCGTCACCTGAAGGCTTGCTATTTTAACATGAACCCACCAGAATGCAGCTTAACTTGTAGGCATCTCTTTCTCCAGCTTCCATCGTTTCTGACTGATAGCTAGTGAAATAATGCTCTGCGACTTTGCCGACAGGGTACAGACCGTCTCACTCTCTCATCTTCAATATGATGAAATCTTCCCACATCATGGATACTCATTCATGCACTCGAGTGAATGGCACGACCACTTCCCAGGCGAGGTCCGTGTTCAACTCGATCTCACGCGTGTTGTGTCGATGTATGACACCGAACTCGTCCCAAGTCTTGTTAGCCAGCGATCGGGTCAGAAGAGACGAGATCATCGTGTGTTGGGAATTTCCCAAGAAGACATTGCCAACGTCCGTGCGAGGCTGTCAGAGAAATCGACAAGTGGAAGTGGGATCGATTGGCGAGCTTTGTTCAAAGTCATCCGAGATCGGCATACTAAACGCTTGCAAGTGTTGCAACGAACACTTCATCAAGAAAGAGAAGACTCCGCTGAACGAGCCTTCCGTATCATACTCAACATGATAACGCCATACATTCTCGATTCAGCAACTCCCCGCAAAGACAGGAATTGGGCTAGCCACGTTTATGAGCTTTGTTCTACGACTCATACCGCCTTTGCTGCTTCACAGACTTCCCTTACACCGTCCGAAAGACTCATGTTAAAGGCAGCACAAGAGACTACACGTGAAATTTGTCGTACTCTTGTTGGAATATGGGCGGAAGAAACTGCTTCACTAGCTTCCTCAAACATATCGAAATGGCGATATGAAGTAGATCGTCTTGTTGCGTGGCTAGATTGGGATGACTGGGTGACCTGCGAACCTGCCTGCGAGCCTGATGTACGTGAGCTTACTTGTCCAGTCTGACCAAATCTGACTGAGGCAGGAATCGTGCTATTTGCCGGGGGCGCCATTTTCTATGAACAAATGGAACGTGTCCGAGCCGACTTGTTCAAGATTCTTTGAACCTTATTGGTTCCCAGGTATAGATCCACAAAGTCGATAGATGTAGAATTGTGCATGTAGTCCTCTATGTCAATATACCCACAAAATTTTCCCAGTCGCCATCAAACGCCTACAACTTTGACCACTTTCTCCCTGTAAGTTGCTAGTAGCCCAATGCTATGGCGCACGCGTCTACCTATTCAAGGTAGCTGGCGTATTGCAGACTCACGGTTTCCGCTGCGGCGGCATGCTATCCGACTCCAAACACTGCCATGCTTCTTCAACTTGCGACCAGCCACCACCATGAACTCGGCTGTCATTTCTTCTCGTCCATTCGTGCCACACATCCCCACCGGCTGCCCCTCATGTCGATCCAATCTTGAATTCCCCGTTCCCTCCCCCCAGCCGAGGCCAGGAGCATTACTGCGCGTTCAATGCTTTTCCTGCCAGAACGTCATAACACATGCCTTCTATCCAACTCAGATCCCGCAACCTCTCTCTACAGGACAACAAGGCTCGTCAACAACAGCCGGCGGGAGTGGCAGTGGAGGCCAGTCGGCAACACCACCGCCGCGAAAAGGCCGCAAGATTGGCACCCAAGAACGGCCGCTCGAGACAGGCTACTATGATATTCTGGGGTTAACACCGACAGCGACCACGGAGGATGTGAAGAAGGCGTATCGTGCGTTGCCGTTGTCGATGAAATATCTGTGGGCTCAGAGGAATTCCAGGTCGAATGGCAATCAAGCACCATCCGGACAAGAACCCAGACGGTAACTGCACCCATTTCGAGTCATGGTACACAGGCTATAACTAAGCTACCCAGATCCACACGCAGAAGAGCGCTTTAAAGAAATCGCCATCGCATACCAGGTTTGTCTTGTTGCTCCCTTTCCGATATTCGCCCACCCAATCGACACCAGACACTATCTGATCCCGAACTTCGACGAAAGTGTGTCTCGGGACCGACGAAACCGATGTCACTTCTAACCTCATTCGCAGGTACAATGAGTACGGGCCCAAAGAAAGCGCACCGGAAGGTGGCTTTGTCGACCCTGAAGAAGTCTTTGGCGCGATTTTCGGTGGAGACGCATTCATACCGATTATCGGGACCATTAGTCTCGCACGCGACATGAAAACTGCGCTGCAAGAGGCGGACGAGGCTGAGCAGGAGGAACAGGAGCGAGCGGGGACCAGGATTCTCGATGCTAAAGGTCGACCAGTGCTCAGCGAGGAGGAAAAGGCAGCCAAGGAGGCAAAGAGCAGGGCAAAGGCGGCAGAGAAGGCAAAAGCGCGAGCGGAAAGAATCCAGAAGCTGGTGGACAACCTCGACAGGAAGTTGAGCATCTTCACGGAGTCGGCAGCTGGTCCAAATGACCGCGAGGTTGCCAACAGCTGGCGGACGATATGTGCTTTGGAGGCAGAGTGCGTCTTTTTCTTCGACCCTTGGAGAATCCGATTTTGACTAAAATATTTTCAGCCAATTAAAGAGCGAATCCTACGGTGTCGACCTCCTACAAGCCATTGGGTTTGTCTATGTCTCTAAAGCAAAGGCACACATGGCAACAAGTCAGACTTTCCTCGGAGTCGGAGGTTGGCTACACAACGTGCAAGGGAAATATCATGTCTTCAGCGAAACGTACCCTTTTCAAAATGGCTCCGTTCTATTATCATTCTAACTACCGTTTAGCGTATCAACACTGCGATCTGCCATCGAGCTAAAAACGGTGTTTGATCAGATTCAGGCTGCTGAACGAGCCGGAAACCTCAGTCCAGAGGAGAAGCGGAAGTTGGAGGAACAAGCTGCTGAGAAGGGCCTGCAAGCGCTTTTCAAGGTAACATCAGTTTATTTGTGCGTGCATTCGAGACACTGATGACTTCCCACAGGGCGCCAAACTCGAAATTGAATCTGTTCTCCGCGAAACTTGTGACCGCATTCTGGAAGACTCAACAGTGACGAGAGAAAAGTCCATCCTTCGTGCTGTCGCGCTGCAAATTCTGGGCGAGGCGTATTCTGGTGTTACGAAGGAGGGGCAAGCTACAATTGGGGACGACAGCGACTATGTTCGTGTCGAGACCAAGCAAAGCCGAAATAGCACGGGCGGGGGACAGAAGAAATCACCACGATGAGCTCATCACACAACAGCCTCGTTCCCTACTATGAAGTAGACACGCATTGTAGTGTACATCTAGACCCATGTGATCATAATAATCTGCGAAACCGAGACACAGACCCGCAGAAAGCTGGGATTGCTATGCTGCTGGTGGCTCTTTGTTCTCCTCAGTTGCAGCTTGCTCTGCGGCCGGTGGTGGGGCGTTTGCATTTTTGCCTTTGCCTGGAGGCGGGGGGTGATATACTTTGACCTGAGGACAAGTCAGTGATTGAAGAGAATCCAGAAGCAGACGCGCCTTTTTTTTGCTTCTTTTCCTTTGCGTTGGGGTCAGGATACGCAAGTTTTTCGACCGCCTGCCACTCTGGATCCGCTTCGAACGCCTTTCTTATTGGATCGAGTAGCTTGTTGATGGTAGCTGCAACAGATGCCTTCAGGTCGCCGGGATGTAAAGCCTTGGATGCAAACGAGTCCCGAAGCTCTTCGTAGGATGCGTAGTGCATTGGTCCACCGAACTTTTCGTCGCGCTCGATCGAGAATACGGTCCCTTCCGGTGCGCCAGCAGCGACAAACGGTTCCAATGGTGTGTCCAATATCGACCCACCAGTCTTGATGTTCTCAATCCGCAGTTTCGATATCGGGATCAAGACAGCCTCAACGAATGCCAAGACCCCGTTGCCCTCCACAGTGCCCTCCTCACAGAACGCCAGCTTGATCTTTTTGCGGACAGCTTCCGGAGTGTCCAAGAAGTCTATTTTGGAGTTGGGGTCCGAGGATGACATCTTCCCGCCGGCGAGACCGGGCACCATCGCGTTCATTAGATGGGCGCGTTTCGCGTAGCCTAATCGTGGGAGGTAAAGCTCAGCAAAAGTGAAGATTTTCCTCTGGATTTCGCCTGAATATCGGAGAAATCTGGTCTGACGAATGCACACACCTGGTCAACACCACCAAATTGGAAATCCACGCCAAGGTACTGCTCGTCTAGCGCTTGCAGGCCCGGATAGAGCAGACCACTGAGTAGTGCGCTGTCCACTTGCTTCACGACTTCCGCACCGGCCTTCTTCGCGTCATGCTCTGTGACTGTCGCACAGAGCCGGTAATTGTCCATGTTAAACTCCCGCGATAGTTGGTAGTCTGACCCAAGGGCGAATTTAAGCTTGGACGTGGGTATCCCGAGAGACTTGAAGACCGCGGTGAGTAAAGCTTGATAATATTTGACGCGATGCTGAACGAGCTCGATAGGTGCTTTCATGTTATCGAGGAAAGCATGGATGTCTGGTAGATTGAGCACAAGAACGAATAGATGTGAAGGGCGGACCCGCGAATAGAATAGTCATCTAAGAGAAAGTTGGCACCCAAAATGATTTTGACACAGCTAGACGCACCTCCACCCCTGCTTGTAAAAAATCAGAGATTTTCCTGAGCGGAACGAAGTATCCAATGTGAGCTGTATTCTAATGAGTTTCGGCTGAGCGTAGTATTGTAGCGCCCACGTCTGCCAGTGGTTGCCGTTCCTATAAAGTATGGGTTAGATCGCCCGCGATTATGCTGCAAATAAGACGCGCCAAAGTAGCCCTTGAGTGTTCTGCCCTCCTCCGCGAGGATGGATTTGATCAAGTCGCCTCCAAGCACTTCCTGCAGTCCCCGTGTTATGATTTCATATTTTTCATCGGCCATGGCGAACGCGGAGCGAAAGAGAAAAGTTTCTGGTGTTGTGACTCATTTGATGTGGCCGATTTCGGCAAAATTTACGATAAGATTACGATCTGATCTAATCTACTACACCAAAAAGAAATTGCCTACAAATAGCACGCATAACGGTCGGACTCGGAGGACCAGCCAACACATTGCCAGCAATCGAGCAGACGATCCGGATCGCTACGACGGTCATGAGCACAATGAAAGGATGCCACAGCTACTCACTATTTCATCTTGATGCTGAGCAACTCTGTGTAATGCGCTCCCCAGAATGACTGCTCCCAGTCAGGCTCATAGACATCAGCCTCATTCTAAGTCCAAATATCAGGACCACATCGAAGAGAAGAGCAAAGCTTACCAGGTAAGCACCAATAGGTGTCTCCTTGCGCACGAAATCCATAAGCTTGCTTGTCCGATCATACACGCCCTTGATTTCTGCCGCTGTTGCATTCCAATTCCACATCCCCATACTGGTCACATGATACAACGCATGGCGCCAGGCAGGAGTTACGCTTGTCCGCCCAGGCGCGACATCTTCCTGGCGAACAGCGCTAGGAGCAGTGATCTGGATGATGGTGAGGGGAGGTGGGCCTGGATAAGTGGTGTCTGCGAGACCAGAAGTCGCAACAAGCGCGTCCACCAGAGCAGAACGGGTTTCGGGCGTCGCGAAGTTGGCACGAGGAACAAGTCTCGAAGTAAGAGAGACAGAGTAACCGACTTTCTGCAGAGAAAATCAGGCTGCAACAGTTGTCGGTCACGAATGACATACCCCAGCACCAGCATTTCCGCCGGCATCGGTCATGAATGCCGTGAAAAATGGTCCCCAGCTCGGGAATTCCATAGCCATAGCCATGACACCTTCAGCGCCTTGCTCTTTTATCTCTTCGGCCCAGTCGAGCAGAGGCTTCATCGATATCTTGGCATTCTCACCATCCAGTCGTTGTGTCGCGAAAAGTGCGAGCTGAGGCATCGAGTAGCCCCCCCAACCGGCATCAGCCCATGTGGGAACATGGTCTGCAAGCAGAGACCAGAGTGATGTGGTGAGTGCCAATGGAGTCGAGTTAGTTGCGGAAGCAGTCGGTGGGAAGGAAACAACGACCGCTTGTACTGGAGCGGCAGGGGCAGCAAGGATAGTTGCAGAGAGAACGACCCCGAAAGTGCCTCCACCACCTATAGGACATTTAGCTGTGGAAGGATGACCACGTAGTTGAGCCAGCTTACCGCCTCGAAGAGCAAAAAATAGATCTTCATTCTGGCATTGGTTCGCAGTCCGCAATTTGCCATCCGGAGTAACAATCTTAAACTCGAGCTGAGGTTACTATCAGCAAATCTTAACCAAGTGAAGAACGTTGACTTGCAGCACGGTCAACACCCAATCCGAGAGTCGGCGAAAGGACTCCATGTCCACCACCTTGCAAGAAACCACCAACGAAGCCCACGGTCGCGTCGCTTCCACCAACAACGGTAATTTGATTCGCCTCGGCGAAGTCGAAAGCTTCATGGAATTGAACGCCGGCCTGAAAGAAAACAATTATTGCTCAGACCTAGTTCAGGGCGAAGACGCCTACCCCAGCGGTGACCCCACGGTAAGTCGTATTATCATCATCACAACCTTCCAATACGAATGTCGGGTTGTATGAAATGTCCTTTAGGTTATGGAGCCATAAGGCTAATGTTCCTTGCCCGCTGCTCCGACCTTTGAAGTCGTGACCAGTGTTTTTGACCACCAACGGCACGCTGGTTGTTCGAGAAAAGTCAAAAGCGGCGATAACGTCCTCGGCAGAGCGAACGTCGATCTGTCGCAAGTCAAAAAACTATTTAGAATATGACTGAATGACGCACGAAGTAGTCTGGAATGCTTCCTAACCGACAGGTATTTGGACTTGAGAACGCCGTTTTATCAGTCGGAACAGCGAAATCGAGTAAACATTGGGCTCCGGACGCCTGACAGGTCTCCCATTGGCCCCACGTATATCCAGAGGCCTGCTTAGTGCGAAACTCTGTCTTCCGTTGGCATCTTCAGGTAAGAGGCACTAGAAACATACTTTCGTTCTGGTAGAGTTCCTGGGGAAGGTTTCACCATTGCGCGACAAGAGAGAAGAAACAAACAGACCTGAGTTTCTTTGCACTTGTCGGAGGCTGGATCGTCGAAACATGGCTGGGCTAAGGGAGCAGCTTGGAAAACTCTTCCGCCCAAGGTTTCATTGAGTGCGACCCATATATCTACTGGACCGGCTGAGAGCGGAGATTGGGCAGGCTCCTCCTGGGCCAAAATCCCGGGGACAAGAAGGAGAGAAAGGAGGGGAAGCATCGTCTTGCCGACATCTTTTGGTGGTGGGCGTTTATAATGTTGGCAGTGATGGAATTTGATTGATGCTTAGATTTGAGGACAGATGCAAGTGGAAAGGACAACAGACAGACAGAGAGCCTGTACCCTTCCCGGATGATAGTGCGGAAAGTTATAACGAAGCTAGATGGTGGTGGTCAAAGGGAAGGAATTCAAGTATGTAAAGGGTGAATGAAGTTTCCGTGATTGATCATGCAATGGGGAGCAACTCGCAGCGGACGATCATGTCCGACTCTTCTGCTTCAACGCCAATGGTCCTCACCCCGGACTCGACCGGCACGCCGTCTGAAAGTTCTGCCACACAGGCAGCAGTCAAAAAAGGCGAGACGGCAAACGGCCTTCTACCCCAACATGAACTCGTCAAATAAACCTCAGAAGCCGTTCAGTCGGAGTGCGGCGAAGCGGGAGAGCGTTATGGCTCTTGGGAGTATCGAGCATCTACAGCACTATTTCACGAAGACGGGTATCGAAGCAAAGAAGTCAAGGTAAGTAATTCTTCGCATCTCTTTCCCCCCTCCGATATCTTTCTTTCGCGATATGCCGTCAATCGACCGAGGCCAGCGAGCTGATTTCGTGAAAGAGTTGACATTGAAACGAAACTAAGGTCTTGTGCGTATGTTAGTTGACTACCTCAAGCCTAGTCTCGTTTCAATGTTAATCCTTTCATATAATCGCTTAGCCGCCAACATCGCTTTGACGAGCAGTCGCTGCCTTCTTTTGTGGGTTGTTCCACTTTTTGTCGTTTGCTGCGAGACCGACTAACTGTCTTGCAGTAAGTCTGCCAAAGGATTACAAGGACTAGTCCCGGTGTTTGGCGGGCTCACCCATTCTCGCACGGACTCGACTGAAAGTAGTGTCATCGAGCTTCCCCCTTCTCCCGCGATTCCTCAGCAACCCGCCCCATCGTTTCCGCCTTATGTCAAAGACTTCGAAATGAACCCAGAGTCTTTAATTCCTGGAGTTATCGACGATTTATCAGATGTTGCATTTGTCTGGCGAATCGACCACCCGCTCCCCTCCTCATGGCTCTCCCGATCGGCTAGGTGTAGCTGGCGCAGGTGCTCCAGATGTTGTAGAAGTTTTGACCATTCTCAAAACGACAACGCGTGCCATTCGATCTGTCCGCAACTACCTTCTCTCACTCCCAGACGAGTCAGCTGGCACCATCAGGGCCCAGTTCCGTTCTCGTCATCTACCTGGGAGCTTTCGTCCCCCTGTCCCCTCAAACCTTTCAAATTCTGCTTCCAACTCGGATCTTCGCGCTGCCGCCAATGCTGCAAAGGAGAAGGAAGCACGTGCGGATCCTCTAGCTCTCATCCGTAAATCAGCATTAGAGGTTCTCACTGTTCTTCGCGACATGGAGGAGAATAGTCGGCTACCACTCAGCGACGATGCATATGATGCCCAGAGTGACGGAGGATCCAAAGGCGGTCATTCACGCGTCGCCAGCCCTAGCACGCATTCTGACGATTTGTCACCGGATGACGGGGAACACTATGCACATGAGCGTGACCCCGATGTCTCTGTCGCGTTCTCGTTGGTGCAGGTTAATGGTCAAAGTGTACCTGTCTGGGAGGATGAAGAAGACACATTTAACGATAACGATGACGATGAGAAGGAGAAGAAGGAAGGATGGGACGAGAAACTGGTGTTGGGAAGTGGATGGCTATATCGTCAAGATGTTCACCTCGAGGATCTGGTCAAGGAGCGTGCGGCGGTAACAGCTTACCTTGATGTTGTGGACGACGTTTTGTTCGAGGGCAAGAATGTTGCTTCTTCACAAGGAGGCAAAAAGGAACGCGGCTGGGAGCGAGAGAGGAGGAAAGCGCTCGAGAAAGGCACTGTACGGTCCAAGAGTCGGGCCAAGAAGCGCACTGCGTCTAGAGAGCGTGGAGACCATGATCTACCGAGTATCACACTTGTTCCTGCAGCAACAGGCGGTGAAAAGGCTCGCCGAAGAGTATCTGTGGGCATGTTCGAGATGATGGGCAGCCTCAGAGTGACAGAAGAGCCGGAGGAAATGGATGGCATTGGCGAAGAGGACGAAGGCAGCGATGAAGGTCTTGAAGACGAAGAATTACCAGAGTGGGCAAGGAGAAGTTCGTTCAGCGGAAACGATTTGGGTAATTCTCTTTCTTGTGCCAACAAATGTGATTTACTCAAAAGGCGCGCAGGTCGAGCACATGCTTTGCTAACTGCGTTCCTACCACCACCCCTAATATCTTTTCTGGCCCCGCCTTCGTCTCGGTCAGCATTTTTAGACTCTCTTTCCTCAGGGCAGCTTCTTTGCGTCGCATACAATAGTTGTGTTCGGAAGAGCAAGAAGCCGTGGGGTTACATCAGCAGGGATGGCATTCACGACATCATCGCTTTGGAGCAAACAGCGGCAGCTGAGGGTGAAGAGGTCAAGAAGAGCTGGACATTCAGAAGGATTGACAATCTTCGTTTATGGGCTGGGTTAGTCGTCTTACCGCTTGCGAGAAACCAGTCATTTACATCTATACCCTCTTGTAGAGCCCTCAAAATTCGATATCTCCTTCCAATTGTCTCGCCTCCACAGCCGGGGACAAGTACCCCGAGTTCTGGCACTCCACTCAACTCCCCGTCTGCCATTCACACCCAACGATTCAACTCCGAACAACCACCTCTTATGTTTGATGCGAAAGTTGTCGCGCGTAAGGACCCAGGATGGGAGGACATTATCGAGCATGCACTCGTGCGATGGATGCACCGTGTCGTTGCAGAAAAACGAGGAGAATCATGATCTTTTGGCTGCCACATTTTTTATGATATACCACGGATGGATGGGAAGAGGGAGAAGAATCGGAAAAAAGAACAAATGTAGCTGTACCATACCCTCGTCATGTCTCTTCTCGTCTGATTGCTATCGAGTCCTTATGTACTTCGTGTGTCGGTGTTTCTGCTACTCTTCCGCCTGGATGCCTAAAACCCTGTTGTAAAATCGCCATTCTCTAAGAATGGCATCCTGAATCGTATCTTTTTGTTTCCACCCATGCCCTTCACCACTGTAAAGCATGTACTCGACCGTTCCACCGCGTTTTTGGATGCTCTCTACAATTCCCTACTCTTCGTCAGGTAAAGAAGAGAATAACATATATCTTACCTCTGCCTGAGCCTTAGGAACAGCTGTATCAGCATCGCCCTGTAATATCTTTTAACATAGTCAGTTCCAATCAAAAACAAAGTCGAGAGTGAATGCACAAGAAGAGGCACTTCGATCTTGTCCACGTGACGAATGGCAGAGCGAGAGTCCAGAAGCACAGTGTCGGAATCGTCGCCGATGAGCATTTCCAAGTAGCGGCTCTCATACTTGTGCGTGTCCTTTTGCAGCAGCCTCAAGTCCGAGATGCCGTATAGGGATGTACCAGCGGCAAATACTCCTCGAGTATCAGCGGCTCTGAAGGAAAATGAAGCGAGGACAGCGAAGCCACCACCTGAAGCACCACGGATGACGATGCGCTTTGGGTCAATCAGATTGTAGGGCGAGGAAGACAGTGAACGAGCAGCTAGAATACAGTCGTCAACGTCGGTAATTCCCCAATTACCCATCAGCCGATTGCGGTACGCCCGTCCATAGCCCGAAGTGCCTCCAAAATTAACGTCGAGCCTATATGAAACGACTCTGATGAGTACGAGGAATGTGAAACCAGGATTCAGAGTTACCAAGCCCACCCTCGTGTGGTAAAGAACTGTTTGGTCGCATTGAATGATTGCGCTGCGAATCCGACGGGACCACCGTGAACATTGAGAACACAGGGCGGTCGCTCTTCCCCTGCAGCGGCATATTGTGGGTTTGTGGGAGGGTAATACACGATATGAATTTCCAACTTGGAGTCGTCAATCTGGATAGAGATGGGTTGAGGAAGGGATACATAATCTTGAGGCAGTGTTGAACCGTGAGAACTAGGTTGAACGATGTCCTCGTACACAGGCTCTGGTGATAATGTGCAGCGAATGAGAGTGGAACTTTGATCTACTTTTGTGCCGATAAAAACAAACTGATTAGGTTTCAGAGATCGGATTCGGTGGATTTCGACGAATGGACAGAAAAGTGGCTCTATCGAGCCAGTGGAGATGTTGACGAGGTAGAGGACACTGCGCCCATCACGAACGGCTGTAAATACGACCATCGGAGAATCTGTAACAGCATAAGGAGAGTAGCCTAACCGTGGGGGCTGTCCGTAGCCGAACGATTCTTCGACTGGTACTGCCAAGACAGGCTTCGCTTGGGAGTTACTGGTCGTACAGTCGAATACCCAGGGATTTTCGAAGCCTGATATGTCGGAGGTAAAAAGAAGGATGTCAGAGGATACCCAAGAAGGGTAGGCGATGCTGATTTTGCGATGCTCTCCAGCAATCAGTCGTGGATTGTGCAGTGAGAGAGAGTCGGAATTTGGAATCGGGGCAACTTCAGCAACCCAGAGCTCACTCCCTGACCAGGGCATATCGGGTAAGTCCCATTCTATCCACGCGATGTGCTTTCCATCAGGTGAGAATATCGGAGACGAATAGAAGGAAGCATCGGATTCGACTGGATGGACGAGTTTGGTTTTAGTGTTGAGTATGCAGAGACTATTCACCACTTCCAATGGCGACGTTGCATCGGTGTGATCTTCCATCACACAAACAAGCAAGGTTGGATCAAGAGGGTACACGTCGAAATTAGCAAAGCGGTGATTCCGATTTTCTGACTCAAGGATTAACGAAATGCCGACGAAGCAAAAATATATACCTGGAGTGATCGGTTCTGGTCGTCGATTAAATGGCCCACGCATCATATAGACTCTTCCATCCCGAGCATGCGAAAAGTAGGCGATATTATTGTGGATGACGGCCGGCGCCCCGCCATATCCATTGACTGAAGTTCTGACATCCCACTCTGTGCTTGTTAGGTCTTGATTGGTTTCAGTCTGCACCAGCGAGTTCCGGCCACTTTCATGCGGTCGCTTTTCGATGTGGTATATCGCGCAGGCTGCACGATCGACAAGAAGATCCAAGAAAGGTGATTCGACGTTTCTCTAACCTTGTCATTGAGGGGAAAGAAACATATACTGGAGTGCTCACTGGATGCGTCAAGTCGTCAATAGACAGAGGAGATTTCCATGTACCAAATGCAGCCAAAATTGGGATCGACATTTTTTGGAATAAGTCAAGTAGCTGAACTGAGCAAAATGAGAACGGGTTGCCAGATTTGTCTAGAGATGGTGGAACGCCTTGTGGGAGTTGTGAATAAAGTGTGCCCGAGATGGATTGCCGAACTTGGCCGTTATCGGTCACGTGATTTGTGGTGTGCTTTTTTGTACAAGTAACTGCACAGTCTGCATTTTGTTGTTGGAAGCACTGATATTTTTTCCTGCTGCTTACCTTGACTCGTTCTGCTGCTCCGACCAAGGGTCATGACCATAGCAACCAAGTATTGGACTCGCAATGTCTCGCATCCTCTGATAATTAATAATGGGACGGCACATGATAGTTCGAATGTTTTTTCGTGGTGAGGAATGAGCATCAGCTTTGGGCGGCCTCCGATAAGTGACGAATTTTGAGCGTACACGTTAGCAGACAACAGCAAGAGTCCTTATGTGCTTTCCGCTGTCACCGACAGCTCCTGTACGGAGTTGAGAGGCAACATCATGGTGAGCACATGCATGGCATTCAGGCGTGGCCAAGGACAAACTTGGTCAATGCGACGTGAAGACGACCATCAATTCCTGCATGATCGAACCGTTTCCAAGGAAAACAAGAGGACGGCGTTCAAAGTCGGTAGGACCCTAGCCAGAGGACGCTGAATAGTCGTGTCGATGAACCAAGTTATGTCTTTAGAGCAAAGCATTGTTGGCTTGCTGTTGGTGCCGCTGCTCGTAATCCCGCCTTCTTACGGTAGGATCTACACGTTCTGTATATAGCAACGGGTTGACGCCCAATTCTCTTCAAATGTCTTCAGGAGATCTGATATTATTGAAACTGTCAAATCGACGATGGACCAGGGTCTAGGCCTTGGCAGCGCCAAACAAGGCCAGCAGAAGGAAAACAGAAGAGTGCAGACAGAGACGGCGCTGCTGTTGGTGACGAACAAGAGGCAGCAACGTTGGCGATGAGATTGAGCCAGTGGTTATGGTAGAAAGTAAGCAGGCAACATAGGTTGCCAGTGGCGGTGCAGCGCTTGAAACAATCCAAAAGTTGTGACCATCAGTCCTTGCAGACCTTTCGCCGGCTCACAACTACACCTGGTCGACTGGGTCCCCAGGACTTTCTGTCTTTTCCGTCGCTCCTCTTTCTCAGTGGCGGTCCTTATGACTTCCAAGGCCTGTTCAATTCACATTCTACCCTCCCAAACTTACTCATTTCTTTATCAGAGCGCTAGTCGCAACCGGTCAGGGCCCGGTGCCGTTTCTCTCCCTTCTCTTCACGGCGGGTCATCGGATTCACGCCACACGATTCGACCGACCATGTCCCCCAGGCTCGTTTCGTTTCTCTTCACGTTCATTGTCTTCGTCTGTGCTATCACTCCGGCTCGTGCTCAAACCAACAAGATCTTCCAATGGCAATTTGCTCAGGTCTTAATCCTCTCTACTGTCTTGTATGTTGAGCTCAATCACTCGACAGGCTCTCTCACAGTCCCTCCCGTCGTGTCGGTCGCTTGGCATTCAAGTCAAGCCATTCTTTGCGACCAACAATACCCATGGTGTTCCCCCATTCTACATGATGAGCTTCCCCGTAAATGGGATGGGTACCCCTCATAACACTCTTATTGGCACGGATGAGAGCAATCTTGCGTGGACAGTTGACCAACCTGTTGGTACGTTCCCAAAAATACCCCCTAGTTCTGTAAGATCACTGAGAAATTGTGTAGGCGCTCAGCTCCTCCTGTATGTTATGGACTCAACAGGCAGTTCTGGGGGCGTTCCTCCTCAACTTTTCACAGTTGTCGGTGAGTAAATTGCTTATCAACAAATGGTAACTCAAATACAACCACAGCTGGTTCATCGACCCAGTGCATTCCTGCTGCCCCAACTGGCGCCCCGTTCACGGTCACTGCGAATGTCACCGACACTCTCACTACTTGTCAAGCATGGGGACTTACCATCCAAGGCGGAACCCCTCCTTACAACGTCACTTTCGCTGCCCTCAATTCTCCCGTTGTTACCAATGTTACCATGGGTCTGTTTTTGTTTTCTGAGTCAGGAACTACGTTAATTCCTAGTATAGGTCCCGTAGATGACGCCTTCACTTTCATCGACCGTGCCGACCCAGGCACTCAGTTGATTGGTACGTGCATCTTCGGCAGATAATCATTTGTGCTCACAGTCGGTTCCAGCTGCTATTAGTGACCTGTTTGTGTTCCGTACTCGGAAAGTGACCGCTTCTGACCTCAGCTTCTAGAAATGGCCGTTGGGCTTCCGGGACACCTATTGTCAAAACCACTGGCTCGACCAATGTTGACTGTGTGGGACTGGTCAGCAAGAGCGGCACGGCAGCGGAGATCAAGCAACAGGCTTTGCAAGCAGCAGCGACGTCCAAGGCTCGCCATCAGTCTGCCATCATCGCTGGCGTTGTTGTTACAATCGTGGTTCTCCTTTTGCTGGCGGGCGTGGGAGTATTCCTTTTCCTTCGTCGCCGCAAAGCTCTCAAAAAGACGGACAAAATAACACCTCGTCAATTTGAGAGTGGTGTTGGCGGTATCAATGTTGCGCCAGCATACACAGAACATGGAACTCATATCCTCTCCATCAACTCGTTCATCAGCCCTTCTTCGCCTACAGAGGTCAAGAGCCCTTCACAATCCAACTTTTCGTCCCCTACCAATACTTCAGCGGTCGGGTCCCTTGTTGGCTATGACCGGCAACGCATGATGAGCGCGATTCCTCCTCAGGACAATGCTTCCATCTCGTCAGTCCCACTATCGACAACAACGGGTGGAGCGCTCAGCGTGCGTAATCCACACCCCCACCGACCAGCAGTATTTAGCAACTTCCCCACTGCGTCGGTGCGACGATCAGCGAAGGCAATTGAAGCGGGCATGACATCGAGCATTTCGGAGGATTCCGAGTTCTATGATGCAGCCACTACTTCCCGCTCTGTTGAACGTAGCCTCTCCGCTGGGCCCACCAGTGTCATGGGACGTCAACCCTCACCCGCTCGTTCTGCCTCTGTTGGTGCCAATACTCCAGCAGCGCAGGAGATTATCTACCAACACCAGGACGCGGGTGTTGTGCGCGAGCTTCCGCCACCATATATGGGCCCACCACAGTCATAAATGACAATGAATCCCGAGGGTCCCCCCGCTCGTTCTTTTACATGTAAATTCTATTCCCAACAACTCTGTTGCTGCTGGCTCTTTTTATTATTAACACGTTGGACCCCCCATCCCGACATTTCCCTTCTATCCACTCTTTCGCGGCAGCGACTCTGTTTTTTCCCCCGAGGTTTCCATATAGAGCCCTGGTAATTCGTTGGCCGTTGACAAGGGACTGCTTTGGCAGGCGAGAGAAATCTGTATGGCACGGCAGTCGGTGTCAGTGATCCTTGTGTTTGAGCGCCATTGCGAGTCTCACGTCATCTTGTACCAACAGTACTTACTATTAAGACCTAACTTATCTCCCACTCTCCTTTACCGAACATTGTACAGCACCAAAAAACCAAGTATACCCTCAAACAGGAACGGATGGACATATCAGCGATATGTGATGCAGTGTTCTTACTGGACGAGAGAAGAAAAGACGCCGGTGGTCACGGTTGCATTCACATCGATCCAGTTCCGGCGCGGTATAGATGGTAGTTTCCATAGTGAGTTGCTGGACGGTGACGTCGGAGTGGACGTTGAGTGAAGCCAAGCCATCGAAAGTCCGGTTCTGAGTTGTTACATAAGCAAGGCCTGGTTCCGTGTGCAGATTAAGTGCGGCTCACATGTGCAGGTGTTGAATGAATGGAGTTGGCCGTGCACCGATATATCAGAGATTATTTCTGAGCCGAATATTGTGGGTGGTGGGTTTCGATACCTCTCCCGTGGAGGGCAATCGTGAGACAGATAGCACAGGGTGAATGTCCGGAAGGTATCTAGCCAAGGACAAGCGGAAAGAAATCGGGACCAAAACAAGGAAGTTGCATACAGATTAAGCGTGACTCAAAGGCTTGACGTCGTTCCTTGCGATGGAAGTACAGTCCTGATCAGGGAGTTGAGCTCAGGGCGTGGATTCGTGAGTGAGTTCACGCTTTCGATACGGCGCCGGTCTCGTTTAGTTTGGTTGCGTCGGCCCATGACGACTTGCGATCGCTAACGATTACTGAATGCTTAGACCAAATGGTACGTTGCTGGCCCAAGAAGAGAGCAGAGTCACGTACAAGCCGGAGGCCAAGGAGGGAAGCTGCGTAGAGGAAGCCCAGGAAGAGCCTCATGGATGGCAAGCGATACTTGGTCTGTGTTTGACCTCACTTTTATAGTATTGTCGGTAGGCAAACGTGGCACGATGCACTTGGTGGTGGAAGAACTTCACGTTCACGTGAGGGAGCACAAGATGAGGTGGGCCAATGCTTGGTGCCACACACAATTTCGGGTCATCGAGAATAACTGCCAACATCAGCAAGTTCACGTGTAGAATCGTTCGGCAGAGGTTTCGTTCTGGGAAAGCAAGAGGCGTCGATACAAGAGGGGGAAATTATTACACAGATTTTTTCACGATTAGAGCGCCTCAGCCGCCGAGATGTAAAGCACTATGCTGCGTTTTAATTTCTTCGATTGGCCTTTTGCGTCAGACACTTACCATTATTCCCTCGAATGAACGCGTCCCCATAGCGGTTTGTCACTACTCCGTTCACGTGCTCTTCTGTTTGCTCGAGCGCAATATTCATATAACCATCCAGACATGATAGGACTCCTACAATTATGAGGACAATCTGGGTTTTTATCGGAAGAGACTAACCCCGATAGTCAACGCCCGACGTAAGACGGACAATAACGCGTTTGCCGACGACGCCTTTGAGAAAATCCGTTGGTGAACCAGTGTGTGTTGGTTGCGTCGGAGGTGGTGGTGTTTGCTCTTGGTCGTCGTCCATCATGGGTAACTCTGGGACACCGTGACGTGAGTGTCACAGTCCTCAACAAGTGTTGAACGTGAACCGCAACAATTATTACTACTTGGTTGACTTCGTCCTTGGATACTATTTCTTCAGGTGAAAAATCCTGTTGATGGATGCCGGGCACTACGTTTTCAACAACTAACACGACAGTTCTTCTCTACGTCACTTGCGCAACAAGATCCTCAAATCGCCCTCGACTACGAAGTTGCACACTATCCAGCAATGTGACACCCGCGAGGCGCTGCACTGAGTGGCTCTAATGTTATGAACGCTCCGGTGTACCTCCGACCCCACGATTATGACCTCGGTGGGCCGAGCGTGTGATATATCCGTGGCCACTTGCAAACATAATGGCCGCCAAACTAGAAGACAAATCTTGGTCCGCATCATCGTTGCGCAAGTGTCTAATCAATAAGATTGAGAATGACCTGCATGTCCCGGAAATCGTAGGACAATTCCTCGACTGTGAATCGTTAGCCGTCTGTTTCTGGTTACAGACGTTTTTTCGTCGTAGACGGATACGGCGGCTGGCTCAGCACAGACTTCCCCCGTTTAACCTCTTCAATGCCCGTCCGTAACCATACCCTTTCTTTCCATAATAATCAATATACCCCTCTAGCGCTCTGGGCAGAGACGGCGTCAACCACTTCAACAACATTATTCTCAAAGCACACACGTCCTCAAAGGGTCCGTTTTCTTCACTCGATCGACGACTCGGAAGTCTAATAGGCTGTGTTCGTCTTACTGGCTCTGATCCGCAAGACCCCCTGGACAACAACAAGAACCAATTCCAAACGGCGGAAGACCTCGTCGACTTCGAGGAGATGAATTGAAGATGCCATAAACGACTCGCGCGCATTGTGGACAGCGACGCCTGACATGAGCGGAAACTCTTTCTCGGAGACCTGGCCCAGACCTGATGTCGAGGCGGACGAGAAGGTCTGCCAGTTTATCATCGACAACGCCCAAGGCAATCATATCTGCTGTACAGCAGCAATCGGACCTGACAGTGCGTACATAGATGATATGACTTGTCTGAAGCTTGTTTTCTCACCATTGCTACGCAGATCCTAACGCAGTTCTCGACGCAAACTTCAAGGTTTGCGGCATTAAGAGCCTGCGTGTCGTCGATGCGAGCGCCTTCCCGTGGATTCCTGGGATGTTCTTCACGGCGACATATCAGCCTGAGGTGTGGTATATCATGGCCTTCTATTACCTACATATTGGCGCTGATGGTCAACCTAGATCAGCGAGATGACTGCCGACACGGTTATGGCTGACGCTGCTCAGTAGATTCTGTTGTAGTAATGAGTTTGTTTGTACATCGTGCTCTTTTGTAATCTTATCATTTTGATGCTCGCAACTGATGTGACTGTCACGCGTTTACCTTGTCCTTAAGCTTTCCAACGTGCAACTGGGTGTTATCCTGCTCACGACCGGTCGAACTTCTGTTACTCTTCCTCGGATGGCGTCGCAATCTCCGTTCGAGCACGTGGCGCGAAACTTGCGGGCGATCGGCGCGCTGTCCGTCGAGGAGTATCTGGCGAAGAGTGGTCACGAGCAGGACACCAGCCCAGTCGCCGTGGAAGTCGACAATATCATTGGTGACAGTGCGATCTCACGCCTACGCGCGTTATGCGCCCCACAAGGCAGCGCCATTCTCACAGGAAGTCTCGCCCCACGCGCAAAGCTAGAGGTCGAACTCATAGACGAGGGCCCGGATAGTAGGTTGGGACGCGGTCTGCCAGTTGTTGATTATTTTTGGTCAAGGAAAACGATGTGTGGTGACGATCACCCGGCCAGGCGGAGAGGCGCGGGCGTTTCGGTCGCCTGTGAATTGTGCGAGTGCAGAGGAGGCAGAGGAGGTTGCGGCGGGTGTTGCGCTAGAGAGAGGGGTGGCGGAGTTTATAGCTGTCGGGGATGAGGAAGAGGTCCGGGCGGCCAAGGGGACATTGCTTGTGTCCCTTGACAAGCAAGCGCCTGTGATCGAGGTCCTGACTGCTGTTGGGCACATCGAAGAGTGTTGTAGGGAATGGCGCGGGCCATCGGTTGAGCCGGCGTGGTATACGTTTGCAGGTTCAAACAGTGAGTACTCGCTTTTCCAAAAGTCAGTTTTGACGCGATTTGATAATAGGCTATGGCGCGTGTCTCAAGATCGCACTTAGTCCACACAACTACCGCGTATACTCATGCTCGCCAGAGTTCGCCACGCCCCTCACTGCGCAGCAAAAGTGCGCTGCAATTGCCCTCGACGAGGGTGTTCTCGATTTTATCATGCATGGCAATGGACAAACAAAGCCGACACCGATATCGAGGAATTCATCAGATCACGTGTCAGTACCATGGTCGCTGCAAGCTTTCTTCGAGACGATCCCGCGGCCACTAGAGGAAGACTTTGGTGCACGGACTGCGCCCCAGATCCAGCCTGTTGGTTGGTTAGGCAGCATTGTCGCACAGGCGATGGGGACCCGGTTTAGCTCAGCATACTACGCGGTCGACGTTTTGGACCAGCCAGTGCGAAAAGGTGCCTTGTCTTGTTTCATTTTCCAAGCTGCTTAATTCACTCTAATTATAGCCCATGGTTGTCTCCTGCGGCTGAAACGATCCTGCCCAGACACTGATGTCCCCACCATCTACTCATACCTTGTTGAGCCGCAGGCCAACTCGCAAAAAGAGGCACGTGCCGCCGTAGCCCTCCTTGCGCTCTCCCTTGGGGCAGGAAAGATGATACGAGCGGCACACGAAGAATGTCTCGGCCTCGTCTCGCCCGACGTGCGCCATTTTGTGACCAAATCGGTGCTGTCGGTGCTTGGCACGGAGGTGCGGCGCGCCAGCGGGAAGGCCCCGCTGTTTGAGTTCACCACCGTCGACAACGGTGAGACGCCTCGTTATCCAAAGCTTGCTTATCTAATCTTTGACAGCTTTTGGATGTACCTTGACCTTGTTTGCGACCCTGACCGCCGCTGACCCGCTGGTGTACACTGTCCCTGAGCGGTACGCGAGCAAAGCAGATGCTAAGGTTGCGGTGACGCATCTGGCTGCGACACGGGGCGTGCTGGATGTGTTGACCCAACCTGCATTTCCTGAGGGTGATGGCGCTGGGAAGAAGCGCAAGAAGAAGAAGCAGGCAATGGGAAGCACGCACAGTGGCAAGAAGCAGCGCATAATTGGTGGTGGGGTTAGATTGTCGCTATCGACTCGGAAGAGGTCGGGGAGTTTGGAGGAGGGGGAGATCTCGGAGTAGTCAAGATTTGGTTGTTGGTAGATACACGGAAGGAAGGGACTGGAATACATGTACAAACAATTAGCAAGAACTTGTATGCGTCAAAGTGCCTACATGCCTTTTCAAAGCCATCATCCACGAAGCTGGGATCAGTGAACACTGAACTTGAACATGATCACTGAAGATGATAAGTACAATTCTTAGAAGCAAACCAATATGAGGTGGCTCACAAATTGATTCGATAAGAATGTTCACACTGGGGGCAAAGTTTGCGGCAGTTGGGAAATGGCAGTCTAATGGCAGTTGAGCTGGAAATTTTTTTACTTTGTCCAAAACAAAGAAACCTTTGTTTCTTTCCAACTGCCATTTGCTCTGCCATTTGCAAACTGCCACAAGCTTTGCCCCCAGTGTCACCTATACCCATTTTCAGTGCTTGACGTGACATAAACGCGGTGTGACATCATGTCACACCGAACGCGCGTCGTCGCTAACTACTCTCTCGATGGACCACTTCCCGACAAACTGGGGCCGCCCCGTGTGTTTTGCACCTTTTGTCTTGCGCTCGACTAACCGGAGGAACAGCGCAATGACACTTGGGACCCATATGCGACATACCCCATCCACCAGCGACCACAGAACCACCAACCGAAAGACAGATTCGCTGAGGGCGTACAACACACTCAGCAGCCAATCGTGACGGGCACGAGTGTACTGGCTATCAAGTTCAAGGACGGGGTGATGATGGCGGCGGACAACCTCGCTTCATATGGCTCCCTTGCCCGATTCCGCGACATCCAGCGATTGCACCCTGTGGGAAAATACACCGTCCTCGGGGCCGGCGGCGACATGAGCGACTTCCAGTACATCCAGAGCATCCTCGACGAGCTCATCGTCGACGAGCTTGCCGCTGCGGACGGTCACACGCTTGGCCCGAAAGAGATCCACAACTACCTCGCGGAGGTGATGTACTCGCGCCGCTCGAATATGAACCCGCTCTGGAACTCGCTGTTGGTCGGCGGGTATAAAGACGGGAAGAGGTGTGTGCTTTATTTCTTTCATTCTTGTAGAATGGTCTGGACTTGTGCTACAGCTTCCTTGCATACGTCGATTTACTGGGCACAACCTATACCGCATCGACCCTTGCGACAGGCTACGGAGCCTACATCGCCCAGCCGCTGCTTCGCCGGGCCGTTGAGGGCCGCGAGAATGAGCTCACCGCCGACGAGGCGCGCAAAATCCTCGAGGACAGTATGCGTGTCTTGTTCTATCGCGATGCGCGCAGTTTGGACCAGGTATATCCATTTTCTCTGCTTTATTTCAGAAATTGACTCCGGGCAGTACCAAATTGCGACGATTACGGCGGACGGGGTGCATATCACCGAGTCGCGCAAGTTGGAGACGGCATGGTCGTTTGCGGAGGGCATTCGTGGCTATGGTGCACAGACGCAGTAGGGCAGAGCGAATACAAACATTTTGACCGTCTGATGTTGTGAAATCGAGACACAGGTATATCACTACCAGTACAGTGTGATCAGTGGGATCCAAAGATCCGGATTGCAGGCCATATCAGACTAGGCCACCTGCATAAGGGGTACCGCTGAACTCAACTCTCCAGGGTGATTGTACCGTCGAAATCGGTTGGGCGGGCCGATACGGATAAGGCGAAGGCGGTATAATCTCAGGTTGCCGGCAACGGTGGGTCAAGTGGGGCATCGGGCTGCATTAGACGTGAGCTGTGCGTCAAGATAGAGCGCAAGCGACGGACTAGAGCATTGGGGCCTGGGTCGCTGCGGTAGAGCTACATATGAATATGTTATAGATAAGCTCAAGATAAGATAACGCTTACTGATGGCTATGTTCACTTTCGAACGCAAAGAGCGACGCCGGAGGTGATTGTTGGGAGGGAGAGGGCGACGATCTGCGAGGGTTTCAGCCTGGGGGTTATGCAGATTCGAAAGGACAGACTGATAATAGTAGTCAGGCTGCATTTGTCGGTGCAAAGGACGCCCTCTCCTTTGACTAATAGAGCATTGTTGTTTGTGCGAGCATCAGATTAGGAAGTGCTTACATTTCTGCAGTTTCAGCTGCTCTGAGAGAGAGTTCAGGTGAATGCAATTCTCTGAACGACCAAACAACACACCTGAGCGATGCGCTCTGCGTCGAGTCAGACTCTGGAGAAAGCGGGAGACGCATACAGACCATGTACTCGTCCCAAAGCGCGTGCAGCTCTCGCATCACTTCACCTGGGGCCTTCCGAACGATGACCCCACCAAACCACGACTTGACAATAGCCCACAGCCGGCGGCCGCGATCCTCACTGGATCGGAGACGTGCCATATAACTAGAGCTTGGGATCAGGTAGAGTGGAGCGAAAGAAATAGATGACGAACGTATAGAGGCGACCCAAGAATTCCTGGCGGACCTGAGCGTCTCGCTCTTGGCTGAGTTCGTTGATGCGGGCATTGATGTACTGTCTGATCCTCAGAACCTCTTTGGCCTTACCGTCAACATAGATGGATTGATGGGCATTGGTGGACGCCTGTTTCAACCCCAAGAGCAGTTGAGGAGACGAGGCACGAGATCTGAACAGTATTCGCGCACCATATCCACGAAATCTTGACCGTACGAAGCCATCGACCTACCAGTGTTTTATATCATCCCTCATACGTGATGAGTGACTCGGAATGGGCCGTGGCAAGCTCGTTAGCCCCGCAGGTTCATTCCCACCTTCAAGTTAACAGCAATTGCAGTATGTCCGGAACCACATCTAGAAATGACTCTCTGGGCGCAAGATATTCAAATATATCCGGCAGATGCGTGCATAGACTGCTAGATCACGGAGGTTTCCATTTGTGTGTCGAAGTTGAGAAAGCCGTGTGAGTCACATCACGTGAGCGCATGTCACATCGTTATTTGAACGTTGAATCCGAGTTGAACGGTAAACGTGCCTCTCTGGCACGGAATAATTTCTACATTTCGTGTAGAAGGCCTGAGACCTCCCATTTTTAACTGTCGCGTCAAGGTACTTGCACTGGCAAGCCTCTGCTTTTAAGCATCACCAAAGGCAATCATCGCAACGAGTGCCCAAGCTGACTGTGACGACTTGAACATTGACTAGCTTGACTTGTCAATGGGTATGGGCTCATAATTAATCCCCTGGCTATCTCCGCCCGTAGTTGATCAGTAAAAAACGCATAGATTCTCAACCAGTGAGATTATCAGATAACGATATCCAATGGCTCGTGTCAAACGCCGTCGCAAGCAAAAAGCTGGTTGAATCGGGTATTCGACGGGTTATTTTCCTACACTGCAAGCAGACTACGAGTGGCACTCCCCTCAAGCAAGCTGGGCAAGGATGGTCTTCGCGTCGGTAACCGTGAGCTCGCTAGGGACATTTTCGACGGCAACAGTCTCGACTGTGTCGCCCTTGGCAATGATAACAAAGCGCTGAAAGCAGCCGTCAGACTTGGGTACTACAATATCAGAACCGCGCACCTTTGCGCGAACACTGCCGAGGAGAGGTGATGCGTCGAAGAGAAGGCCAAGCGACTTGGAAAAGGCGCCAGTGTCATCAGCGATGAAACGTATCGCTGTCCATCGTTCAAGTTAGCACGATGTTAATGTAACCATGAATAGCGACGCACGCGTTCCTTCCGGTGCCAACGACTCCTTCCATGCTCTATTGCCTCATCAACCAGGGACAACGAGACGATATAGCACACACTTTAGGACAAACACGTCGTTGACAGCAACAACAGCGATCTGCTCGATGCCGCGGGTCTTGAACGTGTCGAACGCGTTGATGTAGCCGGGGATTTGGGCAGAGCACGTGCCGGTGAACGCACCAGGGACACCCACCTGGCGAGAGCATGGTGTCACTGCCGTTGCTGAGAGAGATTGGGGAAGCGTACGATGATATGTCTGCCGGCGGGAAAGTCGAACGGGGCGGGAGCGTCAGCCTTGAGCTCCTTGACAGTGGCAGTGGCGGATAGCTTGTCGCCGGGAACAACAGTGGAAGCATCACCGTGGCCAATAGAGGAGGCAACAGACGTGACGGCGCGTAGGGCTTCAGAGATTGCAGACATGGTGGTGGTGGAAGGAAAGAAAGGAATGCAATGCCAAAGAAATGCGGGTTACTTATGACGTACAGAGCATGGCTTTCAGAACTTACCCTGCACAGGACGAGGACTGATCGGTAAGCGGGCTAAACGGTGAACGTTGTGAACACCCGGGGCCGCCAAACGCGCCGACCTTGAAACAACTGCAAGCAGTGGTCGCATCATGGTCAAAGGAGAAATGACGCGTTGAATGACAATGATATTTTCAGTCAGGCCGACGTGCGACGGGAAAGCTCATTCGACCGTATGAACATTGCTCTTCGAGTCATGACATGGACCCTTATGTGGGCACAATAAGTAAACTCAGCTTAACATCATATATATAGAGAGCGACGGGCAGCAACAAACAAACTTGAATGGCCTAGGTGCAGAGTGAATTTCCCCTCGGAAAGGACCAAAGAGTGTGTCGCGCTTTGCATGGAGAGGAAAGGAAGAACCTTTGCTTAGACTTTAGTGTCATTCGGTTCGGGCTACGAGTCATAATTCCCCGGCGTTCGCCGGACCGTGCCGTGTAATTATCCAATCCAATCCAATCCCTGATGAAGAATACCGATGGTGGATTAAAAAAACATACACTGGCGGGAAATCGAATTGGAGGAAAGCTAGGGCGACGAAATACTATCTTGCTTTGGCCTAGCCGGTCTCGTGTGTCATGAGGGATTTGATATGAAAACGTTGTCAGAAATAACAATGAAGGGCACTTGCGCGGTGGCGAAATCTGCGAGACCAGCTCGTTCGAGGGTATAATGGCCGCGATCGCTTGAAGATGAGTCAGAGACTGAGCAGGCTTGGGTCGCGCGACAGGGTCGGCAGCCAAGTCCATGAACATGGCGCCAAAGTGCAGTAAAAGCGGCGACATGCTCGTGAACAACCACTCAAACAGAAATCCAAAGAAACACGTGTGCTTGGCCATCAGGCAGGCAACAATGGTCAGGCCAACGCTGAATAACGGCGAGCTCAACTTAATTATGGTACAGAGTCCCACCGTCTATCCTATCCAGGTAGTAATATCAACGCCTCGGCCCACATGTCTCCTAAGACCTGAAGCAATCGAGCAGTTCAAGTTCGGATAACAATGTGGGCGCTTATTAGATTCGGAACAATCCTATCCGAAAGCCCAAGTCTGTTGAACGTTGACAGATAGAATATGGAGACGAAGGACGGGCCTTATCCCAGATTAGATGGCCTGTGGAGACCCCATGATACACCTCCATTCGGTCGTGGTCGTAGATCCTGGCAAAAATATCATTGTGGGTCCCCGTGTGAGCTGAAACTTGGCCAGGTAAAGCTTGGTGAAAGAGCGTGAAGTCGCTTCCCAACAAAGAAGAGCTTGAAGGCGCTCTTACTTAGATAAGACTATTGGGACAGTGAGACTAGGTCGGTCTATTCTTCCAGAAAGTGACTGGTAGACATGGGCCGCGTGCAAAGTGAATTGTCGGAAATGACCGAAAAGTCTGTTGAGCTTTGACAGATAGGTTATGGAGACGAAGAAAAGAATCTCGTCTCGAAATAGTGTAGCTCGCTAGAGAATCAAGGGGGTTGAATACGATCCCATAGTCCCCACGCGTAATTTCCAGATCGGACCTGTGACAGTGAACACGAATCGAATTACAAGCACAATACAGCAAAGCAAGACAGCAAAACAAAGCGGTCGTCCTATGGACCTGGTACACGGGGGCAGAAAGCCAAGTTAGTCAATTCAAACCGTTAACGGAAGATCCCGTTGCCTTGGGCCTCATGTAGGCGGTTTTTGGGGGGCGAGTGACAGCAATATCGTAGAGAACCTCATCCCGTATGTACTGAACGGACGAATGAGTCGCATCGAAAAGGGGGAAATAAGGAATAACTCACTCGATAATCCTGCCGGTAGCCTCCTAGGGTAGCACGTTCGCGTTTGTGCTTTTCCGTCGCAGCCAGGTCCCAAATTTGAGAAGAAAGTTCTTGAGGGGGTATCGTGGCAGCGATGGCCCGAAGATGGGCAAGTGATTGTCCAGGTTTGGCTCGCTCGCTGGGATTGCGGGCGGTCATCGCATCGGCAACTGGCCGGAAGATTTCCAGCGAAGGATAACCCTAAAAGTAAAGTCGCCTATTAGAAGTGCACACGAGTCAAAGTGAAGGATCGCGAACATATATTAGCTTGTGCATCGTGAGACCGAGTTGGAAGACGTCGACCAAGAAGGGATTATACGGTACTTCCCAAGAAAGTTCAGGTATTTCAGGAAATGTTCTGAGACGGCCTATCCTCCTTGCATCAGTAGTTCCTTCTGGAAAGTATTCCGACAATCCGAAGTCAATGTAGAAGTAGTCGACGTGACCCACAGAACAACGGTCATTCCAGCAAAATAGTTCAGATATGCCGTCTTGGGTTCTGGGTCTACTAAAGTGCGACCCCTTCGGGACCACTTGAGATTCGTCCATCAGCATATTTTGTGGCGCGATATCGCTGCAGCAAGTCAGTCCAAAGTTAAACCTTAACAAAAGGGACTGACATATGTGCAATATTATGCTCGTGCATAAACTCCAAGCCCTGGTAAAGAGTCATGGTTTTGGTAGTAGATATAGAGAGAAAATTGCCTCAAGATATTGGGACATGGCATCTATGAACTCCTGGCGACAATGGAAAGGTGGATAGTCGAATTCTCGACAGTATGGGGTGACGAGAATGCTCCATTGAGTTTCAGGGAGACGGAACACCTCTAGTATCGGTATTGTGCGATTTCTAGGGTCCGAACGCAGCGCAGGAGAGTCGAGATAACTGTGCAGCACCAATTCCTCATCACCAGTTTCAACGCGTTTAAGAACAACTTTCTTCTTGTCGCGAATACGAGTGGCGTCGAGAACAAAGCCCTAAGCTTTTATGAGAGAGAGTAAGAGTAAATATTGCTGTAGCTCGCCTGGTAGCTTGGAATATCGTCTTCTCTTTCTGTTGGCAAGATGCGAATTTTGCGGCGCCAGTGCGCGCTGAATCGCGGTCGAAGATGATATCCCTTCTTCGCAAGAAATGGTTGCTGCTCGGCCCAGAAAATTTCTGCCCCAGAGATAGCAGGATGGTATTGGGGATGATTCATGAGGAAATTGTGTGGGTGTGGGGCGAAGCCAATCAACGTAACGATCATGTGATTTAACATTTTTTTTTTTTTTTTTTGTATCTGCATTTATATACCGCTACAAGCACACTAACTGCTAAGACGCGGTGGCCAGGACAATAGAGCTGTCCCGCCGCTCGATAGGGTGTTGCGCCGGGTTTGGATCCAGGCTGGTTGTGGTGTAGCGAATGGCGGGGAGGATGTGACGCGGGCTGGACTGTGAGAGCGGTGCGGTGTTGTTGTCGTCGAGCCGTAAGGCATGTGATTTAACAGCAATTTCCAGTTTGATTCAACGAATGACTCGCCATACTTGGCTTTGTCTCACTCTCACGCGCCACACATCTTCGCTCTCATGATAAACCCATTTCGCTATCTGACAGCTGTTGGCAAAATCCTAGGCCACTCCAAAATTTCTACTCGTCTGACGTCACACACGCTCTGAGCTCGGAGGGTCGCTTAACTGGAGCAACAGTGGAGCATTGGCACTGCAAACTGCTTTATTTGGGTTGAATTCTGTCCGATGCTCCAAGAGAGGAAATTTTAATGTGGCCTAGGATTTTGCCAACAGCTGGAAAGAGAGCTAACTAATAATGGCCAACGACGAGTCTGAGTCACTCGTCACGGTCCTGAACATATAAAGCCTGTCTTCCATACTACCTAACCTGAACGCTAACGCTTCATCTCTTTCCATGGTGCGTACAAGCAAAAACTTTGATATCTTCCGCTGAACCACAACATGCAGCAGCAACCTGGTGTCGGTCGGCCCATTAAGTTAGTGCAAAGCACCCCACAACAATTCGCCGATATCCAAGCATATGTTCGATCGCTGCTGCAACAACTCCAAGCAGAGAAAGACGATGGTCTCTATCAGCAATACTACACTCAACTAAGCAAGTTTGTCCTTTCTCCTTCGCTAATACCGTACTTGATAAGTCTGACCGATGGAAAGCTACATGGCTGACCTCCGTAGAAATCGGCGATCGATATGGAGGCCATTTCTCGGGTGGTTTGGTGAAGCTATCTCACGCACCCACGGGCAAGTCGTGAACGATCTCCGGGGACTTTGGCAACAATACGAAGTAAGTCAATCTCAACCTTTTTTCGAAAAAAAGCCAACCATAGGATAGGCAGCGTCCGAAGAGTAAGCGTATAATTTGTGCTTCACGCTTACCTAGCTAATCATCGGAATTTTTAGGGCTGCAAGGCAGGTTCTGCGAATGTCATCGATCACTAATAACAATGGTTTGCTAGACAACGCGCCGCGGCAGCTCGGGCTCAGCCGGCGCAAGCAGTGTTGAATCAAGTTGGGTCGTTGAACCGAGCCGGGTCTCAGGCAGGAAGGTGAGCTCTCTCTATGCGTCGTGTCTTTTGTTGTTCAGGCTATTCGCAGTGCCCACTCTGCCCACTCTGCCCAGTCGTCTCCTGCTGCTTCGCTATTTGCTTTCGAGAGTGATCATAGTCATCAGTAAGCGATATATGCTTTCCAGGGACAACATTTTTAAGACGATCGTAGCTCCGTCGCACCCAGCCAGCCCCCAAGAACATAGTGCGTCTTTTGTTCTTCGTCCTTGCGAGCATCTCACTGGGAGTAGTGCCATGCCACAGTCCTCCCACCCGCCGGGCCAGGCTGCCGGCTATTATCAGCAACAGCAGGCCGCGCAACCTGCACCATACTATCCTGCGCAACCAATTGCCACGGTACAATCCCCTTGGCGGGTTGGTGGTAGCTATGAGAGCCTTCATCAGCCGCAAGCCCCGGGGATGTCGCAGCAGTCCCCCCAGTCATCAGGAGCCCAGTTTTACATTGGGGGTTCAGGTTCTTCAGCAGGTTCTTCTAATGGAGCGGCATATCCCGCTCCCGGTGGAGCAGACGGTGGAAACTACTGGAATTATTACCAATAATTGAGAAGTGCGCCAATTCTTCTGTCTAGCTCTGTACTTGTATCGCATTGTCCCAGCCTGAATATATATGACGACATTTGTTGCTTGACTTGTTGAAGGATTTTGAGATTATCAGAAGTGTCGCCACTGCCATAGTTTTGGGCTGAAAAAATTGATTCATGGCATAGTGGAATAGCATAAGTGAAAATATGACAGACTGGCAATGACAAAAGTCCCTCAGTCCATTTCCGGGTAATGAGAGCCGATTGGGACAGCTTTGACCTTGACCCTTGCCCGAGCTCGTACGCACTCTCCAGCAAGGAGAGTGTAGCCGTGATGGCATGAGTAAACATCGCATATGCCCTCCATACACGCCGCGCCTCTCACACCCGGATAGTCACCACATGCGACACCTTCTCCAGTAGAAGCACAGCCACCGCAGTTGTCGACGTCGTATGCGGGGCTCACGCATTCATACTCTAGCGGGCCAACAGGGCAGGCACGTGTTCCGACTGGACAAAGTTTAGATGCCTCAGCTTCGAGCGCGAGTTGTTCGAGGGTTTGGGTTCTGGCGCATGTCGCCTATGTATTTGATGTGAGCACTTGTAGGTGGAGTTAGCAGCGAACTGAAACGGACAGTGCAGAGGCCGTTTTCGTGCGTTGCACTGCATTCTGGACGGAAGGAACCCTGGAGTAGTTCATCAAGAAATTGCTTGAAAGAAATAAAAATGGCGGACCATGACGCCGTTGTGTCGCTGACATTCACACCTCTAGTTCGTGGCATTTAGAAGTTAATTCCAAGACTGAATGTCGACGAACATTGCGGATAGAATAAACAAGGCGACCAGATAGACACGGATCGACTGTGCGGGCCACCGCGGAGGCGTTGGTAAAAGCGAAAAGGATGAAGGGAAGGGAGAAAAGAGTGAGCATTGGCGCTTAAAGAGCGGAGTGCGATAGCAAAGAACGTTTAGACAAGCTAGTCGACCAGGTGAGTGGGAGAGGACAAGACGAAGAGCTGGAAAAACAGATTGTTTATGATGCATTATTGGTCCCCCCTTTGCGTCGTGGATAACAGCGCCAAGGAGTACTCGACGTCAGGTACAGTAACAAAGGCGTTGATTTGTCACTCCACAGGGGATTATTTTCGACGAAAAAATGGGCGGATAAATATGCGAGGCTTCAGCCAGGCTGAAACGAGAATAGATGTCCACCTATGTAGCCGTAAATATCCTGTATTAGTAAGTTGGGGAGTTAGAGGTTTTTTGGCAGCGGTCGTATGCTTTTCTGATGAAGATAAGAAGCTGCATCCCTTGTTGCATCGCAGAGGGCAGTTGAACAATGAACATTGAACTCAAGGAAAGCACATCGGAGGTTCGGCAACGTGAAAGCTGTGCAGTGCGTCATTCCAGTTTAGTGATCTCCAGACTCTTTTACTCTCTACCCTCGTCTGTCCCGCTATGTTCAAGAGTGCTGCGACTAAGATCGCGCACAACTCAACGCTACCTTCGTTGGGAGGCAACAAGGACTTGCGACCACTCCAGGATCTCATCACCGCTGAGAAGGCGGTTCTCATAACGTCCGCAGCAAGTCTCTCTCGACATTCTATCATGCTAACCTCGTTTCTGTAGACTCCAGAAACTCAGCGTAGACTTGACCAAAGCCTCTGATGCCTTGCGCGTCTGGGGTAACGGCGAAGGCGAAGATCTCGGAGTGCGTCTCACTTTTCACCTCAGCAATCAACTGATGATTGCTCTAAAGGACATTCTCGGTGCATCTACTACAGTTATGAGCCATTTTTCTACCGCCCTTTCTTCCTATGCTTCCAAAGAACATGCAATTCGAGATGTGAGTTTCCGTTCCGTATTTCTCCTCCGATTCTAGTTTGTTCCCCGTGGAACCAAGCCGACCCTTTTGGTCAGCTCTAGCTGTAACGACCGGTGCAGCGACGTTCTGTTGGGACTATGTCGTGTGTTCCCGTCATCTCAACCAGATGAAGTCGTTGATTGCTCGGCGCTCCGGACCTTGGCATCCTTTATCCGGCGTCTCACAACTCTAATAGCATCTGAAAGCCATTCGAACCCGGGAAGAAGCCCTTGACGAACTAAAACGGCGACGAAAAGCAACCCTAGCTCGCGCAGACAGTGCAGAGAAGAAACTCAACAAGATGGGGGCAGAGCATAAAAACCTTGCCGCACAGACGGACACACTCGCGCAACTCCAGGCTCAGATTCGACAGATGGATGGTGTGTCATAGATCGCTTAACATTTCAATCTCGGTTGACAGACTTCAGGCGAGATCATGAACGAAGAAGCGGCCCTCGGCGACTTTAAGCGATCCAGTACTCGAGCGTTCATGGGACTCAAGTTTGGGGGTCTCTTAGAGACTTCAGAAAAGGGATGCATTGTTGCGGACATGGGCATTGTAATTGCTTCTGTGCGTGCTACATTTGTTTACTTTTTTTGTGCTCTGATCAACGGGATCACAGGAAATCCCAGAAGACGTTACGCCGCCCGGTTCTGGTCGTGCTATGTACATGGGTCACCAGCAAACGTCACAAAGAGTTATGGAGGCTGAGCACGCAGTCAATGGGATCGCATTTTCTGGTGTTCTTCCCTCGGTTGGATCAGCACCGCAGCCAAGAGGCGCCCCTCCTCGTCTCCATGTTGCAGACCCTGATAATCTCAGCATGCAGAACACTGGGATAAGCTCCTTCAATCCCGGATATGGCAACGGAATGGAGTCGATCAGTGTCCAAAACACTGGCCTTTCATATGAACCGCCGCCACCTTCCAATGTCAACTCTGGATTTCTTCCTCCACCGGATGTCAACAGCGGCTTTTTGGACGGACGAGCTTCCCCCGGCTCTTCGTTTTCTTACCAACCACCTCAGCAATTGCAACAAGGTCCAAGTGATGGCAGTGCATTTGCGTCTTCTCAGCCGGGGGGCTATACCGCCAGCACTCTCAGTAGTGTTTACGTCCCACCAACTATGCAGGGCGGGTACTCAGCTCCTGGAGGCTACGAATATAGCTCTGCAGGCGGTGTAGAGGGACTTCCGGAACAATCACGTGAAGAACCTGCTGCTGGATTAAGCAGTACTGGCGTTGGTCTAGGCTCAGAAGGCCCTGGCGGTGGCCGATTTGCGACATTCCCCGTTCGTGGGAGAAGTTATTCAGCTTCTGGTCAAACTCAAGGCCAAAGCCCGCCCGCAGCCACTTATTCAGATCCTCCGCCAAGTCTCGGAGCCATGACGCGCAAAGACACCAGTGGAAGCGATTTCATGTCATCTGTTCTAGATGCAGGGGAGTTCGGTTTCATTGCCCAGTATCCTCTGGACGCGCCGACATCTCCACCTCAAGTGCCTACTAATTCGCAAGCGGCGGAACTAGCCAAGCTTTCTGAAAAGCATCAGGAGCGCGAACGAGAAAGGCAACGGACAATGCATGAGGATGACCCTGTACCAGAATATCAGCTCGAAGCATCAACTCATCACGAGTATTCTTCGCCTGGCTCCTCTTTCCCTCCTGGTCCACCTCCCGGTGCTGCTCCGCCTGTTATGGGCGGAGTTTGGGCTGGAGAGGTCACTCCGCGACCACCAGCAAATCAGCTTGCTGTTGAAGAAGGTGGCGGAGACCGCAAGTCGACTGTGACGAATGAGTCAGAGGATTTCAGTCTGGCATATATGAATAATGAACATGACGAAGAGGCGCTTTTACCAGGCGAGAACGAGCAGCAGCGACAAGCAAGACTGTCGAAGCATGTCAGATTTGGGGGTGAGGGTGTATTTGGTGAGACCGGTCAGTTTTATTTCCATTGTTCTCTTAGAATAGATACTTATTTTCGTTCCGCAGAGCCCCCATTTGTAAAACGACAGAACTCATCCCCAGCGTTGCGCAAACGTGTACCACCACCAACATTCGATCCCGAGGTGGACAATGAACGGGTCTTGAATGCTGCAGCTGCCCGTGAAATCACACAGGAAATGAATGCGCTCAGTCAACTACCGCCAGTTCCCGTAATTCCTCAACACTACGAGGAGACAAACTGGGAGCCGCCGCAACCACAGCCACCTTCGCCAGACCGGAACTATATTGTGAGTTCACCGGTCCATGAGCAACCTACACAGCCACAATACGGGTCGCCACCAAGAGAACGTCAGCGTTCCATGTCTCCTCAGCCCCAACTGTACTCTCCTCCAACCCAATACCACCAGCCTTTACCAAATCCACACTATAACGCGCCTGGTCAATACCAACCTCCTGTGCCCATGCGCGAACCCTCGCCTCGAATTCCGCCGGTTTCGCGGACTACCACAATGGACAGCCACCAAACAACGCCCTCGTGGGATTCCGGAAGTGGCAAGCCTTCAAACACTGGTCATCACACGACTCCATCGTGGGCATTATCACCTTCGTCGCCAGTTGAAGGGCCAGCATCTCCCCGTCTTGATGCACCGTATCGGCCGTTTGCCAGTCGATCTTCGTCATCGGTCAATTCGGTTGGACAGGCACCCGCTGGTGCAAAGACCATCTCAGCTGCTGCGTTCAGGAGGCCACAAAAGAGTCCTGGTATGGGTATGGGGCCTGAGATTGCTGATACCAGCCCTTTGGCACCCAAAAAACGATTACCAGCCAGTCCTTATCCGCAACAACGGCAAAATGCAGCTGCCGTGCCACCCCAAGCACAACACCCAGACGACTTTGACTACATCAGCGCCTACGAACGCGATTCGCATGCGTTTTTCGATGATGCGCATAGCGGCAGTCCGGTCCAAACCGATTTTGGGAGGTTGGGGAACGTCCAGGTGGTTGGAGGACGTCCACCAGGCAGCCCGACATATGGGAATGATGGGAGGGAGGATGTACGGTAAATTTTGTGTCAGGCGAAAGAATTAAATTATGGTCGTGTACGCATACTTAAGCTTACTCACTTGAGCGAAGTCTTCCTGTTTTCGTATCAGGCAGCGCGATCACGTGTTGCTTGCCACTGCAATACTGCAAGTAACTATAACCTGAAGGACCAAACAACGAGACTTCGAGTTCAAGGGGCGCGGATAGCCCAAGCTTGATCGGGTATGCACATATATGCCCAATCGCTGCTGCACGTTGATCTTGCTTGTTTGTTTGGTTGCCAAACGGAAGAAACCTAGTGATTATATAATCACGGAACACATCTATGCATTGATCGGCTGCCGTGATCGATGGCTTCGCCTCCTCAACCTAAGACCAAAGTACTTTTTAAGCGCTTAAGCATCCAAACTCGTCGTTCAAGACCTCGCTGGTTTAACCAATCGCTTTCGGCCCTCAATCCGTATGAAGCAACAGCTCAACTACTCGGTGCTCCGAATCGGCTCCAAGACAAAGCTTCAATCAAGTGTTTTACCTTTTCTTGCAGAAGATCGTTGCAATGGCGAGGATAGTGCCTTGACTCCCAGCGCCGCGGTAAGGGATTTGCGTCTATATAAGCCTCGGTTCAACATTTCGAACCTCAGGATTGATTCCCTTACTCGCGTCGTTCAAGTTGACACTCATTCTTTTCTTTCTCTCTCTTCTCCTTTTCTCTCCCTCTTCTCGTCCTTCCTTAGTTCTGCGTCTTGGATATGGGTCGGTGGACAGTTGAGGAGTGGAAGGCTCATATGGAGGTGCGCCATATCTTGTTAATCGCGCTTTGCTCACTACCTTCTTCTTCTAGCTTGACCCCCCCACTCCAAGCGGGATGAAAATGCACGAGATAGCATGCAATGTCGATAACTGGGGGCTTCACGACCACGACCAATCCCGAGACTCGAAACACAAGCCATTATCTTGCGAGCCACGCGCCAACGATGATGCCCTACCTCCTGTCTCCTGTCCACCAACGTGGAAATCGCCAACTCCACTTCGAGAAAGCGTCCTTCATCGAATATTTGGCGTTATGTGCGGACGAAGCTCGCCAGTCCCCATTACCCTGGACACGGCTGATACATATCGTCTCCCCGCCTCTCCATTACCTCGTTCTCCGGGTAATTGTCACCGGCAATTTACTGCTGGGCACGGAACGCCTTCCAAGTCGAGGGCAAAACACAGGACTTGCAAATTGAAATCGAAATCCGCGAAACAAGTCGCTGCAACCGCGAGGGTGGAGAGTCACTACACGTACGGCGCGACGAGCGGGGCGCTGGAGATACTCGTGTCGACCCATACAACCGAAGTTCAGAGTGCACATGATGTTGGTCGCCCAAGAGTGTTCTACCCGCGTTCATCGTCTTTGCAAGCTTTGGCAGGGCCTGGAGCCGTTGCATCTCCGCCAAGTCGCGACAAGCCACAAAGCCCCGAGTCTCAAACATTGGTCGAGGCCAGCACTGCCAAACGCAGTCCTCGCCGAGCCATTCGCCCTCTACCTGTCCTTCCGACCCTCTGAGCATTCAATGTATCCTCTCCAGACGCTTTTTTGTTTGTTTTGCTATTTTATTTGCTTTTCTCCTCCACGGACGCTTGAAGCGGATTACATTATATTCCTGTTTAACCGTGCGAGTGTCTACTTTAGCCGTTCCATCCTATATTTAACTTAGAACCTTGGTGTACTGTACGTAGCCGAGCTAATGATTCTGCTTGAACGATCACAGTATTTTGCAATTAGATAAGACAAGTGCTGGTAGGTAGCTTTTTGTTGACCAATATCCCAATAGAGAATTTCAGCCTCATCTCCACTCTAACCCCTTCCACGAGGATATCAAAACGAATACGCATAGTTCTGGGCATGACATAGCATGCACGGGACACTTCTGTGCTAAATATCCAGATCCGTAGTTCACGGCACAAGACAGAAGAGAGAGAAGCAGAGCGGGAATCAAACTTCGAACCAAGGCACCATTTGTTATCGCGCAAAGTATCAGTAAGGTCCATTCGAATCTTCGTTGGGCTCCAGCGCATAGCCAAGTCGTACTTGATTGGCAGGCTCGGTGAGAATGATCTAGATTGGGGTTCAACGTTTAGCAAACGCGGGGAGCTGATCAAGACTTGCATAGCATTCAACGCCAGCCATGTGGATGAGTGTCGCAATCCAGAGTGCCATGCCTGCAGAGTTTTGAGCAAGTCATGATAGAGACATATGAGGCATACCGATTACAGCACGGACCGATGATGCGGCATAAAGCGTTCCCTCCCGCGTTGAAGCGTGGACAGTGACCCATACACTTTGGGGATCCACACCCGCTGCAACACATTGCGGAAAGTCTCTTTCTCGCGCCACAGCATCAGTAAGTAAATTTAACACCTCGTCGCACCGCCAGACCTACAGGTTGGTCAGATGGTGGCGGAATATGAACACATATGAGAACACACAGAGAAATAGGTACCGATATCCGTGACTATCACCTTTGCAGCCAGCGAAATGAGGCGAGCCGTGATCACGGCTGCAAAGTAGGCCACCATACCTAGAGATATTGAGCACTCGAAAAGGAAAATTAGGTCAGTAATTGATGTGACTGACGAAGCATCCACTTCCTGTGTCTTCTCGTATCCTTCTTGACGTTGTAAATCCCCAGCACTCCGGAATAGACGACCATGATGCCGAGAATGTACTGTTTATGACAAGGTTCAAACGTGGAGACGATGGGAGAGCTGAAACACACATATGCTGACTGGGCATTGAGCTCACCACCAAACGAGCGACGGCCGACGATAGCGCCACAGATGTTACCTACGATTAAACAGAAGAGTACCCCGTAGCCATTCAAACGATGGAGGAGCACGTTGTGCTAATAGCATTGATGAGGATCAAACGCAAGAAAAAATGACCCCAACTCACTCTGCGAATGGCTGGGAGAAACTGAAGTGCGGCAGTGAGGCCACCAACTGAGGAGGATCGCCAGTCAGTTGGTGAACTTTGTCAAAGATGAAGAATTCACTAACATGTCGTAAGATAGATGTGGATGAGCAGATTGATTTTGTACATCGGCGCCTGAAACCAGAACCATTCACCTGCGAATGAATGAGCGGTGCGACTCAGAGAAGCCGAAATGTACCTGGGACTAACAAACCAGGGAGTTTTGATGGATTCATAGTGACGCTGCGAGCAAGGGAGTATCCGACGAGGGCCCCACCCCAGATGAAGCCTAGAGACAGCGTTGATAACGCGTTCGAAATTGCTGGACCACATACAATTGAAAAGTGAGTACTTTTCGTGAAAGCCCAGTATCCAGCTAATACTTCGATAGACACCAACACCAGGCGGGTTTCGGGAACGCGTTTGCCTTTTAATCGGCAAAGGACTCGTCAGATGTGTGTTGAGCTTGTCCTCTTCAATGGCTCCATACGGACTCGCGGGACTATAGGGCTGGAGTTCCTGCGAGTAGAGTGTGCTCGCGACACGGCTGTTTGAAGACATAATGGTGAGAGGTGAAGACAAGGAAGCGCCTCGCCATAGTAGATTGCCCTGGCCTAGGATGTGGCGCCCTAAGTCAGCAGATCTCCGTGGTCACTGGTTTTCTTGGAGAGCCACCGCAAACTAAACCTATCCAAGTATGATGTCGTTTTCCCACGCCCACTGTTCCCGCCCGAATTTCCGCAAATCTTGTTTGGCCACGGGTCTACGGAGCAAATATGGCGTCAAGGCTTTTACATCTACACCACCACCATGTCCACAAACCCATGGACAATCCCCGCCGACGACCTTGAACTTCCTGAAGATGCACATAAAGGAGGTCGTATCGCACAAGGTGTCTGGAAGGGCAAGGCAGTCGTAGTCAAAGTTCTTTCAAAACAAGCTGAGGCGGAGGTGCGTACTTTCACCTTTCCAAAGATTCCTTTCATAATAAGATAGCTTTTATACGAACGGGCTGAGCTCTGGACAAGTCTTCAGCATGATAACGTGCTTCAGACACTGGGACTGTCGCCTGCCGACGCTGACCCACTCTACACTGTTACGCCGCACCAAACAAACGGCAATGTGATGGCATACTTGAAGCAAAATTCTGCAGTCGATCGCGCGAAGATTGTGCGTGGCACCGTTTCCACGTCTGTTTCGCTTTTGACACTTTCTGGCAAACAGGTCTACGACGTGGTCTTGGGCATGCAATACCTGCATTCAGTATGTCCTTCTTTTGATGACTGCTGCTGCTCATCCAAAAGTAGCGTGGCGTCGTACATGGCAGTTTGAAGCCAGTTAATATTCTTATCGGTCTCGATGGCAGTGCTTGTGTATCGGACTATGGGATGGTCGAGGTTCAGACCAGTGGGAGCTATGGCCACCGATATTTCAGTCCAGAAGCGTGGAAGGGGGTGCGTAAACACCCACCCAGCCTACGATTCTCGACTGACTCTTTTCCAAAGACTGTGTCGCGGTCATCTGATGTGTATGCGTGGGCCATGTCGGCGCTCGAGGTTGGCCGCAAATTCTCCCTCCGTGATGTGGGGTGGCTTACCTAAATTGCTCAGATATACACATCGACACCTCCATGGGGAATCTTGACCGAAAAGCAAATTTTCCGACTTGTAGTTCAACAGGACACACGGCCTGATAGACCAGACGAAGATTTTGGACTCACAGATCACACGTGGAGTGTTATGGAGGAATGCTGGTCTCGTGTCTCTAGACTGCGACCTACTTTCGATATTCTCTCGCAACTCCTTCGTTCTCATGCATCAACCCCGCCGTTAGCAGTGGTTCAGCGGGAGACACGGCCTCAAATTGATGGTATTCTAAGGCTCGCGCAATAAATGACGACTGATCGCATTCAAGTGACCCACTCCGAAACTTTCACCAGTTCGATGCAACCTCCGCACCAAGATCCCGACTTCTTTACGACCGCCGATAGCCTTGCGTCTCTCAACCCACATCGAAATAGTTACGCAGCTTCTATGATGAGCGTACCTCCCTCTTATGAGGCCTCTGCGTCGAGCATCAATCCTCTGCTCACACCTGAATCTGCACCCCCCAGTCTCACAAATTTTATAGGCCCGCCTGCGCCGCCAAGTCCGGGAGCAGCGAAACGGGCTATGATGAATGCTCCATATCGACCACCACCACCACCACAACAGCCTAACTCGCCACCGCCACCTATATCACCACCACCACCTCCTCCTCCTCCAACTGCCATTCCTGAACACCTACAATATCTTCAACCAAGAACCAGTGATAGTTCCAGCGCCTCAACAAGCACTGATGAAGATCGTTTGAGTCCGATGTTTGCCCGTTCTCTATCTGTAAGTTCTTCATCAACACCGCCTGACACTCCGAGCTCCCCGTGGACGGGTGAACGACGGTTAACGCCGTCTTCTTCCGTCCGAACCACCTCTTCTGGTGCTTCTTCACGTTCATATCGTTCTTCCGGATCAGGATCCGGAACATCTCGGCATGTTCCGGAGCGACTTCATTCGATCGGCACGATTGGCGAAGAGCAAGCGGAGCCGGTCGCCTATGTAGAACCGTCCCCTCCTTTGCAAACACCACGGACTAGCAGGATGCCTCCGTCGGTCTACTCACAGGCAACGAGAACTCCCAATTCACGACACACAAGTGCTTTCCCTTTCCAATATAGTCCAGGTAGCATCGCCGACAGAGAATACCACCATGCATACGCCGAATCAGTACGAAGTCAGCCCAGCACAATCGGGGGCACAGGTCTGTCCTAACTTTTGACTTGTCAAACATATTTTTGAAAAATGGTTGTTAGCCCTCAATGCTAGTTTGCTCGCTGGTGCACTGCTTACTGAGGTCAAGGAAGGCCGGAAGAGGGAGGTTATTGATGAGTACTTGGGCAAAATCTACGTCATCGGACTGCGGTCGCAAAAGGACGTCCAACAACTTGTCACCGCAGGTCTTATACCCACTTTAATAACCCTCCTCAAGACGCGCGCTGTCGATGGCATTGGACTGGAGCCTGTCTTGTTTGTACTTGGTTTACTTTCGTGAGTCCCGCTTCGAAGTGTTCTTCATCAGTAATCTGAGGATTTTGTAGGCATGATTCTATTACTGCGAATACGATCTTCCGCACCAGCAGCACAGCAACCTTTATCCAAATACTCGATGCTGCCCAGTCGGATGAGATTGCTGCTCTTGCTGTATGGTGCCTTACACGAATAGCACGGAGTCCAGAAGTCGCCAGTGGGCTACTCAAACAAAACGTTGCCAAAATTTTAGTCAACAAGGGTCTCAAAGGTGGACCGCGAACCTCACGCATCTCTGCCTGGTGCATTGGAGCACTCGTTCGGTCAGACTCGATTGCAGACACACTGGCGGACGGGGGCATGGCAAATTCGCTGTCAGAACATTTGCGACGGGTGCAAGCCTCCGTTGAGACCGGTCCAGACGACTGCAGCAGCATCTTGTACGCTGTCGCACGACTTTCGAGGTCAATCAAAATTGCAAAAACTTTGGCGCGAGGCGGGACAGTTGAAGTGCTGGCCCATATACTACTGACCGGCACGGAAGCTCAGGTCCTACAATTTGCTGCTAGGGCAGTTGGATGCCTGATGCGACCAAATAGTGGGGATATGGCTCGGACCTTGCTCGACGCTGGAATTGCGAGAGGGCTGGCGAGGCTGCCGAGTGTTCTTCCTCCAGACCAACTAGATCCGCTGGGTGCCCTTGCATTTGCTGTTCAACGATTCTCTTGTGCGGAATGGGGTGGAGGGACCAGGAAAGCGCTTGTCGATGCTGGAGTGGTTGATTCTCTGTTAGCAGCGATCCGAACTGCGGCAGACGAAGATTGCCCTCAAGTTCATATCGAACTCGCGTATGCTATTGCTCTGCTGAGTGATGTTGGTGGAACGGCGATTCGAAAAGAGATAGTCAACGCTGGAGGCATCGACATCCTGAAGCACATAGCAGCATCGCCCACAGTGAAGCCAGAGGTGGCGAAAGCGTGTAATCTTGCCGTGACGAGTATCACAGGCAATGTCTGGTCAAGAAATGCTGCCAGTGCGAAAGCTGCCTATGCGCACGAATGGAGTGGAGGATGTCCGGATTTTGTGCCAGACTGTCCAGTACTGGCGCTGGAAGATGTGTAGCAAAGTACCCTTTATTTATTATTATTTGAGCTTGTAACTAGATCTGTTGTAATCTGCTAGCATATGACATCGTGGTCTGATCTCACAACCTGACATCTACGACCATGGCCACCAAATTTCGCTTTTCAACTGGAGTAATGACCGCAGAGGAGGCAAAGGAGTTCGGATGGGAAACACCAATTCCCATTAACGCGTTCTGGGACGACATCCAATATAGCGTTGCTCGCAGTTTTATTGACGCTTTCACTGGTCCTGAGCTGGATGCCCTGCCTCTCGATACAAGTGGCTCTGTTAGTCTTCCACAGAAGCTCGAACTACTTCTTGGGATTCTACGCGCAAGGCTGGAGAAGGAGGAAGCAGAGAGCCAAGCTGCTCACACAAAGTCGCTCTACGAAAGCGATTACGACCGGTGGTATGACCTGCAGTTGGCCATGTATGCCTACGAGGACGCGCTGAATTTGTATCATGAGGCAGAGGAAAGGGTACGGATGATGGTGCAGACGCGTCCGGAAGGGCTGTCAAACGCTGGACCGTCGCACATGCTGGCTGGGACTCTTGTCAGGGCGAAGAAGTATGCTGAGGCTGAGGAGGTCGAGAAACCTGTTTGCGCTTGGATGGACCAGCATCCAAGATTAGGCAAAGACTCCCCTCAAGCTATAAACTCTCGACGTTTTATTATTCAAGCGATCTGGTTCCAGGGAGCTGCAAGAAGGGCAGAGGCCGAAAGGTTGATAGCGGAGTTGCAGGAGATTGTGGAGGGGATGGGTGCGGGGAAGTTTGCCATTTATCAGGAGGAGGAGAGGAAGCTTAATGCGGATCTTCTTGTTGAATTAGTCTGAGCTGCAAACAGTAGTGAGTGATCAGAAATATTGATAAGTACTAGATAAGTAACAAACGCGATCACATGCTCGTTGACTTCTGACTCCGACCGCCGCTATGCCAACGAAAAAAATGGTGGTCCCACCTCTCATCGATTTGTCCTCGAAGGTTGTCCTCAGCGAGGAAAGTTGGGACACCATCGTAGACGGTCGCAAAAGAAAGAAAGCGTCAGCATTTGCTGTCGACGTTGCTTGCGATGCATTCGACAACGGTAGGGAGCGCTGTTTTTTGAAGATCGTGAGTTGCATTTTCTTTTTGTGGCACTGGATGCCTAACCTTTCCCAGTTTCCCTCGGATCCTGCCAACACCCTTCTATTCAACACGGAGTGCAAGGCCAATCATGTGTTGAATACTCATTTCAGCACTCTTTTCGGAAATGAGCAAGAGATCAACAGCCTGCAATCCTTAGAGTCTCATCTACGGCTCAAGTCACAGCCCATTGCGTTTCCACTCTGTTATGGTTATCTTACGGTCCCCGACCCGTTTTACGAAGCTCCCGTTCCAAAACCATCTCGAAGCAAGAAGGCTGCCGCGTCGAAGCCAGCGCCAATACCGATGCTCAATGCTTTGCTCTTCCAACTGCACACCAGCATCCGGCCATGTCAACCGGACGATCTCGACGATGCGGGTACCATGAAATCCAGAATTTTGGAAAGCCTTACTACTATTCATGCCGCAGGTGTTGTACATCGGGACCTCCAAGACCGCATGGCATGGCCGGAGGCACGGCTCCATAATGTGTTTGTCAAATCGGATGGCAATCCTTTGATTCTGGATTTTGACCATTCGATTGTGGTGGGGGGGAATGAGAGGGATATGGTCAAGTTGGAGCAAGAGAAAGTGGAGTTTAGTATCCTACTTGAGACGGCGGTTGAGCAAAAGGGGAAGGAGCGGGGCTGGGGGTTGAGCAAAGAGGTGAGGCGGTTAATCATGTGAACATCAATCATAATATTGCATTTTACTCTTTCCATCCACGACAGAGAAAGTAAGCTTCCTTGGACTCGTCACGGCTGGCAGCAGGCTTGATGTAAGTGACGTTTTGGAACCGTGTCTCGAGATGTTGGTTCCGAAAGTGCTGCATGAGCGGGTGGACAAAGTGCTTTATTCTGATGAAGATTAGGACTCTTGGGAGACCGAAGGAAAATATCACTCACAAAAGGACCCCACCTAGCTCTCGTCCAATGTTAGCAGCTGAACGTAAATGCTGCTCTGCAAAAGCCAAACACAGAATTACAGATGTCCAGACTGGCTTCAATATCTCGCAGGGGATTCCCAGTTGAGTTTGAAGCCATATCACAGAGAATTACATCCACCTGCGAGGACAAAGAGTGTCGAGAAATCATACTCCGGAGCAACTCGTCTGTTTCTGGCGCAAAAATGTCAGCCTGGAGAAATTGCACGCCAGGAATAGGATTCATAGCGAGCAAATCCAGTGCGATAATTGCTCCTCTTCCACGACCCAGTTCCCATGAGTTGACCATCTCCATGTCTTTTTCGGCATCATCCCAGTCAGCGTATGGTGAAGTGGAGGCTGAGGTGTCGCTCCATGTTGCCCCACCCTCGTTCCCGGTCCAGCTAACACCAAAGTCACCCTTATTAAGCCCATATGAGCGTCCGGACTTGACCAAAACTTTTTGTATCGCCTGGTCTGCTCTATGAGCCTTCGGACGGAGAGACCAACCGAGCGATTGGGCCGCGACTTGGCTCCAACCACCCGGGGCAGCGCCAAGGTCCAGCACAATGCGAACATCTTGCGGAGAGAGGAATTTGTGTTTCTCCTCCATTTCGAGCAGCTTGAAGGCTGCCCGTGACCTGTAGGACGCGAATGTGTGTCTCTGGGGCCGTTTATCATGTTTAGAAACTGGGACGTTGCGCTTGCGAACATATGGGTCGCGTGCTTGACGCGCCAGCCAGAGGGTCGACGAAGGCTTTTTGCTACATGCGATAGCTGATGGATGGAAGAGCATGCAGTTGGCCTTGACAGAAAAAGGGAAGGGTGGTTTTCTGATGATGCGATCAAGATCAACAACGTAATCTAATCTTTGGCTTGTGGCTATACACCACCATCTTGAACTTGAATGTCGACTGAAACGAGACCAAATTACTCGAAACTTCTAGAGGGCTACAAAAACGTAGACGCGTTCCTTGCAGATGAAGAATATGAAGAGGACGAAGAAATCGTCTATGTAACTCTGGACCTAGGATCAGGTGTCGATTCAGCATTGATTCCCAGTTCAAAGAACTATCGCCTAATTGTTGCTGTCCTCCGTTCATGTGGAACATATAACTGACAATCCGCAGGGACTGGACACACCTACGCCGTTCTTACAACTATCGGGCTCCATATTTCGAGGCAGACACGATGAGTTGTTGGGAACCGAGTTGTTGTTCACAGAAGACGGTGCGTAAACTCGAATCCTCTCCCCATTTGATTCTTCAATGACCAGTTCTATCTATCAGAGGCAGGCGAATGGAGTAAAAGGACGATGGCGCATGTGGGGAGTACAGAGCGTCGCATAGTGTTCAAAGAAGTGCAGCTCAAGGAGAAGAAAGCAACATCACAACCACGACCCGGGCAGGGAACATTCACAGTCGCCATGTCTCAGGAGCTGCGACCAGACATTGACCTCGACCGTCTCACAGGCAAGACAGGTCCGGTCAAAAAGGGTGGGAAACAGAAAGAGAGAGAGCGACAACATGAAGGGGCCGAGACAGACGGAGAAATGGATGAGGATCCTATGGAGCTTGATTCAGAGTCCGAAACTATCCCAGACCTATATAAGGTTGCAAGCACTGTAAAGACATCATAAATTTTTTGTAAGATTTCGACACTGTGGCTGATGGCTTTTGTTTCCTTCAACTCTTATGTCCCGAGCACGTCCTCGTGCGACCGAATTCATCACCAAGGTTTATGAGCGATCCCAAAAGCCTCCGGCCACAGACAAGGGCGCTCAGGACCATGACCTCCCAAAGCCAATAATCAAACCCGACCAACGAGTCAGAACGACGGCCATGCGTATAGCTAAGGCTGAACGCGACGAGAGAATGGACATTACGCGCGTTCTGACTCCAGTCAAGACGTGCGTTCCTTTTTTTCATCCTGTGTTTCAATATATTTTGAGCTAGCAAAGGTTTATGGGTGGTTTTACGCGACCACAGAACCTCTCAACGGCCCATTGGTTTCCTGGAGGCAGCTACATCATTAAAGGACGGGTCTACGAGAAGCCTTCCCCAGCAGCCTACGAAGCACACACCGTTTTCCTTCTCGAGTCCCGCTACCACATACGATACAAGCCGGGCAGAACAGAAGCACCAGAATATATCTACGGAGTATGCCGCGAAGCTGACTTGCCGGCTGTTTTGCGCAACTACAACTCCAAGCGGACACCACTCAATATTCGGACGATAATGGACAACGCGAGATGGCCTTGGGGACCTCAGAAGAAAAGAAAAAGAGTTTTCGGCGGCTATGTTTCTGAGCCACAGACCCCTGTGCCCGTTGATGAAGACCAGGCAACACAAACGCGAGAGTTATTACAAGACAGCTCCCCAGTCAACATCCTCTCCTCCTTACGCGCTTTTCAACCTTCAGCAGAAGAAGAAATCACAGACAAGCCCGTCACATCTCCTGGTGTAGTTGAAGCGGTGCCGCCAACTGAAGACGAAGAACTTGCTTCAGAAGAAACGGATCTGTCACTGTTTGTGCCACGATCCGAATATCTGCAGACGCTGGAGAAAACGCCATTTTGGCGGCCTGTCATTACTCTCACAGTTTCGACAAGACCTCTAGCGCTCAGTCTACTGAGATTGGCCAACCGACATGCCACCGGCCTCCCATTTTATGCATCTGTCTCAGATGACGATCGCAAATCGTTCACCAGTTTCCCTGCTCGAATGCGCTCGCTCAGACTCCGTCGTATCCAGGATTTGTCTCTTGAGCTTGCGTCTGTGCTCACTGGGGCCCGTGGTGGTATTCCTGGAATCAGATTTGAGCATGAAAGCAACGGACGTGGAATCGCTGGTGAGGGCCTCGCGGATCCTATCCCATGGGATAAGCGGGTGATTCATGTTGGACTGGGGACCAGTCTGCCTTCTTGGGTGCAAAGTGAGTTTCCGAAAGTGTTACTTGGCCGGGCAAAGGTGGAAGTTCCAGGCTGGAAACCTTTCGAGCTCTATCATGTGGATGACTTTGGCAACCGGTCACGCATGCTAGATGGGCAGGCTCTACCTTGGGCTCGACCAGAGCATTCTTTTGCGGACCGGAATCTGGAGGAGTGGTACACCGAGTATTGCATCTTAAGGAGGGTCTTGAAGATCTACCAGTCGGCTGCGGAGGAGTTGAATCGAATGAGGGATGAGGGCAAAATGAGCCAACGAACACGAACGCTCGTTCCAAACCCCAATCAATCTATTGATTCAAGTCAGATGGTTCAGCCAGAGGGTAACGTGGCGTCTAGAGAGCAGGAGGTAAATAATGATGGTGAAAGTGGCGAAGTCGAAGAGGTTTTGCTGGAGGACGATGGGCCGGAGGACCCTTCTTTCAAATCCGCCCGCCCCCTAATGTTCATCCGCGAAGGACCTGATGCTCTCAAGAACTTTTCTCGCCGTGTTTTGGGAATCATTGACGAAACCTCATCTTTGGACGAACTGGACGAGCCTCCTGACTTCGTTGTTCTCAGGGGAGGACCTATTGACGGAGAGAAGCCACTCTCTGTCACTTCCACAACGCCCATTCTTGGCCCACGCGACCCGCTGACGGGCGAGTTACATCGCACCGCAGTACTGCAGGAGATGGGTTACCTCCGATTCGTGCCTTTGAATCTGGCTATCAGAGCAGTGACTCGTCGATACCAATTGTGGGCTGTTAAAAAGAAGGAGGAACTCAGCAGACAGTTACCCACGCGACATGCACAAGTAGACTACCCAGATACACCCAGACGACTTTACTAGAGTCATATAATATCCTTTGTACAATAGCCCAATACTTGAGAGCAATAATTGGCGCGTTGTGACCACGTGCACAGCATTTCATCCTTGCTTCTCGCGCTCATCTTCCTCCTCAAGTAACGCAATGTCTGGCCGTGGAAAAGGTGGAAAGGTAGGCTCCCCTTCTGAGATGCCTCCAATATGCTTATCGCTACCACGTAGGGTCTCGGAAAGGGTGGTGCCAAGCGTCACCGCAAGATTCTTCGCGACAATATCCAAGGTCTGCCCCACTCGCGCAACCGTCCAAGCTAGTTCACGGTCAATTCAGGTATCACGAAGCCCGCTATTCGTCGTCTCGCCCGTCGTGGAGGTGTGAAGCGTATCTCTGGTCTTATATACGAAGAGACGCGTGGTGTCCTCAAGATTTTCCTCGAGAATGTCATCCGTGACTCGGTCACCTACACTGAGCACGCCAAGCGGTGCGTGTCCACGACTCTTACTCGCTAATTCCTCGCTCAATGTGTTGCAGAAAGACCGTTACTGCCCTTGACGTTGTGTACGCTCTTAAACGCTCTGGTCGTACCCTTTATGGATTCGGTGCCTGAGTCAGCATACTCTGTGAGTCATGTTTGTCCGGCTCCGTCGCTCTCCAGGAATGCTGATCGGCTCTCTGCAGTATTTCGACCCATGTAATCCCCCCAGTTTTGTATCAGTTTGGAATATGTATATGTCCATGAAATACTGTGTGAGATATATAATGGGTAACCGTCTACAACCCACGTCTGTATGCAGCTGGGTTTCATGAGGAAAGTCAGGAAACTGCTGGATTGTGCACGTGATTCTCTTTTGTCTTCTTGACCTCAATCCAAGTTCTTCTTCGATTCCAACCCCGTTCGAATTCGAGTATCAGCTCATACTTAGACGGCTGAACTTGAACTTGCCGAATCGTCGTCCACACCTCGAACTTGGAGTCTGGACACACTTGTTTGCTACACTAAATACGTGTGCCGTCCTCTCTGTATTCGCAACCCACTCCCACTGAAGGAACGCAGGACCCGCATGGCTCCTATATCTGCCTATTTAATGAGCTGAATCAGCCCAGCTTTACTGTTTTTTCGAGGCCAGGCTATTGCACAATTTCTCCTCGACGGTCGTAGACGGGATAAGTTCACCGCTAGCTTTGACAGCAATCTTGCCCGGACTTTATGCCACCCTCAGGCAGTACACTCGGTGTTTTGAAGACCCGACCATAGTGTCCAACGTTGGGCGCGAAAGTTATATTCATCCGCGGAACACGGCAACATACTTCAAGTTCCTAGTGACGAAAACGTCGACCATGGGTGATAAATTGTGTAGAAACATAGTCGAAGGCGGTATCGCTTGCTCTGATCGGTGACTGTGTGCACAATCAACCCATCATGACCCGCACAACTTATGGTTTTTTTAGCGATGCGGGCTTGATATGCCTCTGCTCGTGAGGAACGTACTCTAGACGCCATTCGTGACGTCGACGATCCACATGCGACCTTCATTCGCCTTCGCCTAGTACGGGGTGATGTACCCGACTCTTCATATTTGCTCTTTGCTCGTTTTGTCGATTTCCAGAGCCGACTGCGATGGAGTTGTCCACTGCGAGCGGCGAAATTCTGGGCGATCGAGTCAAAAATCCTCTCTCTCTCGAGTCAGAATCTGGTTCCGCTCCGGTTTTATCGCGACTTCATGCATCGCACAACCCGTTCAACTTTGGTCTTCGTTCCCGCGATTCGAGGATGGGGAATCTACGCCGTTGTTCGCACATCGGCGCGCTTTTCGTGCAAAGTATAAAGCATCGTGGATGTCCCGCTCCTTCCCTATCCAAAAAGCCGACGGAGGATGTCGGATTCGACCTCGAACCTCCAACGCGGCGCTGCTTGTTCCAACTGCAGGTATGTGCATTATATGCCTGATGTTTTAATGAGCTATAACAAACTCTTCTTTGTAGGCGACGTAAAAGTGTTGGTGATACATACGCGTTATCCTCTTCCATTTTTTCTTATGCATTCCGGCTTCAGAGATGCGATGGAGTCCACCCCACTTGTGGGCAATGTCGCAATCACCCGCCCCGGTCCGGGGATCCGTGTCTATACGACCAGGAATTCAGTTCAACTGGGCACCCGACTCCTGCAGAAATGCAGCAAACCATTAAACGACTCAAAGCTCGCGTGGAAGAACTAGAAAAGCTCACAGGACGAGAACCCTCGCAGTTAACCCTCCATCAACCCTACAGTTCCCCTCCTAGTCGTGAATATTTTCTCTGTCTAAGTGCCGGACTCCATTGATCTCGTGCAGGTGCCCCTAGGCCTACGCCTCTTGACGACTTTCATGAGCCTTCTGTCGAAGCTCGTGGCCACCTGTCTGTGCCCACCAGTTTAGATGAAGCATCTTGACTAACATGAATTTCGACAGCATTAATCTGTTTCTGGATCAATTTCTTACGAGCGGATTCTTTTTCCTGGATCCAGTCACCTTCTCTGAAGCAGCGCTTCGACGACTCCCCTTTCGGACATGGAGATCGTCCAGCTCCTGCATTATTGGCCATTGTTTATTTATGGGGTGATATCCGCTCCACTCGAAGTAACACCTATTCGTTCCTTCAGGCCTCAATCCGTCATCTAGTGGTCAACGCTCCTTCTTCCAACTTCTCTTCTTCCCCTATTTTAGTTCTTCAGACCATCCAAGCCCAAGTTCTACTCTCACTTTATTATATGTATGCTGCACTTCCCGCTCAAGGAAGACACTATGCATCGGCTGCTGCATCTCTCGCGTTAACTGCCGGTCTGCATAGACTTCACGCCCCGCCGCTTTCACCTCAACCACCATTTGCACTGTCAAGAGCGGCGCCAATTTTGCCTCCACCTGCTGACTTGATCGATGCCGCAGTCCGCAATGCAGCGTTTTGGGCCGTGGTCATTGTTAACAACTGCTGGATAGCGACTCAGGGAAGCCCATCCGCGATTTCATATAGTATTCCAATCGAAACACCGTGGCCTGGAGGAACAAGAGTGCGTGTACTTGAAAAACCTCTGCATTAGGTCTCATCGAATGGACCACAGGCCGGCTCGACGATTTCGAAATTCCTAAATGGCCATGATTCAGATGGGTTCACGTCGATAGCGCTACTTGCCAAGGCATCGACTCTAGTAGAACGGATTGTTTCTGCGGGTGCTCGCATATCAGGTGAGCGATGGCTCAATATTTTGGGTGATTGGGACTGATAAGCTCCAGGCATTGATCCCACGGCATTTAACACACTTGGCCAGCGCTTGAACGAGTTTTATATGCTTCTCCCACCGTTGGCATATCCTGTCGAGCCGGATCGCGCTCTCCTTCTCGCTCATGGCCTCACACTATTTGCAATCATCCAACTCCATGCACCCCCTCGTGGGGCTCGCGTGAGGGTTCGAGCTGCGGCCGACACAATTTCTAAAATTCTCCAAGACGTTGCCTCTTCTGGTATGGCGCCAGATCCCAATCCAGTTCTTCCTGCAAGTATTCTTTGATAATCTATCTTATCTTATCTTATCACGATCAAATAGCCACTTGCAGCAACAGCAGCAGCGGTATATGTGCACGACATCAACGCGTCGCATGTAGCTAGCCAAGAACACAGAGAGGCCCGGGACTCGTTAAGCCGGCTCATTCGAAGCATGAGACAGTTGTGCAGTGATAGTCCAGTAATGCGTCAGTTGCTCCTCTTCGTCACCAATGCTCATTGACACCTAACTGCAGAACTTTGTTTGGAAACTATTTCTGCTACTACATAGTTGATCTTGTGTCACTGAGAAAGACAGGTACCGTTAGGCCAACATTGAGAAATAGACAGTAATACCGAGAGAGAGAGAGAACTCAAGAGTCACGATAACGCAAATCATGCCTAGATAATGCAGATAGCCATCATAATCACGTTTTTTGCCGAATCATATGTTACAACTATGTTGCGAAGAAACTACCATGCGCCTGCATCATCTACCATGCTTCGAGACGCGGATGCTACTTAGTACAAAGACAACGGACGCGAGTCAAGCCCTACTCTTCCCTTTTCTCCAGCCCACTCTTCTCGGCCTGCTATGCGGCCTAATCCTTTCCTTCGGACTCTCACTCTTCTCGTCCCATACGTTGCTGCCTCGTTAACGCCTTGTCCCGACACATCAAGCGCGGAGTACGACTACATCGGTGAGTGGGCTTCACCCCTACAATCTTGCGATTGACTCAACCAACTGTAGTTGTCGGGGCTGGCGCAGGTGGCGGACCGCTGGCGTCACGTCTCGCAATAAATGGCTTCAAAGGTGAGTTTTTTCCTTCCAAGCACTGTGTTCCGTTACTCACAAGAAGTTCTCAAGTTCTGTTAATGGACGCTGGCCACTACGTTTTCAATGACAACACCACGGTTCCTCTGTACCTTGCTCGCGCCAACGAAGATCCTCAGATCGCGCTAGACTATGAGGTTGCTCATTATCCGGCATCGGGACCCGCCAATGTAACGATGTGGTACCCGCGCGGCTCCGCACTGGGCGGTTCGACCGTCATGAATGCTCTCATTCACCTCCGACCCCACAATTATGACCTTGGTGGGTGCAACGCCTTGATATTCACCGTATACTCGCTGATGTAGTGCTCAGACACCATGGCCACCAAGCTCAAAGACAAATCCTGGTCCGCGTCATCCATGCGCAAATACTTGATTGATAAAATCGAAAACAACCTCTATGTTCCCAAACTTATTGGGCAGTTCCTCGATTGTAAGTTTCTGTGCGCCTGTTCTTGGATAACAAGTGTCACCAATCGTTTAGACGGGTATGGTGGCTGGTTAAATACGGATTTCCCTCCTCTTAACCTTCTCCTCTCCTTGGGAAATCTCGACGGGCAACTTCTCGAAATCCTCACTTCCGTTATCAGCGCGATGTCCCCCGTTGCAGGAACCGATTACAATGGTGACATCAACAACGACGGTGTCGAGGGCGGCGCAGCAGTCATTTTAACCAAGGACCCAGCTCACAATCGTTCTTCAGTCCGGGACCATATCGTCGCTACCCAACAGGCGTACCCTCAGAAACTCAAGCTTCAGACTGACACATATGCGACCAAGATCCTGACCTGCTCTTCCGGCTCCGACATCGTTGCCTATGGTGTTGTTGCTGCCACTGGTCCTGCCCTCATACCCGTCCATCGCATGTTCGCTGGGAAGCCTTCTGGTGGACTGAAAACAACCACCTTTACTGCGAAGCGCGAAGTCATCGTCTCGGCGGGTACTTTCCAGACGCCGCAGTTGCTCATGGTATCTTGTTTCTTTCCTCAACACGGGCGATCTTGATCATGAAATTTTAGCTGTCTGGTATTGGTCCTGCTGCTCATCTACAGCAACACAATATCGCTGTCGTCAAGGACCTGCCAGGCGTCGGAGCCAACTTACAAGATCGCATTGAGATGACTGTAGTTTGGGAAATGAAGAAAAACCACACGCTCTTCAATGGTTGCACCTTCAAAGACAGTGTGTCGCAGGACCCGTGTTTAGACCAGTGGTCCAAGACACACGACAACATTTATTCCGCTGGTGCGCTATAACAAGGATTTTTTGGGCAGTTAAATTCAACGCCATACAAGGTCCTGCAGTTTGGGCACATGCTTACCGCTCGAACCAATCTCTGCCTTATCTGTAAGTGATTCTTCATCCTAATCATTGCGGTTCGTCTGACCTTGATCAACAGCGACATTTGGTGTAACTACGCATCTACTTCCAAAGTCGTCTTTAATTAACCCTTGGCTCTCAGCAATGTGGGGACCTGGCGCATTTAAAGGCTACTACAAAGGCTATCCGATCACGCTGGCGAAAGAGGCCGTCAACCACTTCAACAACATCATTCTCAAAGCTCACACTTCGTCGAAAGGTTGAATGGCTTCTCCTACTGAATTGTCTCTTAACTCAACTTTGGACAGGGTGGGTCCGTCTCACTGGCTCTGATCCTCAGGATGTCTTGGAGATTAACAAGAACCAATTCCAAGCACCAGAAGACCTTGTTGATCTGGAAGCGACCAAGGATGCCGTCAAACGAACGCGCGCATTGTGGGCTGACAGGTCCGGGATGAATGGAAACTCCATTTCCGAAACGTGGCCAGGACCGGATGTCAAGACGGACGCCCAAATACGGGACTTTATTATCAAGAATGCCTGGGGACATCATGTTTGCTGTACTGCAGCAATCGGACCTGACGGGGGTACACATGGTTGAACTCTTTTCGAAGCTTGTTTTTCACCTCCATTCAGATGCCAACGCCGTTCTAGACGCAAACTTCAAGGTTCGTGGGATCAAGAACTTGCGGGTGGTTGACGCGAGTGCCTTCCCATGGATTCCTGGCATGTTCATGACCACAGCTATTTACCAAGTGGGTTTCATCAACCCGAACTTTAAAGAGATGATGGGCACTGATAATCGCCCCAGATTAGCGAGAAAGCTGCAGATGCGGTAATGGCTGACGCCGCTCGGTGAAATAGATAAGAGTTTGAGCCACTGTGTTGTAGTGATACAGCAACTTGTATTCCATGAGCTAGACCGACGCTAGTTGGGTGACTACATGATCTGCGTTGATTCAAGTTTGATGCGGTCACGGCCACTTGCTCTTCTCTTTAACATGTGCATGGTGTTGTTGGTAGGTCGCCATGCCTTCCGCGATTCGGAAGCGCATGGCTGTTATCTCGGCTGCTGCAAGACTACACCAATAGGCTCGATATGGCGCTATAAGATCGTCACTGGAAAAAACTCTTCTCTCTTTATATACCTCTTCTGTCGCCGCGCTTCTCTGCTCGACTCTGAGTGTCTGGGCACGCATTCGGAATGGCCTACATCATCCTCGCGACCTGGTGGACCGTAAGTAGACCAGCTTGGCTTCGCAGTCACCGATTCAATTAAACGGCCACAGCTCCCTTTGTATGTTGCACTCCTCTATCTCGGTGTGACTCGCCAGCGACTTGAAACGAACAATCTATACGACACGTATCTCCCGAAGGAATGGACGGATATGAACACAACCTGCGATGGAGTCAACGTTGGTTAGTCCTTGGGCGGTTTTCTATGGGTCGCCATTTTGACTGGCCTTTAGCCGCTCGAACGCTCAGCGGAGTCTGTAACAGCCTCGAGGTCCCAGCGATGGGCTCTGTTGGCACGCGCTTCTCTCGATTCGTCCCGATAAACAAGACTTTTGGCGAAACAACCACACTCTTTACGCCGAATCCTCGAACTATCAGTCAGCATTTGTTCAAACGACAATCCTTTACCCCTGCTACGTCCATAAATCTGCTTGCAGCTGCATGGATTCAGTTCCAAACTCACGACTGTACGTTATGTCCTATACTCCCAGCGATATTGATTGTGACTATAAAAGGGTTCAGTCATGGAGCTGAGAACGATCCTAACAATCTTCTTGTCTTCCAACTCCCCAGAGACGATCCTTTGCGTACCCAAGGACAAACAAACATGACGCTACGTCGAACAATACGCCAGGTCCACCAAGACGGCCGCCCAGACACCTACAACAACCATGTTAGCAGTTGGTGGGACCTTTCAATGGTTTACGGAGAAGACGAGGAGACTCATGCCAAACTCCGGTCCTTCACCAACGGGAAGATGAAGGTCGAAGATGATAACTTAATTCCTGTTGACCCTGTCAGTGGCCTCGATCTCACTGGTTTCAACGACAATTGGTGGGCAGGCTTGTCCCTTCTTACTAATATCTGGGTTCGTGAACACAATTTGGTGAGCGCTTTCTGGTTGAATCGGTATTTGCCTGTCATTCAATATCAATATAATTAGGTCTGTGACATGCTCAAGAACAAGTTGGTCTACTGTTTCGTGTTAGTTTTTCACATCCTTATCTGCTCAAACAGTAATCCGAACTGGAGCGATCAAGAAATCTTTGACCACGCTCGCCTGATAACAACAGCTTTGAATGCCAAGATCCACACGGTTGAATGGACTCCAGCGCTACTCGCCAATGATATTCTGAAGAACGCGATGAACGCGAATTGGTTCGGGCTTGCCCCGGAATGGCTTAAGGCGATACCAGACCCTAACCTTTCTCAACAAATTTCCGAAGCTTGGTATGGGATCATCGGTGGAAAGCCGAATTTTGCGGGCGTCAACTTTGCCCACAGTGAAGAATTTGTCAGCGTGTACCGATTCCACTCTCTTCTTCGCGATAACATCACCATCCGACGCCATACTGATGGGTCTTCGACCGGAAACACCTACAATATCTCTCAATATGCATTCCGTAATGCGCAGAATGTTATTCGCGGCAACGACTTTGCAGATGTGGCTTATACTTTCGGCGTTGACAACCCAGGAGCCCTCATATTAAACAACTATCCAGCAGAGATGATGAGTCTTAATAAGCCTGGCGCACCTTACACTCTTGACATGGGCGCCGTCGATGTCCTGCGTGATCGTGAACGTGGAGTCCCTCGCTACAACGAATTTCGTCGGCTTTTCTCCCTGATCCCAGCCAAGACAATGGACGATATTTCGGACGACAAGGCCGCAGTTGCAGCTCTCCGTTCCGTATACGGTGAAAACGTGGAAAGTGTTGATCTCCTGGCTGGTTCATTGGCAGAAAGTCCTCGTGCCACTGGCTTCGCGTTCAGCAACACCCAGTTCCAGGCTTTCATTCTTGCTGCATCCCGCCGACTATTGACAGATCGTTTCTTTACGACGGACTATACTGCTGCAGTGGCAAGTAGACCAGTCGTCGATTGCTTCTATGACTGACAGAATTTGCAGTATACCCAACAAGGTCTTGATTATATCGGCAAGTCGGACTTCCGCGCGGTTATTGGGCGGACGATTCCAGCTTTAAACCAGACTGTTCACTCTGTGGATAACGCTTTCAAGCCTTGGGTTGTTTGAGATTAGACGGTTCCTGTTGCCTGTAGCAAACCTGTACTTATCACCACCATTTCATTTTGAAGATTGACCTTGATTGACAACCAGTCGAGTCATGACGTAAATGTTTGTCACACCGTGACACTTGTTGACGCTTCCCTCGATTTGAAACCACGAACCCCACCTCGTCTTCCTTTTGAAACGTCCAAGGCTTAACCGGCGTCAGCATTTTACAAGATGCCTTCTCTCGCCCCGTTCGCGGGCCCCCAGCCTATTGTTGCTCTCCCCGCACTCTATCTCTATCCTCTCAACGACTCCTTCGTTCCCAAGCACATTTCCCTAATTCCTTCCGGTCAGAGGATCAAAATTGGACGGCAAACAAACGCAAAATCGCAACCAGGAGAGCGAAACGGCTACTTTGACTCGAAAGTGAGTCTCCTTTTGTTCTGCTTGGCGGGCGGCGTTGGTTATAGGGTGCTCAATTATGACGCGGTTCAAAGGTCCTCAGTCGACAACACGCAGAAGTTTGGGAGGAAAACGAGAAGGTCTGCCTCGTGTAGTCGTGTTTGTTGATAGAGTGCTGACCGTTTTCTTTAGATTTACATCAAAGACGTCAAGAGCTCCAACGGGACGTTCATCAACGGTGAACGACTCAGTCAGGAAGGCGCTGAGTCTGAGCCATTTGAGCTTCACAGCGACGACATCGTTGTAAGCATGCATCGCAGTCGTCCTTCACACAGCCTCTCAATTTTATATCCAGGAATTTGGTATCGACATTGTTGGTGAAGATAACAAAACTATCATCCACCACAAAGTCGCAGCCCGCGTTGCATGCATACTCACCGATCAACAAGCGGCCATTGCTGGACGGGCAGAGCAACAACAGCACCAACAACAACAGAACCAGGGTTACTCACAATCACCAATATTAGGGCAGAATGGACCGGGCTCCGGCTTCAATTTTGCTCCAGGGACGCAACAGGGCCGCAGACCACCAATGCAGCCACAACAACACCAGCCCCTTGGAGGCATGGGGGGTAGCATGCGACCTCCTGGCAAAGGCATCTCCTTCGACGTTATCCTCAGTCGGCTCCAAGGCGAACTCAACAAGAGTCGCGAGACTGGCCAGGATCTTCAAACGCTCACTAGTGCGATGAACGACATCCAAGATACACTGGGAGGTTCCTTGGTAAGAGAGATAGACGAACTAGACAGCGGAACTGATAGGTTTACAGCCATTGAATTTGCCACCATATCCTCACGCTCTGCCCCCAGTCCGCCCTCCGTCAGCATATTCCGCTGTTGCCCCTGCCCCATCGGATGATTCAGCTAGTCTGGCTGACTTGCAGTCGCAGCTATTGACCACCCAGTCCTCCCTCACGTCGCATGTCGACAAAATCCGTGCCTTGGAGGGCGTGTTTGCGGACCAAGAGGCATTGAAGGAAGAGGTCCGGAATTTGCGGGAACTTGTTGGGGTTTTGAAGCAGACCCCAGTTGATGATGAAGAGACAGAATTGTTGGATGACGACGATGATACTCGCAGTGTGGCAACTGTGATTCCCCATACACTCGAACGCGTTGAAGAGGAAGATGAAGACGATCTCGAAGAATACGACAATAAGCAAGCAATGAATCACGATGACGATCGCATTGAGCACGGTCGCCCACGCACCCCTGAACCTACCAATATGGGAATGCCTCGTCGTTCTTCTCTCAAATCCCCCGAAAATCCAACTCCTTCTGTGGATGAGCTGACAGCTCGCCTCAGTCAGCTATCGTCGCAATTGGAATCTGCTTTGGCAATGTCCTCGACTTTGCAGGCTCAACATGTTGCTGCGCAAAACACTATCGTTTCTCTCGAAGACAAGGTTAAACGACTCGAGGGTCTTGTCACTTCGATTGTCAGTGCCGAAAACAAGAATTCTTCTGAATCGATAACGACTGCGCTTTCTACGTTCAAAAGCTCACTTCAGGGTCAATGGACGGTGATTCAAGAGGAGTGGGCAGCAGAGCGGGAAAGACTGAAGCGCACTCGTGACGAATGGGAACGTGAAATGCGTGGTGCGGTGGACGAAAGAGTTGCGGCAAAACTTGCGCATAATCCCTTCCCACCACCGTCAAGCGGTGTTTATTTCAATGGTGGTCTTGTAACGCCGCCGAGTCCTCGTAGTCTATCTGCCGACTCTGGATCGAGTGGAAGTGTTGGAAGTGGTCGGCGGCGGAGAAGACGGAGTCCGAGCCGAGGTCGCACAAATTCTTTGCGGCGCAACTCCACTGGAAGCAGCAATCAGGACTTGACTGACCCGCCAGACAGTCCATTGTCTGATGATGCGATCACGGAGTTGGCTTTGAATGGCAAGCAGCGGGAAACTGCGGCTCCAATGAAAAGAGCAGGGCTTGTGTTGGAGACGGAGGAGGTACGCGTCTTCTCGCCGTTGCTTGTGTGTGTCGTCGGCGCGTTGTTGATTGCGGATTGCTGTAGGATTCTCCTGGGCAGCGTTCGATGACTATTGGAACTGGTGGTAAGAAACCAAGTAGAAATGTGGACACGATGCACATCCAGACAGCAATAGGCGTGTTGGTGCTCAGTGTAGCTGCAGCAGCCGTGATTTGGCGGGTGAAGCCGGAGTAGTTTCCCCATGCATTATGACCTTGTTATGATTCGACTGCAGCGTTAGGTTTTAGGAAGCATCCATAATAAAAGTACATTATTTGCCAACGACGAGGGTGTTACTCGCGGTCACTTTCGTGATGTGCGCGTTACAATGAGTTACGGTCTTATGGTTTTCCCCCTCCAGCATACACTGTCGACAGGCAATGGGCCAGTTTTGCGAGCACTCAACTCAACCTATGTGAGACCATGGGTGACAAATCCATGGTATCTCAGAAAGAAGAAAAGGCCCTCTCCCGATGCAGACAAAGTCAAGTCAGCTCTGGACGACGTGGCTGATCCCGAACTACCAAGTGGCGATTCCAAGAGAGACGGTGGATGGGTCAATGTGGAGCGACTAGTGCGTTTATCATTCAGAACTTGCACCGATGAGTTTGACGAGAGTTTTGCCTAGCTCAAGCATCCGCTACTTAGTCAGGTCAAGTTCAAGACGCTTGAAGCCATGGCGGCCAAAACCGGCTCGTCAATAGACCCAGAGTTTGAGCTTGTGCACGAGCCAAGAGGCGCAGGAATGACGTGGTGGTTCAGGCGTTCTCCAGAGCGAGGCGTGTCGCACGTTATGGAAACCGGTTTCTTGAAGCCAACCTCGTTGCATTGGAAGGGAACAGTTGCGATACATGGGACAACTGAAGAAGCCTGGGAGAAGATTCGTCAGTACTGATTTTTGGTGCAAAACAAAGTGCCTGCTGATTTTTTTCTACTTATCTGCAGGAAACGAAGGCATATCGTGCATGGGCAAGGGACTCATCTCATTGGGGCTATATGCCCACGGTGCGATAGTGGCTGGTTTGTGTTGACATCATCTCCAGAAAGTTTGCTGACTAGGACAGGAATGAACCATCCTTCACCAATCCTGGTCTATATCGATGTGCAGAAGGCATGGAAGAATGGAATCAAGTTCTCACACGGCAAAAATGGGGTCATATCCACGCCAGGAAACAAGCTGGGGATCCTGTCGACAACGTATTTCACTCGGGCTGTCCAAATCCGGATAGGGGTGGAGGAATCAGTAAATTGATGGGATCAAAATCGTGGGTGTTTAAACAGCTTTGTCAGCATCGCCTGACGACTCTCCTCCCACTGTGACCCTCACCGTTACCCAGGCATACGCGCGCTCGTCACCGCTCGTCGTCACGCATCAGCATCGACGCCCAGCTAGTATATGGACGGTGACAGCCCGACTGGCAGTGGAAGAAAACGTACCCGTGACAACGAGACCCCCAGCCAGCGCACCAAGCGTGAAAAAGCCGCAGAACGTCAACGAAGAAAGCGAGAACGCGATAGATTGCCAATCGACCCCATGGCCTCCTTCACCGATGCACCAGACGTGGCTGCCCACTACCCAGGACCCCAATATCTCTCTGCCCCTCCAGCGCCAACACCAAGAGGTGCTCTTTCCGACGACAGTCTAACACCAGACGAAGCAGCAAGACGTGACCGAGTCCGAGCTGCAGCCAGAGAGCGTCAACGAAAACATAGAGCTCTCGTAAAACAGCGCAAGCTTCGTGAGCTTGGCCTTGATATGGGCAATGAGATCATGCCACCTGTGGACGATGTGGGCGGAGGGGCTGCAAGCGCTGTATACCGAGTCGATGCAGAAGGAAATTACCAGCCCGTTCTTCCTCATGAACTCCATCTTCAGCAACTTGTTGCTGCCCAGCCACCGCCACCTCAAGGCGAACCTCCGTTTCCTCAGGGGCCAGTTGCCGGTGGTCAGACATTTGCCACAACACTGTTGCTCTCTTTCTCTTGCGCGCCGCTCTTGAAGCAGCATCTTCTTCGCACCCTCAACATGACAAACGAGGAATTGGCATCCCTGGAGCCGATTATTGCCGAGGCCTGGGATCGTTGGGACCATGCTGTACGCCTTCATCATCATCATGTTAAGCCGTTAATTTACTCTAATGCACAGCGTCGCACTGGTATACGCTATGAACACCCAGAAGGTTTCCCTCCCGGCGCTTATCCGTACCCTCCCGGCGCTGGCGGACCTCCAAATGGCCCCCCATCCACCGACGACTTTCGCAACCGATTCCAACGTGTTATGACCGTACCTGCGCCATTCCAATACCCACCTCAGAACGGCGAAGACGCAAACGGTGAAGCCGAGACTCCAAGTGCTGGCAGCGAGGCCATCGACCCTCATCTTGGAGCCAAAGAAGAGCCCACGAAAGACGAGCCGTAGATGGTATCCTTCTCCTTAGTTTTCCTATCTTTCTTTCTTTCTTTGTGTGTGCAACCCCATGTCGCAGCGATAGTTGTAGTAACTCTGTCTGTCTCTGATAAGTGGTGGCCGGCTAGTTTAGTTTGGTTGGCAAGTGGATGAATGAATGCATGTATTCGTCCCCCGATTCACGTGGCATACACATAACAAATACCGCATATAACTACTTGAGCTTCTTCTTGCTGCAATCCAAGTCAATGGTGACCAACAACAATAGAACAAAACAACGGACGGGCGGAGCTGGGAAGAGTGGCCACACGACCTCTTGCGGCAATTGGTTGCACGAGGAGGGAGACGGGCGTAGCATTTGCGGCAGATTTGTTTGTCGCAGTTGTACTTGGAGGCGAGCACCTTGAGCGAGGGCTCAATGATTCCACCACGCAGACGCAGGACTGGATAGCACATAAGTCGGAAAACCTAGACTGTGGTGGCCGAGTAATCATACCGAGATGGAGAGTCGACTCTTTTTGGATGTTGTAGTCGGAAAGGGTGCGGCCATCTTCAAGCTGCTTCCCCGCGAAAATAAGACGTTGTTGGTCTGGGGGAATCCTTTTGAATAGATGGGTTTAGAACGACACAAGGTACTGCATCCACGACCCACCCTTCCTTGTCCTGGATTTTGGCCTTGACATTGTCGATGGTGTCCGAAGACTCCACCTCGAGGGTGATGGTCTTGCCCGTAAGGGTCTTGACGAAAATCTGCATGCTGTAGTGTAGAGCTTGTTAGAAAACCGCCCTGCTATTTTTTGAAACGACCACATACTTGCAGCGAGTGGTTTGAGGGAGTGTAGCTGACAAAGCAGGATGTCACAGTTACTGCTCAGAAGCATGTGACGTTCCGTTGCTATCTTATCTCTGCAACACGATGTCGACTCGGCTCTGGACGCTGTCGGTCGAGCAGCGAGAATCACTCATCGAGGCTGCGTTCGAGGGCAAGTGTACTATTGACCAAGACAGCAGGAAGCCTTATTTCCAACAGCAAAGAACCACACCTACAGTCCATACTCAAAGTTCCCTGTTGGCGCCGCCCTACTGGCGGCAAACGGGACGATATTCAAGGGGGCTAACATTGAGAATGCATCATACGGTTCTTATCTCCCTAACCCCCCCACAATCGCTTATTCCAAACAAACAGGCGGTACCATTTGTGCTGAACGAACTGCGTTTGTCAAAGCAGTGGTAAACCAAATCAGCGTCCTGGAAGAGAGCCGTCACTGACCGACATATCGAAGAGCGAGGGGACTAGGTCATTCATCGCTCTCGCTGTCGTCACGTATGCCTCGTCTTTCTTTCCTTTTGACCTCAGCGATTTTAAATGTTGGCTCCAGGAACGTCCATTCGTCTATCAGCCCCTGTGGAATCTGCCGTCAGTTCATCCGCGAGTTCTGCACGCAAGACATGCCCATCTTGCTTATTCCTGGCAACTATTTGACCACGAAAGATTTCAGCAGCGTGAAAGAGACGAGTATCGGGGAGTTGCTTCCGGATAGCTTCGGGCCAGAACATTTAGAATTGCCGAGAGATTGACGAGAAAGAAAAGATCGCATAGGAAGACACGTGTAAGTTGTACCAATATGTATTAACTTGAGTGGTTCATACTTTGAATTTTGTTCATATCAAGCCCGCCTTCAAGTTCTGGAAAACTTCTCCCTACTACAGCTACATAGTGATAGCTAATGTTTAAGAAGGCCCTGATGTGGATGCATCCGCTTGCGCGGGAAGATCGTGAATGGTAAATGAGAAAGTAGGGTCGTCAACCGAGCCATCTATGACCTGCAGCCATGTTTGGCCCTTCTTGATGAATTTCGGGGGAGTGGGCTCGAGAGCGAGACTAGAGGCAAAATACTGTTTAGTGAATCTGCGCTGATGGTTGCCAAACAAAAATGTACCTGAGCCTGTCTGCTTCGAATTCCATGTCTGCAATCATGTCCGGCGGAACTGTCGTTTGGCCTAAGATGAGACCCTGGTGTCTGAGTAGTGGGTCAATCTTGTAGATGACGAAGCAGGATTCCATGACTTTGACAAGACCAGTTAGTACACACAGGACAAAAGATCAAACGAGTAGGACAAACACTGAATAACTGTGTTGAGCTTTCGAAAAGCGTGAAGATTAATGAGTTTTTCGTCGCCTCTGCCCTCGATGTTTTGAGGCATGCCGGTTATCTGTTTCGCTGAGATGACGTCCTTGCGCAGGACAGCTGAAGACTAATCAGAGGAAGGGAAACCGCCAGGGCAACAAGCGCACTCATAATCGGGACGGTCGGAAGATCGTAAGCGGCGACAGCGCGTCGATAAACGGAGTAGTTGTTATAGCCATTGAGCAAGTTGTCAAGCGCCCGGTATTGCTCTTTGCTTTCAACACTGAGCTCCTAGGAAGATTCAGACTCATTGAACATGCAAAAGTGGATCGGAGAGCCCACCAGGATGGTCTTCCATAGTCGCTCCACACTAGCATAAACTAGGCCACCAAAGATAGACGAAGCAGCAGAAAAGTTTCGCAGTTCCACAGAGGTCTTGAATAGTTATCAGTTGAGATAGATAGGTCGATAACGCAGAGAATAGATATGCATACCGTGGCAACTGCAAGCCAAAACTGGACGATCCGAACTCGGTCAGCTCGGGATTCCTGCGTCACTACAGAATGAACAACCCAAACTAGCGTGTTTTCTTCGAACCGCTGGAGTTCGCAAAACGACGGAGCCTCGGCGAGCCATGAGCGGACAAGATCTTCTGGGTCAATCTTGAGATAATGTGACTGGCTTTTCCATGCGAATTGTTCAGAAAGCTGCGCAACACCTTGTGGCGAATTTAGGCCCAATATATCGAAATCACAGGCGCCATGGATTGCAAAGGGCAGCACTGCTACAACCTCGGGAGTCTTACGACTCGCGGCTGCTGCTTTTGCATGCTCGAATCTGGTCAAGAATTTGCGCTCGAGGGCTAGCTCCAACGACTTGATGGCTAGGTCTGCGTCCGATTCTAAGACCCCGTTGGGCTTAAAGCCCTCGATAAAGGAACGCAAGCGGGCGACGATGCTGATATCTTTATCGTGCCGCCAATAGTCTTCGAGCCACGTGATGACCAGATGTGCGATTGAGTTGCGAACATGCACGACATGTCTTTGCCACACACGCTCTTGACTCGGTGAGAGTTCATATGCGGAAGGGGGTTTTGGTACATCCCACCGGGCCTCGAAGACGTCCATCAGTTTTTCGGGGGAGCTGAAAAGACGGAAGGAGAGGAAAAACGTCTCCGCCATGTTTTCATCCAAACCAAGTGCTTGGAATGAGGTGAGAAGGAGGACCAATGAAGAGAATGACGCGGCTTGGAGATGCCCGTCTGTGTCCGTGTGGATCATAAGCTCGGGTATGGGCATCTCGACTGTGTCGGCTGGCGAGGCAGGATCACTGCAATCGTATAAGAACGACTGGAGAGTTTCAAACCGTGCCGCATCTGTTGGGGTTTCTTCAAGAGGAGATATTGGACTGAGAGTCTCGCTTCGGCGCGTTTCCCGTCCAAGCGAAGATCCACTGACACTGGCTGATGTCGGAGCGGTTGGAGAATGACGGGCCTCGTCGTCATCATTCGGCGCATCCTCTTCTGTTGTCTCATTTCCAGGCATGCCGGGTAAAGGCTTCCGTGCGATTCTCTCTTTCAAAGCGTCCGAGGTTTGATGGAGGAGGAATAGACAGTGTAAAATGGAATCCGTCATTTGGATGGTCTGCTTTATTTCGTTCTCCACAAGCGGCTCCTGCCCGGAAAGCCGTCGCACCCAATCGCGCACATTCAGACACGTGCGAGCAATGGCATTGTGTATGGCCGCTGGCGTAGAGAAGCTCATAAGAAAGGTGTCGGCCCTGAAGTTTCGAAGGATCGATTGAGTGGCACTGAGAAAGACGGGAATGACCGTGACCAGTTGGTCGAATTGTTGTGGAGCAGTGAGGGACCGTAATGACCTGGCTGTGGCCTTGAGGGAAGGGTATATGTCTTCAATCGTTGAAATAGACGTTGATAGAGCGGCCGGAGGCACATTGGCTGCTTCGCTTTCGTCATGAGGCATTTGAACGCCTGATTTCCTCTGGATGCCATGAAGATGGTCGTTGGGCGTATCAGACATGTGGGTGGTAAGTTGTGGTCACAAACCAGTAACCAGTCTTTATAGTCGTGCGATGGGACATGCTTTGACTTCATTCAATCAATGCGGTCCAAGCAAAGGCATGAGCAAAGTTGACAAAAGGTCATTGAGCGTCAGGATAGGGCTCTCCAGTGAGGCTTAAGCAACATGGTCGGGTTTGTAGTCGGGCAATTGACTTGACCGTAGTAGTGCTGAACGAACTAAACGAAGCTTGAGAGTGAGAACCAAGGCGTCACGTGACAGTCAATTTAATTGTTACAACTTCAAGAAACACGATACAACATGAAATCGTAATGATACAGCAAGGCCCAGCCAGAGAAGGTATACATAAAGATTAAAGGCAAGGAGTGACGATAGTGAGGGATCTTCATGATTAGTGGGCGATCCATAAGGTAGACATCAAGTGTTCGTTTTCGGTCAAAAACCGGGTGACATTAGCGCAAGCGCCTTAGGCGGAGCTGAAGCTCCTGCATGTCCTCGACGTTCCATTCCCCACTCCACGTATTCTCCTTTTTGCGCCACGTGCCGCGGCCGTTGTCAACCTTGGGCAACATAGCCTGAATACGGAATTTCGATTTGTTTTTCGTTTTAGGCGGGTTCAGTACGGCGGTCCGAGCACGATCCCAGGACTGCGAGTCCATAGTGAAGACATTGGTGAAAGGAGGAGGTGATGCCGTGGTTGTGAGTGGTTGTTTAGCTGGTTTGGGCGCATGTAATCCCAAAGCATAGTGCAACCCAACTGCTGTAGTTCCCGGAGATCTACGAGCGGGTGTTGGAGTTGATGGCTCGCGACTGGCTCGAGCAAAATGGATTGGAGACGTCGGGGATGTCATCAGGTGCGATCCAGATGCCGTGGAGGAAGGAAAAACGAGCTCTACAGGTACATTCTCGCCGAGAGTACGCGTGAGCTTGGCCAGCTTTCTGACCCGTGCATTAGGAGAGTTGTTGTTTAGTGCAGGGGACAGTGGAGAAAGAGGTGAGAGGGCAGATGTAGCTGGAAGCTGGGTAATCGTTTTGGGAATCACGATGTTGGCAGGCTTAGTCCGTTTCTTCCGGGGATTTGGTGCAGCAACGGGAGGAGGCGCATCGAAGGCCTCATCATCCGAAGTCGGCGGTGTGTCTGGCTCGCTGTCCGTCAAGGGTGCCCAGAAGTCCGCAGAAGTAATGCTGCATGTAGAAGACGCGGGAGAACGAGCTCTGGGTGGGCGCGGACCAACACAACTCGTCGTTGGAGGTTTACGGCCAATGGGTAAACGGAGGACATAGGTATTCGTGACAGTCGTTTGAGGAAGGCGTTCTTGGGGCCAGATTGTGTCGGGAAATTTCATGGCGGGTGGAGATGGTAAAGGCCGCATTTCGTGAATGGGTGGATCCATGCCAGAACTCTCATGTTAAGTAGAGCGACAGACAATAGAGTGATGGCTGCACTGTTCCTCAACAATAATAAAGCCTACAACAATGAAGCTGATGACAAGCGTGCAACACACTGGCATCCTTCGGTATGCATTGATGCCAAATGGCATTAAGTTGGGAGTTCGCGGCTGGATGGATGGAGGTGAGCGATGCAGCCGATGCTCAAGCAGGGTCACGCAGCGCGTCACACGCATTTCTGTTCTCAAACTTGGCCATGATTTTATTACCACTAATAACCACTCTCTGTCTCGTTATCCACGCGCACGCCTCTGCACTCACGACCGCAATCTCAGCCAACGAGCGACTATGTTTCTACACCGAAGTTGACAAGGCGGGTGAAAAGATTGGTGTACGTGTCGCTAATTATGCTGTCTAAACAATAACTTACCCCCGCCAAGTTCTATTTCGCTGTACGTCCGTGCTCCCATCTTGACCTTTCAGTCATTATACGTGTTCTAGGTGCAATCCGGTGGCTCGTTTGATATCGACTTTGATGTCAAAGACCCAAATGACAAAATCATGCTTGAAGGCCAGCGGGAGCGTCAGGGCGACTATGTTTTCACCGCTAACCACGTCGGCGAATACGCATTCTGTTTCGAGAACGACATGTCAACGCTCACAGAGAAACTTGTCGACTTCGATATCATGGTAGAGAGCGAACCGCGGAGAGACCCGCCAGCGAAGCCTGGTCAAATTTCTGAACATACCAGTCCTCTGGAGGAGAGCGTGTTCAGGCTGAACGGGATGCTGATGAACGTCAAGAGGACGCAAAAACAGTGAGCGTTTCTGGATAGATATTTAAGATGTTCAACGTGCTGTTAGCTTCCACACACGAGAAAATCGCGGTTTTTCGATTGTCAAGTCTACACAAAAGTACGCATTCGTGGCTCTCCGTCCCCTCCCTGCTCATGGCTTCTAGTCGCTTGTTCTGGTATGCGATCATTGAAAGCGTCGCTATAATTGGCATGGCTGTGTATGCCCCTTTCCCTTGCTTAACTTGGTCTTACAATTTCCGGGTAGCTTTCAGGTCTACGTCTTACAGACATTCTTCACTAAGACTGGGCGACGGTATAAAGTTTGACGCCGAGCGTTCCTTGCGTTATGTAAGTCGATGTACTGTGATGAATGGATGGGTCTTTTAGATGTCTACGGAACGGAGTCGATACAAAGCCTCTTCAGCCCAGTTCCCCAGACGCCCGAAATAGAGTTCATGGTCATCAACCCCTTCACCAAATGAGATTAATGCAGTCCAAATGTGTCGCGCGTCCCTGGCTTGCTTGAGAATCGAAAAATATTGCGGGTGATGTCGTTGGAGGGCCTACTCGAGAATCAGCGATCAAGATGTGGACTTGATTTCTTTCGAGTGCTCACATCGTAATAGTACTTGGCATAGCCCAGTTGCTCCGCATGTGCTTCTTCAGTTATTCCCTCCCAAATCCGTGAGATAGTTGGCTGGCTCTCGTTATCCAGCTGAAGGTCGACATAGACTGCGAGTTGTGGGTTGGAAAGAAGAGCGGGTATGATATGACCAGACTCCCAATCATACAATGACGTCACAAGGGTTTCAGATTCTTCTTCGACAATGGACATGTTGTGGATCCCATAGTCGCCGTGTTCAAGGACAAGTCGATAGAGGCCAAGATGGTCCTCCTTGTCGTCTGGCAGGATCATGGAGATAAGTTGTTTTAGTGACACTTTGGCAGCAAGGGCTTTGGGTCCAACCATGGCTACTCCATCCCTTTCAGGGCCGACGTGAGGACATTCGTTTGCATCCGGAATAACCTCCTCCAGCTTTCGGGTGAGAAGCGCGAGAGTGAACGAACGTGTTGGTGTGATCTGGATGCCATCGAGGTTCGTCCACGGTAGTCGAAGAGCAGTCCACGATTCAACGAAGTTATTAGGAAGGTCGAGCCCAAACAAGGCGCCCCGAATCTCAGCGCACCGGTCAAGAAGAGCGAGCTACCAGAATTATGCTGAGTGAGGCGACACAAAAATCTGAGTGAACCCACCCTTTGTAGCGGATCCAAGGGCCACACATTATTGACACCTTCGGTCTTGTGGAAGAGGAATAATGCACGACCTTGCACATCACCCGACGGCGTTGTGCCAATATTATTACTATACCGAGGTGGTCGAGAGTATAGTAGGTTGGCAGCCTTTATATTGGGATACTGAACGAGAAGTCGGTAAACAGCAGATTCGAACTCCACATCGGAAATTTGTTGGTTCACGAGCTCATCTTTGTCGTCATAAGTTAACCAGTTAATGTCGATACGAGCGATTCGGGCGAGAAGATTTTGCGCATTCTCCAGCACAAGATGCATTCCCTGCCCACATTAAATGAAGCCATGGAGGAGAAGATGAGTATAACGAACGAAGAAGTTGGCGCCTTTGCCGACTACGGGAATATCCGTGACTTGTGCTCCTGCAAACTTCTCGACTTCATCTAACAAGTCGCGTACATTGAGTCGAAAGAGTGGAAGCGAAACAGGCGCGTGTTCAGTGCAAGACTCTGCCTCGACTAATCGTTGAAGTAGACCTTTCCCGTCCCAGTCGAGCGGCCAGTCGTCCCACCAGTCTTCGTCAAAATCATGATCTATATCCAAGTTGTCATCCTCCCAATCCGAGTCGGAGTCGGAGCTCCATGACGAGCGGGAGGATTCGGGGTCTGTCGGGAGTCTGGAGAGAGAGCTGATGAAGGAAGGCTTGCAACTTGGGCTTGGAGAGGGAAGTGGAGACAGGCCTGCGAGCGGAGGTGTAGGCAAGTGCATCATAGCCGCATTCGGAGGTAAAACGGAAGTATGAAGAAAGTTAGGAGCAAGTCGCAACTGCCATGTTAAAGGAGATGAATCAGGGCGGCATTGCTGGTAATGCCCGAAGAATCAAGATGGTCAGTGTCGACGTCGATACCAACAAGCAAGACTTGTTGATTGTGTGCCACACTGTGACATAGATTATCGCTCTCCAAGTTCTTCCTAGACCCAGATATCAATTCATCAATGCTCAAGCTCAAAAACCAACTCTCCTCTGTCTTGTTTTTAAATGACTGTCTTGATTGAAGGCGCCCCCTATGCGTTCTCAAGAAAAATGAATTTATAGACAAGCCAGACATTGCAGTCTCCCTTCTACAGCTATGGGCCTCGACTACCCCCTCACTCGCGAGTTCCCTTGGCGTAACTTCACCCTCTGGTCTACCGTCGGCGCTGCGATAGTACTTGCCTTTCTTACGACTATTAATGGCAAGTTTACTTGACCTATTTGCGTTCACGACTTCTGATCAACACCCCCAGTCGCTCTAACGGCTTACGAGACTACGACCGTCTTCAAGTCCGACTACAACGTCACCCAGACCCATTGGTTCCATAACTATCTACCATCGCTCAGACCTAAACCAGGCACGCTTTGCGATAAGCACGTCTTGAATGTTGGGGACGCGTTCACCACAAACTACACACTCTTTCCTTATATTCTTGCTTCAGTCGTCACTGCCAACGCCGGCGACTCGGGAATATCCTACAAAGGCGACCTCCTCGATAATTGCGACGTTTCGTCTATATATCTCACCGGAAACGTCAATACGTTCACCATCGATTATTCCGCTCTCATTACCTGTCGTAATGACGAATATGAGTTCACGGCTCGAACCGATTTTTCTATGTCCTCTCTTGCGGGCAAATATAACACACTGATGGGCGCTGCGAGAGCCGTGCGAAACAAGCAAAGCGGGAATTTTAACGCTACGCGCGACGCTCGCGGCGCTGTTCTCGACGCCGTTACAGGATCAAGCTCAAATGATCTTGCCGCCCGCATATTTACCTTGGCCCAATTTTCTAACGCCTCGACGCCATATCCAACTATAATTTCGCTCCAGGCAGACTTCCCCTTCTGCCCCGCCGCTCTTGGGACCAAGGCCACTTGCGCGACGTCTGTGCCAACATTCACCATACCGGCGTCGTTCATTTCTTACTCCAACCTCACATTCTATCAGTATTTCCTCAGTGATCCTATCACACAAGGGAACAGACCTATTATCGACAACATCACATTCAACCCACTCTCGAACGCCATTCAGAGTATATATGCTGCTTTGCGCATCGATCTGGGGAACCCATCGCCCAATAATTTCCTCCTTAACTCGGCTGCTATCAACGCCACCCTTTTTGCGACCTACCCTCCTGTTGCAGGCAGTCCCGATGTCTTTTCTGTGTCAAATGAATTCGCAGTCCTTACTGGTGGTGCTCCCGCGGCCAGTGACCAATACAACGTCAGCCACCTTCTTCCGCTAACGCTCGATGGACCGGCAACAATCGACGTTGTTTATCTGTGTCGTTTTCAGACACCCTTGAAACCAGCAAGAGCCTTCATTACTGTGCTCGTTGCTACTCTCAGCATGTTCGGATCTGGCTGGGCTATATTTTTAGCGCTTGCCACCAACGTCGCCAAGAGAGATGCGGCAGCAAATGCTTGCGCAGGACACGCCGAGGCACACGAAAAGGAGAAGGAAAGATTTTTGAGCGAGTAGTGTCGTTGGATACTCTCCATCCATTGTCAGTATCAAGTACACAGTTGGCAGTTCAGAAACGACTCGATAGCCCTGGAATATCTACACCGAAGAATAATTAAAGATACAATTGTGCAATAGCAAGACTAGAGTTGATCAGAACACTGAGCTACCCAAAATGGAAAACCCACGCACCAGTAGCGATACAACAAACACTGGGTCGGCCGATGAGGCCTATGCACCTCATTGCAGTATGGAATTGTAAGGGGGTCATGAGCGCAATGATAGAAGAAGGTGAATGCGGGAACGTGGCTTGAGCGTGGTGATGAGATGGCGGGGCGCGTGCTGGAATTCGGCTGGATATGTCTTCCGCACAACGTCGGAGCCAGTTGCCTACAAACTGAGCAGTTGCAGTAAAAGGAAGAACGATAGGTCTCCAGACTGCTCGTGCTTCCAAAGTCTACCGGCGTTCCGTTTCCCGGCGATGACATGCTTCACAGTAACGCCCTTTGGCCGCAGTGGGCCCTATCGGCGCTGGTTTGCCCTTGGGAGGCGGAACGGTCCAGTCGAATTCATCGTCGTATGAGAACTCCAGTCGCTCGGCTAAACCACGAAACAGAGCACGTAAACCGGCGTAGTCAGGTAAATCATCGAATTCGAGACCCCGGGCGTATCGATACCTACGAGTTCAGACAGTGAGTAATGGGTCAATTTTTTGATTCAGACTCACAAGACATCAAACTCGGGTGGTAGACCGCAAGTCAGCAATGGTTCAGCGGACAGTTTAGCATCGCGAATCAAATCCCATGTCGCAGAAACAGGGTTATAGGGGTGTGAGCCGGAAACATAAGTAGAAGGGGGAGCAGCCGGCGCGCGTAATTTGCGCCAAGGAAGGGTGCCCCGTAGAAAATATATAAGCATATAGGCAAGAGACTCAAGGTCATCGCGTCGAGAAGATTCTGGAAAACGCGCCGTAAGCCAAATGAAGCCGCAAGGGGGGGGGCACAGACGCACCGATACCAATATGAGTGTTGATAGCAGCGAAGAGAGATGTCCCAACGCCGTGGAAGTCATCCTGTTTGAAGGGGATGTGTAATGATGTGCGGGAATCCCAGAATTTTTTCGCCAGACCAAAGTCGATAACATTGACCATGTTGACTGCCCGGCCCGTGCCCATGACGAAATTGGCGGGTTTTATGTCGCGGTGAACAAATCCATGGGAGTGGATGAACTCGATGCGAGAAATCTAGGAGCAAATGTCAATCGACAGACAACCATTTCAAGGCAACACACAAGTTGGTCTGCAAGGAGGAGGACGGTTTTGAGAGAAAAGTGACGATTGCACATCTTGAAAAGGTCTTCAAGAGACGGGCCAAGGAGGTCAATGACCATGACGTTATAGTCACCCTGCCGGCCTGACCACATTATCCATGGGATGCCAGTATTGCCCATGAGTCGTTTGTAGATCTTCGACTCTTGTTGAAGTGGACTATGCTTTGCAATCGCCGGTTCAAGCTTGATAGCTACTTCCTTGCCCGCGACATTGTGTACGCCAATAAACACTTGACCTAACGGCGGTCAGCGCGTCCAGCAAACAAGTGGCCTTCACTCACCGCACCCCCCAGCCGCTATTTCTTCTTCTAGCCTGTACTTGCCACCCAAGAGAGCATCCATGGCAAAGGGCGGAGTTTGTTATGGTTGTCAACAAAACGCGACGTCACGTTTCGTGACAGCCGTGGCTTTTTCTCTGAAAAGGCCCGACTCGTGCTGTGATTGCTTTATATTGGCTTTATACCTCGTTCCTCGCGCGGAACTTATCCTTGCACTTCCTTAAAATATGCAACAGTGGCAGGTCTTAGTCAAAAGCATGCATTTCATTCTGGATGTAATACTATCGCTTGGGGGAGGCTGAAGCCGGTATCAGTAACCGTAGTCAGACTGTGAGTTTGGTCTGAGAATGTATGGTGGGTGACCTTGTTTCGTCTCTGTGCAGTTTAGCTATTATTATCCAGTTGGGTCGCAAGCAGAGCCAAATTATTTGTGAATTTCGGCGCCACAGCGTCGAGAAATACTATTTTTGAAGAAAGCGTGACCGTGACCTGACACTGACGCGTCGCTTCTCGTCGCACTCATGGCGTCCGCCTCAACATCCTCTGCCGATCTTCTTGAACAAGCAGCCTCTCTTCAAAGTAGTCCCCAGCAGGCAGAAAAGATTTACCAGGAGGTTCTGTCAAGGCGTAAGGAAATTTTTCATCTTATTCAAACGTTGTTCATTGTTTCCTGCAGCGACACCACCGAATGTTACGCCAGAGACCCACGCACAAATACTGCGTGAACAAGAAACGGCCTTGCTTACACTTGGGACACTCTATCGCGATCAACAGTCTGTGCTTGTAGCCTGCATTCCACTAGCTGACCGCGCTCAGAAATGCTGAAGGACTTGCTCAAGTCATTACCCTTTCTCGCGCGTTTTTCATGACTAGTACCGCGAAAGCCAAAACGGCCAAACTGAGTAGGCGATCTTAGTACGAAGAAAAGCACCGCTCATGCCTCAAGTGCAGTTCGGACACTTCTCAACTACTTCAATTCCATCCCGGATAGTATGCCCACCCAAATCCGCGTTCTCGAAGACAATATCGCATGGGCAAAGACCGAGAAGCGTATATTCCTGAAGCACAGCTTGGAAACGCGTTTGGCGGGCATGTGTGTTGATCTTGTCCTTTTCATTTTCATGACTGAGCCACTTAAGCCACCTTGATTTGCAGCACTACCGTCCTGCTCTGAACATCATCGAGAGCTTGCTGACAGAACTTAAGCGACTAGACGACAAGCTAATTCTTACCGAAGTTCATCTTTTGGAAAGTAAAGTGTACCGCGGCGTTGGCAACATCACAAAAGCCAAGGTTGGATCAGTTGTTCATAAAACTATCCTCAATTTCATCTCCCACAGGCTGCGCTGACGTCTTCACGAACATCTGCTGCCTCAATTTACACCCCACCACCGTTGCAGTCAGCTCTGGACATCCAATCTGGGATTCTACATGCGGAAGAGAAGGATTACAAGACAGCGTACAGCTACTTCTTTGAAGCATTCGAATCTCAGGCGTCCGCGGCATCATTTGCACCGGCCCCTGGAAAGCTAGGAGCGGATGGGGCACTGCCGGCGGTCACTTCTGGAGAGCCAATTGACACTGACGGGAAAGGCGCACTGGAAGCACTCAAGTATATGCTTCTTTGTAAGGTTATGCTGAACCTGGTAAGCCTGTCGTTGATGCCCAATTCCAATCGACAACTGAGTGTCCATATAGCCAGAAGATGTCCATTCACTACTCAGCATCAAACTTGCGCTCAAATATGCCCAACTGCGAGATGTGGAGAGCATGCGTGCCATTGCACGAGCCCACCAGGACCGTAATCTGGCTGACTTCGAGAAAGCGTTGAGGGATTACAAGGACGGTTAGTGGTTTCCCTTGATAAGTTGAAGTGGATCCTAAATCAGAGCAACAGAGCTTTCTTCGGACCCTACTATTCGGTCTCATCTTGCCGCCCTATACGATACGTTGCTCGAACAAAACCTCTTGCGCATTGTCGAACCGTACTCGGTAGTCGAGCTTGAATACGTTAGCGAGACGGTCGGGCAAGGCCGGCAAGCAGTTGAAGCAAAATTATCGCAGATGATTCTAGACAAGGTGCTGCATGGTGTACTTGACCAAGGGCGGGGCTGCTTGCTTGTGTATGACGCAACAGAGGCGGATGTGTGTTGCTGATTTTACTTTACCACTTGCGCTAACAATCGGCAGACCACTTACACATCGGCAATTGAGACTCTGCAACAGGTTGGAAAGGTCGTGGAGAGTCTATATGCGAAGAGTGTAAAAATCGGTTGAAACAGGATTAGATAAGAAATGTCACATCAATATCAACATCAATACCATCATAACTGAACAGTGTGACACTTCCTGATCTTGTCTTGTCGGCGTCACGCCTCATCTTCCCGCCCTCCTCAAGCCATGAAATTCAACATCGCCAGTGCGTATCATCTAAAGCATACAGCCTATGCCTGAAGCTCTTCAGACCCCGCTACGGGGCAGCAAAAGCTCATAGACGTTGACGATGAACGTAAATAGTGCGTGTGGTCTCTGGAAATTTTGTTCAGCCCTGACCATCGTTTGTAGTCGGTTTGTCTATGACAAAAAGATCTCGCAAGAGGTTCCCGCCGACACACCCTTGGGCCCGAATACGCTGGCTACGTCTTCCGCATCACTGGTGGCAACGACAAGCAAGGCTTTCCAATGAAGCAGGGTGTCCTTCTTCCCCAGCGAGTTCGCCTCCTTCTCTCTGACGGCCACTCTTGCTATCGAATCCGTCGTACTGGCGAACGCAAGCGCAAGTCCGTTCGCGGATGCATCGTTGGCCCCGACATTGCCGTTCTGTCTGTTGTGCTCGTCAAACAGGGTGACGCCGACATTGCAGGACTGACCGACAACGTCCTCCCCAAGCGTCTCGGCCCCAAGCGCGCGACTAAAATCAAGCGCATGTTCAACCTCGGCAAGGAGGACGATGTTCGCAAGTATGTAGTCCGTCGGGAAGTTACTCCCAAGAAGGAGGGAAAGAAGCCATACACCAAAGCGTCAGTGGTTATACTACACTGTGTTCATGCTATGACTCATATAACACTTGAATAGGCCCAAGATCCAGCGCTTGGTTACCCCCACCCGTCTTCAGCGCCGTCGTCATCTCAAGTCGCTGGTTCGCCGGAGAACCGAGCGCCAAAAGGAGCAGAAAACGGAGTACGAGTACGTGAATTTGCTCCCTTGAGTTTTCATTAGATCGATGCTGTTTCCAGCACGCTCATCGCTAAACGTGTTGCGGATAAAAAGGCCAAGGTCGCTGCTCTCAAAGCGGCACACCACAAGTGCGTGTCATTTCAGCTGGATGTTGTCCTGAAATAGCTAATATATTCTCTAGGCCTACGACCGCTTAAGAACTAGTTCGTCTACGCTCCATGTTTACTCACATATGAACAAATCATGCGCATGGTCTGAAACGCAGAGATGAGAAGCCAGTTATGGTATAAAAGCACGTCTCCGTATATAAAAAGTGTGTTTTGTGCAGTTGTGAGAGTCAACAACTACAACTAGTCAGCGTCAAAGATGTGTTAACCGGACATGTGACGCGGCGCGGCCTGTTGACCGACGCCACGACATCGACTGACGTCGGTCGTGTCTTGGACACGGACCAGAGGCGGGACACGGGATTCAGTTTGGGGGGTGGTGGAATTTGTTGGTGTGTTTATCGCCTTTTATTGTTGTGCTGTGTGCAATCAAACTCTAAAACTAAAATGTAGATTGCTCCATGGTGCTTATGACCCTTGACTTTTACCCTTCACCTACCAACTCTGTTATCAGACTGCAGGCCCTCCATGGAGCGGTTGGATCGAAACCACAGGCGACGCCTTGATTATCTTTGAAGCTGCCAAACGCAACCTCATTCCACGAGTAACTCGTCGTCTTGTCGACAACGAACGAAGCATGATCATGAGCGGGAGCGTGTTCGTCTTCAATGAAGAGGAGTCCGGTATCAAGCGGTGGACGGATGGGTGCTACTGGTCACCCAGCCGAATACTTGGTAAACATGGCTTCGATATTGCTTAGGTTCAAGTTGATGGGGTTTGCAAAGGAAATTTTCTGCTCTACCGCGAGACGGACAAGAAAGGCGCATCGCACGGCTCGAAAAAGCGGAAGCAGGAAGAGTTGGACTCGGAGGAAGGGGAGGGAGAGATGGAGGGAGAAAGTCTCAGTCGCCCAAAGAACCAAGTTGTTCATGGCGTTGACCGCAACGAAGAACGGAAACTCATGGGAAGTCTTACCAACAGCGTCAAATTCAAGAAGGATGGGCTCATGAAAAAGGTTCGTCGCTGTCCATCCCAAATATTCGTCGACTGGAACTTGGCTAGACATTGTCCATGACAATCAACGGCTCTACCCATCACCTAATTTCGTACTACAAGATTGCGGACGTTACAGCAGGGCGTCTCCGTACACCTTCAACATTGCCAGAGTTTGTTTCTCTGGAGATCAGTCCGGTCTTTCTCGATAAAGCCAACTTTCGATGTCCCCCCAAAATGGAGCTAGATCCCGATGGCCACCCACGGTATAGAGGTGAGGCGGACGAGGTACTTGCGCAGGGGATGGACCTTGGCCTGGGTATTAGCGCCGCCCCAATACGCGTTTCACGGTCTACCAGTAATGGTAAGGGAAGAAATAACATCATCAAAGGCAAGGCACGCGACCTGGATGAGCAAGATGTTAAGCCCTCAAATCGCAGTCTTACTTCGAGACGTCATATCCCAGCTCATGAACCTAGATCTCCCCCTACATCCCGAATAGGGACCTCAAGAAAGCGGGAACTGCATCGCGATGAGAGCTTATCTCCGACTCCAACAAGTTCCACCCTAAAGCGTGCTAAAGTGGAGAGTGTCGATGTGTCACCCCTCCGTGTTTTCATCCCTTCCACTCCAGCAACTCAACCGTCTCCTTCATCTGTGAAACCTCCTCCGATAATAACCCCACAGACCAATCAAATCAGTGTTAGCACGGCTATGCAAGCAACTCCGACGTCCAGCAACTCGATGAGCTCAAGCTCACTTGCGGCGGCGGCGGCTGCATATACCCAGGAAGCTTCCCAACAAATACGAGTCAAACAGTCGCAAAGCCTCTCAGATCTAGCTGGCCCGACCCCCCAGACTCAGATGCGTTCCCTCCCATCTATGGTGTACTACCCCCCGTCCGACGATAGCCCGTCTTACTATCCGTCACAAACCATCTCCACGCTTATTCCTACCCCCAATTCATGGTCAACTGAAATGCCCACTTCGTGGTCGCGACAGTTGCAGCATGAACATTCCTTGGCATCTTATCACACGCCTTTCTCCCCGGCCTCCGCATCTTCGCTTAACGCGGCCCTCGTACCTGGTCCTCCCAAGTCATCGTCAGCGCCCTCTCATGTCCGATATCAAGATGATGACCAGTATAGATAACTTTTTCTCTCGGGTTCCGACTTGGGTCCATTCGTTCTTTGCCATATGCATTCTCAACTGTATTGCCTCTTGCCATCCGCGTATTTGCTATCACTGTTGTGTAATTTACTGTACATATTCGGTTTTCGTTGGCTGCTTTTTCTCGTAAAACTCAGCTCAGGGGTCTACACGTGATCACATATTCACGAAATCAGACTTAGATGTTGCTTGGATGCAACCATGGCAGATTCGACTTGTTCGTCGGACTCTAATATTCCTTCCCTTCGCTGTAGCGACCTTCCTCATAGGCAAACTTCCGCAGTTAAACAACACAGACACCCAGCCTCGGCCTACACCGTTTATTGTCGCAAGACCGGACATTCCCCTTGACTTCGATCCGTTGTCAATTGCAGCCCGAGCCTCTGCACAGCGTGCCTTGGACTCGCTTCTTTCAAAGCAATCCAGCACTCTCAACGAGGCTATTGCCCGATACACGCTTAAAACGCGACGTCCACCACCGCCCAATTACTCGGAGTGGTTCAACTTTGCGAAGAATAGCAGCTGCCTCATCGATAATTATGACCAAATTCATCGAGACTTCGAACCCTTCTATCAGCTTGCGAAAAAGCACCCGAAGTGGTTCAGGGAGGCGGTTGACCAAGGCAGTGAACTGGTATGTTTACAATGTCGCAACCAGCCTGCACCCATCAATTAAACCCACAATCAGTTCCTCCGGGAAACGCAAGACCTTAGACCGAAGCGTCAAGCAGCATATGGGCTCGCCGCCATAGCTTTCAAGGACAAGAAACTTGTTCTGCCCCCATATCAACCAACTACCTATGCAAAAGATATTCCGCAACACTTGTTCAAGGTAGGGAGTCCTTCGTATACTCAGAAATCTGCTCGAACTCCCCAGATAACCTCGTTAATGCCTGACTTGACGTTTCTCCTCAATGGACGCGATGAGCCGCGCGTAGTTTTCGATACACGCCAACCTGGCGCCCTTGAAAAAATCGATCCAAGCGCAGACCTCATGCCATTCCACCTCACTCCTTCACCGACCGGTCCATTCTTTCGGAATCAACCCGGATGTAATGTTAGCAGTCGTGGACATGGTTTCGTCCATGATGACAGTGAACTTGTGTCCTTCCTCACTTCAAGCGCCAGCTCGGATTTCACGACTTCATTATGGCCCTTGTTCAGTATGGCAAAATTAACTTGCTTCGCGGATATCCTGTTTCCTGGTCAGGTGCTTGTGCTAATCGATGCCATGGCCCAACCTCATATTTCACTTAGTATTACTACCGCATGTCCCGTTGGTCGCCGAAAATCGGTGCAAACGATATCCCTTGGGCGGACAAGAAACCCATTCTTTGTGAGCCTTTTTTTACAGTCTTTTTGTTCTAATTCGTCACAGATTGGCGCGGTGGCTCCACTGGTGGTCGTATTCTTTCAACACCCACAACTTCCAATCACCATTCTTTCCCTCGGTTCCGCCTCCTCAAGTTAGCCAGCAATCACTCCGATATAATGGACATCAAGATGACGGGCTTCGCCCAGGAATACTGCAAAACTGAAGATGGTTGTCGCTTCAGCCCTATTATCATAGAATATTCAATATTTGGGCCAAAGGCGTCGAGAAGAGACGTGCTGGGATACAAATATCTATTTGACATCGACGGGAACACGTTTAGTGGTCGATTTCTAGGATTGCTACGATCCGGCTCCCTCGTTTTCAAGGTACTGCAACCTCGATCGCGTCGGCGCTTTTTTAGTAAAAAGTCTACAGGCAACGGTCTATCAGGAATTCTTCAACGACTGGATTCGTCCATATGAACACTTTATTCCGGTTAAATATGACCTCTCCGACCTGGTCCACAAGCTGCAATGGGCAATAGACCATGAACAAGAGGCTCGTCGCATACAGGAGACTGGCAAGCTCTTTGCGGACAAGGTCATGACGGATGCTCAAAACGATTGCTACATGTCTCTCCTGCTTTTGGAGTGGGCTCGGCTGTACAACTACGAGGCAACATCCCTCTAAAGTGGGCCAGAACAGAACGCAGGATGTTAATAGGTCGGCTGCTTGTTTTAATGCCTTTTTCTTCGCGCGCATTGAGTATCTCCGTCAGGAACATTAGCCGGTGTTTTCCTGTTATACCAGGAGCACGTCCGTGGTAATCACATCCTATCAAGTTTGTAGTTGAATTACCGACTCACCGCAATTGTTCAAACGAATGCGGATCCGAAGCATATGGTACCTCCAAATCACGACTTTATTCAACCACTTATCATCCCCATATTTCGCCTCCTCTTCCACGAGCTTTCATTTCTCTCTGTCGAATGGAACATAGTAAACTGTCTAGTTTGAACCACTTGAGCTTCTGGTTCGTGACTTTAGTCATCAAATCTTGAAGCCCGACCTGATCATATCAAAGTTTTCTTTTTGTCTTGTGTGGGTGCAAATTGCCGTATGGCGAAGACTTTTTTGTGTGCTTGATCATCTAACCGGCAAACGCTGATCACTTCACACACCGACTCATTGTCCTTTCACCCAAGCGACCTCTTGATCGCCTTGAGGCTCTACGTTTTTGCTATTTCGAGGCATTCTCAAACAATTGTAAGAGTCATTACCCCGATTGGTCGCAAACATATAAAAGTCGGCCAACGTTCCTGCAACCTCCAACGAACCCCCCCTTCCCCACTAATAATCAATATCATGGACGCTTTTACTTCCCTCATCCCCACCAAGATGGACGAATCTACTATTCCCCCCACCAACGACGACAGCAGCACGGGAAGCAGCGGTAGCTGTGTCGTATGCCAAACCGACGACCAAACTTCACTCGTCAACGACGACAGTGGTTCAGGCAGCAGCGGTAGTTGCATCATTGCTTGATCAATAGTACGAGTCGCTCTTGGCTTTGGTACTACAAACACTGATATACCTATTAGAAAACCTATCAACAACAGTTCTGTGCCCTTGGCGGCGCCAGCTTACTTTATAACATTCGGCTTCGTTCCACGAGATTCACGGGTTTTGACGCATTTTACGATTAACTGTTTACGCCAAAGAGAAAGAACATAGTTAAAATACGCATGATTATATAAAATCGCATTCGTGTTGAATTCAGCATGAGGAATTTGATTGGTGGTTCTAGCGACCAATGGTGTCTTTCCTAACAGACGATTCAGATACGCCTCGCTCCAACACGTCTAACTTGAGTTCTAGCCAACCCAGGACATCTTCGATCTTGCGCGGAATACCCAGAGCGTCCTTGGTGAAGAATTGGAGATGGGTTCGCAGCAGATCTTGCAGAGCTTTGATTGAGACAAAGTCGTCTAGCCAGGGAAGCTTGTTTTCCTCCCGACCAGCAAATAGCGACGACTCCAGGACCACGCGAGCAAGCCTGCTGTGCTCATCTTTCCCCGAGATAGTCAATCCACGAAGAGCCTCGACAAAGGACCGTTGGTTGTCAACGTGGGGAGGGTCTTGCACGAACACCCCACGCATAATGTTGTTAGCAAAGGTTTTGACCGGCTCGTAAGGCAGATCATTAGCAGTTTGCGCTGCAGCACAGCGTTGCATGAATTCTATGGCAATTGCGAATCGCGCTTGGTCCATTCGCCGCTCCAGCCTGCCGCCCAATTTGATAGCCTGTTCGACAACCTCCATGGTCGCATGTCTCCATTCGCTATAACCGTCCTTAGTCCGGATGGTAAACGTAGGGAGCACCGGCATGGGCTCGAGTGCAAGTCCCTTCATAGGGAATGGCGAAATTACTCCATGGACAGCGCCCATGAGCTCCAAGCTATCCTGGACGGCGTAGATAGCCCGTTTGAATGCTGAGGCAACACTGACTTTCTCGTGCAGAACTAGTTGCTTCTCGAGTTCTTGTAGATTGGCTTTGGCTTCCGAGTCTTGCGGTGCGTAGGTCGCTTCATACGCATTAAGAATATGGGTCTTGAGTAATGCGATCACCGACACAGCAAATGGCGCAACGGGAATAACTGAGAGTGTCGCAGCGTTGAATCGGGGTCTGCTGTGAAAGCGTACATCTGGCGAAGAGGGTCCAGGGAAAAGCATTGCCAGCTTCCACATTGCCTTGCTTACTTCAGCGAGCCATTCTGCCCGCCCAGTAATCAGTCGATCAGTTACAAGCTCCCAAAGACGTGTGATATCACAATCTCGCAAAACACGTTCAACAGCGTCGTCGTTTTTGCGGTGGTTGATGTAATCGATTGTGGCATCGGTGACACGCTGAACGACGTGGATGTCCAGCTCCTTGTTTTTGTCGAACCAGGGAAGTAGGATACTTAAGACGATGTCCACATGGGTAACTTCTCGCCTGGGGTTTTTGATAGCCTTTTGAACGTTGTCAGAAAAAGTGGTAAGCACGCTGCCGACCATGTCACTGTCGAAGGTATTTGGCACTGATGGTCTAATCGTTTCGCAGGTGAGCTCGAATTCGTATGGCATTTGACTGGCCTCAGCAGTCACACGGAGGAATGAATGTAGTATTCTGTATTGGACCTAATTCTATATCATCAACAGTGCACTGGCACAAGCGACATGACAGAATAAACCTTGTTCCAGGACAACGGCATCTGCTGGATGATTCGCCCCACTTGAACGATCCAGTCCGCAATGTCGTCTGGGCAAGGGCTTTTGACCAGCATTTCGAGGTTTTGTTCTCCGTCGAGCCCAGTGGGAATCACATGACGCCAGACGTAGGATTTATGGAGCGAGAGCATAGATACAAGGGTTGCCTTGCATTCCTCATAGTTGCTTTTCATCTCGAAAGAAGGTCGAGGCTGTAGTAATTGTGCAATCTTTTCGACATAGCCGTTGAGAGCACAAAGATCGTTCCAATTCGCAAGAGCAGTAATAGATGGCAGGTAGTGGGCAACATTCACTGATGAACTTGGGAGACATTGAAGACCCTGTAGAATGCAGTCAAGTACCAGTCAAATAGTAAAAGGAATATCCTGCCTGGAAGTACGATAGAGGCTGTTCAATAGTTGGCAGACGAGGCTTCTCCCACAGTTGCTGCTCTGTTGCATGTTTAGGCGCCTGCTCTACATCGACAAGTTCTATCGAGGCACTACGTCGGTGCCAGAATCGCCTTTTTTCGCCCATTGGATGATTCTGGTCTGACTCTTGCTCTCCCATTTCTGCGACCATACCCAAGCACCAGATAGCTTTGAGACATACAACCTGTCTTCGCAGCTTAACCTGGGTCTCGAGTAAGCCACTTTCACAGCTAGCAAGGAGGTGCTCGATCCGGGAGCCGAGCTGAACTTGAGGATCCTTTAACAGTCCGACGATCAGGTTGTCGTACTTCCTCCGGCGACCGAAATTCGAGCCCCATATGGCATTCGGAATGCCTTCCACGAATGGCTCGAGCTCGTCATCATCGGCCAATGATTTCATCGTCCACGCCAACGCCCGCTTGTCGCGTGCCTCTCGAGGGTCTGAGCGCACGGTTGCTGTACTCATCATCGCATCAACCATTGAGTGTGAATGGGGAGAGTCCGCATGATTGCTGGGCGAAATTCCGTGTTGCTCAAGCATACGGAAAAAATACCTCCGCGCACTCCATAGAATGGTGGAGAGCGGTGTCTGGTAAGGGCAATCAAACTGGATGAGAGGAAGCACTGTCATTGTCCCATAGATGATGACCACGATAGCAAGGAGGGTGGCAGCGACAAAAGCCAACAGGTTGCTGACTAACAACAGGAAGGCGACAAGACCACCCAAGAAAAATAGCAGGGACATGTGAAGCAGCAATGGGATGACTCCGACAAAGGCGTGCATACGGAACCTAGCGCTCGTTAATGAATACAGGTCGTATTTTCGACAATGCAAACCGTTGAATGCCGTAGTAAAGGTAGGCAAATATCCGTGCTCGTTTTACTGGAGAAGGCAGCATCTCTGTTCGGTTGAGAAAGTCTCTTGCCCATTGATCAACTAAGGTCGCAGTGAGAGCACTCGCCAAACTAAGACCAAGTGCAATGAACCACAGAGCATTACAAATGACTGCGGCGGTCGGGGGAGGTCCAGGCAGTCGCGGCGGGTCATTGAGCAACGAGATATTGAATGGGGTGCCTGGATTTTGCAATGAGAAGAGGGCAATCTGAACAAGCGGTTCTGGAGTTCGATCAAGAAGCTTATAGCTCTCGACGATAAACGCGCTTAAAATGGCGGAGAAGAGACCGGCCTGTTCAAGTTCAAGTTGGGATTGATGGCGACTGAGCACAATCCACGTACAAAAATAAGGAGCCCATTCATATTATTGCGCCAACCATCCACAAGTGCTTTGTCGTACTTCTCAGCTTCCGAAATGTAGACGGACCAAATTTGAGCGCAAGGTTCATCACCTGGTGTCACTTGGTTAGCTCAACGATTCCCCTCGCAAGGAAATCCACCTGGCGTATCGATAGATGGTCCAAGTCCTTGCTGCTTCGCCATGTTTCGCCGCTAGAAGAGAAAGAGACAGTTGGGTCATCATTGTTGAATTCAAGCTTGTGGCATTGAATCATTGACATCTGTGCATAGCCACTGTAAGTCTGTATTCAAGAACCAACGTTCGACACCAAAATTACCCAATCTAGCTATATAGTCCACTTATGGGAGGCCAAAAAGAGTACTAGTAACCTTTGGGTTGCCAATGTATAATGTAATCGCAAACGCGGCATTCACAAGTCCTCCCATCAGTAGCGTCGCACTACTCAGGGCCCAAGACTCCGGGTGTCACCAGGCAAGTGCACAGAGACAAAAAAGACCAAGCGCAAGTCATGGCAACTGCGCACACATGTTAGCTAGCGGGGCGGTAGTCGGTGATAGGCACCATACAAATCGGTGGAGTGGCAGCAGGTCCAGCTCTTGAAGCTGCCACAGTCCCAAGACCAACTGAGGTAACAAGACATGCGATTGAATGATTGAACCCCGGTGCTATAGACGCATCGCTCAAATGCTTTTGAAAGTTGGCAGCTTCTCAACGCAACTAATGCCGCACTCACCAATCCAGTGACGGTAGCGAGTGTCTTGGTCGCCACTGATTCGTAGAGCATAGAGGGTTTGACGAACAGAATCAAGCCGATGGTAATATCTGCCAATCCCTTCCCAAAAACAAGCATGCGTGTCATGGTGTGAAGGAGACCGTCTCTAAGTGTCTCGAAACTAACTCCTTGAACGGTGCATTTCTATTGGAAGTAAATATTCTAGCAAGTAAAACCACCTTGGCATGTGGTTTCATTTAACCACTGTGACTCCATTGTACTAAAGGCCCGCGTTCCGAGCTCTAAATTTAGATCAACAAACGCTCCGACTTGGGGTACAGCAGTGGCAGCGTCGCCAGTAAACAGAGAGCTAGAGAAAGTAGATGTCGACGGATGTGCGCTGTTGCTTCCACCAGTTAGGAGAAGATGGCCCAGTTTTACATCGACTCGGCTGATCAAGCCAGCGACTTGTTGCCCACTGAATGAATATGCAGATAGCTTGAGCTCCTCCGAGAACCTGACCCATAAACTGTTAAATTTATCCTCATAAACAATGAAAATGACGGACACCTGCAGGACACTTTGTGTTTCTGGTGACATTCGCATTTCTCCAGCCTCTGTGGCACAGAATTCAGCCCAAGAAGCGATAACTCGCCCTTGTAACGGTGTGGGACTATAGTGTATTCTCGGTAGTCGTTTGAACCCCTTGGCGAACTCTTTTGCACCTTCTAAACACAGCTCTCGCGTTTGAGCGCGTAATAACCGGATTCGTTCACGTGTACCTCTCCCGTCGAGGATCTGAGCCTGGGTGTCCAAAGTATCCCGGTACTCCAGCTCCCGATAGAAGGCCAGGGCAATAGCAGCGAAACCAAATGCAATCACATAAGCTGTGGTCCGCAAATTCATATCTGGCGTCATACCCTCTGAAGAGAGCACAACCTGAACATCATTGTCTAGAACAGCGTCAATCCGTTCCGTCAGAAGAGCGAGTGCAGATTGAAGCATGGTAAGAGCAGTAAGGAATTTAAGCACCGCTCCTTCAGCCAAAGGTTCGAGTCGAGGATAATCTAATCATTTTTACGTAAATGCAATTGTACAAAGCAATGACGAACACATACATACCGCCAGCGATAGTTTCAGAAAGTTGCCTCGAAAGGTTTGTGACATGGTAAAGGACTAGCAAATCCATATTCAAATGGTCGGCGCAGAAAGAAGGTGCATACAGGGGCGAACTGACGTCCACAATACAGAGGAGTTGGTACTTTTGGAGGTTTTCTCGAGGGAGGTTAGAAAAGCATCCAATGGTGGCGGTACGGGTCCGGTGAGAAGCATTTGGTCGTGTGGGGTTCTACTTTGGTTTAATATTCTCCGCGATTGAACGAAAAATTGACCTTACAGCAAGAGCGGTGTCCTATTTGTGGCGGATACGATTGTCTCAGTCATCTGCAAATTTTTGTTAGCAGCAACCAAGTTAAAGTATGACCAAAGGTTGCATTCCAGATACCCCGCCCATTGCGTTGCGTCCTCTCCATTGAATCCAACTACATGCCAATGTGGGGCCAGGGCACGAATATGCGCTAAGTAAGCGCTTGCCCAGGGTCGTGATGGACCAACAAAATCAACTAAGTAGTATAACATTTTGAGATGACAGCGATCGAGGAACTTGAAGTATCCACTCACTTTGTTCTATAACGTCCAGCAGGTAACAAGATGCTGCATTCTCCGCTGAAGGCTGCAGGAGGGTTCCGGCCTCCCATGCCAACTTCAAAGCTTCATCGCGGAGAGCTCGGTATATTAGCTGCCGCCTAATACCGCAAGATAGCAGTACATCACATGGCGCAGAAGCGAAGAATTCGTGGTCATTGAAAGATGTAGGCCGTGGACCATCACCAAGCACGAGAGGATGGAACGAGGCCAAAGACGACACACACATCAAACAAAGGGCAAGCACCCGTGAATGCAGTGGTAGCAGATGCAACTGGTAACAGACGGCACGGATGTCGTTCTTTATGCTGGTTGCTGCAATCAGAGGGTGGTTGATTTGTGGGAGGTATTTAAGAGCTGATTGCAATTGTTTTAGCCAAGTGGGTGCTGTCATTGTTGCCACGCACCGTCAAAACAATGAGAAACGAAGTCTGGTGTCAGTTCTGGGCGGTCGACTGAGCCACGGAAAGCAGGACTGGATTCTGGAACTAGAATTCCTGGCGAACTCTGCGATGCAGCGTGGGTTTTCCTAGGCCGCCCACGAGGAATGGCAGTTGTTGTACAGCTGCAATACAAGCTTAAGAGGGGAGGTGGTAGTACCACTCGTCCACACACATTACGTTCTTTTCGACACTGAGATCTTGTTGAACACATCGAACCACAAGACAGTCAAAAGACTGACCATCTTGGACACGGTGCGCCATTGGGCTATAAACGCGTAAGCTTGTTTGAGACAGAGCTGTTGATTTCACCTGAGGATGGCATAATACACGTCGAGCCTAGACATCTTTATTACCCATTCCATGAGGGGACCGGTCGCCAGCTTTTACCTTGCATGCGTCGCATGCGGGAGGTTTCTTACGTTTCTCTATGGAGGACGAGGACATGGTGGAAGGGTCAGAGAAGGGAGGGCGCACAGCTTTCCGCAGATTCAAGATCGACTTTTACGAAAGTTTGGTGGTCGATGAGCTTGGGAGTTGGAAGGTTGACATGATCGGAGAAGCTTACCATAATAGGTTTATGACGACATGACCTGTTGGTCAGCTCATTTTTTTGCTCGACTGAGTTTCTTCCTGGGAGGATTTGCAAATGACCGACAGCCCTCACGGTGCCTGGTCGGCATAATCGCCCACTTCCACTCAGATTTCAGTTATGCATGTCAATGTCCTGATGCAAAGAGGTGATATGTGGCATAAAATGTAGGTACCAGTACAATATGCTAAGGAAGTCGCCAGTCAAGAGATATCGGAGAAGGAAGGGAGTCGGAAAGGGTGATAAGTGACGAGGGAGATAGTCTAGGAAATAGATTCCATGGAGGTTTGGATCGTTCAGGAGGCCCAAGTAGGCCCATCGCATGTCGTTGAGCGATACAGCAACAACGAGCCAAATGAAACGATGAACGGCGTTGACAGCAGTGGAATGTTCGAAGAACGATGTCCGCTGTGATGTTAACAACAGCACAACCAGAAAGTGATGTTGACACTAGCGTTCTGTCAAGACTTGGTTGAATCGTCGAATCCATGGAGGAGTAGATTTGGTTGACGGGTAGCAATGTGATCATGGACCAGAATCAAGTCTTTCGCCTCGCGCCAACACTCGTATTACCCCTGGGCCACCAGCCGAACCAACAATGCCTTCGAGAGCAATAGCTGCAGCAGGTCTCTCGACGAGGTTTCCTGCGCCTTTGGTAACATGATTGCTACCTCCGCTGCCAGGACGACGCTTGGTTTGGGTTGCTGGGCGAGAGGGGACGGTATTGTGAATGTTACCCACATTCGGCACGGAAGGCGGAACTGGAAGGAGTTTGATGCCGGCACGTGTGGCCCAGTGAGAAACAAGTGAACCTGCCGCGCGAGGTTCATGCTTGCTAACCGTGGCATCAGCAGTCGCAATGATGGGCGCAGTAGCATCTGGGGCCAAGACCGCCAGACGAACAATAGGGACATCGGTAGTTGAAACCATCTTTTCTGCTTCATTGATTTCCCAACGGGCACAACAGATTGTACGCCGCACCCACTCTTGGGCATCGTCAGAGTCTTCAGGGAGAATAGCATTCCAGGGAACAAAGGCGGCGTCTTGTTGGACACGAATACGTGGGTTCTGGCCAACTTGTGCTTCCAGAATGCGTGAAGCGGCCCGGGCACGCTGAGCAATGGGAGAAGTCCCTTTCTTCAATAGATCAAGTGTGTTCAGAGCTTTCGATCAAATAAATGAGTTGATAACAAAATGGGTTCGGTTCGCATGCATACCTTCAAGTGGTACAATGACAATCTCTGAATGCCCTTCACGGCACCAACGCTTGACTTGATGGAGGGCATGAACAAGCACACTAGCATCGACGACCACAACATTCGCATCTTTCTCCTTCCCATCCACCAGCGAGAGACGATCAATGGAGGGAGTGTCGTGATTCGGCTCGGGAAGGGTGAAGACACCTGCATGCTTTTTGCGTTTGGAAATGGTTTGAGTGGTCATTGCACTGGCTGTCTGTTGCTGCTGAGAAATGCGCTTCTTTGGAAATGGTTGAGTAGCGTTGGGAGATGAGCTACGCCAGTTACGGGACGCAGCCGACTTTTCCAATTGCTCGACTTGATGGTTCAGGAATGCGGCCCCGAGAGCGCGAGACATTGCCTGAACACAGTTGAGTCGAGCCTTCAGTTAGCCGAGAGACCCAACTAACTCACTTTCTTGTCTGCCATGAGAAGAATGATAGTATGTTGGCTCAGGATAATGTGTGTGTGTCCTCCGTTTTGCGTTGGGCCGAAAGAATATTGTGCGAGAATAATACAAAGTTGAGAGTGGGTGGCAAGATTGGTGTGTGCGTGTGACCACAGAGGCAGTGATCATGAGCTGCCCCACTGCTAATTCTGTCATACAGCGAGCATAACTAGTTCCACGAGTGCTCCAAGTTATAATTGCCGCACGACGTAGTACAATCCACCAAAGTCTTTTCGAGAGTTTTAGATTGGGTGTTCAGACTTAGAAGACTCGCACTGCGAGATTTGAGCCCGTTTAAGTACCGTCCGCGACTCGGAGCTTGAGCTATCGTCCAGTGTTTGTTCCTTGTGACGTTAGAAAGGAAGACATGCTCACCACTTGGTTGCGACTTGGACAATATTGAAGTTATGAAAACTCTTATCGGCAGTGCTATGCTTGTAGCTACAAAAGATTCTACGGGGCCCATCTCCCTCTCTACTATCGTGTGCCCCAGAGCCTTTATTTTGCTCCGTGAAGTTAGCTGTTGTTGATTTTGGCGATGCAGCTTATCAACAACATCACGTTCAATGCCTGCTCCAACCCCCAAGGGCATCCGCTCCCACTTGACACAGCGCATACCTACGCCCCCCATAGCATGCTTGCGTAGATACCTAAACCATAAATCGATCACGACTGGATCTGCGTCGAAGGCTTTGATCCCTCGCCGGTGGACCTTTCTCTCAAAGTTCTCCTGCGATTTTTTGGCTGCGAATGGCCCACGAATAACAGTCCAAAGCGACCGCTGGGTTGGGAGAGAGTATGCCCGCGAGCAAGGGATTCCCAATGAGTAGGCAGCATGAGTTGCGAAGTGCACGAAGAGGTCCATGTTGAGGATGTCATGCGACCTGAATTGGATTTGAGCAACGGGAACGCCACGGGTTCGAGGATGGCGAAAAGGCCGGTGAATGCTCCGTCCATGAACAATGGTCGACGCATATTCAACCTCAGAGAATTCCTCTGGTAAAGGACCCCGGAGAGGAAGTTGTTGTGTTGGGAAACCGGTCGGAAGGGTTTGCAATGTGGTTCGTGCCCTGCAGTGAAATGAGAGTAGATCTAAGTTGACCGCAATATCCTACTGAATGCCAAAGAGTTCTCTAGAGTTACTGGCTATTCTACAAATAAATTAGTGTGGTCGTTAACAAAGGCTGATAGAATACTTTTCCGGTCCCAGGATGGAGGCACAAGGAAGCGTCGAATGTTCAGACTCGAGCGCACTAGACGATAAATCAGCTTAGAGACTTTACGCGCGAAGTTCTACAAACTGTAGTGTTTCTATTTCAGGAATATCGGGAGAATTTATTAGAGCATCAACCTCGCTATGGGACGGTTCATTAGGAGGATGCTATGTTATTCAGGGAGCTCGTGCCTCAACACGTTCGGGTCGGTCTGCCTACAACAATAATTAATGGAAAAATCTACAGAGAAAGCAGCGCGCACTGTTGCTTTTCGAGCTCAAGCAAACGTTGAATACTTGGGTCACTACGATGAGTTGGGATTAAAAAGCGGCTTTTGAGGTGGAGAGAGAGTTACACAGTAGAGCCAGCGGCATATGTACGAGAAAGTCGCGATGGTGTCAACACAAGCCGATGAGCGAGTCGGAGAAGAAACATGACATTATGTAACGGCGCACGTGCAAATCGACGATGGCAGAATACTCCACCAACGAAAGTGTCCTCTGCTTCCATGGGCCTCTCATCTACGCTGCAAAAATTCTCAAGGTGCAAGAAGGCGACGCCGAAAGGCCCGATGCAATTACTGGAAAGCCTGGTGCACAGTACTTTGTGCATTATAAAGGATGGAAGACAACGTGAGTTGTTTGAAAACCACTCATCTAGGGTTTAAGCCCTTGAACCAAGGTGGGATGAATGGGTTCCAACGGACAGACTTTTGAAAGACAATGAAGTCAACCGTATCAAACAAAAGGAGCTCAAACAGCAACAAACAGCGAAGGAGCGTCCTCCAACCAAAGCATCTACTTCAGGCAACGCAACTGGCTCAACAGCGGGCGCAAGCACCAATACCAACACTGGAACACGTTCCGGTACACGAAAGGATCTTGGAACGCGTGGAACCAAACGAGGGCGCGATGAGGTAGGAATATACTAGTATAACATGAGATTCAACTTGACTGCTCATATCCTAAGGTGGAGGGAACTAAGAAACCCGACATGCGTCTCAACGTCCCGGAGCAGCTCAAGGCCAAACTTGTCGATGACTGGGAAGCAGTCACAAAAAACGCTCTCGTTAGTTTTATGCATTGCCGATTTACTCTTTTGACCTTTTGCAGCTTGTTACCTTACCCTGTAAACCGACTGTGGAACAGCTCTTGACCGAATTTGAAACCCATCTGAGGAATACGAATCCATCTCAGTACGCCTTGGCCTCCTAGTTCGCGGCTTGAATTTATAGTGTTCTAGTCTCAAAGACTCTGCCTCACTTTCCGCTGCTGTTATCGCCGGGCTCAAAACCTATTTCGACAAGGCTCTTGGCAATTGTCTGTTGTATCGCGAGGAACGTCCGCAGTTTGGAGACATTCGTATCCAGTATATCACTGGGCAACATGTTAAACAAGCTGCTGAGATGAGCCAAATCTATGGAGCAGAACATCTTCTGCGAATGCTAGGTGGGTCAGGGTCCGGTTCTCACTTTTTCAACTTACTCTGTCAGTTACGATGCCTTCGATGATTGCACAATCAACCCTCGACTCTGAATCAACAGATATAGTGCGAGACTATGTCAATGAACTGTTCGTCTGGATGCTACAGGAGGAAGCTCGACTCTTCCAGCCAGAATATCGCGAATATGCTAGCCCAGCTTATCAAAATGTAGCGAAAAGCTGATAGAATTCTTCCTTTGACTCGTTGTACAAATGTAATTATTTCCATGGTTGTGGTGTCAATTTGGTGGTTGGTTGATACGTCCTGTCACCGCGTGACACGTTATCCCCAGCCTAAATTTTTCCATGTTGACTCGCGCATGGCGACGCGCGGCAGCAGTTCAAGGATGCGGCCGTGGGTCTATGGAGGGGCGATGCTATGCCGCCACTGCAATGGCCGTGCGACGGAACGACATACAAGCCTTTCTGGACCGGCCTTTACCACTCACGGTCCTTCCTACCCCCCTTCCTCATAACTTTCGTTCCGTACAAAACGACATCTGGTTCAGCGACTCAGAAACGCAGGAGCTAATGGCCATCATGGACGCATGTTTACACAATCTCTACGACGTTCCGCGGGCTAAAACAATCTTCGATCGCCTCCAAGCTGCTCAAAGTGTTGCTATAGACAGCCGGGTCGTCAACGCCATGCTCGAAGCCTACCTAAAAATGGCTTCTCAGAGTGACACCGAATATTGGATCAAGGCTTTATGGGACCTGTTCGATTCTTTCCTGGAACCCAGCAATTCTGCTTACGCCATCGCATTGCTCACTGTCCACCGCTTCCCTAACCATTCACACCTCGGGATTACCTCCCTTCTTAGTCAAATGGTCCGCAATAGCGTGCCCATCCTCTTCGTTGTTTCTGATCGTGTACTGGCCGATGAAGTCGAGGCCGCAGAGCTCGTCACTCGACTTTCCAAGTCAGCAATCGACCTCAATTTACCATCGGTAGTAGCAGAGCTCTCCCAAGCTCAGACCACCGCTACTGCTACTGTTGAAGAAGATATGGTTCCCGAGGCTCGCCCTGTCATCAAAGACTCTGATAAAACTGTTCCTTTCAATCTTTTTACCCTTCGGAAACACCTGACGAGTACTGCTCTTGCTCGTCGTGTCATTCCTACCGATATGAATGCACGTCAAAAGTTGCTCGAAGATAGCGTGTTCGATGCTGCCAAAGAGCGTCTAGCGCGTCAGAGTGAACTGTTTGAGCGTTTTAACCTGCAAAGTAATGTCCTCCAGCAGCCTGATCTCCAACGTTGGATGTGGCAATGGCATCTTCTTCTGACAGTGGGTCCCTTTAGTCCCAATATCTTACTAGAGACTGACAATCTGAAATTCAGGATCGACTTCAGCGTGAAATCACGGAAATTGAGCGAACGGAAGCATTGCGGGCTCCGGGTCTATCGCAATATACCTCTCGCCGAATGTCAGACCTTGCGCCCTACCTCTCTACCGTCAAACCAGATCGCCTCAGTCTCATCACCATTGTCGAGCTCATGCGACTCCAAGGCACTGGTGGCATCGCCGAAGGGATGAAGACAACCCGTGCACTGGTTAGCATCGGAAAAGCCGTAGAAAGCGAATATAAATCCAGCATTTGTCGACGAAACCAGATTGACATTCCGATATCCAACGCACCTTTGGATAGCTTCACGAATATGGGCTATAAACATTTACAACAAAGGCGTGTTCTGGCAGCCAAGTTTTCTTTGGACAATGAAGGCTGGTCTGCACCGTGGACTCAAACGATTCGCAGTCAAGTTGGCTCAGTGCTGGTCGAATGTCTATTAGATGTTGCTCGCGTCACCCGAACGGCGGTCAATAAAATTACTGGCGAGTCTGTGTAGGTGTTATCTTCAACAATAACAACAGCACTGTCGCTCACTCATTGCAGTCAAGAAGAGCAACCTGCGTTTTATCAAGGCTACGAGTACCAACGTGGCCAAAAGCTCGGTGTGCTAAGACTCAACCCAATCGTTGCAGATAGACTGGCCAAAGATCCAATGCCGCTCCATCCTCGACATCTCCCCATGCTCGTGCGACCCAAGCCATGGATAGACTTCAACGATGGTGGTTACCTCAACTCAAAGAGTATGTCGCCGATTGTTCTTTCTTAGCCAGAGAGGTTAATGCCATCATTTATGTTTAGGTAACGCTATGCGATTCAAAGACTCGGTTGAGCAACGATCTTACCTCAAGTATGCGGCCGAGAATGGGCACGTAGAGCTTGTTTTCCAAGGATTAGACGTCCTTGGGAGCACACCATGGCGAATCAATAGACGCATATTTGACGTTGTGCTCGAAGTCTGGAATTCGGGGAAACGATTAGGGAAGATGCCTCCTGAGGTTTACGATGAACCTGAACCTGAACCATTTGATGGCGATGAGACGGATCTGGCTCAACGCAACATCCATTTGGTGCGCCAACGCATGTTTAACCAAGCCAAAGCGGCGAATCACAGTGATCGATGCAGCGTCAACTACAAGATCGAGATTTCACGCTCCTTCCTTAACGATGTATTCTACCTTCCTCACAACGTCGACTTCCGCGGACGCGCATACCCAATCCCTCCTCATTTGAATCATATTGGAGACGATCTCTCACGTGGGCTGCTCATGTTCGCAGACAAAAAGCCGCTTGGTGAACGTGGCTTTCGCTGGCTCAAAATTCATCTGTCTAATGTTTATGGCTTCGACAAGGCCAATTTCGACGATCGCGTCAAGTTCACAGAAGATCATCTTGATGACATCTATGACTCGGCATTGAATCCACTCACTGGTCGAGCTTGGTGGCAGAAGGCGGACGATCCGTGGCAATGTCTTGCCACGTGCGTAGAGCTCCATGCTGCTATCGAAAGCGGCGATCCATTGGCTTACAATTCAGGCCTTCCAGTACATCAAGACGGGACTTGTAATGGGCTTCAGCACTATGCAGCCCTTGGTGGCGATGAACAAGGTGCCCAGCAAGTAAACCTTGTGCGAACCGATCGACCCAGTGATGTCTATTCGTTTGTTGGTGCAATGGTAGAGAAAAGTTTGGCCGAGGCTGCCGCCAAGGGCGACCCTACGGCTATTCTACTCCAAGGCAAAATAACACGCAAAGTGGTCAAGCAGACCGTCATGACCACTGTCTATGGGGTCACATTCATTGGAGCCCGCGAACAGATCGAGAAGCAGTTACGGGACGTGAAGGGGATTCCGGATGAACAAGTATGGGTTGCGGCTTCATTCTTGGCGAAAAAAGTGCTTAGTGCTATCGGCGATCTTTTTTCTGGCGCGAAAGGCATCATGAACTGGCTGAGTCTCTCTGCTCGTCTCATTTCCAAATCAATTCCTGGTGATCGTATTCCTGAGGCTTTGGGCGAACTTCAGCACAGACGGGATACTGGGCGAAAACCCAGAATCATGACGGGCTTGCCTGACGAGCATATCAAAAGGGAGCAGATGACTTCTGTTGTATGGACCACGCCCCTCGGCCTGCCCATTTGTCAACCGTATCGCAAGGTCGCTAAACGACAGATCTACACAAACCTTCAAACGGTTTACATCAGCGATCCTGCAGCACCGGCCGAAGTCAACTCGCAGAAACAGGCATCTGCTTTCCCCCCAAATTTTATTCACAGTTTGGACGCGACGCACATGATGCTAACAGCTATCGAATGCAACGTTCAAGGCCTGACATTCGCATCCGTCCACGATTCATACTGGACCCATGCTTGTAGCGTCGACGAAATGTCCAGCGTGATCAGGGCAACGTTCATTGCCTTGCATAGCTCTGACGTACTCCAAAAGTTGCGAGAAGAGGTCGGTTCTGTATCACGACTACAAACAAAAATGCTGATTCCTATCTAGTTCATGACACGGTACCGGGGTTTCCAAGTCCCCTTGTACCATCTTCGAAGCCCTACTCTCATCAAGATGTTACGTGCTGCCGGTTCGCGGATACGGGTGACGCCATCTCAAGCCAAAAGTCTTCATTCCCTACGAGACATCCTCGAAGTGACTGAGACCGATTCCGCCGTCGCAACAAAGAAGGTCTACGACCAAGACGCACTCACAGAGATGTTAGCCGATTTGGGAGACTCTTTGGATGAGAGTGATACCATGGACGAAGCCCCTGAAGCGAAGAAACCTCGACGAAGAAGGAAGAAACAAGTTTCTGACGAAGAGTTCATAGAGGACCTCGTCGATCCACTGGAAGTAAAGGCGGACAAGAAGCGGAAGGAGAAGGCACTCGCGATGACCCAACTGATGGGTAAATTTGTTGACCTGACAGATCTCCTACCTCCCCTTCCAGAAAAAGGTAGTTTTGACGTGAAAAGCATCAAAGACTCGCCATATTTCTTCTCATAGACTTACATACCTACATTACTCACCCCCCTGCATACACATATCAACACTGCATTTACTGTATCTTTAATGAACATGTACTACTCGGAGAATAAAAGGATGTTGGGTCACACTTAGTCACAACGATTCTCAAGTTGTTCGAGACGTCAAGAGTCTCTCTCTCATGGCTCCGCTTCCCTCCGCTGAGCTTGATGTGCTCCTAGGTCAAGTTCAACAGCGCCTTATTGAGAGTGGAGAATGGGATCGGTGAGCTAACGTGTGGCTTCAAATCCCTCGTCAACTTGATTGGCAGCATCAGGCTTATGCTGGCGGCGAAATTGAACGACAGTGGCTGGATTGATGACTTGCACAATCGTAGCAAGGGTACGACTCTTACGTGTCAGTTCTCATCATTTTTCTTCTGCTTTATCTAGAATCTGCGCGGGGTATGCACCCACCGGCCTTCACCAAGGTTCTAGACGAGGCACTTTCAATTGCAATCAGTATGTTTGCAATTCAGTGCTACAAATATTAATATTTAATATTTATTTCCAAGCTCACGTGCCGCTCACTGCGAAACGAGAAATTACGGCCCTTATCAAGGGCTTTCTAGACAAGCAGTTCGAGTAGCGTTACAATATGTATGGAATAATCGCCTTCCGACGACGAGGATATTTGTCACCAAACTCCTTCTTATATGCGCTATGCTTTTTCTGTGCCCAAATCAGCATCTGGCCGAAACTCACAGCAGTGAAAAGAGCGCCTGGAACAATTTAGTCATGAGAGATTTCCAAAGGGAGAATAGAGCCATTTACAGGCAGCACTGCCGCTGATGAGGAGCACTGAGCACCATGCGAGAATCTCGAAGAAGTAATTGGGCGAGGTGAGGTTGAATGGTGCGGAGAAACCATAGCCAAATGGAACAGCGCGCGTTGTGGTACCAGCAGGACGGAGAGATCGAAGGGTGAGATGTGCGCTCAAGTTGGAGAGTTCAGAAAACTTGTTTTACGCCAAATCAGTAGGAGGACTGGGGCCAAGGAAAGTTGACCGACAATGAAGAGTACCCAGCCAGCTTGCAGTAAGGGACCGTCGCGCCATGTTCCGGCGACAGCAGCCTGCGAGTATCCTGGGCGGTACAGGTCATATGCAAGGAATAAGCCAGACAAGAAGTAATAATGAGCTGAGCTAATCAAATATGAGGGCGGAATAGGATGAGTTGCCTTGCGTAACCAACTTTTTGAAGATGTTTCGGAAAGGCATCGTCGCATGAGAAAATCTATGGACACTAATCGATGTTAGCCACTATAGCGTTGGGAGCGAACAGCAATCCTTACAACAGTGTCTCCAGCTCCCGCTTTACGAAGTGAAGGAGTACCATAGCATAGACGGATCTAAACGAGGTCAGTTAAGCCAGTGAAGAGCGCTTATGATGGGCACCGACTTCTGCAAAGCGCTGTGCTGTACTTGACTTCCATAAAATAGTCGAGGGAAATGATAGATGAGCGGGTGGACAATGAGTGGACCAAGCTATTCCAGATCAAGTTTATTTGCAGCCAAAGAAAATACGAAAGACGCACATATTCTATGACGAAAACCGTGCGCCAGCTAACTTGTGCTCCGAGATCCCCCACCACAAGTTCAGCTTTGCCAGCCGGGTCGAAAAGCAACACTGATTCGTCTGCAAGGGCTTTTGACGCTTCCTGAAGTGAGAGCTTCTGACGTTCGAAGTAGAGCTAGGGAGCGAGTTGTTCATTCTTGCGAGGCCAAAAAAAGATGACAGACTGCGGGATATGTTCTCTGGATAGCGCGTTTGACGTCGCGAACGGTTGGTGGAGGCGAGGGCGGGAATGAAAAGCTGAGCGGTAGTTTCAGAGAGCGAAGAAGGGGTGTCTTCTTGCGGCCGAGGGAAATGTTGACCTGCAGCTCCGTGGGTGCCTCCATTGAACCAGTACAAGCCAACAGTTATTGAATCACGAGCCACAACGTCACACGCGAACGTCACCGTGACAATCTTCTCCTCGACGATGGGCAAGTCCCAGAAAAAACGGACGATGCGCCGCCATAACCCGGTTCGCGTACCGGATTCCCATCTTCCTAAAGGTCTTGCATCGGCAGAGGAGACCTCCTCGAAGAAAAACGCGATTCTTCCCATAATGCAAAAGGTTCGGCGCAATCCATATTCATGGCTCTTATTCGAGTAGTGCCAAGATGGAAGGGACGGACCCTGTCGAGCGAAAGTGGGCGTGCGTGGCGGTCTCCAATCTGATCCAAAACGACCCCTCGACGCGTCGACTGTTGCAAGGCAAAAACATTGTTAGCGCGCTCATCACGCGTCTGACAGATAGTGAAGAAGAGGTGGTTGTAGAGGCGATGGGAGCTTTAAGGTCTGTGCCTTTGTCTTCTGAAGGCAAAGATTTCGTAATCTACAACAGAAATTTATGCATCGACGGCGGATATGAAATCTGCGCGGAGATGTACAATAAGAATATTCTTACTCCTTTAAAAGCATTCGTGCCCAAGGTAAGAATGCAGCCCAAGCTCTTACGTCTGCTTACACACACACAGCTTGCGACTACTCTCTCCGAATACCTTGCTAAGACAAAAACTGCCCCAGAGACCCAAAAAAAACTGGTTTACGAGTTTTCCGACAATGTTATCACCGTGCTTTGGTGTCTTTCGTTAGTTATTTTGCGATCTTCGTCCACAAGCCTCTCACGATCACAAGAGAAACTTCAAATAAAGCTCTGGCAGCCATCAACGAGTTGAATCTTATCCCATTTCTGGTATCCTTTCTCGCTGCACATGACAAGATACCATTGGCCCCCGTAACTGCTGCAGGTGTGTGCACATCCATGAGACCTGTTCCAAGGGACTCAACTGTGCAGCACATTGTCTGTACGTGCTCACAGACGACAACCCGCCAGCAATCGACCAGATTCGGGTTGACGCCACTTATATTGCTTGCCTCATGTCGTTTTTGGCCCCGGATAATGACCAAAATGACCCAAAAGAGAAGGACCCCCGGACAACAACTTTGCGCGTGCTTGCGTCAGGTTTGGAGCCCTTATTGGCTCTTCACACTGTTGAACATTCATAGGAATCATCCGAAACGTTTCTCCCATACCCCCTCCATCAATCGTCTCGAATCTGGACATAGACAAAGATGTTGTGCTTCCTCAGCTCCAACGCATAATATCAGGATTTTCGATCGCCGCAGCGTCTTCCTCCGTCCTTGAGATCCTTGCTCGTCAGGTCTGCAGCCTAACTCACCACTCAGCTTTAATTCATAGTGTGTGTAGGACTCAACTCCTTCCATCCAAAATCTTTCCCTCCATCACACTCCGAAATCTGACCATCGGTCCCCAGCTGAGATCGAGCTGGAGCAGATAGAAGGAAGATTACGAACCATTCAACTCTCCTTGGAAATCTTGACTGGGGTTTGCGCTACGCTTCCAGATCCGGATCCTCCCTCTACCTCTGATGAACCCGAGGGTGAGGATGATGATTTGTTGGTCATGGATGAAGAACATGCAGACGACAGTGATATGGCCGTGGACGAAAAGGTTGCCCAGTCTCTTCCTTCATTGGTACAGCCTCTACTTGAACTTATAACACCAACAACCTTATCGTTTCCGCCTTTTGCATCACCATCACCTCATCCGCCGACGACCTCAGCTCTCAGTGCTCTACATGTGGCCGCGCTTGAATGCTTGAATAACATCTTTATCGCCCTTGCTCGTGGGGGGAGGATCGACGATATTGCTGGGGGCCAAGCTGTATGGAACTCCATCTGGGCAACTGTTGAAGCAGTCGGGACACAAAGCGGGCCTGGTCAAGAGCACAGACGAGAAATGTGGGAAATTGGTGTCGGCGTGCTATGGGGTGTTGCAAGTGTGTGCCGCCCACATATTGTATGTGACAATTAAGCATTCGATTCTGAACCTCCTTGACCCCGTTCAGGAACCCCAAACCGAGCAAGTCCGGATACTAATGGGTCTGTGTAACGATCCCAGTGCAGAAGCTGTGTTGCAAGTCAAATGCATTGGCACACTCGAGTGTCTTGCTCAGAACCCTTGTAATCTGGACGCTAACAAGTCTATCGCCGAATTCCTTCTCTCAATATTGCCAAGCAGTGGTTCGCCGTCACCTACCGGGACAGAGCCCATGCTACAGGCCGTGTCCTCACTGATCGACATTTATTCAGACGAACTTTCGCCATATGACGTTAACTTCCGTCAAGGCAATTTCCTCCGGCGTTTAACCGACAGTCTGGATGGGGTGAAGAAAGCCGTGAGAGCAATCGACCGACGCAGAGAATATAATTTGAGACGCCACGGGGAGGAAGTGAGAGATAATCTTATCGGCTTCATTGAGTACCGAAGAGGGCTAAGCCTCTGAAGTATCTATATAGCATTATTTTGATCCACACGCTGGTGAACAAAACTGCCTGACATGAAAGGGCGCCAACGAAAGCGAACGTGATTATTTAAAGTCAATTATAGGATACTGGAAGCAGACTGCACTATCCACGGCGAGCAGACCATCCGTCCCCTGTCGGTTGCAGACTCGCTCTTCGTGAGCTCTTACTCGTGTTGTTGACAGCGAGCATTGGTGCGGGTGAGTGAGAGCGGTGTCTTGCAGCATGAATTGTCATCGCAGAAAAGTCTGCTGCGAGCCCTCCGGTGCCCGTCGGTGTTGATAAATAACCCATAGAGACAGGGGCCGACCACGAAATAGGCCGGGCTACCTTTTTGGGAGCTGGCGCTTCAACTCCGTCTGGTTGCAAAAGCAGTTGCAAGGCGTAGAGACACAAAAACGCGTCATTGCCAGAATTGTGCATCAACACACCTGGAATCATGGCACCGAGCTGCGGAAATAACCCCGGGCCAGTTGCTTGTTGCGTAAAATTGGCGGCCGGATTAGGTGGCTGGCCTGTTGTTGGAGCTGGTGCGGGAAGAGACCGTAGAAGGTTTTCGAGACTGAGCGTCGAGCCTGATGAACGCCCCTTGGTATTACCGGGCGTTGATCCATGGGGGTCAACCATAGCCCCCCGATGACCGGCAGCAAACAGCGCACGCTCGAATACCGCCGTGTCCACAATAAGCATATTATGTGGAAGTCGCAACTTCATCTCCTCCATGCGTGTCAGATCTCCGTGTATCCCATGCCCAACCAGAACAAGTGTATTTGGAACCGTCTCAGAGTCTGGGCTGGAAAGACTACTGGAGACGAGTTAGTCGGGGTCCACGGAACTGCGCTCCTCCTCCTCCTACCTGATCACGGCCTGGATGATCTGTGGTAGCTTTCCCTTGGGGCATACTTGACTTTCGCCAAACTACCTCGATGGTCAGTGATTTGCGTCGATGGCACGCGTCTGCTTACAGAATATTGCCACGGATGAGTAGGGCAATGTTTGTTAACGACTTTGTCAACATAGTCGCCTACGATATAATGCCCTTTGCTTTATAGAAATTCAAACATGACCGTCGTGTTTTCGCCTCTACCTACCGGTAGTTTGCATCGGGAATAGGCGGCCAGTGACCAACACTCGAGTTGAGGTATATGATCAGTGTCAAAAGAAAGAGTAACAACGTACGCTTCAAGATGCTGTGGAAAAACATCAAAATATGTTCAGACGAATAGAAATAACATACTCCGCACCGGACTGCGGCGTATCCCCACTCCAAACAGCTTTTCTCGTTCCTCTCACTCCATTCAAAATCGATGGCCAAGAAAGTATGATCACGCGATGCCCAAAGCTGCTGGATGGCTTTCGGTTCGCCAGCGCGTACACGCAGTTTCAAAGCAGAGAGAATTGTGGCAGGCAGAGTCGAATGAAGTTTCTTATAGGTCGCATAATCAGAAACGGTTCGGAGGTGACGAGACGATGTTTCGAATGGCGTTACTTGAAGAATATTGGGGGCTTGGGGGAGGGTTTCGCCAAACCTATCTGGACAATGATTAGGAGTTCCTCGACTTCGGGAAAGCCTTACCGCGTTTTTATCATCTTCAAAAACGCGCCGATAGAAGTAAGGCGAGTAACAATGTGCTTGAGGTTAGAGTTCAGCCAGGATAAGGCAAGTTTGGTGAACGTACCGCTTTACCTGTCCAAACGTCGGTGACAGTAATGACGGGCCACGAAAATGCGACGAATTCTTCGAAACTAGAAAACAGATGCCCCCAAGACCGTTCATACCAAGCAATGTTGTGGGATTCGAAATAGCCCATATATGCGGAATAAACAGAGGCCAAGTCATACTCCCATCCGCGAGGGTCCACAAGGACGAATTCCGACATGAGTGGAAGACAAGAGAAGACCGGCGCTGGCGGCCGAATACTCAACTTTGATCGCCATCGTTATACTACTCGAGACCTCGACTTGCACTACTTTGAGCAAAGGTCGATGATGTTGCAGCACTGTTATCGTTGCTATTCGGTTTTTTATCGTTCAGACATTCCGGATACTCATCCACAGGTGCTTGAGGCGTATATGTAGAGTGCTGTCAAAATATACTTAGGGGGATCACTCCCAAACAGACAATCACATCACTACACTTTTGCTTCCTTCCTCTAGCACCAGCCAAAAGCTAGCGCTGTTGGCGTTCATATTGGAACGCACGCTCCGCGTATTTCTGGACCCACGATGATTTCGCTACGCAAGCGAAGCTTGTCGCGGGTTTTCCTTATTGCTGCATGCGCTTTTGTGGTCCGCTGGCTTACAGTCTCGTCGCCAAAGTCAGCAGCAGATGCTCAAGCACACGAAATCAAGGAACATAATTTTATCGAAAGGGCGCGCAAAGACAAGTCTCTTAATGTGCAGCGCCATCGTTTCTTGCAGGCACGGATGGGGAGGGATGAAGGAGATGAGCTTATGGGGGACATTATTCGCAATGGGGCGACCGACTACTGGGAACGGTTTCAACTCCCCTAGTGCGCCGCTTTCTGACATGTCCGGTTCTTCCTCGAATTGACTTGGTGCAAGCATATTGAACAAAGACACTTCGTCCATGGACACACAACATGTAGTTGGTGCAATTGACCAACTTCTGTCTCTCAATGGCTGGGTGGCAGCTCTGTGTCCTACTCTTACCCGCCCTTTTGGTCAACATAAGCACGATAACGCCTATGATGACCTGGTCCGCGAAGACCATCTCTACTATGTTGCTATCGTTATCCATTCCGCCGACCACTTTTTAGTCGATCAGCTCGCAGTCATCGTTCAAATGGCCAAGCGTCTCGGCACCAACAACCTGTTTGTCTCAATGCTCGACTACGACTCCTCAGACTCGACGGAGACCCTTACTGATCTCTGTGAGGCCGTTCTCACTCTTCTCGGTGTACCCTTTCGCATCCGTCGTGTTGCCGGAATGACAGAAGACCCCGCCGCAGCATACTATCCTTTGGAGGAAGCTCATATGCGCAATCTTGCCCTTGAGCCGTTGCACGAGTTGTACAAGAAACGCGGGATCCGCTTTCAACGCGTCATTTGGCTAAAGGGCTTCACCTGCCCAAACGACATTCTTGAGACTATCAAAATCAGCTTTGCCAATGAAGCGTCCATGGTTTGTGGCATGGATTGGGCGGAGCATAATGGGTTTTTCATATTCTCGGACAGGTGCGGGATATGAACGATTTTTGGTGGTGCCTAACCAATCAATCTATCTAGGTGGAGGACGAGAGACATCGACGGCGATCAATTTCGGCAATCAAAGTCGTCTTCCAAAGCAGAAGCTGTTCCCCCACGAGACAGACTAGGCGCTTCTCGTTATGCGCAACACCTACCTTTTCAAGTCTTCTGCTGTGAGGCCGGAACACATGTAGTTGACCCCGAACAGTCTTACTACAAAGGAATCGCGTATCGTGCTGGAAGCGACTTTCACAATCTCAGCCGTGCTGAAGCTGTGCCAACGCGCGATCCAGATGCTCCTTGTCTCGACAGCAGCCAGGCCTGGTTCTGTAGAGATCTTTGGGTTCGAAGTGCGCGTGATGCTATGGACGAAGTTGACCAGGTTAACGACCACAATAAGCATAATCCTCTTGCCCGGCGTGCGGCAGCCCCACCCCCCGATGTGCAGGTTGCCCCACGTGATGGCATCCTCCCTGGGCAAGCTGCAGGGGATGGCCTACGACGACAGCCTAATGCAGCAGCCGCTGTCGACGCTGACGCCAATGCGGGTTCTGATTATGACGCTATGCCAGAAGAAGAGGATGGTTTATCAGAAGAATCGCTTCCTGAACCCATTCATCTCTCGATACCAAATTCCAACTTTCGCCCCGCGCGCATCCTCGTCAACCCACGATGCCCAACCACATACGCAGGCGTGAGCCATACACAGCTTGCCCTGGATTTGTTTGGCACTGGCGAAGGCGACTCGCTCCAAGCAGGCGTGGGGAAATACATCCTGGAAGATTGGGATGGTGCTCCAGAGAGTTTTGTGTGCCAAGAACAGCGGTATGCCTTTGTTTTGAACTTCGTCCCGTCTTTTGATTGTCTCAGGCAAACAGGCGGACGCAAGGCAACCAAAACACAGCGGAGGCTAGGGTTCTCCATCCACGACGAGCTGCAACGCTAACAAGCGACTTATCTGACTTAGACTACTTGTATGTATAGTATGTTAATTTTGTTCAGGACGGGAGTAAATCCTTAAAGATCAACCCCAAGATCTTCGTGACGATCATTGACGGACAGTTAGCAAACAAACAAACAAATAGACATCGCCGCAATTAAGGCGACAATCCTTTACTGTAACTCTCCTTTAACTCCCACGTCTCTAATCGTCTTGTCCCGCTTCCTTACTTTGGTCGAGCCAATATGGCTACCCCAGGCGGAACTCCTGGCTTCGAAGCTATGTTTGCGCCGCTTTTGCTCGGTGTCATCTTCAACACAATTTTGTTTGGTGTTTTCATCGTCATGGTCTCGTGGTTCTGTGCCCGATGTCCCTGCTGGCTAACATAATCGAAAGGTTCACTCATACTTCCGTTTATATAAAATGTGCGACACTCTGGTCTCTCCAAGTTGATGTCAAATTGTCTGACCAAGCCTTCCTATAGCGACTCTACTTGGATCCGACTTCTGGTATACCGACTCTAACTTGAGGCTTGCGATACGCTGATACCCCACAGATCTACTACCTCATTCTAATGGAGACAATTAATACGGTCTGCAGTGTCGGTATAATCTACGAGCCATTAATCAAGCTTCATGGTGAATGAAACCTTGCAAAGTCAAGATAAAAGCTTGACATTAACAGACTCCCCACTTGTCCAAGTCAACTCTCCAAAGAGTGAGCAGCAATCCGCTAGGGCCTTGCCATTGTTACTCATAACATCCTCTAGTGCTTGCTGCAGGTGGGTAACTCCCAAAGCACACAGGCGAATACTGATACATCATGCGCTACAGACCCGATTGTGACCGTGGGTCTCAACTTCAAGTTGACTTTGCTACGCTCACCTACATCAACAGACACTGATATCCACACCCGTACAACTTTTCATGGCTTGGCGCATTCGCCTTATGACTAAGTCCAACTGGCTCACGGCCACTGTTGTTCTCCTCGCCATCACTTCCTTTAGTGGGCCCACACTTCAACTAGTCGGGTATTTGCGCTGACATGCGGTAGTTGGAGGCGTTGTATCCTCTATTCTCGTTGCTCTCGATGGTCGTTTTGCTCATTTTGGTGCCATTGAGGCGCCTCTTGCTCTGTGGTTGACATCGACTGCTTTTGCGGACCTCTTCATCACCGCTTTTTTGGTCAACTTCTTGGTATCGCCTATGTTACTCCTTCCAAGTGTCCGATGCTCACACATGGATAGTGGGTGAACAAGACGGGTTTTAAAACACAAACCGACTCTGTCACCGACAGAATCATCTTTTTGACTGTTCAGACAGGAACCCTCACGTCTTTCGCTGCAATTGCCGATGTCACACTGTTTCTAATTCTTCCGAGGACAACGTTCATGTTTATTTGGGATTTTTCACTGGCCAGGCTCTACTCCATATGCCTGATTGCCACTCTCAATGCACGGCATGAGTGGAACATGCTTCTCTCAGCTCCATCATCTCTTCCTACCTCAACGAACAACAGCGAGCGGAAAGGTTCAGCTGGCTCCGATGCAATCATCAAGATACGGCGTGCAACCGAAATTCAGGGCTTGCAACTCTACATTCCATCCCAGTTTGAAATGGCGAGTCAAGTAAATCACACTCCACGTAAAAGGACGCCAACGACCAGATCACCGCTTGCACTTTTGAGGGCCACAACTGCTGATGTTGTTCACCTTGATCTCCCACGACAGAATATAGACGAGACCCGAGTAGCCATCCCAACGGGATCACAGACCGCTCAGTGGGATCATCGGACATTTAAGGGAAGAGAAAGAGTCAAGGAAAGCGAAATCGCTTGGAGGACAGCCGAGTGGGCAAGGAGAACAGGCAGATGAATCTGTTGCATATCTCGTATTTATCGGTAATTTATAGAATGGAACAGTACGTTCATCGAGCTCACGAATAGTGAGGGGTATGTAATAATGAACGTGACTAAGCTCGAACTTTCAAGGGTCGCCTCTTGTCGGCACGCACAAGTGCTGGAATGTTGGTCAGTTTTGTTTGGTCCAGTAGAAGAAAGGAAGTAGGGACGTTGAGTTTCTGTGCGTGTAGTGGTCTATGGGTTTGTGTGTTGCAGTTGTATCCATACCAGCAATCGTCTGCAGGAAGTGTTTGGTGACCAGCTGACAAATATGAAGCTACAAAACGAAGAACAAGGGGTAGACACACATTTTGGCCATTCACTAGCCCACCACCTCCACACATGATCTTCGAGAAAAGAAATCAGACATGACGTGCAATAAGACAAGTCAACGTCCCAGCCCGTCCAGTCTCTGCTGTACTTGTTGATCATGCGTGGGGCGGGGGCGGAATCGCTTTCATCGTCCTCCTCTGTAGCATTATCATCTGTGGTGGACAAAAAGGCTGATGGGGTGACATTTTTGTGTGACCACACTGCCTCAATCCACTCGCCCATTAGGTCTGAATCCGTCAAATGAGCAGTCGCCTGATTGTATGGGGCACTCAAGACGGGATTTATTTTCAGCTTGCCACGCAAAAGTTGTAAGGGGTATATTTGCATACGGTGCCAGTCTGTGACCTAGGTGGGTGAGTTTCTTTGGAACACGTTGTTTCCTCACTAGCACGGTTCAGCAATTTGAGGCCGCCAGGCGCCGGACATTGCGAGCCTATATTTAACTGAGCAACATCAACAAGGGAACGAGAGGTACATACAAGTATCATTCGCTCCGACGACCTCGTCTAGAATGTACATTGAACAGGGTTCCTCTTCCTTGGGCTTTTTATCCCCTCTTTTATTCCATATATTCTCCATGGGTCGAGAAAAATAGTCATCAGCGAAAAGCGGATGAGGTTCCCCCCAATCGAGGAGCTGGTCTCCGTGTTCACGGACGAAATCGAAGTTGCGGTCCTCCCAGGTTCTCACTAGACCTTCTGGCCCGCAACTCAGAAGGGCTCCGAGTGCTTCATCAACGACTAATGGTTCCGTCAGAATGGCAGGTCGCAAAGAGATATATACGGCAAGTTACTGGAATCTTGGTTATACGCTGCAACTGAATCAAAGACCTCCTTCATGAACTTGACAAGTGAATGGATTTCTCGTAGCTCTTCGGAATCATACGCATTTAGAACTGCTGTGCGTTGCTTGATGATATTCGCCACTAAATCTGGGTCCAAGTCCTCGAGTTGGTCATCTTCGAAATGATCGAGGCAGAAGAGTTTGCAAAAAAGCATCACGCGATAGGCTGCTCGGCGCAAAATGAAGGACTCGTCTATGCTAAGAACACTGACTTGCGAAGTTCGGTCTTTTGAGCTATATGGCTATGTTTCAAGAAAAAAAAAACTAGAGCGGCGAGAAGAACGTACGTCATGCTGTAGATAGCCTCGAACCTAGAAAGTACATCAGCATGTTCCATTAGTTGTTGCTTCTCTTGTGCGGTAAGGATGCTGGGCTCATGAGCCTCGGGGCAAGCATTTGCAAGTTCTAAGGGATTCAAGCCAGCGAGTTGTCGAAGAGCGTCGTCAGGGGCATCGTCACTGATATTGGGATATGGATAGCGAATAACACGCAGGGCGGAAGGTAGGGCGGGCCCGACGACATTATAAGCCACCGCTCGCATTATAGACTGTTGCATTGGGCTCGAGTTCGTTATAGGAAACACCACTTACCCTTGGATGCAACTGGAAGACACGGTGGAAGTCTTTCGACACAAGAATCGCTGCTTGAAGCGCGGAAAATGAGGGACAGAACGTGAGCACTCTGTCGATAAGGTCATCGTCTAGTGGGAGACTGCTGAGACCCCGCATTAGGGCCTCAATCTGTTCGTCGTGATGGTAATGGTGATGTTATGTAAACTAATCGTAGTCATCAAGTACTGTATTGGCTTCATATTGGCTTGAGCATCTTTCCGCTCAGGACAAGTTTCAACAAGCGTAACGGGTTGTAGTGAGCAGCTAGCTTGTGCCATAGTTGAGCTATGGGCGTTTCAATCTAGAACTCTCTTTGGATGAACAACCCACTGTATTGGGAAAAGATCCTGGCGAGTGGCACAGGTTTGTTCTGACGAAATTCAGCACTCCTTTTCGCAACAAAAAGGGAACCCATACTTTGACAAGAAAGGATATAGTTGGTTCAGAGCCTTTTGCAAGATGGATGTCGTCTGAGAGTCTATTAGTAGGTCAAGCTACAAGAGCGGAAAATCTACATGGGATCCGCCAAGGATCTTTAACGCGAAGCATAAGCGCAAAGAGCGGGAAATGATTCATGAATGCGAGCTGTGTTTCCAGAGCAGCATTGACTAGAATACTGATTAAACGAAGCTACGACAAGTGAATTGCGTTTCTGGCAAAGAATGACTGCGTACCAAGGCAAACATGGTGTAATATGCCAGAACAGTGGGAGCAAGGAAAGCTAAGAGAGTGAACAGAATCGTCCCGAAGAGGAGCTGATCTGTATCGTACTCCCAATTGTCTGTCCGGTTCCGCAGCGTGTTAAAACGTTTCCCTGACGTTATGTTGTCAAATGGGAAGCCCAAGGAAGGGATAAAAACGGACCACGAAACAGATTCCACAGCGAAGCGCCAGTATGCAAGAAGCGAGCATAAAGAGCGCGTGAAATGTAATAACAAACTGTGATATGGAAAGTAAGTAGTCCAAAGAGGTCGGCCATCAAGGCGATTGCGATGGTCATGCCACAAACACAGCCGAGGATACCAGCCCAATAAAGAAGGACTGAGAGATGTGAGGCTATCGCATGGAGCCCAACTTCAATCATTAACTCAAGCCGCACAATATAAATATTTGCTTACTTCCCCACGTTCTAACAAGGTCATGAAATGTGTGCGAGTAGAGATGGCTTAGTTCTGTATTGAGTTTCAGGCCTGCAGGCCAAGAATCCAGCCACAGAAGAGCCCATCGGATCCAGTCAATGAAGAAAACCTATCAGAAGTGAGACTGAGCTTCAACTAGTAGTGCAAGCAAACCTCGATGAGGGTGTTGGTCATTTTTGCGAGGGTGGTACTATTATCACGTAGAAACGACCCGAATGCCACACCGACAATGATATCGTTGAGAATGAGCCATAAAGTATTGAAAAAGCTGTTTGGGATTGATTATAGGACTAGTTCCAGGCGTCGTATATACCGACCTCGTGTATCTTGTGGAGTAGTTATGTGTGGATGTGGAGGGTGTGCTCAGTGAGTCGAGTTGTTGCGTGAGAGATGTAACTTGACTACGACGAGCTTCCAACTGCCGGGCTAAGTTCGATGAACGTGAAGTTGAACGAAGGACGAAATATGTGATACCTGTGGAGGAGATCCTTGCTAGTTGGCCTAAGATGGGGTATTGCGATGAAAAGGGGGAATGTGACAGGACATGTCGTGGTAGGTAGAGAGCAATGCCCATCGCAACCAAGATGTGCTTGGAAACGTTCAGGCTATGAGATTCAGGCAGGATAGATTCACAGCTTATTGTAGAATCGAACTAGAATCCATTTGTCATGATGCATGAGAGGAGAAATCTATTTGACCTACGAGGTCTGAGTTGAGGTGAAAGGAGCTCCTGGTAAAGTCGTGTATTACCAAGGGGTTTCTTGGAGCGCGCCGTGAGTCTCCGTGGAGTTGAAGTGAATAAGAGCGTAGCGAAGAAGGCATATGCCGGTAGTAGTAAATGAGGGTGAATCTACTCAAGATCTTTAGCGGAGCCTAGAAAAAGCCTGTTCCGACCCACTCCGAGTCAATGCCAGCGAAATCGAGTTGGACGCAACCGAATGCATCGAAATAACATTTCCCGAGGAATTTTGCACCACTAACAGTAGGTGGGGTTTGGACTCGATTAGCGGAGATGGTGGCCACACAGTAGGCGGGACTCTTCCGGCCATAGCAATAGCCTTCAGCATTGCGCAAGTCCGCTGGCCAAAATATCGGGGTCGGAGGCGACATGAATTAGTTTACCATCACGTGTTCAACTCAACTTCTCTCTGACCTCGCGTTTAGCTCAATTTCATCATTGGGCCTGTAGTATGGCCGATACGTCATTTGGCAAAGGTCGACCAGACCTAAAGAAAAAGCTTGTGGTGGTTGGCGATGGTATTCTCCATATCTGTCTCCATGCCCTTGACAACAACAGGCATTGATGATTTTAGGTGGGTGTGGCAAGACATGCCTTCTCATTGTTTACGCAGAGAACCGATTCCCAGAGGTACGTGGCCGAAATATAGGTTCTCGCCGCGCGTTGATGCCTCACGCAGGCATATATTCCAACAGTCTTCGAAAACTATGTCACTCAAGTGCACTTTGACGGCAAGGAAATTGAGTTGGCACTGTGGGATACAGCAGGGCAAGAGGAATACGATAGGCTCCGGCCATTGAGTTATCCAGAGAGTAATGTCATCCTCATCGTCTTCTCGGTCGACTATCCTACTAGTCTCGCCAATGTGCAAGACAAGGTGCGCACCCAGAAGTCTTCCCTCTTGTTATACTTGATTTGATAACACCAATAGTGGTACCCGGAAGTTGCTCATTTCTGCGAGGGCACGCCATTGATTTTAGTAGCGACCAAGACGGATCTACGACGTGATGAGCAAACAAGACGAATGCTCAGTGCTCAAGGCATGACGCCTGTCTCCACAGAGCAAGGAACTGCAGTGGCCAAAGAAATCGGGGCGCGATACGTCGAATGTTCTGCCAAAACTGGTGCAAACGTTCACGAAGTGTTCAACCTTGCTTTGAAGGAGAGTATGCGAAGACAGTGGAAAAAGATGGGTGGATCTAGACGATGTGTGGTCATTTGAACTGGCTGGGCCAGTGTACTGTACTTTTACTCTGCTCTATTTATCGCACGGACTCACAGCATATCTCTCCATTGTATCAGTCAATTCTTTACAACTCGACTCGCTCGCTCGAGCACGTTGGACACATCGTCAGAATCAAATCATTCAAACTGGACAAAATAGGTAATATGATCACCGCTCCTGCTGCTTGTTTTCAACTTTCACTATGGCTCCTCTCAAAATAACCAAGATCCTGTGTAGTATGTGCTTTGCTACGCGTAAAACTTGTTCTCATTCCATCTCTAGTTGGAGCGGGCTACGTCGGTACGCTTTTATCGATTTTGACGACACGGCGAGTAATGGCCTTCAGGTGGACCGACTTGCGCAGTTATTGCCCTCAAATGCCCACACATCACGGTGACCATTGTCGACCTCAATCAAGCACGCATAGATGCCTGGAACAGCCCCGACTTTAACCTTCCCATCTATGAGCCTGGGCTTGAGGATGTAGTTCGCCAATGTCGTGGGCGGAACCTTTTCTTCTCCACCGATGTGGACAAAGGTATCCGTGAAGCAGAACTTATTTTTGTCAGTGTCAATACACCCACTAAGAAGAGTGGTGTTGGAGCTGGGTTTGCTGCCGATCTCAAGTGTGTTTCTCTGCCTCTCTGTCTTTCTGATCTAGGTTGATGGAGAGCATAGTTATGTCGAGCTGGCAACCCGTCAGATTGCGGCAGTTGCAACGACGTCGAAGATTGTAGTAGAAAAATCAACCGTCCCTTGTCGTACAGCCGAATCGATGCGGACTATTTTGGAGGCGAACTCGAAACCTAACTGCCGGTTCGACATACTCTCCAACCCCGAGTTTCTCGCCGAAGGCACTGCGATAGCGGATCTCTTCCAACCTGATCGAGTTCTGATCGGCTCGCTCCAGACTCGCGAAGGAAAAGACGCCTGCGCTGCTCTCGCCAATGTCTATTCCAACTGGGTACCCGAGAACAAAATCCTTACTGTCGGTCTGTGGTCGTCCGAACTCTCCAAGCTCGCGGCAAATGCTATGCTTGCCCAGCGCATTTCTTCCGTCAACGCCTTGTCCGCCATATGTGAGGCGACCGGAGCCAACATAGACGAAGTCGCCCATGCTGTTGGATATGACTCTCGTGTTGGTCCCAAATTCCTCAAGGCGAGCGTAGGGTTTGGTGGTTCGTGTTTCCAGAAGGACATCCTCAACCTCGTTTATCTCAGCGAGAGCCTCCATCTTCCTGAAGTCGCCGCCTATTGGCGTCAGGTCGTCGAAATGAATGAGTATCAAAAGCGTCGCTTCTCGAAACGTGTGGTGGACACGCTTTTCAACACGATCACTGGCAAGGTTATTCAAGATTACTTTTTCCTTTCTACGTGGGTTTGACATACAACATTTCAGCATATTGCTGTTCTCGGTTTCGCGTTCAAGGCTGATACTGGTGATACTCGCGAATCTGCATCCATCACATTAATCCGCGACTTTCTTTCTGAGCGTGCCTTTGTCAATATTTACGACCCCAAGGTCATCGAGTCCCAGATCTGGTTGGACCTCTCTGAGGCGTGCCCGAATATGTCTCTCGAAAGTAGTGCGTCAAAAGTTTGCTCTAACGGTGCTTTATTCATCCACTGTTTATCTAGTCAAAAAACAAGTCAAGATATGTAACAGTGCAGTTGAAGCCGCGCTAAATACCGAGGCTATCGTCATTGCAACAGAATGGAAAGAGTTCAAAGCAGTTGCGTGGACCGAAGTTTATGAGCACATGAAGAAGCCTGCCTTTGTGTTTGATGGTCGTTTGTTGGTCGATGCTGACGAGTTGACCAAAATTGGGTTCAAGGTCTACCCCTCGTTCTTTTTCTTTGGCTCTGTTCACTCACAATTTGACAAGGTTGCAACCATTGGTCGTCCTACTGCATAAGAGAAAACAGCTAGAAATCCCAAAGGACTCGTAAATCGTACGTAGATAGTTTCGGTCAAATTAATGCAAGGAATCAAATATAGAACAATGGAAACTTCGTGGTGGTTAATTAAGGACGAATGCTGTCGTAGGTCGGGGGGATCTCTTCAGGCACGCGGCCACCATCGGTATGAACGACCACGCCAGAGCTGCTACTGGGCGAGTGAGGGTTGGGAAGCGTGTCAACTGCATTGGAAGGACCAGGCATGGCGATACTCCCAGGCCGAGGTGAGTTGGGATTGACAACGGAAAACCCGCCTCTGGCTTCGCGTTCTTTTGAACTCATCGGATTGGGGTATCCAGTATTGGAGCTGGTGACACTGGTGGGATAAGCGCTTGTGACGGAGGTGGGGGCATAGGGATGATAACTGCTAGTTGTTGTTGGACTCGTGGGGATCTCGTTTGAACGGTCTGCATAATATTGGTGCATCTCTGGCTGGAAGTCCGCATTCATGCCCGTGGTGAAAGGCGTCACGACCCCTCCACCAACGGTACTGGCAGCCAGTCGCCCTCCCACACCGTCATCATCGATTGGTCCTCCGGCGTCAGAGATTCGCGGAAGTGTCGGGTCTGTGGTCCGGGCCGGATCAAAGTTACCGTCGAAAAGTTCAGCCTCTTGACGTTCTTTCGCCCGTCTGCGCAGGTACCAGACGAGGAAGGCAAGAATTAAAAGCCCCGCGATCCCCCCGACGATTGCTCCTGCAATTGCCCCAGCGTGCGAGGAGTTGCCCTTGGTATTGTCAGCTGCTGGTGTTATGGTCGTTCCCGCTGGGATTGTTGAGGTGACTTGAACAGTTCGGGTGAGGACTACCCCGTTGGACGTCGTTCTTAAAGGGTATTGAGAGGCTTTTAGAGGAAAGGATAGCGCATATACACCTACATGAAGGTAGATGAACCTACAGTAACTGACGGACTGACCAGTACCGAGGAGCTCGATGGGAGTACACTACTCCCGGATTGGCCATTACTGAGACTGACGCTCCCGCTTGCGCTGTTGGAGTTGCTCACACTTCCACTTTCGCTCGCGCTATTGGATAAGCTTTCTGGCACGCTACTTGCTGGAAAGCATCAGTCAGTAAAGAATCTGAAAATGGACGAGCCATAACTCTGACACAACCAAGGGGGGAAAAGGTGGTGATAATGAACTTGACTTACACGGAGATGCCATAGGATTGGAGGGGTCAGAGACAAGATCGTCAAAGTGGGGCAATCCATTAGGTAAGCGGATTGATCTAATTTGGATTACATATGTATACTTAATTTTTAGTGAGTACAGTCAATATTGGATACATTTATGATACAGAATAAGGTTAAAATGCTGGGAGAAAACATCAAGAGAGGAGCCGATTTGGATATGATGGCGCTTGACTTGTCCAGTATTGCCCAAGTGGTTGGACCGGCGGTTGCGTTTCAGAAGAATCGTTGATAGTCGGGGAGTATAACGTAGGAACCTCAACTAGGTGAGCTAGCAAGATGTTAGATTCTGGATCCCATTTACTAGCGGACATACCAGAAGTGTTTGACGCTAGTAAGAGGTTGGCCCATCTAACTTCCCGAACCTCGTTAGCAGCCCACAGCACCTGGACACTCTGCTTCTCCTCCAAGACACGGATAAGTGTGACTTCGAACAAGCCAGAGCTTACACGAATCTTTACACGAGAAAACAGGGGCAGGGATAGTATTTCAGCCTTTAAAGCATCTTGTTTAGAGGCACGACGCTCGGCAACCAGGATCTTGAGCAGGATAAGTGAATTAAACCGACGAGGTCAGTGACGCACAGGGTTATGTTGAGGACAATAAGCCTCAACTTCAATCTTCTTTATTACCTTGAGAACACGAACATCGGGCGGCGTGGATAACTGAGCAGTGGTATACGAGGCAGGTTCAACGAGAACAACCTCTTTGTCAACGTCCCGAATGTTGTATCGAATACCACTGGACTGCCCATCTCTTGCGCAGTTAACGTGGAAAGACTTGGGACATTTCCCTTTGGCACACTGAATAAGAGCACCGTGTCCCTTGGCATTGGGATGGGTGCAAACAGAACATTTCTAACAAGCATCAATCATAACACTGCTAGATAGATAGAATATTACCAAACTCCATCGCCCACGCACGATTCCGTCGAGACCAAAAGCGACTCGTTCACCGGCAATTTGGTCAACCCAGGTCTCTGGCAAAACCATGGCACAGTACTGGTGAATCATCCACGCTCCTGGACCTTTGCCGTCAGCGCGGTAGTGAAGACGTGCTGTAGCACACAACTCCCGCCACAATGCAGGTAGATCATGAACCCGGACGAGACCAACAGTACTTGGATCAACACACACACAGCAAGGATAGCTTCCGCTGGGGGAGGGTTTGGGCAATGGCGGTGGTGGTCCGAGTTTTAGAGTGATTCTAGGTCCAGGCCCTCCGTGATTGAAAAGAGAGGATTTTGTGGACTCAACGGGCCGCTGTAAAGGAAGGGAGGCGGTACGAGGTCTCTTTGAGGCGGCTATTGGCTCAAAGGGCATAGCCGGCTTACGTTTCCGGGGACTATTATGTTTGACAAAAGTTGTAGTCGTTCGTTCGAGTGTTTCAGAGTTTTCCTGGACCTCCTTGTTCATAACAGGATTTCGAGTTGCGCGAGCCAAATCAGCAGCACGTGGGTCTGCCCGTTCAAGAGCATCCATTCGACGATCCTCCAAAAGTTGATCCACATTGATGCGCACACTTGAGACCATCAGTACGAGTAGGTTAACCCAAGTCTGAGCGATTACCTGAAGTCCACACATTGGCATATGCCTGCCTTGCGACCCTCGTCAAGCCAGCTGTCGAGCGCGAAGTTGACACTTTCTGCACAATTGAGGCCCAAGTTGAAGCCCGCATGATAGCCTCGCGGATATGTGATGACGAACTCTCCTGCGTGCTGTACGAGATGATTTGGACGCACTGACGATTGTGCGAGGAGTGTTGGGGAGGCTAGAAAAGCTTTGTGCCGTAGAAATTGAGGGCAGTTCGAAACATCTTTGGGGAAGTAACCTCTCATCGTGTTCTCTAACGCGGTAGCGCGACCTTGTGGGACCGCATACCAGAATTTGGGAGCACCAAAATGGATGTAGTTGATAGAGAAGAGGTCCATATCTTCAACATGCCAAGCAAAGCTCGCACGCCACATTCCGAAGTAGAGATACGGAGTATTGACTCCAGGAAGACCTTGGGACTTTGGAAGAAGACGGGAGAGGGTTGAGGGGAGGCTAGCAACGTTCCAAGAAGAAGTGGAGTTCGTGAAGAGAGAGCCTATGGCTACGTGAGTGGCCGCAAGTGAGACAACAAAAACATACCCATGGTGTCCGCTCCATACCATGCCGGTTTTCCGAGTCCGCAATTTCGCCAGAAAGCACGCTCCAACTTGGCGCAAAATTCGGGAGTATAGTCGTCAGCAGTTGTGTCGTGTGGCAACCAATCAGTATGAGGGCTGAATGATTCAGCAAAAGACGCGTCTTTGTGGGCTCGTTCAACGCGTCGGTCTTGAGCCGTCGCGTCTTGTTTGACCTGTTTTTCTCTGCGCTGCTTTCTGTTTGGGTTGTGATGAACACCGACTTGCGATACACCAGGGGCCTGGTACTCCTCCTTGGCACAGAGCTCAGCCCATTCTCGGACGCTCATAACTTTGCGCTTCTCCATGTTCTCCACCCGGAACAAACCTGCTCGTCCTCGCATGCATTGCTCTATAGGGCTCTTAATCTTCACACCGGCAAGCTGAGGCTTTATGTCCTGCACGTTATCTCTCCATTCTTTCGGAGGAATAACTTTGACGATCCCAGACCTGCGTCCCCAGCGCTCAATGCGAGTCATGTACAACTCGAAGTCGATGAACTCGTCCATTGTCGGTTTGAATACCGGAATCCCGCGGCTAGCAAGGGGGTCGTCATCTGGGGATAGATATGGTCGGCTTGTTGAATGGGCCGTTGGAGGGGTTGAAGGCGGGAGGGGTAAAGAGTCATTGGAATAGAAGTGGTCGGGTTGAATTGGATGCTCTAGCGGAGGAGAATATGGTGGACGTTCCGGCGTCGAGGGCTGGGAAGCCGTCAAGGACGAAATCGAGGACATCAAGGCAGAAAACAAAAAATATTTGGAATAATCTCAAGCAAGATAACACTTGGGCGTCACAAAGTCCAGACAATGACGAGGCCCAGAACGAGACTCAGTACTTGCTCAGTGTTAGTTACTACAGTGTAACAACGACAAGGACAGTATATCACGTTCACTAATTCTCTCGCCACTGGTGTGCGCACTGTGTGCAGCGATAGACTGTTGGACTATCTCCAGAATAGAAAAGTAAGCAACGAAGAACACACAAGTCGTCATAGGCTCGTCGGCGGAGCGAATTTGGAGTTGATAGAAATATGCTTTATCGTGGTTGCACTTCGGACATGAAGCTGGTTCGGTATTAGCGGCATTCACGGACACTCAACAAAACCACACACCCATTGTTGCGTCCGCATGTTTCCAAGCCTCCTCCCCACCTAGAACATCGTCGACCGCCTTACGGACTAATTTTGTTCGCGAAGTCATCTACAGAAGGAATGATAGTTTGGTTTGTGGTCCGCTCGGAGCTGGCGCACTTGTTTTGTGATAGGGAACTCGTACGAACAAGTATTGCAAGCCCATTTGTTATAACCAGTATCACCGGAAACAACGAGGAGATTCGAACAGGTCGGACAAAAGAGCATGTAGTAGGATTGTTCAAGGATTGTGTCACTCGGGGTCACACGACAACAACTCCGAATTGCACGACTAGACGAGCCTTGGACTGAAACGAGCCTGAAACAATTCTACGAGCTCCCTCAGGACTTTCGCCTTGACGTTCGCAGAACTGCTTGTAACGAATACCCCGGCTCTAGCCCGCTACCTAAAGAGTATGTCTGAGTTGAAAAAACTGGTCAAACAATTACAACAAGCTACCACCGAAGTATGTACTGTTCGTCCACGTTGTGGTACACACTCAATGTTGTCGAGGACATGGTTTCAATACTTCAGCTTCTCAAAAAAGACTTTAAAGTAAACGAAGCCATTCTCAGGGTCAGTCCGTTCATTATTTTATTCTTGTCTGATCGTTATTATGTAGGAGAGCAAGGCTGGGTTGGCTGTAGGCAAACTCCGCACCCATCAAACCAAAGAAGTCGCCGAGTTAGCCAAGGAACTTGTCAAGCAATGGAAAGCGGATGTTGATGCAGCGAAAGTCGCGACAAAGCCAACGGTTCTTCCGGTGGATAGCACTGTCCGGAAACAGTCTATCGTGTCAAACGGCTCTGAAACGCCAAACGGTCGTACAATGAAGACAGACGGGCTACGTCCGCCATTCACTGGCGACCGCACACGCGACAGGTGTATCGAGCTCGTTTACGATGCTTTAGCAACGGATTGTGGTGCATGTGCGTCACAAAACCTGTTTTCCTTCTTCTCTGATTGTGCTTTCCGATAGCCTCCGAAACTCTTCTCGCTAAATCAAAGGCCATAGAAGCCGCCGTCTTCATGGACATTGGTAGTGTTGGTAACCCGTACTCAACCAAGATGCGGTCCTTGTTTGTCAATCTCAAGGACAAGAACAATCCCAGCTTACGGGAATCAGTTGCAAGTGGAGAAATCACAGCTGAAAAATTTATAAAAATGTCAAGTCAGGTATGTCTAGTTTTGCCGCATCGAGCCTATATTCATTGTCTATAGGACATGGCATCCGATGACCGCAAAAAAGCCAATGAAGTTATCAAGAAGCAAAACCTACACAATGCGCTGGGTGCAGAAGAGCCCGAAGCCGAGACGACCGCCTTCCAGTGTTCCAAGTGCAAGCAGGTTGGCGATTGATTTGTTAACTGGAGTTACAAGGAGACTAAAACACCCTAACCTCTAGCGCCGATGCCGTTACCGACAAGCACAAACTCGCAGTGCTGATGAGCCAATGACGGTACGCCCTTAACTTCCACATTCTTTCACACCAAGTTCATGATCTCCTCTTTCTCTAGACTTTTGTAACGTATACTGGTTCAATTTTGAAGTTTAGCTTTTTACTCACCTTACATAGCTGTGTAAACTGCAACCACAGGTGGAAGTTTTCATAGGCCCCAGATCAATTAAATGTATTTGTGCTTTTCCCGGTTGATAATGAGTGTCTGTATCAAATATCTGTTCTTCTGTGTACATTACCTGCAATTTGATAACTTCAGATGGAAAATCAGATATTTGTTTAGTTATAGATATACAACTTATGATGTAGCTGAACTTAGGAATTGTAATATATCTTAGAAAATGAAACTTTTGAACTAGTTGACAAATATTGCACCCTGTTGATTCCTACAACATACCTATCCTTTTTGATCCAATCATCACCCCAATGACATCCCCACTTGTTGCTATTCCTGTCAAGTGTCTATGTCTTCACTGCGGGAGTTTAGGAATAAAGAGTGCCCATTTCGATCGATTATACACCTAAAATCAATGTACCAAAAAATAATTTTTTTTATACCTCTATTTGCACCCAAAAAAAATTGTTCCAAATTTGCCTCCTTATATGAGAAATAGATGCTATAAATAGACTCAGTTTTGTCAACTGGTTTTGGGGCAGATCAAACAGCCTTTTCTAAACCAACTTTTGTATCAAAACAAGGACCAAAAATATTCATGTATATTCACTTATATGATATATATCAGGGCCCTGGACCGTATTTTTTGGTTCCCATTTTAATGCAAAAAGCTGGTCTAGAAAAGGTGTTTAATCTGCCCTCAAAGTGGGTGACAAAACTGAGTCTGTTTATAGCATCTATTTCTTATATAAGCAGGCAAATTTGGAACAATCTTTTTTGGGTGCAAATAGAGGCATAAAATTTTTTCTTTTTTTGGTGCATGGATTTTAAGTGTATAATCAATCGAAAGGGGTGCCATTTATTCCCCAACTCCTGCAGTGCTTGTTACATAGCCTTACTCTGACAGTTAATACTGAGGGCAATGGCAACAGCGGTTGGCAGATGACAGCACGTCTGGCAGACCTTATGGACCCAACGACGGTTCCACTGGCAGCCAGTTGAACAAAGAAATGAAGAAAGAAATCTATTGCCTATCATTATATATCTAAGATCTTCCAGAATCAGTGCAATGACCAGCTGATGTATGATGCAGCTCCACGGACTTTAGACATCAGCACTTATTCTTTGCGTGACCAGTGCTCCGGATTGGCGACTCATGCCAGCCTCCCACCAACCACTATCTCGGACAGCAGGAATGAGGGGAGAAACATGTGGGTGGAGTATACAGAGCTGAAGAGAGAGCTGGGGAATGAAGGTAAGTGGTGAAAACCACCTAGGTTCAGCCAGCTCACTAGATATTGTGCCTGCCTTCCTGCAGCCAATTCCTGGCTGTTTCTCTTTATATTTTGAGGAGTGTTTGGGACGCCCCCTTCTGACCAAGCCCGCTGAGTGTCCCGTTGCCGCTCGTTGGCTGACACAGTTTCCAGGGGTAGGCACATAATTGCCTCAGTCACCACAGGTGCGATTCTGCGCTGAATCCCACCAAACTGCACCATCCCACTTAAGCCCCTGGGAGCTCCCATCACTGTGCGAACTGCGGTCATCGGCCCACGTATTACTGCCTGCTGCCACTTGCCATTTCCTACTTTCCCTGCTTACTCTGCGCCCAATCCTTTGCTGTTTCGTGTTAAACTGCGGTGTTCAACGCAAACAGGGTGTCCTTCCAAATGCTGAAATTATCAGCACAAACGGGCCAGCGGTTATTGCGACAGCCCAGTGGCGCTCTATTTGGCCGGTTGTGGTACCCACCAACCTCTGTTGCGCAAAATTAGAAGCCGGCAGGCCAAGCTCACAGGGTGAGGATCCCTCAGCCTCCTGCAAACCTTTCTGGCTCACCTTACATGCATTCTGCCTGGGGAGCTATACTCGAATAGCGATTCCTTGCGTGCCCATTTCCTGCGAATCTCAGGCGGGATGAACCACTCATTGTCCTGCTTCATCTGGTCATCTCCCAGTGAGTGGATTCAGCCCTTGTGGTCAACCGCGGCAGTGTGGCCAAATCGGTCTCGAGCACTGATGAGAGGGGATGACGGGTGGAAGGCCAAAGATGAGACCGACACTACACAACTAAAACCCAAAAACAAAACAGCTAACAACCGTTCTGCTCGAGCTATAACTGCGTAACACCATTCTGATAACCACCAATAACCGGAAGAAGGATCGCAGCACGATCACAGAGCTGGTTGGATACCTACCGCGGCCGGCGAAGGAGTTCGAAACAATACAGGCGGTGAGGAGGGTGGCGACGAAGGATGTGGTGGTGGAGATAAACATAGCGGGAAACAAGGAGGCGGCGCTGGAAGAAGACCTGAAAGATGAGGTGAGGTGGAAGATCTACACCGATGGATCGGGCATAGACGGCGAGATCGGGGCTTCGGCGGTGATGTACAAGGACGACAGGAGGGTGAAGGTTATGAGAGCAAGGCTGGGAACGATGCAACAACACACGGTTTACGAGGGGGAAGCCGTAGGGAGCGGGATGGCATTGGAGCTACTGCGGCAACAGAGGGATGTACGGGGCAAGGTGACGATAGCGATCGACAGCCAAGCAGCGATAAAGGCGGTGAACTCGTCGAGGTCTACACCATCAAGCTGGATGTGGGACGACTGGCACGAGAAGTATTCTAAACTCACCGACAAGCATTCTGACATGAGACTGACCATCCGATGGACCCCAGGGCACATAGGGATACCAGGCAACGAGCGAGCGGACGAGGAGGCAAAGAAGGCCGCGGCAGGAGACACAACGAGGATAGAAGACCTACCGGAAGAGTATCGGCCCGAGCTCCCACTCAGCAAAGCGGCCACAAGGCAAATGCTCAATGCCAAACGCAAAGCCAAGGTGGCGGAGAAATGGAGGAAGTCGAAAAGGTACCAACAGACAATGCAGTATGACGCGAAGCTGGTAAAAGGCTCGTACCTTAAGATGTACACGAGCGTGCCGAAATCATACGCCGTCTTACTCATGCAGCTGAGAACGGGACACTGTACTTTGGCGAAAACACATGCACCGGATCGGCAGGGCGGACTCGCCAATATGCCCGTGCTGCAGGCAAGCCGATGAAACGGTGGCACACTATCTACTACATTGCAACGCGCACGAGGAGGCAAGGAGAAGACTTTACGAGGAAGGAGGCAGAGACACGAGGGTGATAAAAAAGTTGTTGGGAGCAGGTAAGCTAATGGAACCGCTGATGTGGTATATATATAGGACGGGACGATTCCGCGCGGTTCATCGACATCTGAGAAAGCCACTCGACCAGAACGGCACATACGGGGACGAACTACTCGACCTTATATCGAAACTGCAGATAGACGGGATGGAGAAGAAAGACGACCTACCGACGCTGGCGAAAAGAAGCGAGGCCATTCGGATGAACAGGACGAACGGAGGGAATGACGCGGAAGCAGGACATAGCAGGGAAAACGGGGAGCAGCAGGAGATGGGAGACGAAGAAGAACGGCGCGAAGAACGCGCGCACCCACAAAATAACAACATATAATCACTACAGGACACTATTTCACTCACCCACCTTCACGCCGCCGCCCCGAGCACCATGGCTGAAAGGGCAAGATACCGAGGCAAAACAAAAACGGGACGAGAAAACGTTGGATTCGAACAGCGCAAGGCAATGGCTACCGTACATAATTTTGTAGAGGCCAAATAACGGGATTGAAAAAAAAAAAAAAAAAAAAAACACCAGAAATTCCTAGTATTTTGAGAGCTGGAACATGCAGAACCCCAATTGCATTTAATGGAATGCCAGGACCTATTTCAAGCTTAGAGAGTTTAAGCAAATAGATTTCTTCTGTGGAAACTTGCACAGTAGTATCTGGGAAAATCTCACTGCCCATGAGGCTCAAAGCCTCAAGATTGGGAGTTGCTTGAAGAATCTTGATGGTCAAATGGACTGTTTGATGCTTAATTTTGAGAGATCTCAAGTGAGACCATGAGAGTATTAGATTGGATGGTGTGGCTCTTCCGCCCAATTCCAAATTTTCAAGTAAGGGAGTAGCTTTGAAAGCTAAGAGAGGGATAGACGAATCATAATCATCATCTATTATGATGCCAAGAGTAGTCAATTTGTTGAATTGGCATCCTTGAAGATGATTATGAAGTATTGTCAACATATCTGGTGAATAACCAGGATTGTATAATCTCTTCCATTTATCTGAGAATGGAGCAGCCTTTGACAGTATAGTCAGTGCTGTAGTGGGAAAGCAGGAGCGAAGATCCAGAGTAAGGCTGTTGGAGTAGCGCAAACATCTAACTAGATGGTTTCTTTTGCGATAATCATAATGAAACCTAAAGGCATTGAAGTTGTTCCAAAAAGTAGAAGTTGATAAGACCAGGTTTTTCTACTGATGACAAACAAGAGCAAGAGTAAACACATCAGCATCTCTAGAATTTGCATAATGTCCAAAGATTTCAAGCCAGATTTCATTTGGAATCTGGCTTTTAATTAGCTTCCAAAGCCGCTCAGATACCAGATTATCGAGTTGATCAAGTCTAAATCTGGTGTCATCTATGCTTTGAAGATCTTTGCAAAGTGCTAGCTCGACTTTGAGATTTAGCAGAAATATTTCAATGAAAACTAACTTTGGATAGAACTATTGTCTACTTCTTGATAGAGCAAAGCTTGCAAGATTTGGTTTATGGTTTGTAGCGACATTTATCAGAGATCAAAGTATAAGACAAACTGCTTCTGATTAGATAATGATTTGTAATCAAATACAACTAAACAATATGGTCATTTGAAGTAAGATGGCTTTATAACTAAAAACTGATTGTAAATATTTATTATAGCTTAGATTCCTGAGGATTGTGATGAGAACCAGCTAATGAAATGGTCAGTCAAAGCCTTAGCAAGGATCAGTTTAGAAACATACTTCATTGCAGATGGATCATGAGAAAAAGTCATATGGTGCTGTTGGCTGCAAAAACTGAGCCCAGGTTTGAGAGTTGGCTTGTTGCCATTGAGAATCATAAGCATTAATAGGTAAACCAGGAACACTGCCGGCTGTTTGTGAGACCTTCC